AAAGGTATTAATTCTAGCAGTCTCAGATTGATAAACCATGTGTCTGGTGTGTAATGATGATTTACTGTCCAGATTTATGATCTTTGACTGAAGTTATTATGTGTAAATTTTTACCAAAAGACAGGGATGGCCAAAGGAAACACTGAAACATCCCTCGCCAAGCTAAAATAGCTGCACTCTGTGGTCAGAAACAGCACAATGGATTCAGTAATGTCTGCCTTTTTCTTATTAGAACAAAACACTGAAGAGGTTTTGGGAAAGTAGTGTGTCATGTGTTATGTTTAGTCCACACACCACAGAGCTGTTGCCTGAAAGTCTTGGCTTTTATTTTTTCCTGAAAAAAACAGTCTCCCTCTGAAAGGGTGCGGTGAACGCCTGCTACATTCTTTGCTGCTTCGAGAGGTCTGTAATTGCTTCCAGCTTCTGAGGGATCTACTGCAGAAAAGTGGTGTCACGTCTTTATCAAGAACCCCCCTTCAAAAACACTTATCAGAGCTGGGGCCGCTGAAGCCATAAACCACTTCCCCTCATGCTAACTGCCTCTAGCCTCCAAATTCATTCGCTCTTTCATACAAGTCGCTCAACAGTTATATAGGACATGTTTAGCTTTTTCTCAACACCTACACTGTTTTTCATCCTGCACTTGGTGAAACTGAGTTGCTACATGCTCAGACCTCCTACACTCAGAAGTGCTGGAGGAGGTCTGAACATCTGTTGTGGTGTGCTGTGTTCATGTGTCCAAGGAGACAAAGTCAGAGCCAAAAGGCAGAAGCCCCAGCTGTCGGGATCTGGGTCGGCCGCATCCGGGGCCGAAGGATGTTTTTCAAAAACACCTATGACAGTGTTGTCACTTTTAACGCCTCAATGATAACCGGGAGTGCATAAAAATCATAGATTGAAGAGGCCAGCTGTGATACAGATGCTCCAGAGGTGAAGAGGCAGCCGCACTGATTAGTTTTCTGTTTCTTCTGTGGAGCTTGGCTCAGAGTGGCCTTTCAAAATATCCTCACTTCATCTACGTGTCAACAAAGCATTCCTTCAAGACGGTGTGGGACACATTCCTCAGTTTTGGCCTCTGACGCACATTCTCTGGAGTTTAAAATGGATTAAACTCTGGCTTTTCCTGCAGAGATATCAGTGATAAGAGATACACACACACTCATGCAGGCACCCAATTTTCCTCCACAGTTATTGACTGTGACAGCCAGACTGAAGCAGCATCGGCTCTCGCCCTGTCACAACAAGCGGGCCCAGAGAACTCACAGCTGCTGATGGAGCTGGCACCGCTCACCCGATGGAGACGGTCGTGTTTATCATTTGGAGGAACAGAGTCGTATGAAAGGACGGCGAGAGTGAGGTTTTAAAAATAGATTGGAAAATATCACCACACATAGCTGCACTCATATATTCACATTCAAAACAAGTGTCTTCTCTGCCCAGCTTTTTTGCAAGAAAATGTATGCTTGAATGAATATAAATCAATAGCAAAACAGAAAAGTTTAACAGTGAGAAAGAGAACTTTTCTGTCTGCCTTTTAAAACAGAGAGCACAGGGGGAGTTTCAGAGGAATAGCAGAACCAGATGCTGGCGTGAAGAGAAGAACTAAAAACCAAAATGAATTCACCAGCTCCCAATCCGCGGTTATTTCCACAATAACACATCCTGTTCTGTCTTAGAACAACATGGCAATGGTTTAACTCTCACCAAAACAAAAGTTAGGTGGGGAGAAAAGACGCCTTTTACACTCGGAAGACTTCCAAAACAGAAAATCTTGGACAGGAAAAAAAGTGTTCCCATGCGGAGGAAATGTCACATCTCTGCCAGTCCAATAAGTTTCCAGCTGTTGTTTCATGATATCAGTACTCTCTGCTGTCAGCACATGTGCTTCATGTGCAAAAACAAGAGAGGACTTGTTGCTAAGATGACATATATAACACCTCTGTTAGAAATAAAGTGTGAGTCTTGTTCATGTGTGAACCTGGTTGTTCTGTACATCCTAGTGTGTAACTTCATCGATTTGTAAGAATGCATTTGACCTTCAGTGGTGTTGACATCTGAGTCAATAAGATTTTGGTGCAGAACTTCATGCAGAAGGATTCAGGCCTTGTGTATACTCTGATCTAATCTTACAGTGTCAGCATTGCCATATAGCTGCTCATGCAACAAAAACCACACTCAGCACTAATGAAACTCCCGAAGCCCACAACCACTAAATGTTTCTTTATCAGATCTTACCTGCTTCTCCATGGTTGCGGCTGCTTTGTGTCTCCCCTCTTCTCATAAATACAAGGCTAATACAGAGTTTGACTGTTAGGCAGATGGTACTTCCCCTGAGGTAAAACAGACAGGAGACAGGAGGTGGAAGGTGTTTCTGTCTGCACGTACACTCCCCTTCGCTGGGGTGTGTGTGTGCATGTGTGTATGAACACATACTTCTCTGACATAAACTGTGCTTCTCATCTGCCCTGCAGGTTCACACAGGAGCATGGAAAGCTCCTGAGAAGAGTGCTTAAATTGCGCAAGCTGGCATTGACTAGAATAAAAAAAGGATAGATATTCATTATCGACATGCATTACCTTTAAAATCAGCCAAGAAGTTGGGGAATCTGACTTCTCTTGCACAAGTATTATCAGCTTTAGTAACAGTGCTTTGAACCGCCTATATTTGGTGTGGATAAAGAGAAAAAGATGTGTGAAAAGGTCTGTCTGATATGTTTCAGATCAGCATCAGATAATAGGAATAAAGGGCTCTGGTGCATCAGCATGAGCAGCTGTGTTGAGTTACAAACAAAGAAAAGTAAGGCTCAAGCTAAAGGAGACAGCAGCACAGAAAAAAATACTCGCTATTAAGCTAGGGAGAATTGGTTTTCTCCACCCTAATGAGAATTCATCCTGTGAGATAGATGAGTCAGTCTGACAACACGATTTCACACTCGCTGTAATGAGATCATATTTGAAGAATTGGGTGTCTCATGTGGATGAGGTTACCAAGATGTTCAGAGAGATCTGGTCTTACCTTCACAAATACATTTTTTTTTACCCCTTAGAAATATAGTTGTTGAATTTCTACATTTGAAGTGCAAACATGTCACAGAAGTTGGTGTTTTTCTGTAATGATCTCTACTCTGGGTAAAATTGAAGGAGATTATCCTTTTCTTGAACCGACTCTACAGACACAGTGTTTTTAAGTGTTTGAGCACACACCAAACACAAACCCAAAACTTTACTGGAAAGATCCACAGGGCTCAAAGCCGCAAAGGGGAAAAGCCAGAGAACTAGGACTCTACAGTATTCGGGGTCTTTCCCTGAATCAAACAGAGTAAGGTTACAACAACACAGCAGATCAAGTAAAGTTAAAGATATGTAAAAGAAAATAAAGGGAGCAGTGAGGGAGATGCACAGTTATCTGCTAAATAATGTACAAAAGGTCTTTGAAAAACTCCAACATCAGGTAATTGCCAATTAAACAGATAAACGCCTGCTCTATATGCAACCAGAAGACCTCTATAGCCCTTATTTTAGATCTAAATCTCAGAATAAACCATATAACTACCCAGTGGACCTCAAAGGCACTGAAACACTCTCTTTTTAATGAACTGACAAACTAGGAGATCACAAATTACTAACTCTAAATAAATAAATGACTCTGTGAAGCACCAAAATCTTTGAAAAGATACAGGGTTGAGGATATGCAATGTTAAACTATTGGAAAAAAAAAACGTTCTTTTTCCTGGATGAAAGATCAGAGTGAACCATGCTGGTAGCAGTCTGGCTGGTGTTAAGGGCAGCTCAATCCCAGGCTTTCAACTCTTCATCTACGAAGCAGCACTCTGAATGTGCACTCTGATTTGGTTCAGCATACCCACAGTGTTGGAAGCAATTTGTTGGCTTGATGGGAAAGGCCAATACCACAAAACTGGTCATTCTTCATTTGATTCTAGGTTGTCTTTCTCTTGAAAGAGGTACAAAGCTAGACTGTGGTGAATGAAGAGGATCTCAACGGGCACATGCGGCAACAAAAGAAAGTAAGGAAGTCAAGTTCAAAAACTTAATAAATGGAAGAAAGATAAAGAAAAATAGTGAATGAGCAGTGTATATAGGTAAACAGAGCGACAAATATGAGGATAATGACAATAATAGAAAAAATGACAAGGTTGATGATCGCAATGAGTATGATGATGGAGATTAACATGCTAATGATAAAAAAAATAATGATTATGGCAGTGATAAAATCAATTATGATTATGATAGAGATGTAAATAATAAAAAAGTGGTAACAATGAAGGCCTCAGAAATCATGATTAAAAAAGTAAGCCTGATAATCACCATGATGGCAATAATAAGTGCTATAACAGGGTACATGACATCGATGATAATGATGATGAAGAAAATAATCTTATTGCAGCAGCTTCTGGTGATTATAATGATTAGGACGGAGACAACAAAAGTCATTATAATGACGAGGATGATGGAGATCTCAATGAAACGTGTAATTATGAAAATGATGACACTAATGATGATAATTCTGGATAAAATGATGATGAAGCTGATAAGTAAAGTTATTATATTGTGACCGTGGTGCTGCTGATTATGATAATAATTATAATGATAGTAATAATGTTGATAATGATGATCATAATGATAATGACAATAATGATAAAACTGATGGTTATGCTGAAGATGATGATGCTTATACTAGAGATAATAAGAAAGATAATGATCATGATGATCATGATAATTATGATGAAGATGATGATTTCATTTATCATGATGATGTTGACAATGATGATGAGGATTATGAATGTAATGATGATGATGATTATGTTGTTAATGCTGAAAATAATAATACTGACAGTGATTGTTAAGAAGATTTGAAGATAGTGATGGTGATGATAATAATTATCATGATGAAGATAATGATGTTGGTGATAATGATGACAAGAGTTACAATAATTCTGTTAAGACAATAAGGAGGAGGAAGATGAAGATAAGAATGATGATGATGATGATGATGGTACATAGACAAGGATTTTAAAATTGGTTAACTAAACAATGGTCATAATGGGAATTTAAAAAAGGAAAATGTGTCATAAAGAAAAAGATCAAACAAAGATCAAAAGACCTGAGCTGAATGAAACAAATTAAAAACAGGATTCTCCTTTTCACTAAGAGCCTCCAATGCAAGATTAAATTCTGCCCTTTACACGATTTTCCATCTCCTGAATTGCACTTCTGATCTTACTTTTCACTCTCACTGTTTGAAAGTGGAAATTACACAAGGTTGCTTGGTTGGAATTCAGACTATCTGGGTTCAAACTTTTTTGCTTGAGACAAATGAGTTTGAATCTGGCCGAAGATTGAGGTTGGGACGAAGTAGTTGCAGCTGCATAACAAAATCTTTCAAATTGAGTTCAGTCTTTCAATCAAGCTGACCTGGTCTGGCTTGAAAGACTGAATGAAAACTAGATAGTCTGTCTTTCAAACTGAATACCTGCCCCATGAATAACAATGAGTGTGTCTTTTAAGACGGAGCAGCATTCATTAAAGCATTGAGTTCCTTTATTCTAATTTTGGGGTAAATTGGGGCGTCGGTGAGCCTGCATGTGGTTCACATTGTTCAGGGAAGATGGCAGCATCCATCTAAAGCCTGTCTGTGGATCCAGACAGATCAGGAGACTGGGAGGGAAAAAAAGGGTGGAATTAGAGGGACTTTTCACACACCTGGAAAAGTGGGATGATTACAGCTTTACTGTATGATTCATTTAAGTGTGTGGAGTTTGATGACTGAAGCAAAGTTCCAGCAAAGCAAACCTTAAATATCAGCCTTAGTGCGAGTCCAATCAGCCAGGGTGACTGAAATGTTTTTGACACATTTACAGTAGATTTAAAGCAGCACACTGTCTAATGATCGATGAAAAAAGATGTCTCAAAGACAACTGTTGCTATCAATTTTCAATAAAACAATATTTGACAATTGACGAAGAAATGATCCAAACTGACTCTAACAGTTCATGGCTTTATCTTGTGCATCATTGAAGCCATCCCTGCTCAGACTGACAAAGCAATGGAACATTTTCACATAATTTGCTTTGAGGATCACAACAAGTGCACTGCTGGGACTGCACAGAAGAGGCTTTGGCACATCTGCCTTGAGGGAACAAAAACACATAATAGAAAATTTGAGACAGATCCCAGAAGGCCACTGCACCATTCACATGTCACCTCTAAATTTGGGTCAAGTGATGAACTCTGATACAAAATGAATTTCATGCTTTTGATACTCGGGATTTGATCATGAATATAATAGTTTAGTTCAAGATCATAATAAAAAACTTTATCAAAACAGTTGATTATTTTGGAGCCAACTGTTTGTGAACAGTCATTAAGTTTGGCACCCTATCTATTAGCTTGATAATTAGCTAGTTAATGACAGTGTTTGTGACAGCATTACTTTTCTTTTTATTCATGGTGGTTTGCTGACAGGAGTTGTTTATTAATTAGAAATCAGCTTGTGGGACAAAGTCCACTTTTCACTTATTTTCAATGCTCACTTGTCAAGGTCTGTGATAGGAGAGGATGTGGCAGGTAATTATTAGTCAGGCTCCTGAAAAGAACTCTTCTCAATCTTTTCAGACTGAATGAACAGACCACCGCTGATAATGAAAGCGTGAAATACACCGTACACGCTAGGGTAGCCAGCCAGGCTTTCTTATTGACCACCTGGCTGTGTTAAACGCTTGATTCTGATTGGTCAAACCCCTTTAATAATGGTTATCAAATATGAATAGCAAGAGTGATGCTAGGGTCGACTAAATAATGCATGTTGTATCAAATCAATCTGCTAAAAGGAGTCTTAAATATTTAATAGTATATGATTTCACTTGCCAATTGACAATGTGGCAAAGACATCATTTTCTCATAGCATAGGTTAACACAGAGAGGATGTTTTTGCTACAACTCAGTTTATTGGGTTAGCTCCAAACGACCTATCAAAAGACAGATGATAAGAGGAGGAAGCAAAGAAACTGGAGAAAAGGGGGAGCTGAGGGAAAAAGAGACATCAACCAAATTGAAGAAAACAGTCAAGAAGCAACCACAAAATGCAGCAGAGTATGGGCTTTAGCAGCATTACAGGTCTGGTTATTAAGAAGAAAATACTAACAGGAAAGAGGGCCTGAATATGTGCTGCTTTTATTTTCTGCATGTACCAAGAAGGTCAAAGTAATACCGACAGCAGTGCAAACAGGCTGATGTTAAGACTGAATATATGTATGTAAGCGCAATTTTTTTCGGTTACATTAATAAACCAGTTTTAAATCAATAAAATCAAGTGTTGCCTCTCGTCTTGTTGTTTCTTTCACTGGCAGAATAATGTATAGAGAGTGAGTAGTTAGACAGAAAAGACCAAGACCTCTTGAATTTCCTGTCAATATAAGTAAATACACAGCAAGTCAAACATTATACTGTATGTCTTAAGGTAAAGATACTGCAGATGGGGCTTGTATTGCATAACCAAGAGACTGGAATCAGCCCAAGTCTCAGCTGTCACTCAAAATAGTCAAACTACTAATTATGCAAAATTCTAAACCTAGGTTTGGATGGCCAAGCAATGTGGATTCACCGCCTGTTTCATGGGGAAAAAGAAGAGAAAATCTTTTTTTGCACCAGGCTGTCAACATCTTTATTTTAGAGACGACAGGCTGAATAGTTGCTGCTGCATTTTTCTAAAGAAAGAGCACATTTCCCCTGACTTACCTGTGTACCAGAGCACTGTATGTCTGTATTATATTTTCGTGGTGACACAGTGGGGTACGCAGGAGGTGAAAAGCCCAGGAGAAGGAAGAATGACACATATGAGACCTCCTTTTTCAATTCCTACTCAAAAAAAAAGGAAATAAAGGAAATAACTATAAAACCAAGATAGCTAGGAGAAACCTGCTTGCAGGGTATTGGAGGACACATTTGGGAGATGGTTCAGAGATAACCTCTGTTGCTGCTCAACATCTCAGTATGAAATCTTAAAAGTGCAGAGGTAAAGCCCTCTTTCTCACATGGATACAAAACCATATTTGTGTGTTTTGTTACCCCGTCAAACTGTTTCATTTAAGAAGCCACTCTGTGATGATTACCTCGTCTCTGCTTAATTATTAACTGCTGGCACTGTTTGATGCATAAAAAGGCTGATTATATGTTTGAGGCTTAATTTAATGTTATGTCTTTTACAGTCTCCAAGCAGCAGCTTCTCTTGCAATCAGAGCACAAGGGGGAATAACATGGAATTTAGCCTGCAGCACGCTGAGAACTGTCAGTTTCTCTCCAAGAACCGGAACAACTTGAATATTTTCTGCTGATGATAACTTGTTTTTGCTACATATTCTATCAACATAATACAGCAGAGAGTTGCACAAGTATTTTTCCTATTATCCCCCACCCTTTTGCCTCATTGTCCAACTATTTTCACGTGGCCCTGCTGCGTTTCATCAGATGAAAAGTGGACATATTTTAATCTGACAACCCCTTTCCAGCGCTGCAGAAACACATGCTTCGAAGAGAGCTTAGAGAAGTGACTGCTAATTGACTTGCTTGATAGATTGACAGCGAACATGACAACATGAAAGAGATGATAGTGAAATGAAGTCAGATTCAGTCTTAGTTCATAAAACATCTCGGCTTCTTTTGGAGGAAAACATCTGGATCCTCTAATCCCTGATGTTGCTTTGGAGTCACAGTTTCAGCCACATAATGCTTTGTTTGTTGCGCAACATTGAAGCCTGAATAACACTGTCTGTTCAAACTGCCTTTTGGTGGCTGTCTTGTTGTGTGCTGCTAACACAGTTTAAACAGAAAATCCTTCACTGCCTCGCCTGCCAAACAACTGACATATTAAGGTTGACCCAACTTGATCCCCCGGTCCCACCCGACACACAGTCTGCATCCTAAATGAACTGCTGAGGTGTATCATGTTGGACCAAGGAGGGAGAGGAGGAAAACACTGCTGGTGATATGAGCACCAAAGTCCAACACAGCAGAAACCACATGTGCGCTCATGAACAAACTGGATTTCATGGCCGATGTGAACACTAATCATTTGCACGCAGACATTCGAATGAACATACTCAACATGTTTTATTAACCCTTTCCTGGGTGCAATGTGGGCCTTGTTTCAAAATGAGAAATATTTGTTCGATTTGTTCCAACTGGAGCAGGAGGCAGAGCAGATGTTGAGAATGAAATGAGATTTGGGGCTTTGGTGTTCTTTCAATAACAGAGAGGGAAAAGTGTCTCTCAGTATACTTTTAATCTAACCAAACAGGCATTAATGCATTGATTTGGAAAGGCTTGAAATTTAATTAAAAATTAATGAAAGCTAACAAGAAAGAACTGCTTCAGAAAACTCACACTATTGAGTAGAGGTGAGTTTGGCACAGAATCTAAATTAGTCGACATTGATTTATCAGTGCAGCAGTGGGCATGGTGGAAATATTCTCATTTAGCCTATCTGGTCCCGAACTGGACTAAAGATTAGCATCCTGTCACCTGTTGTTGTTCCTTCATACTAAAAACTGCCTTTTTGGATACAAGTGTGAACAATAAGGTCACCAATCAGATTAAAATAGCTTCATGCCTGAGTTTTCTTAAACGCAAATGCTGCATATGATGGAAGAAATATATTCAAGTTAAAGGCACAGTCCCTGATTTATTATACAAACAGTTAGAAAAAACTAGATCAGTACCACATTTGAGGAGGACACCCTTAAGATGGAAAGCATTTGTACAGCAGCATGTTAAGTAGTCCACAGATGGTGTCTTAAATGGCAGAAAATGGACTGAGGCTTTATAGCATTGTGTTTGGTGCCATAACTGACACCTTAATGAGCTCCTCTGAGCTCTATTTTTTCCTCGGCAGGGATTCTTATATCAATCTCGACCTTGAAACACCAGGACTGGGGCTCTCTGATTTCTGGACACTCAGGCTCATTTTTGGTAGTGACCTTCCTCCGTCCTCCCCGCAGCTGCTCCTGATGCCAGTGAGCGGACAGACTCAGACAGGATGGACCCCCTGTTGGGAACAGTAGCTGCTCTCTGCCAGAGGATCAACTTACATCCATCAGTGCTGCAGAGATAAGATGTGAAATTAAATATTTGATCTCTGTTGCCTGTTTTAGGAGATGGGTCACATGGAAAGAAATAAGAGCGTCCTGTTTTTTCCAGCGCTGGCCTGTTAGGAGTTAGGACATAAATAGAGATTTTGTCATTGAGGCAGTCTATGGGTATAAAAACAGGGGAAAATGGTAGTAATTCTCCTTGAAAAAAACACCCAAACACCCTGCCCTGTCTTGTCAGTCTGGACAGATTGGGAGTGTATGATAGCCAAAAGCTGCTTGGCTCATACAGCTTTGGGGGAAGATATGGCTGGAGAGTTTAACCACAAATCTCTGTGCTGAGGAGATTTCCAGGGATCTCTTAATAGGAGGGGAGTTTACCTCTTGGCTGGGGAGATGTTTGTGCTGGTGAAGTTAATTTTAAGTTTGATTTTATTGCCATCACTTTTATTTTATTTTGACAAACCTTGTATTGTTTAAGCCAGAAATCCTGGATCCTCAAAATTAACATCTGTAACCTGTTCACCCCTAGGAAAGCAATTCAATATTATTATTGCACACTAACTTTAAGTACATCTCTCAGTTTAAGCACTTGAACTATATTTAGTGGTCAATTTCACTGTTATTGTCTCAGCCCAAATGTTTATTTCCACTTCAACAAAGCAAGATTAAGCAGCTGCTGATAAAAGAAAAATCACTCCTCAAGTGTCGCAACAAATTGAGCATAAAATTGGACCTTTATGAACATAAAGAAAGAAATGAAGCATGGCTAATGTGGCTGTTTGATGAGAAATGAGTTGTTTAAACCAACTCTGTGTCCAGAGTGATCATGTCTGTTATGAGGAGGTAAGGGATCAGGAGAGTCTTCCCTGGTCTTATACTTCCCCCCTGTGGTCAGTTTGGGTATTTGTTTCTCTGTCTCCCCCGCCGACACAAACTAAAAACTGATTAGAAAGACTTAATTTAATTCTGTTTAAATGCCGCCTCTGATTAACACCACAGGGAAACAGTCGAGTTAGATTTTCACCTGGATTTAGAGAACTTGTCTGATTCTGAATGCTTAATTAAGCTGTGCCTATTTTTATACATACAGGCACGAATCTAGATATATGATTCTATGTCATTATACAATGTAGTAGTGAGTGCACACATCTTAAATCTTTCAACACTTTTATGTTTGTTGGTAAAGATTTTCTTTGTTCAAGTGTAGGTTAACATGAATATGCATATTTTATTGCATACATCTTGGTCAGACTCAGTTCGGTTGTTCACTTTACACCAAAACTGTCTCATTACATTACATTACATCCTTGATATGAAATTCAACCTTCTGCTACATCATATTTTACAAAAAATTACAAATGATGTACAAATAACCTCTTTAAAAAACAACTATGATTGCTACTACAACTCAAACACCATAGGTTTTCAAAGGCATACAGTTTTAAACAGTTTTTAAAACCTAATCTGTTTTTTTTATAATATTATAATAAATACTCAAACTCTCCAGTCCTCTAAAAAAAACCTAAACAGCTGTTGCAGTGTTAACACTGATGACAGCATTTTTTGAGGAAATTATACAGTGACTGAAACATTTATCGACTGTAATTAAGTAGCTTCTGTCACAATCCAGTCTCCAAAGCAAAACAGAGGGTATATTTTACATTGAGCATCAGTAAACAGTCCCTGTTTTATTCTACACTTTCAACTCACATTCAAATCAATACAAAAGCTTTGTTTTTGTGTCATGTTTTAATTAAAATAGACATTACAAATCTCATCCAAAGCATTTTATGTCACAATAACATTACATATTATGTTCTCAAAGGTAACGCCTTTTAAATATCTCAATGTGAACATGTTATCTTAAAGAAAAGCTGCATTATGATGTAGCAGTTTATAAGAGAGAATCACTTCTACAGCAAAACAGTCACAAGAATGAGTCCTCTCTTGTTATTATAGTTGAATACAGTCAATAAGTGAGTCACACTAAAGTCTCAGGAAGGGCGTCTGCATTCTCTTTTGATAGTATCTGCCATATATGCCACTGCTCCATCGGCCCATTCAGTGATTCAGGGTCCTTGTCTGAGTCTGTCTGTGGGGCCGGGCTTTTCTGAGACTGCTGTGGAGTTTGAAAGTCTGGCTTTGATGAGAAAAGAGAGGGCGTGGAGTGAGAAATATGAGTCTCCCTCAGCTGTCCCGAGTAGTGGAAAGGAGTCAAACCATCCTTCCTGACCTTTAATGACAAACATGCAGGGTGTCCTGTCCTTTCTGCTAAGTTGTCTGAGCTGATGGCTGCTGATTGGCCGCTCAAACCTTGATGTAATGATGATTGCCGTTGTCTCTGTCCTCTCTGGTCATGGGGACTGCTGCTGCTACGAGTCACTGGGGGGTGTGGTCTGTTTTCCAGCATGCCCAATGAGGTCTGTGTTGGTCCTGCAGGCTTGTTGTTACCCTGGTGACTGCTCAGCCCCTCGGATGATCCATACGACTCACATTCTGACACGTCTCCAAGGGAGCCTGGGAGAAAGTGTTCATTAGCATCACGCATTCATTACATATATCAAGACCATCTGCAGCAACATATACAGGGGAGTCTATTACCAGTGACATGATGGCCACTAAAACCCCTGCTGAACAGCTCATGCCAGGTGTCCCAGAAATTCTCAGCCTCTGAAAAGAGCAAAAAAAAAAAAAATCAACAACACTCAGTTTGGTTCTATCACTACAATATTGTCAATGTAAACAATATCCCCTACAAATGTTGGCAAGTTTCATTTCCCATATCGATGGCCAGACAGTGTATTTAGATCTCTTTCATCCATCTTAAAGGACTGAGCGTACAGAGCTGCTGTTTGTGAAAGATAAGAGAGTTTTTCTTGTCTTTAAGAACATTTTGACTCAAATCCAAGAGAAACATTTTGGGAATTATGCTTAATCTTGCTGGGAGCGAGATGAGAGGATCAATACCGCCCTCATGTCTGAACAGTACATATGAAGGGAGAGCCAGCAGCCAGTTAGCTTAACTTCAAAAGAAATACCGGGTACGGGAGAAACAGCAGCCTGGTTCTGATAAAAAAACAAAAAGTGAGTTTGTGTAGGTACGTTTGCTGTATATAGTAATATGTTAAAACAATTGTGACGTATAAATATAAAGGCATTCCCAACAACTCTTCCTTTGGACAGTGCTGCACCCTTTCACTTTTTAAAATGGCAAAAATCTCCTTATCCCTCAAACAAAAGAAAGGGAATGAGCATATTTACAAAAACTTCAACCTTTTCCTTTAAATTGAACGTCGGATCGCTCAAATATATTCACCTTTGTCTGTTGAGAGTGTAGGAGAGGTGCTGCCTGATCCGTCTTTAGACCGACTGCTGGGTTTAAACTGTCCAGATAGTCGGCTGATGTCGTCTGGGAGTGGACTGCTGTCCTCTAGATGTTTACAAAGCAGCCGCTCTGACAGGACAGGGGAGTTGTTGTCATAGGGAGACACCTCTCCGCTAGACGCTTTGATGGAGTTGCTGGATAAGAACCTGTCAGTCATTGAGAAGGAGTCCTCTGCTGTCAAAAGGTCCTGCTCTCTGCAGAAACAAAAAGGACTCATTGATAAGTTCAAATGACACGTGAAACGAGTCTTAAAGGGATATTCCGGTGTAAAATTAAGTTAGGGTCAAACACACCATAACACCGAGTTAGACACTCCGTCAAGAGATGACTATTGCAGACTGCTTGCTTCACTAGTTATACCAACTTTAGCAATGACCGCAGGATAGCGATACACAGCAATACATATTTCCTTATGGAAATGCAATCAGACTGAGATGCTAAGGCAGAGGAACTGCTGCATCTGCAGTGCAAATGATTAATATGGTGATTATTACTTCAACAAAATGATAGAGTAATGATCATTAATGTTCTTCCTTGAGCTGCATCAACCCGTTGCAGTTGGTGATGGGCTCGCCCGAGGTCTCCATGCAAATAAGAGGCTGCTGGAAGAGAGACGGTGAGCTGTGTTTAGTCTCTTTGCTAAAGAAATCAGGCAAAGCTAAAAAGATATTTGATGGCTAGTGGTATGACTGGGACCCTATATGTACTGTTGATGAAGTTAGGTGCTGTTCTGAGCATTATTTGTGGCTATAGAGTGGCTTTTTGGTTGAGGTTTGTGCTGACTCCTTAGGCCACTGTGTATTGCTATCATGCGGACGTTACTAAAGTTGGTATAACTAGAGAAGCAAGCAGTCGGCAACATGTATCTCTCGAGGGGGTATCTAACTCGGTGTTACAGTGTGTTTGACCCTAAATTAATTTTACGGCGGAATATCCCTTTAACGCAGTCTTTATTTTTACTTACGAACACTGAGAGTCCTTTCGCCGCAGTAAGTAATCCACGACGTCTGGGTCAGTCTCCTGCAAACTCATCAGCACCTCATTCTGCAGATCAGCTGACACCTGAGAGATCACAACAACAGCGTGAATGTGTTTGTTCTGAATAATATTAAGATTTGTGTTCTTGCTCTACTTAATGATCCACTCCACATGAACTTGAACTAAACCAAACATTAGTTGAACTTTAACATCAATGATAATAAACAGTGTCTACTGCAAAGGAAACAGCATGTTGTGGTCTCATATAGGGTGAGAATAATTAACAGCAGTTTAGAAAAGCAGAAGTAATGACGCAGAGCAAATGTCTGACAGGCTCTTTTTTTGCCCTCTGGCTTCCTTAACTCATCATTTTTAGATACTGCAATTAAGAGCATCGGCACTGTTCCTGTTTCTGTTGAAATGCAGGAAATGAGAGTCTTGCCCTTGCTCCCATTCATATCAGAAGTAGAAGCGACACATATTAACATCTGCAGTGCAGAAACTCATTTGCAGAGCACTTAATAGAGTGTAAATGAACTTCGTTTCACAAGGTTCAAGGGAGAGAGGAACATGAATTACTTAGTTTTACAGTAATCCCACTTAGTTTTATCAGCAACAATAAAAGCTAGAGACTCTTTTAAACTTTAAAGCTAATGTTTATGTTTTATTTGATAGCTCCCTACTCTATTAAAGTAAACTTCCCTCAAACACTCAATGTCAGAAAGAATTCTTTCAATGTCTTTTGCTTTGCAGTAAAGATAGCAAACTTACCATGAACAGTCGATCATATATGCTGATCATCTTTTGCACCACACTGATGATGGCTGAGCTCTCCTCTGCTCGTGCAAAACTCTGAACCGCAAACTCTTTATCTGGGTTTTTTTGCTTGTGTAGGAGGTTGGGTCCAAAGATGGTTGCCAAGTTTAGGGACGTCATCTTGTTTCCTGTAATCTAAAGAAAAAAATGAAGATAAAGAATCAGGCTAATTTGTCTTATGAGTAAAACTAAACTAACCATTTAACTTGATACTTTGAAATGGTGCAATATCAGAGTAGGGCTAATAATGATGCAACAGTGGTCCCTAAAAAAGCTCTTTTTAAAAAATCACTGTTATTTTGGCCCTTGTGGCACACTGTAGTTAAGCCACTGCAGTGTTTTCCTGCTGTCTGCCACCACCGTGTTGGAAAATTACACAATTTTTGGGCACAAGTTACTTTTAAAAATTTCCAGCCTGGTTGGTTGGTAGATCAAATGACATATATTTGTGTCCAACTGAATCTGTGAGCTAAGCAGTTCATGAGACAGATATCAGTGGGAAACCACATTGCAAAAGCCAGCGTGGGACTATTTCAGAGTGTGGGAATCACCACAGGCCTAGGGATGAAACTAAAATGAGAAGTTCAGTGCTTTCTAAAAGGACGGCAGACCAGTCAACACTGGGAAGGACTCTGATCTAATGGACATCATGGCAAGTTGGCATGTTGTTACTAGACATAAGCTTTATTGGCACAGGGAGCAATACTTTCACATAGACAGGACCTGTACGAAACCAGGGATTAACCAACTGAACTGAATCCCCTGAAGAGTGCATTCATTTGGTTTCCAAATTCAGACACCGAAAAGAATTGCTTTGCATTGCTAATACGAGCTTACAAACTATTTAAAATGCAAAATAATGGAATTTTTTATGCAATTAGAAATGCCACTAATTGCAATTAATCATTGAAATTTAAAACCAATTATATTCTAAACCCATTGTCCTTGGATTGAAACCAAAATGTCACTTAGAAGATTATCTGGGCAACCTTTCATATGACAGCCTGTGCATTTTTCAATCTTTGCAAATGAAATTACGTCTTTTAAGATCACGTAACTCATATTAAAGATATAAATGGAGCCAGTTACCCAAAATTCTCATTTAATACACCAGTATGCATGGGAATGAAGTCCCATATAATAATAATAAATACTGGTATGTGTGTGAGACTCTGCAGACAGACCCTTCCTGGCACCCAGGAAATGTTGGGAATGTGAAGCCTACCTAAAACAGCCCTGACGTCATTACTAAGACCAGCTCTCCTGTTTTTAAAACTCTTTTTTGTTCGAGACCATGCAGACCTCTCTTTCACCCTTACAGTATGTATACACTGGACTACAGCCAAGTATAAACCAGCCGTGTATTCATGGGAAACAATTAACCTCATTTAAGGATTAGTAGTAAAAAAGTAAGATTAACACACGAGATTAACACAATAACAAAAGGGATTTGAAGTTCACATTGTGCACTAAAACTGCAAAGACTAGGAAAAAGTGTGAGGTTAGGTTCAGAAAGAGTTCACAAAGCGTGTGCTTAACAGAAGCTCTAGAAAGGCAGAGGGGATTATTCATCAATATCTTTTCACATGACAAATCCTACATCTTATAAGCAGACATTTTAATCTGAAAACGGCCAGAGACCAGCTCCCATTAGTATATACGGCACTACATATGTCAGACACTTCTCGCTGTCTACAGCAGACCAACAGAGGAGACAAATGATGACAGAAAATATGATTGATGTAGCAGCACAGTGTTTGTGCAGCTATTGTACAGATGGGTGATTGGTGGTAGTTTTGCATCATTTAATCAAGATACCCACAATGGGTCATCATGCATAATGTGCTGCTCCTCAGCTCAGCGCTTTCTACAAATTAGAGGCTGCAGATGTTACACGCAGCTGTCTTACTGCCCTCTGATGGCTGCTGGGATTCATCACAATCTCATTAAACTTGTAAACAGTTTGTTACTTAGCATAACCATAAGATAGTTGCTCTTGTCTTCAGCATATTTTTTTGGTTATGCAGATGGGATTAACTTTTATTCGTATAGAAATCTATTCCCATCACGGGCCAGAAAGAGGCTGGGGATGTAGATTTTCCTTACCTTCTGGCCCTCATTATCCACGCTGTCTTCAGCACGCGCAGCCACAGTTGACAGTAAGCAGAGGAGCCGCTGCAGGGTGTCACTGTGACAAGGAGGGAGCAGAAATACCAGAAGCTGGATGGCGTTCTCTTGGTCTGAGTTATCTAGCACTGTTAGAAAAAAGTAGATTGATTAAAAGTTTGACAAGAGCACAATGACTTAGGTCATGTACACACGTAGCCGTGTTTCTGCTAAAACGAATATAATTTTGTACGATTCGGCCTGTCATCCACATGAAGTCGCATGAATACGTCATTAAAAACTGTGGTTTTGGAAAACTCCGGCCAAAGTGAAGATTTTGGAAAACTCCGGTTTTGCGTTTGCGCGTTGACATAGATAATTTGAGTTTTAAACTCCCAAACGTCAACTAATAGATAAACGTCATATACTGTGCGCCCTTGCTTATGTCAGGCAGTGGACGGTACAGATATATACAGAATAGATATTTTTGTGAGGAGCAAAGGAAAAGGAGTGCTTTGCAGTCGTTATTCTACACCAAATAACCCTTCCTCCAACTTTATTGTGTGTTGTTGACTTTGTACTCCAAACGATGCTTAACAGCAATTTCACCTCTTTGTCAGTCCACATGAATGAACCACACAGCATTTTCATGAGAAAGGGGAGCTTGCTCTGATTTGGATAGAATGGATCTAACTTTTTGGCAAATTCTACAAACTCCAGGTCTGGCATGATTATAACCGCATTCAATAGCACACTTTTGGGTTTTTGTTATTTTCAAACAATGATGTGTGTGCGTGACATTTTTTTTTTAATGGAGGGGGTCGGATATTCATTTATAAAAATACCCAGCTACGTGTGTACAAGGCCTTTTTGTTGTTGTGTGGATGTGTGTTCGACTCACAGATGGTGTGAATGAAGGCTGTGTAGAGGTCTCTCGTAAGCAGAGGGTCAGGTATGTCTCTGAGGAATCCCTTCAGCAATGCAGCAACATCATGGACACTGTGCTCCTCATCCAACTGTACGTCCCAACCCTGATCAAACTCCTGACGAAGCTGGAAGAAGACTCAAAATGATTATTATGATCATCAGAAAAAACATGTTTCTCATATTTGATCAAATTTATTAAAGCACTGGGGGGTCTGTTAAATCACAGCATGCTGTAATTGTACCTGTCGCACTCTCCTCTTGGAACTTCCGATGCGGAAAATTCCCACTGTCTGTAGAGCTGAGAGAGGAAGAAGAGGCTCTTTCAGTGCAAATATTCAGCTTTATGAGACTTCAAATTGCAAAGACTCACACAATTTGATTAAACTGCATTTGTGATTGAATTATACATTTCCACATTTCCCGGGCATTTCTGCAGCCTCTACTGTCTTATTTACCGTATTTTTCCAGGTGCTGGCAGCAGAGATCCACCACCCTGGGCACCTGTCTGTAAATAGGGTTGAGGCTGAGTTTTTTGTCGTGTAGCTTCTTCCTGGTTCCGGCCCCCTCTGCTGGCAGAGAAAGCTGAAGGGCCTCCAACAGGCGAGACTGGTTATCATCGAGGTCTGTGATGCAATCCACAGATACTCCACCCTGTCCGGCAGATGTGTGAGAACAATGCAGTGACTGTTGTTAGTGCTGAAAGGCTCTGCAGTCCTGTTTCATCCAACCACTGACTTAATATCCTAAAAGGTCACAAACTCCCAGAGAAATCAAGTGTGAATGTGCAATCAGACATTTCCTGTTGCTTTACAGCATGCCAGGTTTAATCGACAGAACAGCCTACCCTCCTGCGTGTCCGTGGGGCTGTGTCTGGTGTGCTGGGCAGCGGTGATTCATTAGGAGTCTCAGAAGTGGAGCTGAGGGACGAGTTGCTGCTGGAGAGCTCCTTGTTGGCTCTTTTTAAGCTGGAGGTGAGTTGAAGGAAGGACAGCATCAATTCAGTGGGGTCGCTGTGCTCCTCCCGTGGGGGGTCGTGCCTCTGCTTGTGTGTGCGGTCGTTGGATATGACCTGAGACAGCGGTATGCCAAACGCCTGGGGCAAAGTCTCTGTGTGAGGGGGAAGGGTAAGACAGGGAGACTTAAAGTTCATCTTGTTGCTCCAAGTCAAATAGGAGATATTGAATATGATTTGTAAGTCTTGTTATGCATTTTGCCCTCTGGAACTCGTGTTTTCTTTCTTTCTCATTCTCTCTATTCAAACTTGAACTCTAAAATAAATGCCAATATCGAGTGCGCAACACACTCTGAAGTCCTCGCTCAATAATCAGAGTCAGGGAGCACATAGTTTCTGAAGTGCCTCTGTAAACAGATAAAGAAAAGAGGAAAGAGAGGGCTGGTCATGCCGGAGGATAGGCTGTAATGAATGAGCCTCCACTTAAGATTGTTTTTGTTATTTCTCTTGACTGCCTCTCTGACAGAGAACATCACTTTCCTGCTAGATTGTTGCAGCGGGCTGCAGAGGAAGATCGCGGCTCCCTCTGAGACTTCTTTACAGCTCTGTAGATTATGATCAGCCGATTCTTGAGTGTAAACAACTGAGAATGACTGCTTCACTGAGTCTACAGCTGTGGCCAAACCATATTTCTTGAAGAGTGCACAGAACGACAAAGCTTAAAGTTGAGCATAATCACTCGATCAAACTCTACCTTTGTCTTTACTCCTCTCTTTAGATAATGAGTCCAGCTTCCTCCTGAGTGACTTCTTATGCTTGTGGCCATCTAGAAAAAAAGGCAGAGAAATCTCTTAAAAATGTTTGACCTCAAAGCAAGAAAAAGTATGACGGAGAACTAGAGCCACATAAAGAAGATAAACAAATTAAGACTTTAGATTAATTTACGAGAATAAAGTAATTTTATCATTATTATTATTATTATTATTATTATTATTATTTTAACAAGGATAAAGCCGTAATAAAGAAATTACTTATGAGAATGAAGTCATTGCTAACGAGAATAATGGTGTAATACAGAAATTATTTATGAGAATGAAATCATTGCTAACGAGAATAAAGTCGTAATAAAGAAATTACTTGTTAGAATGAAGTCGTAGTAATCACCTACAAGAGAAAAGTCAGAATAATATCCTTATATTCTAACCTTATGTTGAGGATGACAGTTGTTAAAATGAGAGCCATGGAGCAGTTCGTGAAAATGTACTTCAATATAGGTTTCTCAAACAAGGAGATCTTTTGGCACATCAGCACCACACCATCATAACCCTTTAATGCCTTTTGTATCATATTTGATTTATACTTTTATATACTTCTATCAAATCAATATAATCAACAAATTACCAAAAAAAAACACCTGAATACAGTCCAATAAATGATAAAAAATGTCCTCTTGTAGTTTATCAGTTTCCAAAAACATCTAATGTATCAAACGAGATAAATAAATATATTTGTTAAATTTTAAGGACATTTTGATTTTTTTGGTTTTTGGTACTAAGTGAAATAAACATTTCGGCTCCAAAAAAAAGTGAATTTTCTGGCCATAATTTGTGGTGTCAGGCATTAAAGGGTTAAATATCATAATGATTTTATTAGGACTTTATTCTCATAAGAAATGATTTTAGTGAGAATTAATTCTTGCAAGTGATTACTTTATTATGACTTTACTCTCGTTAGTGAAGACTTAATTCTCATCTCGAAGTCTACATTTTTTTCTTAATGTGGCCCTAATACTCCAGCGTAAATAAGAACCAGTTTACGACTAAAATGATGAGAAAGGGGTTTTATGCATCTGGGGAAGAGGTAAGAACATTTCCTGCTTTTTTGCAGGTCTGCATATATTTAAAGTGACATTCAGGTACAAGCAAATCAACACTGAGTTATATGTTTATATTTGTGAGGTTGTGTAAGCGTGGGTGTTTTAGTACATTTAGGGATGCTGATGTGGCAGCCCAGGTCGCAATCCCTCAGCAATCGTCTGAAGGCCACATCCTGGAGGCGGACCCTCTCCAGCTCTGAAAGGCTTTGCAGGGGGACAGGCTTCAAGTCGACGCTGCGTCCCGACACGCTGTTCCAGGTGAAGTCGCCCTGAGGACGCACACAGACACACACACACACAGGTATTCACACAACACATCGGCTACATCTATCAATGCTGTCAATGCTTGCATTTACAACCAGTTACACGCTCTGCAGATCCTCAGTCTGCATGAACTGACGGACACTTTAGCTCCTCTTGTCGCCTAAAAACGGTGATATTATTAATCTTCAGCTGTTTCCCATGACCGACTCTGACAGCAAACACTGGAAAAAGAGACAAATCTGATCTGAATTTATACTTGAGAAACTGAGAGACTGTATCTCATTTTTAAGCATCAAAAGTATGGGTATAAATAATGCAAACATCACCACAGTCTCTAAATGAAAAACACCTCATTCTTATTCTGTGTATCCCTAATGCAATAAATCGCATGAGGCAGCACATAATTTGAGTGCATACCCCACTGATTTCTGAATAAGCTTTCTTGATACTTTATCAGTCACTCCTTTATAAGTAAACACCGCCTCTGAAAAGCTATTATTAAGTGTAAGTACTGTACTAATGATGAGGCAAACAATCTAGCTTGAAATCCTCAACCTCTGAGCATCTTTGTGCCAGAGATTACAGAGCTTTGATCCACTACAGTCAAGCCAGTCATATGAGTCATGTCCTAAAGAGGCTTAGTAACTCATTATCAGGATAAGGCTTATACTAAAGTGGCTCACCTCCATTAAAGGAGAATTAGGACTGTGTTACAGTAGCATACTAGTTTCTAGTACAAATAGAGTGTGACAAAGTACAGTAAGAAGAATGTGGCACGTCAGGCTTATTTCCTCTGGCTATGTGTTTCCTGTAGAAATGGTAGCTGGCATTCCCCTGTGCTCCATTCCTATTAGGGAATGACGTGTGGAATAATCAGGATTGGGAAAGCAGGTACAACAAACATAGAGATGACGCATTAGCAGCAGATGAATGTTATAAAAGGCAGCAACTGCATTTTCAAACAAGAAAATCAACGATTTACTGCTACTTTCATTCCATTTTAGATAATGTACTTTTAACTTTTACACGAGTAGATGAACAGACTGGTAGTTTCGCTTTTATTTGCATTAAATCTAATGAAGGTATCTGTTCTTCATAATAGTAGAATACTTCAATAGTACTCCTTCTGTCCCTGGATACTTTCCAGTCCAACTGATCCACTGATTTTTTTTTTTACCAAACTACAGCAGAGCTTTGACTTAATCTTATAGTAGGGGTGTTCTGATACAACTTTTACTTCTAAAATGATACTGATATTGTAGCCTTCAGTATTGGCCGATACCGATATTGATCTGATATTAGCACAAACTTAACACAAACAAGTTTTGCATTTAGTTGCAATGCCTGTTTCTGACTTAAACAAAAAATACTACCACATGGCCAACTTCACCCCTACTCCTTGCTACTTCATTAGTACCTTAGTACACACTGATGACGTGATCATGTTGGCTCTGCATACTGAATCTGGGCGCTGCTCGATAGAGGTGCCAGAGTGGAGTCTGGAATGGACTGCTTGTATTAGAGAATATTTTTGATGCAGGCAGATATAATCTGATATTCGTTTTTTTGTTGATATTGGACCGATAACCAATATGAATATCATATCGGGAAACCCAGATTTTGGCAATTTTGGGGGTCCTCATGCCAATCACAAAACAGTCTGTTGATTATTTAGAAAAGCTTCTTAGGTTTAAGACATATTTATCTCTTTGCAGCCTTTTATGTTATCATAGAGTTTCTCGTTGTATGCATATAAAGTACCAGGGAAAAGCAGAGGTCTGGTAGATGGTTGTACTGTGTTCAGTCACTCCCTTTTTGCCTCCAGTGTATTCTTTTGGGCACTGTAATAGATGATCAGGGGACAAATGAGCTGCAGCAAAATATAGTCATGTGTGTTTATCCACCAATCTTGTTCAGACATTCCTCTTGTGTGACTATATGGGAGTGGGAACACTCTCACTATCTGATACAAGGTTAAGCTGGGTTCCCACAGTTTATCTCAGTCATTGGTGAGACATCATTAGATTAAAGCGTTTTACCAATCTTACGCAATATCAAATATTTTAACGTAATATTCCTTTAGCAACGTCATTCATAATTTAAGGTTTGGATCAGTCATGTTCTAACATGATGTCTGAGTATGCAGTCAACTAGGTACAATACTAAAAACGCTTACAATTCATTCTTATATTGTGACAGACTTTAGAGGAACTTTTCTGTGATGCAAAATAACAAAGTCTCTTTTGAGCACTTTAATCATGAACCGATCAAACGTTTGCATTACTCAAATTAGACTATCAATTATTCTAACTCCCACAGTAGTGTGCTTTTTCCTGATGGCTCAGTGCTTTAGATTAAATGCTTGCGGAGCACAAAACTTCTGGTTTGTACTCTCTTGGATACAATGAAAGGAAACATGCTAGGTAGTTCAAACAATATAGAGAGATTGAAAGCTCAGATTACACCAATCAAACCCACTTGAACTAGATCCAGTGGGGTGATGAATATTTCCCAGCGCTCAGGAAACATCAGCGGCCCATTGTGGGGAGAATTTCCCATAAAAGCCCCTATACTCTCACTGTAAGTTTTGCCCTGTATCCAAGAAAGTGTGAGTCTGTTTAAAATGTAAATAGAAACAGAATGGGATAATTTGTCAAACACTGAGGGGTTTTAATGTAAATCTTACCTTTCTGATTTTATTTATGTCATTTAATCCTTAGTAAGGTGTTCATAAAGTCATTGCAAACATATGATCCTACACGTGTAAGTATACATTTGCAGCAGTGTTCACTTTATATGGGTGTCTTTCAAAACAAGACAAAACTAATGCAATCAATTACATTCTGCATTTCTTAAATCTGAAAAAAAAATGTGACCACAGGACCAAATATCTTAATCTTTTATAACTTAAAAGGCATATCATAGAAATGAAAGATCCCAACAGACTGAAAGGCGATCATGTATCAGGATGACATCACATCCATGTGATTTTATGACCTACATTTAATGGTCAGTACAGATGGCGGCCTAACATCCACTGTTGGGATTTGACACCAGCCCAGTGTTGGGCTCTTGGACCAAGGGCCAGTTTATCATCATCATATTATGATTTCACTCTATGGTTGGGATCAATGGATGGCCCAACAACAGGATCTAACATCAGCCAAACTTACGGATTTGACAGCAACCATAAATCAAATCTGAAGTCAGCCCCACATTGGGAGCTGATGTCAACTAAACTACAGTATAGAAGTCCAGCGCAATGCTAAGGTCTTACTTCAGAGAACAGGCCTATCATTGGGGTCTGGGGTTAATTAAAGATAGGCGCAGATGGAAGTCCGGATCTGAGGTAATCCCAGTATCAGAGCTGGAATTTTAGTTAATCCCTCGGTTCTGACTTGGGTTCCTTGTTAGGAAAAGACGCAACCCCTAACATCAGGATGTGATGACAGCAAGTTATCTTGATGTTCTGCTGCCAAATGTATGAATCCAACATTTAGCTACAACATCTACCAAAACATAGATCAGAGCTTTGGATCTGATGTCAGCACCACATCCTGATCCAAAGTCAGTCCAACATGGAGATCTTAACTCAGGCTATAGGAATGTGACATCAGCCTTATAATGACGGGATCTGGTCTCAGTCTCACATCAACACATGTTGACATGACTACATGACGTCACTTCTTCTCTTTCTTTATCTCTTTGACAGTTTCTACATCTATACCTCAATTTTTTTAGCAGTTTTGCATTGCTTTTTCAGCATTCAGCAATATCTTCATGCTTTTTCTGCAAGGATATGCAATTTTTCTGGTATTATTAATATAAGCCCAATGAGCACCAATTTTACATTTTACCATCTCTGGAAAATCACAAAATTACAGAAGGAGTTTGATTTGACCTCCAAACTTTGCCAACACTGGATTTGAACTTCATGTTAATTCAGCTTTGGGGTATGAGTTTAATCAGCCAAGTGTTAAGATTGAATGTTTATCCAACTTTGAGATTTAAAGTAATCTTAGCATTAGAATACGGGTTCAAATTGACTCCTGTGCAACGTTGGGATTTTGGAGTTGGAGTGTGTGATTCTGCATTGCTTTGTTTCATTCATGCTTGTCCATGCTGCTCAGAGTGATTAAGTACAGGATCCATTTAATCTAAGCACTCTAACAGCAAAGTACTCTTGTTTATATTTCTGGGTGATCACCAATTCAATCATTATATTCGAGGACTAAAATGACTATATGTGCTATTATGACGAGTCCCTCTGTTTAGAATGCAACATGAATATTCTGTCTGTCTGTCTCAGGCATAAAGGGTATGATTACAAAATGTGGCTAAAAGTTATTTTTTTTGTTATCTCTCTTCAAAACAAAAGAGTGAAGTCTTAAACTGAAGGGCTTAAACTGTAGGGCTAATAGCCTCTGTGACAGGATGGTGATGGGCACTTCACAAAATTTAGAAGAATAATCTGCTTCATACAAGATTAATGCACAAATCTCCCGTTTGGATGCTACCTACTGCCAGTCCTGCATCTTTGTCCCAATGATTAATGATCTCATTTTGTCACTGCGTTACTGCAACAGAATGATAAATGGCTAACTAAAAGGTTTCATAAGTTTCTGCAACTTGCGTGCTTTCTCAGAGAAACCAGAGCGAAGGGAGATTTATTCTCTAGCTGCGTGTCTGATCTGGCTGTTTTGTTACTTGTAAAGGAATTTTCCTAAAGACTCGGGCATTAAATCAAGTGAATGAAGATTTAATCACATATTGCAAAGGTTCCTTACATAATCATCATTTTTGAAGGACAAGTCTTTGTGCAGACAAGGTGGAAACAGAATCTGAAAAGTTTTTTTTTTTACATTCAAGATTTTATCGAAGAGGAAATTTTCCAATAAAGTTTTGATATCCCAAAGCTAGTCCAAGAAAATCCCAAAATGAAATGCAAAATCATTTTGAATGACTCCAACATGACCGTGACCCGTGCCAGACACTTCTGTGGATCAACGAAGAGATTCGCCACATTCATATCAAACATTGGGGTAGTCATGCCTGTTTCGTGATATCAAAAGCTGTTCAATACCACTGAAGATGAAGTCTAAAGCTTTGCAGATGAACCCTACAAACACAGGGTTTATAATTTTGCTTGGACTTCAATATGGCATGTCCCATCCAAATCAAGGGTCCAAAATGACATACTTCTCTAACACTTTCTTCCTGATTACTTTTCCTTGGATGAATATACGAAAGAGTTCATTGTGTTTTCAAGTTACCTCTTCATTCTATTCAATAACATTATAGAGTTGAATAATCAAGAAAATTGTGGAGGACTATATACAAAAACTCCAGCTCTGGAATATTATAACCCAGCTTGTTCATGTGACCTATGTGGCCATGCAGTAGTGCTTGAGATTAATGCTTTATCAGACTATAATTTACAGTCTGTGTTTACATCTACATCACTGTTTATTTGTCTTCTCATCAGACTCAAACTGGATGTCATGGGGCTGCAGTTTCAAGTCAGCAGGTCTAGCTCGATGCTTTGCAAATGGACGGTCTCCTGTGGGAAGAAATATGTGCCTGAGGGACTCAAGCCAAGGATCAGGTCATGCTGCTCAACTTCAAGAAATAAAAGTGGGGGCTCTTTTCATGTAAACCAGATGTCTCAGCTTACCATCTGAGTCCAGACAACTACACCTCCAGTACAGCCAGTGATCTGCAACCTAGCTCTAAAATGCAGCTCTGACACCCATTAAAGTGATCAGGAGGGTTCATTTTACAATGAGTCATCCTTTTGTGATCTTTTATGCACAGCAGCGAAAACAGCAAACAAATTAAAGGAGAGGATTTCTATTGATTCAAAGCTCATCATTAACCAGCCTTAGTGCGTTGTAACTTGTCTTTCCTTCCTGATGTGACCTTCACTCACTTAACCAGGTTAATAATACACACTGAATACTGTAAGTTTTACGAGAAGCCTTGGCTGCCTGAGTCACAGGACTTGGACTATAGTACTGCTCATAAAAGGAAAGTTTGTGGAGCTGGTGCTGTTATTGGGTTGAGGAATGACTTTGTGCAAAGGCAGAAAAAAAAAGTCAGCCTGAGTTCATTGATGTTTGTGTATCCAATAAATGTGACTTTCCTCACTGACTTGGAGTTAGGTTTGCTGACGGACGGTGTAACTGTGTGTCCTCAGGAAGGATCAAGCACCTCAGACATCAGCTCTACTGGCAGCAGTTTTTTTCTCTGTAGCCCTTTAAAGCTCTAAAATTGCAGTAGCAGAAATGTACAGTCTGCAAACACCTCAAAGGCTTTTGTGTATTTGGTAAATAAAATATATATATGAACTGTGGCTAATGAGGAAATCTGTTATACCTATGTTTTCTTATTGTGTCTATGGTTGTCATTTGGAGCAAAACTTTTTTTAACTGACAAAACAAAGTGTTAGCTGTTGTGCAGCTCTCTAACCATTTGCTGTTAGCAACACACAGGCACTCCCAAACATAATAAATCACATTGAATATCCTCTGTGACACAGAGCTGTTTTCAATATCAATCAAGTTCATCTGGATTTACTGTGATTACATTTCAAAGAGCTCTGGCTGTAGGAGCTGGCTTCTTGTTGTTGTTGTAACAGAGAGATCCCATTGCTGGTATTCATTACAAGCCTATTATAACGTCGTGTCTTTAACAAGTTTCCATTAAACTAAACAAACAGTGTTACCATGAGGACTAGTTATAGCACAGCAGTGCTGCTTGGCTAAGGATGACAGATGACCAACAGGAGAGATGCAAATGGCCGTGTAATGAATTTTTAATGCATTTTCCCTATTCTTTACACTAATTATCTGAACTTTATACGTGACACCTCCTCCAGGATACAACTATCCAAGAAGCTGCTGATGGAAAAATACATCAAATTATCTTAAATCCAGAGTTTAATTCTCATATTATAAAAGGAATACTTGATATGTAAGCAACACTGGAGAGAGACATCTTTTCTGAGGATGACTTGGCATGAAAATATTTGCAGTAAAGCCTAATGATGGTCCTGTTCAAAGGGCTTCACAAGGATTCACGATTGATTTTTTTTTTCCAACTGTTGTGAGTTATGAAGCTTTCTTTGTTCTACTTTCTTCAAGAACTACGTGTTTTTTTTATTATGAAACACTTACCATATGTGACACCAAACCCTTGCCAAATGTGACAAATGTTTCCAGTCACAGCTCTTTCAAAATAAAGTGCAAGTTTGAGCATGCAGCAGTTTCTACTGAGATCATTTCATCATGAAAACTTGGTTGAATCATAGATGGCGTACAGTGATGCAGCTATCAAACTATATAGAGCATGACTTGGTCACACGTGAAGTTAAACTGTTTGTCATGTTAGTCATAGACCTGGTGATGTTGCAATACAGAGGACTGGGACAACTTAGTTTCTTCATCCCTTAACAATCACAGAAAATAATAAGAAGTTGTGCACATAATATACAGGTAGAAAGTTTTAAAATGCTGAAATCTATGATCAGACAGTCTTATACAAGGAGATATCATCCTTCAGGAGATTTCAGCCACTTCTGTAGTATGAATGCTCTGTTTCCACAACTCTGTCTGTCTTGTTTTCTCACAGTTCTTGCCAGTAGTGATTGGTTCACTGTCCAAATAAGTCTGTACAGAAAATCAACCAACTCGTTTACTTTACAATGGCTACTCATCAAAACCATAACAACAACATCGCCTACAAACCCTTTAATCTCTCTGAGCACAGGCTCGGGTACGCCAGCCACTCTTATCTGACAACTTTTCTGATTCTTCTCAGTCACAGCAACAATCTCACTCACCTTATACGGCGTCTCTTCAACTTCTGCCCCATAATGTCCCATCAGCGCCGTATCCAAACTCCTCGTTTGCCTCAGCCTCCGCTTGGTAATGATTTTGGGGCTCAGCGAGCAGGAGAAAACACTGCTTAACAATCCCTGAGCGGACATATCTCTCATTTAAATGAACAACTTCTGCTTAAAAGTGCTGAAAAAGTGCGTCATGTCGCCACAATTTAAAGCGCAATGAAAAGGGACAACCTCACTAAAGAAGCAGCAGCAGTAGAAGTGGGTCCCACGCGCGTCACGATGATAGTATGAAATACGCGCGTCGAGTCCCTGGTCACCTCCCACATATCACTGCGGTCAAACCAGCCCTCATTACATTTTGCAGTGCGCGAGTAACAGAGGCATTACGGTTACAAACACTACAGACGGATTTGCGTATAAAACCTCGGTAACACTCTACAATAACCATAATTTATAAATGGTAAATACATAGTTTATTAATGTTAATCATCATTTAAAAACAGCAAATAGACCAATTATAAATTGCAAATAGATAGTTCATTTATGTAAGTTAAAAGTTACTTTACCATTAACAAGCAATTAAATTATGATTAATAATTTTCATTAATCATAAATGGACCATTTATTTAAGGTTTATATAGGGTTTAAATGTTGGTTGTAAAACATCTAGATTAAAATGTGTTAGTAGCACATTGTAAATGGTTAATATTTGGTTTTTAAACCATCTATAAACATTACTTAGATGGTTGTTGTAAAGTTAGGGTTAAGGTTAGGGTTAGGTCTTTTTAAAATTGTAAAATATACATTTTTTTTAATGGTCTATATGCAATTTCTAAATGACGATTAAACATTATTAAACTATCTGCTTACCATTTATAAGTTATGGTTATTGTAATTGTTACCAACCTTACTGCTACATTTGCAGCACTGACCAGTTACTGTAATAGGTTACATAACTTCAAAACAAACGTTACGAGTGTGACTTAAAGGAACTGTACACTGAATTAAGTTTCATATGAAAAAAAAAAAAGACTTGGTACAAATGTATATATAAGTATATCCCTGTATCCATTTGCCACCTGAAAATAAGAAATAATTTTGCTTTTGTTTACCTTCATGTCAACATAAAAGCAGGTCCTCTTCCATGGAGACTGCCATCTTGCATTGCTATTTTCTATGGTACCACAGAATGGACAAACCATTAACATGTCTTTTTGCATTTGCTGAGTAGCCACAGGAAATTTACCTGTATGGAGACAAAGAGAAGAGTGGTTGTTGGGCTGAGAGTGAAATTATTGATAGGTGTTTTTAACCCTAGAACACTATCGCCAGGTGATTTTCACCTGACCAGACATGTTTACGTGATTTTCTTTATGTTGCGTTTGTCTAAGTATCAATGGGTATCTGGGTAGCTTCAGCATTGCTTTTGACATCTTTGAAGGCAGACTTGCTTTTTCCTACAGGCATGTGTTGGGATGATTTTCACCCGGCAATAGTGATAGAGGGTAAAGAAGGTTTGGGTGGATTTGATAGCTGCATGTAGGGAATAAGGTCAGTAAGAGTGGTCCTAAAATTTGCATGCTATCTTTATTTAGTGCAGTGGTTATAAATAACTATCACAGAGTAGTGATTTTCAAGGGAATTCGAATGGTGATAAGAAATATTTTAGTCAGCTGGTCATTTTTACTCATTTTTGTTACTGTTTTACTCATTATTGTTATTGTGCCAAGGACCCTGAGCCTTCACCAGGGAAGACTTACATGCCCCAGGAATGGGTGGAAAAGAAACTAAGTTTACAGTTTCTATATATTTTTTTCTAAGGAATTTTATGTTCATGAATGCCTAATTTCAGTTATTTTTTGTTGCATTTTTAAATGGTCCCTTCATGGCACTTTTTTCCTCCCTTTGGACCTCGCACAGTTAAAAATTAAAAATAAAAAAAACTTTAATTTGTCATGTATTGTCCTATTTTGATATTTTGAATGACAAGTACTTTTACTTGGGTATATAATTTCGGGTAAAAATCACCCAGCGATAGTGATGGTGTTACTAATTTTAGCGATAGTGTTCTAGGGTTAATGGTAAAAACTTGACAAACCAAATGTAGCATGCATCTTGTCCTCAAAGGGAGCATTTCAATCTCTATAATGACTACAGACATTGCTGGATATTACCATTTCTGCACACTGTGCCACATTTTTTTAAAAGAAACCTTTGAGTTGGAAGAGAATATGCAGTTTCAGCACTAATGTTACTTCATATACAACACTTCTAAAGCTACGGTGCAAAGAGGAATTGGGGGTATTCTGGTTTAAAACTCGCATCTTTAACACTTGCTCAGTAGCAGCAGTTACAGACACCATGAAAACCTTTCCAGTTATTCCCAGTTTTATCTGAAATCAGTCTTAATTTCTGTCTGTTTCTTTACCAGGCAAAAGTTCCTCATAGATGTTTTTAAAACCCTGTCACTTGTGCCAGTTTTAGACATCCCTCACAGCCCCCTTCGCTGGACAGATGTTACCGAAATTCACAGGCCTTTCCTGACTGCGGTGCATTTTTTCCCCTCACTATAAGGCAGTCGAGATACTTGGCATGTGGTACCCTGGGAACAGGCTCTTCCTGTGGGAGCCCTGGGGAAAGGACCTGTGTGATAACATGACATGTGAACCAGCACTGTAAGGCTTCGATAAGGATTCATCAGATAGCAGGGTCCACCAAACAGACAGGGGAAGTGGTGATAAGAGAAGGCCTTTGCGTTTCATCCACTTATTTGGTGGTGGTAGTGAGGTTTGGAGTACGACTCCTGGCAGATTCTCATCAGACTTCCCGTCGTGTCATTCCTCAGTGGGGTGAGTGCGGCCCTGGGAGTGTACACCAGCAGAAACCTTGTTAAAGATGTCAGAATGAATGTTTTTCCCACTCATGCCATGTTCCTGGGCTTTTGGAGTAGCTCAGAAATTAATATATGCTTGGATAAATACACCCAATTAGAAAAGAAGCTTAGAAGATTATCATTATTTTGTTTTGTACAATGTAATTCATATTTATGCGCGCAAATGCAGATTTGACTTAATCAGCTGAACAGTTTTCGAGAGGCACTCCGCTCTATAGTGCCGAGTGATGAAGTAGGACAGTGATGAGCAGTTTGTGCAGCCTGCTGGCAGTGATGGCGTTAAGAATTCTGTCTCTCTGGAAACCTTGTAGGTTTCTGGGGATATATGTGGGAGGTAATTTTTCAGAGTGATTTATTGGGTCAATTCTCCAGTGCCATTATACAGTGAGGGGGATCTTAGATAAAAGCAAACCAGGCTCTGTTCCTGTATTTAGCTTTTCTTATGTAGGCTTTTACACACCGCTTAGACCTGTAGACAGATTATGATAGGCCAAATGCTTGTCCACATCAAACACGTAAATACATGTCTAAAAGAATGTAATTTTTTCATATCAACAATAATTTCTAAATTTAATACACTGAAGATTATTCACATCAGGTGTAATATGGATGAGTGGTAAAATTTTACAACTAAGATATTAGATGGGCCCTGATTTTGTGATTGACAAGCAGCAGATGATCTTATGAGTCAGCACGCCATAAGGCCAGAAAAAGTACTAAAGATTGGGCCACTAGATGGCAGTCGTTCACCTTCATTGCTTTTTGAGGTTTACATAAGGGAAGCAATATGCAATGACTTTCTCACTCAGGGAATTTACCTGGGTTGTTGGTATAATGACCAGACTAAGCTGCTTCTGAAACCCTGGGGCCAAAATGAATTGCCGAGCTCTGATTTTTAAAGCCCCATTCAACCCTCCACCAACAGCTGTGGAGTATTTCTATGAAAGAAAACTACAGCCACGGGTTTACTTTAAATGACTTTAATTTAATGGGAGTAAAACAATCCAGAGAACTTTTTTTTTTCATGCATCTAGGCTCTAACTTGAGTTGTTGCAAAAAGACAAAGCTTTAGAACCCGTGTATGCTGCAGGACTAACCCTGAAGCCCTTCACATATGAATGGTATCATGTTTTAGTGGTATATATAATCGCTCCATACACTCAAACAAAGTTGAAGTTAATTAAACGATGAGCCCATTCAGACCCCTGAGGATCTATCTGATGGTTACAATGAATGCTCTTTCTTGTTCAGGTTTAAGGAAAGAATGTCGATGCAATCCAGGGCTATAGCAAAAAAATTCAAATTTCAGCTTCTACTATAGCTCTAGTTTGCACCAAAGAAAAACACAATTAAGAAGTATTATTCAGCAATGTTGAAACATAACTCTCTAACTTATCCAATAGATACTAAACATTTAACTCTATTTCAACAAAATAAAAATAAAAAATATAAGTTGATTAATTATAAAATGCTCTCTTTAAAATTATGGCACTTGCCGTGTTAGGGTCGCTGATGACATACCAACAAAGAAAGGCCCAGAGGCCCACAACAAAAAATATTATAAGCAATATTTTCATGGATGATGAAGCCTAACAAGGTAACCTAGAAATGAGAACCAAATTGGATGGTACAGAATTGTTTTTAGTGTAATTTACAGCTGATTTAAGATATGGGTCAAAACCGACCCTTAACATGGCGGTTGTGTAGTAAAAGCTAACACAGGAGAAAGGTTAATCAAACTAATCAGCTGCTGAAATATCCTAAAAAGACCTTGTTTGTGTATTGATTTAATCTGTGGCCCCTACTGAGCATAGTTAACTCAAGAGTCTTGAAGTTAAATTGAAGTGTAGCTAAGAGCCAAAGGCAGGTTCTGCTTGTGTAATGAGCTGCCTCCATCATACGTAACACACTGCATTATCAGTCTAACTGAGCTTAGCCTTGATTGGATGCAGTGCCTCTTCTCTGTCACTTGTCTGTGCTGGTGTGCCGTAGAGCACAGACCTGGTACAGACAGCCAGCGGCATGCTAGTGTTATAAACCTTTAATTGTACACATTAAAAAAGGAATCTGTCCTTGTGGGCCTGCAAAAGAGAATGAAACAGCACCTTTGGAAGTGTTGCATATGCCATTCTGTTTATGACACCTATCTCTCTGCCATTAGTCTGCAGATATTGAGAAACAACAATAAGCTGTAATGTAAATGGCTTGGTTCTGTCATAAATGGCAGCTACATGGGAGGAATTTTAAAACATTCCTTGTGTAGGCGAGACATTTTCTGATTGCATCATATCGCTGTATGTCCCCTTTTCCTTATTTAACATCTCAGCAAAATGGTAAGGTTTGCTTTAACACAGCAGAAATGCCATATTTTAACTCTGTGAGTCATCGCAGACACCCCATCATTTCCAGGAGACTGCACAGTCTGAGAATCAAACGTGTACAGCTCATGTGTGCCAGCCCACTTGAGTCTTTTGACTACTGAGATGTTGAGACAAAATGCTACCTTCATATCCCTTCATTAGAGTGCAGCTTTATCAGATTGATTCTCACTATCATTACTCCGATTACCATCTCTTACATTTGATAGCACACCATCTCTACAGTGAAGGGGAAAATGGGAGTAATGGTAAGAGGAAAATGCAATCTGGATGTCAGATAAGCACTTGATTAACCACTTACAGAAGCAGTCTGTGCGTCAGGGCTGGGCCATGCCGTCTCACATTTCCACTCAGCCTGATCCTTCAAACATTACTGGCCACAAGGTATTGATTTTTCATTCTTCTGAATATCCCTTTGCCGTTAATAGAATTTACACCAGACTATCAATGTTTCAAGGAGGCCTCCCCTCCCCTTGCAGTGCTGCCTGGATCTTCTAACCCACAAAGAGGGTTCACTTCAGCCTGCTGGCCATTAGCTTCAGTTTGTGTGTGTCGACCTCAGAGAGAAGACATGGAGATGGACAGTACAGGCAAAAATGAAATTTGTGTTGGTGCCAGTTTGGACCAAAAACCAGAACAACAAAGGTGAGTCTGAGGCTGCACCATGTGTTTTTAAGATATAAACCTGATTGGCAACTGTAAGGTTTTGTGTTGAGCAATTTAGTTGTTTAGTATTGGAGCGTGCGCCCCACCCATCTGCGTTATATCATCAAGATATTGGCAAATCCGATCAGTGATTGGATCAGAATAGATAGCAGCAACTTCTACTTTCAAGAACTTGTATGAAACAATTGTTTTTCAATAAGCTAAATTTAAGAAACAACACTGTAAGTATAAAACAATACATTTTTAAGCATGTTTTAAAAACCAATTTATACTTGTGTTAACGGACAACCAGAATCCTTGATGACTGTCCATTCTGCTTATGCAAAACCCCAATTATCTTTCACATGGTCAGGTCAATAATTATCATACTCCATAGCATTACAAGTGATGCGTGTTCTCACAGATGCATCCTGATAGGCTTGGAGCTCAGCCTGCAGCGGCGCAGTGCTTCTGATTCAAGCAGCAACGCCGGCTTGGTGACCTTAGCAGCTTTCCATGGGCACATTGATTTTTCTCCCACATTACAGATAATTGCTGGATGCTGCAAATCCTATCCTCCCAGGCCAGCAGGGAGGAGCTTCTGTAGTGTGTTGACACGAGAGTAGCTATCTGATTTGAGGAATGTGATATCCTGGGATCTCATTGACTGCCATCGACTTCTGTGTACTTCCTGTCTATGGCATAAGTGTATTTACGGGTTTATTAGGACAGTTGTTGGTTTTTGCCTGTTGGGCTTGTTGGTGCTCTACTTTTACTGACAATTAATTGTGGCCCAGAAAAAGTAATGAGGAAAGATACACTGAAAAAGCAGTTTCATGAAGTAGTGCACTTTGATGCTAATATTTGATTTAAACAGCAAGAGGACCTCCCAGGCTTAAACGAGAGCAATTGCTTTTTCTTACTTTGTTAATTGGTTTCTCATTTGTTAAATTAATCATGATTAACGACCTATTTAGCATTATTCTGTGATGGCAAAAAAAAGATAATTATACCAGCACAGATTTGTAGCCAAATAGTATAAACCACATTATGAAAATAAATGCAGTCAATGGCTTCTACAAATACTCCCTTAACCTGAAGTGAGGGCCAAACAGCGGCTCTTATTATATTAATTTGTGTTTTCTTGTTATGCATGGAGCAACTCTCATCATTTTATGCAAATGAGTGCATCTCCTGTTTGTTCTGCTCCATAAAGTAATGAAAAAGTAGCTTCCTTCTTATTATGTGAGGCGCAAATCTGCTCTGAAGGACTCAAAACATGATAGCGGATGTTGCAGCACCCTTTGCTCTCTCTTTATCCACTGGTAATTTGCTATTGTTTAAAATTGAGGTTTAAAAAAGTCATAAATGTTGATTGCTGTCTCATAATCTGTCAGAGTTATTTGCTAAGGAGCATGCAGCTTCTCATTGTTCCGCAGAAACAAATAAGCAATCCCCCCACGCACAGTGAGCAGCACATTAAATCAGATGACTCTCAGAACACACACAGCCTATCATCACGCCATTAAATCATCTCTGTTGTGACCCCGAGACAACACGCTAAACGTGATCCTGAGTCGTGTACACTGCGCAGGGTTATTGCACTCTGAACAGCCTCGCTCTAAGTGATGTGCCCTGTGTGTCACGGAAAAAACAGGCCACTGATGCAGCGCACTGTGGCCCAGGGGCGGGTGTCAGGCCACATGATTGGATGGATTCATGTGCAGTATTTATCTCACAGAAAGGTCTGCTTTTGTCTGCTTTAACCTCATGCAGCTCTCCATTGTGGCCATATGGCCCTGCACAGTTACTGTACGTGTAAAGAGAAGAGAAAGAGATACAGCGTGCTACATTGCTACACCGAAACCGTTGCAGGATTTTGAAAATACAAGAAGAAATGTTGTCAGTGTGAGACTCTCTGTTCGAACGGCGTTGTTTTACAGAACACTCAACTTTCACTTCTCATAGCCTGCTGTGTGTATATGGCCTGAGATGTGTTATGCAAGCACTTCTATTTGCTTGCAGAGGCAAAGACACGTGCCTCAGTTCATAACTAATGGAAGACTTTGTATGCCATTCATGCATGAGAGAGTCTGCATGGCATAATCCAGCGTGAACTATCATGATGTTAAAGTGCGACGCTTCATGAGGGATGCTTAAAAATTCCCTAAAATGTGGACTTTATGAATATGTTGAATACGCTGAGTGACAAGCTGCATAACTTAACAAAAGGTAGGTACAACACTCAACGTCACTAATCAAAAAATAAAGAGATACCTGATGTCATCCAGCAACATATAGGTTAAATTTTAATTCTCTGGTTTATATAGGATTTAGGTTTGGCTCTGTTAAGGGTGACAGTTGGCAAGCAGATAGTGATAGAGGTTGGATTATGGTAGAAGCTTAATTTTTAAGCTCTCATGGATGATAAAACACATGCCATTTCCAAATGCCTCTCACAGGGATCAGATTAATATTTCAGATACCGCAATTTGGTTGTGTGCTGCAATGTTGTAAATGATACCATCAAAATAACACTCACACTTTAACTCCACCTATAAACAATCAAACTGAGTTGGGATGAAACTTGTCTCAGGTGAGCTTCACCCAAACAGAGCATGATTTTCACGACTGCTGCGCCCATTGAAGCAGCCTGCTGTACCAGCACAGCAACTCATTGGAGTCCAGCTGTTCGGCATTGATCCCTCCATGTTTTCTGATGCACTGGCCCGGAATGTGATGTTGTTTCATTACCGAGGCAGAAGTGACAGGGTCGGTCCCCTCCTCCCCCAGGGCACAGGCCACTCACTTGGGCAGGGGCACTGTATGTAATCATAACTGCACCGGCTTAGTCAGGCAAGTTCAGTTGCCTATGGAGAGCCCAAATCAAGCACGGAGGAAGTTTGGAGGAAGGAGGTGAGACGGGCGCGCACATCAGTGAGAGAGTTTTGAAAGGCCTGGACAGGAAAAACCAAAAAACAAGCACCGCATTAAAGACTTGTCATCAGCTATGGACCCAGACGACAACGAACTCGGCATCTTCACTGTCATTCAGTGAGTAGAGTGCTGTGCTTTCTTTATTATTCAGTCAGAGCTGATTACTCATATATCTCTGAGTGCACCACTGGTAGTTATTTTACAAAGAGTTTTGATTGTAAGGGGCAACTATATGTGTGGAGATAGAAAGAAAAACAGTTGAGTTTTTCAGTCCTGCCCTAAATTGATTAAGTTGAAAGAAAAATATGATTCATTTAGTTATGGCATTTGAAACACAAAGAACTGATTTTGTAAGTGTTGGGTACATTAAACAAACAGATGACTAAAGGCCACAGATTACTCACGTACTGTCTGTTCCTCAGGCAAAAACAAGGGTTTCCACAAAGGTTCAAAGAATTGTTGTTTTAGATTTTACTTTATGTATCTTGTACCTGAGTGACAGTAAACAGGCTGAAACCAGTGTGAGGCTAAAAACAGTGTGAGGTAAAGCAGTGATTTTAAAACCTCAGTGTTGCATGGCTATAGATTATGTCACAGGTGGTGGACAGAATACAATAACGAGAGCAGTGCATTTCCCTCTTGGATTTGAAGTTTCACAGCTGTATTTGAACACTATGTAAGTTGTTAGTTCTTATAAGCATTCAATTTATATTTACCATTTTAAGTGTCAAGTTATTGTGCAGGCTGAATCACTGTGCTGAGGCTACCATGTGGCTAGCTGCTGCAACTTTTATCTTCAACTCAAAGCTCTAACCGGAATGATATTGTCTGTGTCAGTGCGGAAGGTGCACTGTGTATGTATAATTGTATTAAGTGCTTGGTGAGGCCTGAAAAAGCTCAACATGGTGACATGGACTTGTCTTTGTCTAACTGAGCTTTACATGATGTAGCCTAACACATCTTCAGTGCGTATACAGCCAATGGTGCAAGCTCAGTGCATGAATATGCTGCAAGTCTACTACAGGGTTATTCAAGATACCAGTTGTGTGACAAAGGCCGGTGCCCTGGTATTGCATTAAATCCCAAATCAAGCTAGAGGTAGATTAGCTAGACGTTTACCAAGTTAGCAGTAAGCTAATAAATTTCTTTAGTGAAAAGAAGAGTGGTTTGAAGAATAACCCTGCAGATTTTTTATCTGCAGAGTTATCTTAAACATCAAAGTTGTGTTTTTATTTCAAAAACCATTTATAAATTGCTGCAAACATTAAGCTCTTTGAACTGCATTAAGCTTGTAGGTATGCTTCAGTATCCAGGACGATCGGACATTCTGGGACTTTCAAGGGGTACCAGGGCTTCCTACCAGCTGCCAGTGCCCCTAACTATCCTTTTAATATTTCATAATCTCTTGGGTGTTCATACATTTCCCATGGTGCGCATTGCAATGTTTGCGCCCTTGTCTGGTTTTGCTAAGGAGTATTAGCAAATTAAAAGAAACTCACAAGTCTGCAGAGTTAGATAAACAGGTGGAATCCGAACAAAAAGATGACTACAATGATGGCCTGGCTTTCTGAAGTACAGGAACTTTTATCCAACTCAAAGAACTGTGGTAAGCAACAATAACTCATGAAGAAGCTGAATGCTGAGGCTATAGGAAGCTATAGCTATAGGAAGTCAGCTATCCTTTACAGATGGGTCTTGAGTTCAACATAATAGATACTACAGATCAGTAGTATCAAACACACAATGTAACATGTTATCTGAGTGTTAACTAAAACACTATCCAGTGTTTTTTATACTTGTAAAAAAGTAAATTCAGAATATTCCACATCAGTGGCAGCCATCTTGATTGTTTGTAAAAATGCCTTAACAGCTCCCTTTCACAGATAGGCAGTCATGATTAGCCCTATTTACACCAGGATGGGTGGAAATCTGTCCATGCAGGAGGACAACAGCTGCTTCTGCCAGAACAAATAAAACATGCAGCACACAGATTGCTTCTGGTTTGCAGGCTAAACATGTTGTTGCTAGACTGCTGAACATCCATGAAGTATCTTGGCTGTATCCTGCTAGCTGAGAACTGGGAGAGGCCAGCACAGTTACTGACCAGGATTTAAGCAGATGTTGAGGATGAATAGCCTGACAGTGACCCACACGAGCATGTGTTGTAACCCCAATAAAAACCAGGCACGCAGAGCTGTATGTGTAGAGCATTTTTAACAATACTGCCTTTATTTTGTGCCATTCACTCCCTCCAAAACAAGCTACAGCCTCCTACTTTCACTTTGAATTTTATCAGCAGATGTATCCATCTTGCCAAATCTTTTCAAAGCGTAGCATAACTGTGCCAGGTAACACTTCACTTCTTATCCCAATTAGTCACACCCCTGAATATTCATGGTAAAACTGCATTCGGATCTTTAAACTCACAACTTAATGCTGTTTAATTCACTGAGTAAGTCAGTTGTGGTCAGGGTGCAATATGTGCCACACTGAATGAAAACTGGGGAACTTAAGATACCGAGGTGGCTCATAGTTAGCTGTAAGCAGGCAGACACAGACAACACAAAGCACTGCAGATAAGAGGGTTGTGTGTTGTTGTTTTTCTGAGGGGAGTTCACTGTGGTGCTCTCTGACACACATCTGGTTGAGGTCCAGGGGCCATTAATGCTAAGTTGGGATCAGAGGGCGGTAAAAGCTACAAAGTCACATCACTCCACTGCACACTGCTGTCTATAATGCTGCTCAAGCTGCACTACAACACTTTGGATGAAAACATTCTCAGGACATTTCATGATTAAATCCATTGTTTTGATGCTTTTTAGCTTAATGCATTTATGCCTGTGCTATCTAGCATGGTTAGCAATTTATGCAAAGGGGTTATGCTTAAAGGCAAGCAACGTGATCCAAAAGCAGGGCTTGCAAAATTCGAGCACTGCTGGGTTTTAAGTGGCCAAGTGTGCCAGAATGAGTGAAATCAGCTGTTTTAAAAGGGGACGGAGAGAGCAAAGAGTTAGGGATCAGCGGGGCAGCAGGGTTTTATCGGTCAAAGCTTCTGCCGTAGTCTCCTTAGATCTCACTCCTGTTTGACCCTAATATCCTGTGCCACTCGTGTTGGCCTCTGGGCCGAAAGCCCACATGGACAAACATAACTGTCCAGAATACGCTGAGTCTCTCAATCCTCCCTCCACGGGACTCCATGGCTGCATTTAAAGCAATTTGTCAGACATGTTCTCTTTGCTCATCAGCGCATCCTCAATGTCTGGTGTGTGCTCCACAAAAAAACAGACGGCCTGTTCCCTCAGAGATGTATCATCAGCTGAAACTGTTGTTTTCACAATGTGGTTAGCATAATGACTCACTCCTTTTTTAAACAATTTTTCCTCTGGGATTTGGAGGCAAATCTTAAATCTGTCAGGGGGAATCGGTAGCTTCACCTTTTTATCCATCTCGTTGCATCCTTTCTGCAGCAGCAAACAGGCCTGAGCCTGAGTGGAAGTGACAACATTCTTTATTGCATGTATCACTCTCAGCAAAGGCACATTGACTCACCCTGCAGAGCCTTATAAGTTGTGGCATTTTAATATAGGATGGCTGCTACTCTGCTACGGTAGCAATAACAAATGGTAGCTCGAAACTCCTCAGCTTGGCTAGTATTCGGTGCATTTGTATTTATTTACCCATTAGCAGCTGACATTTTTATTGATTAGAGCATTTACTATTCTGTCAAAGTCCAAGCTGAGATTTACAGTGAATATAACAAGGTATCTCCTTTCACCTATGAAGTTTTACTATTGGGACTAGGCCAAAGTATTCTAGATATTTTACTGATATTGACTTTTTAAGCTTTATTTATCGGGGAAGATAAATAGCTGCATCCAAACTCACACTTCATAAAGAGTAGGTGCCTCTTTTATCAAATACATGTAAGGCTAGCTTTATCTGGCTGTGGATTCCTGTAGGCACATCACAGATCAGGATAAATTGTCTACTCTACTGTGGGAAGTTCCTTTTAACGAAACTGTCTGGGCCACAGGAAGAAATATCAAACCTCCTCGGATCAGAGGCGAGGCTGATTGCCTCTTGGGAAGTTTTCAGCAGGGTTGCTTCATCTGTGTGGTGTTTGATTTATGATTCTTCCTATTAAGGGAATAGACACAGATATGTTAGGATTGGATGGGTTGTGGTGCAGCTGGAGTCATTTGAATCTTAATCAGTTTAGGATCTACTTTATTGGCACCTCAAGTCCCAAACACAGTGTAATTCACTGTTAGTATAAATCACATAAGAGGCAGATATGAAAAAAATCTATAGAGATGTTTTTCAATCAAATATATACCAGAAAGAAAAACAGACTTGAAGCATCTGTTAATATGCAGCAGGCGACTTGAGGCGCGATGAATCACATAATGTGAGAACAAACAGAGGAGCATCTTCTCATCTTCTCCCTTTGGGCGCCGATTAATCACACAAACCCTCGTCTTTTTATCTGCTTTTATTGCGCACAAGGTGATCTAACAGCGCTGATCTTTGGTGTCCATTAGCTCAGAGTTGTGGTGGGATTTTTTTCTTTTTTTTTTCTTTCAAATGTGGAGTCACCTCTCATGAATGGCCTCATTGAGCGTGAGCACAAAGCAGCTGAACTCTTTTATAAAGGTTGGAGAAGAATGCAGTGTACAGTAGGGGCATCCTAATGTGCAGCTGCTTGGAGGCACAAACCTCAGCTGGGGCGAGGGCACATTAGGTCCTCCTGTCTGTCCAGCTGCTCCCACGGCTCCTCTTAGCTTTCACATTATGAGCCCATCATGCAGTGTGCCTCTGACATACCTCCACCCCCCCTTCCCCAATCCTTTTCCAACCTCTCCCTGCTGTCTGCAAACCCACCTCATGGTTGATGATTGATGAGGTTAGCCTTTGGGGAATTCTTGGAAGCTTGGGCTGCATCCCTCTGTAGTAATTCTTTTGGCTCTTCATACACACAAACACACACACACATATACACACAAACACTCACACAACATCCTCTCACATTCCTCTCTCCTCCACTCTCATCTCCCACCGCCACCCCTGTCCCTCCCTCCCTCTCTCTTTCTCTCTCTCTCCTCTCTGCCCCTGGCTCCGGCTCTCTCTGCCTCCCTCCAAAGCTGTTGTTACTGCGCGGCTCCCGCACATCATTCCACCGCGATGGAAATTAAATGAAGGTGGCTTAACGCAGCAAACACAGGCATGTAACCAAGGGGGAGAAGCTGCTCTGCCAGATCCTTTTCCACGGGGCTGTGGATTTGCGCTGCCGAGGCGAGGACACAGCAATCACTCAGCCATGCAGAAGCACAGACAACAGGACTAATCTCTCCACCTGACTTGTGGAGGCTCCACTTTTTTCCTGAATTATTTATTCCTCGCTGCCAAAGAGTGTTGGGACAATGGAGCCAGAGTGAAGTAGATGGTAGATTTGTAGCTTTGACTGCAGTCTGCAGCACACATGGATGTGTTCAGCTTTGTGAAGATGCCAAAGCTGCCAGGGTGAGTCCGACGGATGCTGCTGTGTGTTTGCCTATCTCTGTATGTTTCTCATGTAGGTGGTGTTTCATGTGTTCATAGAGACACATTTCAGAGTGGCACTGGTATCACATGTTGATCATAAATGCTGAGTTATTGATGGCTCAAGGGAGCAAGTTGTGCAGTCATGTATGATGGGAAATGAATGGGCGAGTGAGGGAGATGGGAGTGGGGGTGGATGCAAGAGCTGTTGCGGTTCATGTAAACTGTCTGCATATAAGTTCATAAATTCCTTATACAGCTGACAGCAGACATGCTTGTTGCGTTTTGTATTTTGTGATGTAATGGAGCTGTACATGTTATGAAATTCTGCAAGAATCCACTGGATTTGCCTCAGGCTGTAAATCATATCAACTAAAGGATCCATGGGCGGTGATTTGTTCATTTACAGTAGAGTTTTAAGTCGTTATTAAACATTACATTTTGTCAGAGTAATGTTAAATCCAAATGAAGACTTCAGTATGAACAGTCTGATTTAATATAACCCATTAAAAATCAGTGGGTATTTAATATCAAATTAATATACCTTTGACGGGAGCAGAAGAATTGACACTTAAATTTGGCTGATTTACAATCAAATAACAATGAAAGAGATAAGGAACCAGACTGTTTAATAGCCTTTTCATTTCCATTCTTGACATCTCCTCGGAGAGGATTTTAGTTAAAGTGAATAAAAGTAGAAGACAAAGTGATAGAGAGTACTTAAAGTGAACGTAAAAATGCTACTTCCCAGGAATTTATTCATTTCCAGGGCAAACTCCTCACCTTATGCTCCCATGGGTCTGCTAGATTGAGTTGATCTGCCCCAGTGGAAAGTAATCCTCCAAGAGGATTTAGCTTCATCAGGAATACCACAGACCAGTGGTGGTGGGAACAGCTGATCAAAAGAAGAAATCATTAAATTAGACACTGTTAGTGACACATAAATGCACATTTGGTACATTTTATTCAACTTACCTGTAAACAGCTGACCGAAGTGGCATTTGTTTAATAGTTAGGATAATTAATCTCAGTTTTTACTGTAACGTTAAAACCTGACTTGGCAGTATTCAGCTTTTTCTGCTGGATGAGAATGACAGCTTCTTTTAAAAGTACACAGGTAGAAAGGATTTCTCATCAGATGAGAGGACCCTTGTTTTCTACTTAGTATCCCTCCATGGCAGCAATTCTAATGCGTCTCCCAGTGGACCCCCAACGTCACTGCATCCTGTCACTGTTGATAACACCACACACTGCTCTCCCTGATTATGAGCTACCACTGCTACACAGGCTTTTTTTGTGTATGTGCGTTCTCCTACTAAGCTGCCAACAGGAATTTAAGTCAGCAGGATGCTGTTTTGCCAAGGTTGATGTTACACTTTACAGAGAGACCCACAGTTTGTGTTGTAGAGATGAACAAGAAAGGGAGTGATTTCTTTCATTGTCCCGTTCTCCTGCCTCGCTGCGCCCCCGGATGTGTCTACTGTAGGGAAATGAATGCATCTTTTGGCTTTCATTTTCAGCACTCTTTGATGTGTTTCAGTCTAACAAGAATTTCTGGGAGGTGGATTTTTTTCCACTTTTTTTTACTTTTTAACCTATACCAACTTTGTTTTCTTGAATCAAAAAAAGAATTTTGAGCTTTTTAAGCTGCTGTTTTTTTTAAGCTTTTCTTGTTGAACTTTGGTTTTACTTACCCTAAAGTGCTGCAACTCTCCTGCATGTGTTTGTCAGTTATTGTGGGTATAACATGCACGGATCTCAAAGCATTTATGGAGAATGATTCAATAATAATGCAAAGACGGCCTGACTCAATATGGTTGAAAAACTGTGGGCTTGTGTAGGCGATTTCTAGGCCTCCTTGCAATGCATAAATTAGAGAAGGTCTATTATTTGTCTTTAGATCCAACTATTTTTAGTCTTCCTTATATAACAGTTTTGCTCATTTAATGCATTAGTGAAAATGATTATTCCCGATGGTGAGAATTTTCCTCACAGATGAGCACACAGTTCCTCATGCCGGACAGTGAGATAGTGAGAAATCACTGGTCCAGACACAGATTGATTTGCCTAAATATTCATCAGAGTACACCAAGTGCAAAAGATCTGTCATTCCTTAGCTGTTCCCATCACAAGCTGTTGGGGAGGAGTGGATCAGAAATGGCTCCGGGTCAGAAGCGGGAGCCAGCTGGCTTGTGGACGAGGTCTCGGGCAACCATTTGTTTTGTTCTGTCCTTTGGAGCTTTTAGCATAAAAGCAGCGCATAGCACAATGAAGTGAAGGAGAATGTCAAGTTGAGTGCCCATGGATTTAGTTCATTTACTATATTTGGTTAATGTTTCACATCAGGCTATGTGGAGCGGAGCAGGCCTCGGGAAAAAGTAGCCACAATGAAATCCGGATGAAAATCTGAAAACGCGACATCTGCTTTAAAAATGATAAATTCAGTGTCAGATGGAGAGAAGATATAAAGCTGGTTTAAAGAGAAAAATCTGATACATTTTCTGTGTTCAGACTATCCAGATATCAGCTCTGTTGTGAGATAAATGAAGCCAAGCCTGTGTGCTAGTCCAGGCAGGGAACTTGAGCTGCATTGACATCATATGTGATCACCTGATCACCTGACAAAACATATCCTTGCAATTTGGTGTCTTTTTAAGCAACAGGATATTGCCATTACTGCCATGTATAAGTGCTGTATTTACATTTCAGCCCCATCACTACCCTAGCATCCATCTGCAGGCTCAAACTAGAGGGTTAAAGATCTTGGCTGTTGCTTGTCTGCATGTTTAAGTTGAGCTGCAATAAGTGCTGAGGTGGGAGCCTACTTACAAACAATCCTCTGCTGCTGCAGTTAACTGGTCAAAGGATAAATGTGAGTTGTCTGACTGAATTGTGTTTTGTTGTTAAACAGGTAAACCAGAGGCAGGGGGCTGTGAGGATCACTTACTGCTTATAGAATAGCAGCAGGACCATAGTGGGTGGGCTGTTTCCCAGATGCAGTATCATTCCCACCCAGAAGAGATTAACTAACCAAAAAACCTTTCTATATAGAGGCAGCAGAGAGCTGCTAGGATGGTGCGGTTGCCCATGGCAACAATATCAGTGCTTCCAAAGACAAACACAGAAATGCAATATTCAGCTGGAATAATGGGGGAAAATAGACTCTCTTATTCTGAAGTGATTGTTATTGTGCTGAGCATTTCAAAGGGAGAGTGCATAATGAATTAAATTCAAGTCACCCAGGCTGATTGATTGGGCTGTCTTGATTTCTTTCTGTGTTGTTTGCTGCATATAGAAGTGTTTTTTTGTTTGATATCAGGAAAACATAATGTTTTTCTTTCTGGTGTCAGAAAATAAAATGTTAGTGCTAAAAAATCGGGCATATATAAGTCATAGAGCGGCTGAGAAAGCAGTCTGAAAGTGAGAAATTAAGTGTCACCTCATGCGCAGCAACATTTCCTTGATTTTTTTTTTTCCAACAGATTTAGAGTCAGAAGAGGAAAATGTATTTAAGCACCTCGACATTCTTCATCTCAATTTTTGCACTTATATTTACATCTTTATGCCAGTACACAGAAGCTCTCAGCTTAAACGGCCTTGTGTCTGAACATTTGGAGTGACATAGAAGTGGGATCAAAAACCTAGTATATTGATTACTTCTGAGTACTTCTGACTGATATATTTGGTGCACAGTATAAAAAGCAGGTTGTAGGATTTTCTTCTGTACCACTGTATTGAACCAGGGATTAGAGCCAAGGTGGTGGTTGGAGAAGTCAAGCAGAGGGCAGATGATTTCTGAAACAAAAGGATTAAACAGGATGGAGGCAGAGTAAAAACCAGTTAAGAAATAAGGCCTCTAATCAGAGCGGTTCCTGTCTGTCTGAGCCACTTCTCCACTGCGCTTCATTCCCAGCCTCCTCCCGGGAGGTGGACATCTCATCTGCTGTCTCTCCGCAGATTTCATATCCAAACAGAATCGCATTAGCCGTCTAGCTCTGCATAAATATCTCTGTTTAATTCAAGAGTGCGGAGAAAGCAGCATCACAGCCTCTTCAATATGTAAGTTGTACTTAAAACACCTCAGTCCCCGTCTAACACAGAGAGGGGAAACAACACCTCTTATTTTTTTTTAATCTGATATGTAGGGTGGCTTATGTTCAGGGATTCAGAGGAAGGGATGATTCTAAAAATGACAGATGACATTGTTTTGAAAACAAGAGCTCAAAAAGCCTGGCTTGTAACCCACCCTGCATGGTTTGTGTTGTTTCATGTGTCCCTGTATGCCGACGACCCTCTCCTTCAGTCATCAGGTTGAGGTGGTGAAGAGGGGTGTGAAGTCCAGAGTGATTTCCTGCAAAGACAGAAATTTATTTATGATTTAATTAAATATCCTTATATTTTTGTATTTATGTTTTCAAATCAGTACAGTTGCCTCACTTTTGGGGATATGAAATCATACACATAATAAACTAAGACTGTTTGAGAAGTCTTTCAGCAGAGTTGGAGCAACTTTAAATGCTGACATGATAATATTATACAACTGTTATGGATATTTTTTCAATTGTAAAGTATCACAACAACATTACAACACTTCAAACTTCTAAACTTTAATCCTTAAAGACTCAAAATAACATTAGTCTAAATCACATTTTTAAGGAATGAATTTCATTAATTAATGACATGCATGAATGAATTTCTCATTTGGAATAAATAAAGTTCTTGTATTGTATTGTCCATTTAAATGATAAGGACACCAGAAGCAGCTTGCAACAACACAGTTCTGCCACACTTTCAAAAAACAAGCAGCCAACAAGAGTTTAGGATTTTAAGTTAACATCTGGGGTGGCCAATCAAATTTCAAGGGGAGCCTATTCCACCTATGACCACCCAACTGGACCTGCCTCTTACCTTCATTGCTAATTGCATGGACAGTGGACACAATTAAGTCCTAAAATTGTATTTTTTAAATCATTATTATCATTATTATTTTTAAACAAAAAATGTCCAGTTTAGTCTACAAATAAGGGCAGCTCAGAAAGGTTGTGGTGTTTAAATACTTCTTCTGAGAACAAAGTCACATTCAAAGCTGACAGTCAAATCACCCTTTCCAAATGTCAACAACACCTCTTCTTCTTTCAAGTGCAGGTCCACACAGGTCAGTATAACTCGCTTTCTGTAGGTGCGTCACTGAATCCATCGTCACTGTTAACGTAACAGTCTGGTATTGTGCTCTGAGCAGCTTACACCTCAACCCCCTGAACAAAATCATCATATTAGGCAGTAAAATCATTGGACTGGACCTGCAGCTTTGAGCAGCATCTACAGCAATATGACTAAAAAAGAAAGACTACAAATAGACACCTCACACAACCTCTTCAACCACAACGTAGATACAGATCTCTTTCATTGAGACAAAACAGGCCATTTTCAGTTTTGTGCCAACTTCCATTAGACTCATTAGCAGATAGTATGAGTACTTGACCCACTTCCAAAGCTATGATTTATTTTCTTAACTGTTCTTAACTGATATATTTGAGCGTTTTTTTTTTTTTGTTTTTTTTAACAGCTGACCTTTAATATTTCTTTTTTTAAGGTACACATTTATGCTGTCTGCATTTAACATGTGCCTGTCAACTCTTGTGTTGTATTTGTACCAATTACGCAAACGGGGTTCCGGATATATAAACACTTAAGTGCAACATAACAAATGCCCAACGCACACTGTAGATGTAGTGTATAATTGAGAAAATGCACATTTCTTTTTTCACTTTTTTTTTTTATAATGCAACAACCCCATTTCCTGGAAAAAATGATAAATAAAGGACTTTTGATTACATTTAAATCCATTTTCAATTATAGACCCAATCCTAACAATTACTGGTAAGTTAGAATACCAAGGCATGCAATAAATAGAAAACAAAACACACAACAAACCCCAAACCACTTCATCTAACCTTATAAAGTGAATTTAAAGTAATTTTCAATAATAAAGTTCACTGACCTTTGCAAGCTGCTGCACTCTGTCCCACTATACATGCTGGGAAATACTGAACAACCAATAAAATTAAGCTTGTTTCCCTAAAGGCTCAACTATGATTCTTCTAAAAATGAAAAATGGATAAAACCGTAACTACCCTAATATATATACAGTATATGCATCCTTTATGTCATGACGGACATCAAATAACCCATCCACTTGAGGGCGCTCAAACAAACGACATGCATACAACACAACTTCTCCTCCTGCTTTACAAAGAACATTTAATTCCTGTCTGATCTCTCTCTGGCTCTTTTTTGGGGGGTGATTTGTACCCGTGCCCAGCTGAGGTAACATTGTGTTAACACAACAGTTTCTAACAATCTTCAATAATCTTGTCCCAAAAACAGTTCCATCATCTTCCAGTGGATTCTGTCACAGTACCACTGGGAATCTTCCCAATGATTCCCAGTGGTACTGCAAGGTTTAATTCACATTCCTTTGCCTCCTGAAAATGCTGACCTAACAAACTGGAGGCTCTGTTTGTATCTGTATGCATATCAGACATGGACCTTACATATTACTCCAACTTTGCTGCCATGATTGCTGATGCAAACACTTCTAAGACGAGAAAACCGTCAGAGACCCTCATGAAAAATACACACTTCTTTAATTCTCAGTGGGCTTAACGGCAGGAATGTGGCACCACACTGCGGTTTCATATAGCTGACCCTCATGGAGACTTTCTGTGTAAATAATTCAGCCAACTTAAGTATCTGCGCTGGGATGTCCTCTTCTTCGCTGAGTGTGGCTTGTCTATAATGCAGAGTTACTCACTGCATTTACAGGACTTCGGCCTTCACAGAACACCATAATGCTTCTGATGAGCCAGGCTGTATTCAGAGAGACGAGAGGGAAAGTGAGCGGCTGTGATAAAGCAATGATCACAATGTTCATGCAGTTTTTATGAAGGACTGAAAAGCGATCTTTTAACCTAATCTCTCAGACAATTGAACTAATATCTCCCAAAATGAAGACAATGTGGAAATCTGGCTGTGACACTTCCCCTTACAATTTTAATTAAGGTATCAGGAAAGATGCAGAAAATAAATGTTTGTTTAGATCACATGGTTTTCAGATTTGTATGGTGTAAGTTGTTGTGGCAGACTCTCCTACCATTGTTGGTATTCAGTTTTATAAACTTTGAGTAATTTTTTCTACTCCTTTTGTAGATATCATATTGAAGATATGATACTTTTTCCTTTCCTCAGCCCAGAAATCCACAGAGACCCAAAAAAGTCTCCATGCCTTTCATACTTTCAGTCCAATTTGTCCTCAGAGAAATCCTTTGAGAATTCACTTGCAGCTTTGTGTCCTAATTGTCCTCGCTCTGACTCTTGGGTAACCTGTTCATGAATTGTGTAGCGTGGCTTGCCCACTTGGCGCTCGATTACTTAGTCCAATGTGACTGTGCAAGGCATCATTTATTAATGTAAGCTGTGGAAGATCAGTTTCACTGTCCACCAGCGGCTCAACCTTTCCAGCCTCTCTGTATGCCGGAGTGCTTCAGAGGCATAATGCAGCTCCCGCCTGCAGACAAAAGAAATCAGAGATCACATTATCGTTGACTGTGCTGTTGATACAGAGACTCTGTGACCGAGAGACAATGGGAAATGGATTTTGGGGAACTATTTGACAGATCAGAGACATATTTTGAAGTTAAAGCGTCTGAGTCTGTAAGTATAAAAAGCTTCATTATGATGCAAATCTTCATAGGAGTGCTGAACATATCTTTGCTGAAGGTGTTTTCCTGCATAAAAGGCAACCACCAAGAAATTTGACTTTCAGGCAAAGTTTCCTCGGTCTTTTATGCGTAATATCTCTTGACTTATTTGGGTAATCCCGCGACATCAAACACTGCTCATGTTAACATGGGTGTTAGTTTTATCCCAGAGGCTGAAATGGAGTGCACAAGTAGGACTCATCAATGGGGTGAACACGGCTCCAGCAGTGTCAGACAGTATCCAGTTGTGTCCACACACATCATTTGAGCTGCAGGAAATGTGTTCTAAATATACTCCATGGAGGCCAGCTCCCAGCTAATGTACTGCAGGTCAAATAAATCCATATCCATGTGGAAACACTAATATCCCCCAAACACACCAGCCTATTGAGAGGGGAAACACATTGCTTCCTGTGCCTAGCCTCAAAAACAGCATTTTTAGCTGCTGTGCATTTTATTTGATGAATTAAATATGATTTAATGCTTCCAGTAGCACTCAAGTTTTTTTTATTTTTTTTTTCTTCTTTTTTTTTTTTGGTTAGATGAGGTGAATATGCATCAGCTTAGGTTGCATTATTTTGCAGCCATGTGCCTAGCCTTTCTCTCAGCGTATACATTGTGATGATAAGTTTGCAATATTTTATTAATGTCTCATGAATCGACACGTGGGCCAACACACACACACACATACACACACTAACATACACACACTCTCAGGACGATGCAAGCACACACAGCGCACAGTTTATTATCATCGGTACAGTAACTGGGGAAACATTTAGAGAGAAAGAAAGAGGAGCTTTGAATAATGAATGCGAAGAGCCCTGTTACACTGCAGACAAGCCTTTGAAGTGACATAACTTACTGCCACCGCTTTCATAGCATCACCATCGCGCAGACACAAAGACAGAGATAAAGGGAAGAGAGGAAAGGGGGACGCAGACAAAGAGACAGATGAAACATTTTTTAAGCAATTACTGTTCTGATGAATTCCTGCACCTTCCTAACTTTCCAGTTGTGAAGGGAAAGTCTAAACCTAATTGAGCTTTTTTTGTCAAAACACACAAAAATCAGCTGAAGTTAAGATTTCGTATAATAGACTGGGATTATTGTGTTGTGAATGGTGGTTTTAGCTGATTGATAAACTTTATCAAATCGTCTTGGCATTGAGCAAATCAAATGAGCGCTTTATAGGGAGATTCCTCTGGGCTCCTTGTTTAAAGAATGTGCTGACATCTTGAAATAAAACCAATTTCATGCCTCTCAAAGCACAAGAGTGAGGCATGACAACTCCGCCTGTGTGTCAAGCTTATGTAATTAATTTGATTTGTATTCACTGAGTGAACTGTAGCTACGGGACATTGTTTATCACGCAGGGATATCTCGTCACTTGAGTGGACTTGCTTCATATCAATCAGCGAAGCTTTTATTTCTATTATGTTTTAAATGCCTCTGTGACAAAAATCATTTTGAAATTCTCTGAAGATAAGATAAGTCTTTTATAATAATTTTGCAGCTTGTAGTAGTTTTAAATGAAAGCGGTTATTAAGATATAAAAAGCAAGCTTTTTTTTCTTTTTTCTCTGAAGCCACAGGACCAAATCCTCAGGCTGGCCGCCCCCTTCAGGGACCTGGAGCTCGTCACAGGGACCCCCCAATGGCTGGGACATGGGCACCAATAGAGAGGGGCGTGACTGTTACATCAAGTAAGTGCCCTGTGTTTAAAGAAAAACAGAGGGGGACGCTTTTTCTTCATCCCAGATGTTTCAGACGCTTTGCCAACCTGTGATTATTCCAGCCACGTCACTGCCTCCACACTGTCTCCATCTGTGCGTTCAGAATACTGATTGTCTGTTCCCTCCACCACTGCTGCTGCTGCTGCTGCTGCTGCGCACACTCTGCCCCTGCTCTCTCTCTCTCTCTCCCTCTCTCTCTCTCATTTCACTCTCACACACCCACAGCACTCCTCATGCAGTCTCCCAAATGCAGAAGAGGGCTTCTGGGAGAGTGTGTGTGCTGCAGCTGATGAGAGAGATCCACCTGTGTTTGGATGTGTGAGTGTGTCTGTGTGTGTGTGTGTGAGTCCTCAGAGGATGAGAGGTGACAATGTTAGCGGCGTAATTGATCTGTTGTAATTGGCACTTCTGGATATCTGCGCAGGCAAGTAGAAGAAACTCTCTCTTTATACTGTACGTTTGTCTGCACATGTTCTGATGTAACAAGTGAGTGTTTTCTGTCGATTTGGCTCTGATTTCCTTTATTTTTCACACCTGAGATGTGCAGTATGCCATCACACTGTATCTGAAAATATTGCTGCAGTTACAAACTCTGTAAACATCACATCAGACTGCTGTTGCTGTAGATTATTTGTTCAGTATTACTCTGTCTTCCATTTGATTTTCATTGCAGCAGAACAGAGTGCACAGTCGTTCTTTTTTTCAGTGTACTGAATGCATGACTGAACAATATGTGTATATTTGCATGGGAATAGGAGGTGAGCACTTGTCACACATGGGTTATAGCATGAGAAGCGTGATGTCAGAGGAGTTATATAAGAAGTAAGGAGCAGTGAAAGTGCTGGATGCAGAGTGTGCCTGGATGAGGCAGATCACGGAGGCTGTTTTGGCTCGAGCTCCAGCTTTCTAAATTTGACAAAGACTCGTGAACAATCGAACGTCCGCTCCTCTGACTGTTCACGGCCATCTGAGTTGCTCAAGGCTTCAGGGGGCTTTTACCAAATTGTCGTATTTCTCAAAGGAACACATGTCTAGTCGGCGTGACAGGAGCGCATGAATAAAGCAGGAGCCATTTAATATTTACAGTGTGACACAAGGTTTTTAACAGAGATGTAATGCACTAGGGACTGCTGGGAAGATATTCTGGAGAGCAGAGTAGATCTATATCAATGTGGAGGAGACGAGCAGTGAATTTCTACTTAAGTCTGAGCAGGGGAAGGATGAATAAGAGCAAACTCTTTTTAAAGTAAAACTAAAGTCACAAAGATGTCACAGCAAATATGAAAATTGTACCCATTAGTAATAGAATAAAACATTTACAGCACTTGAAAGACAAAGTCTGATTCAGATTCAAATAGGTTTTAGGTTCACAAAAAATCACAGCAGGAGTGACACAGCAAAAATATGGCAAGACAAACTGGCCGTGGTTGCATAATTTAACCAAAACACTATGTTCCACACTGTAGGACAAATATAACCGCCTCGGCAGTACCAACAAATAGTAAGCCATATCAAAGCAGGATAAGAGTAATAGGATACTGCTTTTGCTAATGAGCTTAGTCCACTTTGTCCAAAATGTGTTTTATGAAAACAGAGCCACAGTCAGTCCACCATTTCTTTCCTCTCATCTTGTTAACTGTAGAGCTCAAAGAGCAGCGTCTGATTGTCGTATAGAGGGTTATGGAGCTACAGTAGCAGCTAATGAGTATGATTAGGGACCATTAGATGCATGGCTGTCTGCACAATGGGAAAGCAGCCATGTTTAGCAGGTGGCCGTGGAAGGGAGGAGACAGCACTCTTCCTGAATGCAAAGGTCCATATGGTTTTGATTGTGCACAATCTGTTTGGTAATGACATTTTAGATACAAAGCTAACATGCAAAACTGAACCGATTTCTTCTGAGATGTTCACTTTGCAGTAATTGTTGCCATCAGGCCAATATGCTTGTGTGGTGAATTAGAATGAAACAAATTCAGTGACAAAAGTGGATACAAAAGGATTCTGTGGATTATGTGTAAAAGAAACTGGACACTAAAACAAGACAAATATAGGATTAAGGCTTTTTGACTCTTGTGTATGGAGGCTTGAGTGTGCCACTAAAAAAATACTGGTACTGAGCAGTAGACAGGAATTTCTATCATTGAAGTGGCCTAAATAGAGCACCTACTTACTGTTTGTGTGACGCACAACGACGTATGCGCACAGAAATTGGAATAGCATTGATTCATAATTGTGGTGCCAATCAATTTGGGGGTATGTCCTTTTCTTTACAGACCATACTATTGGAAATCCTTTGATTTGTATTACTCCGATATTATCACACATATAACCTATGTTTTTAAATATCACTTCTGGTAATTCAAATACTTGTTGCTTGTAACTTTGATGACTGATTGTCGATAAAGCACTTGTTTAAGCACTGGACATCATGTTAAAAAGTATCCCAACAGGTGCTGGTTTAGACTCCCACCTTCAGTCATCCTCCACTCTCTCTTCCTTATTTCCAACTCTATCCACTGTCCTCTCCTTTCAAAGCATTAAAGGCCCAAAAGTTAATCTGTAAAATAACAGAAATCCTTAAGCTCAAGCTTATCCATGGATATGGTGGTAACATTATAGGATCTGGACTAGAGAGTCAACTAGCGCTCAGTTTTTATGTATTCATTGAGTCCTTAAGTGTTGATAGCATTTCCTATCCCTAAATCTTTTATGCAGTCCCATTCCAACACATCTTATAAAACTTTCATGACAGAGAAATAACAAATGCCGCCTTGTTATTTTTTTCAGCTCAACGATAATGGAATTTACTGAATAAAACAACAATGTAAATTATAAGTTATTTGAATTTATTTGGCACAAACAACTTCTCTGACTTCGGTATTGAATAAGTTTTCGCCTTAGATGACCCCAGGTCCAGACAGTGCAACCCACTCACCTCATTATTTTTAATTCTACCTCTCTAGTTACAACAAGCTCTGCGCCGACCTTGTCAATCTGCCCGCCCATACTACTGTTCATCTCCATCGCTGCTCATTTAACACACTTTGAAATGGATAGCTCAAAAAAATGGCCAAAGGACTATAGATCTTTAAAAGTATATTTTAAAGATGTCCGCTGTTTCTGATTGAGGCAGTCTTACAGTTTGTGATGTTGTAGATCCAAGAGTTGCATTATTAAGATATTGTTTTGTTAAACAAATCCAGCAGCCATGTTGTTGTTCCTCTCTTTTGTTGTACAGAAATGAAACTGCTTCACACACATTAGATGAATTATTTTATCAAGCATGTAAAGCATCCCCACTTTTTTTCTAAATCTGTGGTACTCCACAGTATATTTGTTTGTGAATTTTCAACCTTTTTATCCCCAAACATTGCACAGAACAGGATGAACAGAATATACTCAGTAAAAGCGGCTTCACTGCATTCCTCTGGAGCAGAATCTGTATTCAGGAGAGAGCTGGTGCTGTTTTTATCTTCTGATTACACCTTCATGCAGATGTGTAACCAATCTAACTAATGGCAGACCCGGGGCTTTGTTGTTTTTAATAGAAACAAAGAGGATAATATTCTGATTGCATACACACATATTGTGGTCTCTGAATAAGACAAATTATATAAGCGTGTGTTATTGTTTGTATTGAATCAGCAGCATATTACTATTGAGGCATTTATTTAATTACCATAACAACGAGATCAGCAGTTGCCAGCTGATCAAGCACACAATGACAATATTCCTTTAACACAAATACACATGAGAATAAAAGCTTTTCTCTCAGTGTTTTCTCTTATGTTTAAATTAAAAGCAACTTGTTAGCGGTAACCATGTTTTATTGTTCGAGGAGTATCAGTTTTCCTCCTTCTTGCTCTTTGACAGAAGCACAGCGAGCAAAACAAGTGCGTGGGAGGAGAGGGAAGAGCGTCGTCTTTGTAATGGGAAGCAGTCAGATTTTTGCATTTGGACTGTATTTTGAGAAAACCTTCAAAATATGCCTCAGCAACAGCTTTTCAAATTGAAGACGATACCAGCTCTCAAAAGTGTTGTTTTCATCTTTAGTTGTTTAAACCATCTATTCATAATTGTAGCTCCTTTCACACCAGCGTCTTTCATGAAACTCAGCTAAAAAAGAAAAGTCTGTGACTTGGATTTTAAAGAAGAGAGAGGACCTTTTTGGTTCATGCTAGTGTTTCTTTAAAGGGGTGTAGAAAATTCAGTTTAATAAGATCCGTTTTTGAAGTATTTATCATTTGATGAGTCCTTTTCTGTGGTTTCCTCATACTTTTAATGAATCCTCTCAGTGCTTTAAACTATGTACCTTCTAAACTTCAGTCTTTTACATCTGTGTAAGATTTGTCTATTAAAGCTCCAGTGATTTTTTTTTTTGGGGGGGGTAACCACCATGACGGAAACAGAATGTATTCAGTTTTTTTGGTGTTTTTATGACAAAATTATTTATCTTTTCTTATTTTCATTGCCAGCCTTGAAAATCAAAATGAATCTTTGGCTTTTGACAAAAACTAATTCAGCTGTGTGCTCTTCATGACACCATTCCAGGCACTTTTAATTACAGTGTAGTCTGTTCTTGTTTGCTCTAGTAGGTCATGTAGAGGAATCAATATTTACTCCAGACTGTTTTATTTCTGGTTAAAAAAAAAAAAACTCCCCATAAGGCCTTTAAATTCATTAAGAAAATCATGAAAATAGAGGGTTTAGGGAAGCAGCAGGAATCTACAGGCCCTTCCATCAAGCAGAAATAATTATTTTCAGAGTTGTCTTGAAACCTCTGTGGGCTTTGAGTGTTTTTGCGGGCAAAATTGAGCCAAAAGTTGCATTTAGTAAGCTCAACAAATTAAGTGTTCTCATTAGCAAGGCTGCAGTTCAGTAAATCAGATATTATTTCACTGGCTTTACCTCAGTCCAAAAGAGTTTGAAAATTGAAGTCATCTTTGTACTAAAATCAAAGTAAGATCTTACTGGCTAGTTCTCACTCCCAGCAGTCTGCTCCACTCTGAGGCTTTCTGCTGTGGACGTCTTAACCCCACTCCAAACAATCGAGGCTGTTTTACAAGATTTGGTGAATCAATAAAGACTTGAGAGTTAACACATCGTCTGTCTTTGTTGGTCTTATCTTTTCCTTCAGGTTGGAGCTTAACATTTTGTTAAAATATGTACAGGCTCTTCTAAATTCTTGTTGAATCAGAGCGATACAAAGGCGAGGTTCACTTCTAGTTCAGGACTGAGGCAGCTTGGAAAAAGAAACAAAAGCTGGAGGAAAAGAGCCCTATATAATCATTTCTTCCCAGTCCTGTCATCATTCATTGCATCTGTTTAGCAGCTGTATTTTACATTCAGACGACAGATCACATGATTTTTTTTTCTCCTTTTAGCTCTGAGAAAGAATTGTTGAATCCTCCTCCGACATATCAGTTGACTGTCACTTAGCTTTAAACATCTTGTTTTTTTCAGAGCATTGGGCCTGCGATTGACAGATCTCACTGTGTCTTTGTGCCACGAAGGATAAATTGTTAGTATTTAGTGTTGAACAGTACATGTGTCAGGAGTAACTGTGAATTACACACTGTCTGCCCACGGCTTTAATTAACCAACATTGTTGGCACCATACGGAGCTGCTGCTGCTTCTGCTTTTGCAGCCAGAGAGAGGAGCACTGTAAAAACTCTGATCACAGAATGTGTTAAAGCTACATGCAGCTTGTTTACAGCTTTGGAGCTCGAAAAGATTCAGAAAAAAAAGGGGGCATTGATCGAGTTGTAAATGGTTCACAGCAGAGTCTTACAACCAGCTTTTGATTGCAGGACGCTCTCAAATTTTAGAAAAGCAAAACTCAGGCAGGCACAGGTTTGTCAAAGACTCAACACGCCACATTATACCTGCCTAGAATTTTTATCAGTGTGCCAAAGCAACACATGACAATATGAGTACTACAGGAAACTGTAAACTGCTCCTTTGCAGAGCACACAGAGAATTTCTGCAGTGGTAGGATAGTACAAACATTGGAGCTTGATTATTATCGCCCACATGTTCTATTTTTGCAGCGCAGTACCAGTCCTTATTTCAAAATAACGCTTGAAATCATATCTTTTACCATGGAGTAAGACACCAGGTAAACAGAAGCTGTATAGGCAGCAATCAGGATTATTGTTGTGCCTTTTGTTTAGACTTTCACTCCACATACGAAACTTTACACTGTCATTGCTTCTAAGATCTTACTTTCAGCTCAGCATCAAGCACAGAGCAGAGCTGTGATCTTCTTATTGTTTTAATTTGGCTTTAATCCTCCAAATCAAAAAATCATTTGGTCTTTTTGATATTACACATGCAAGTGCCTTGATTTCTGGGTTCAAAATGACGGGTTTGTTTGATTTGATGCTACAGAATAGGTATCTTTTACCACCCTATCCACAACAGAGGATGCAATGATGATCAAAGCTAGTAGATGTCTAGAGTCAGTGTTTTTATACTCATAATGCTCATTGGAGTTTCCCAGGAAAAGAGGAAGTTGAAAGTATATATATATGTGTATATGATAAAAGACACTAGCTGTGATCATAGCAGACAGACAAAAGCAGCAAATCTCCACAATGAAGAGCTGCAGCTCAGGGAGTTCATCTAGTTGCTGTGCAGTTTGTTGTCAGTATTCTTATCTGTGATACTTTAACTTTGGCTGAATTTTGGGGAAATTCATAAATATTTAATCACAAATCCTTTGACATGAGAGCTTTCACTTGAAATACAGAAATACTGAGGGATATGTCGTTTCAATTATTAACATGAACTTACATTTGTCCTTCAGCCACGTCTCCCAGAGCAGCTCCCTGGAGGAGGTTCGCCTGGACGGGGACAAGTTTGTGCCACCAGCGCCCCGTAAGGTGGAGATGAGACGGGACCCAGTGCTTGGCTTTGGATTTGTGGCAGGCAGTGAGAAACCTGTTGTGGTCCGTTCAGTCACACCAGGTAAAGAGCCCTCAGCTGAGCACTGAGCTCTCATACAACGGTGACTCATTCGATCTATGGCCATTATCAACACATTCCCCAAAGGAGATGTAATCCTGCTAAAATGTAGCGAGTAAGGAGAGATGAAAACCCACTCAGGCCGCAGTTTACGTCGATGAGTCATTGATTTTAACAGCACTCGATGAGTAAGCATTCATTAAAGCCTTTAGCCATTAGACAGGAGTCAAGAAACTCCAAGAAAAATGGCATGACTGCGCACCGTTTGTAGCACTTAACCGGTGTTTGGTGTGCGTTTGCAGGGGGTCCGTCTGAGGGGAAGCTGATCCCGGGAGACGAGATCATCATGATTAATGATGAGCCAGTCAGCTCAGCTCCCAGGGAGAGGGTCATCGACCTTGTCAGGTATGACAACACACTAAGGTGAGATGCCATTTACCTGCTGCTACTCCTGTTGTTTGTAATTACTCGGTGTCAATTTTTCATTCTCCTTAAAAGGGCTGGAAGTATTGTTACCTAATGGCACTGAGTCACAGATCGCAGATTTAACTTTGGATATTTTGGCTCTAATGAACAGAAAAGACTGACTGTCACAGCATGGATAAATCCTGATAAACTCTCTTTTAAAATACAATTTACATACAAATGAAATTTTTTTTTGCTTGGGTATAATAGTCAGTTGTACTCTTGTGATATAGTTTTGTATTGTATACCTAAAAAAGTCTAAATTTTATCAAAGACACACCTTATTTAAACAACAAAAGTTACACTTGAGTTGACCGTCCAGCATGTACTCTGGTGCTTTGTAGAGACAAACTGATTAATGGGGCTCATTAATCGTATTTTTACATTATCAGCATCATATCAACATCAGCCCTCACTAGGCCGATATCACCATTATAATTTTTTTTTAGGAAATACTTGTTTTTCCTATCGCCAAGTTACAGTATAAATCAAATCTAAAAACAGTTACTGGTTTGTGTTTTAATATAGATTTTGTTACAATGTGTAGAAAAAAATTTTCAGACCACTGGACAGAAATCCAGAAGTCCCTTGTGGTGATATATTTTCATGAGCCAAATATTTTCTATCTACATTTATTTAATCAAATATCTGCCCAGTATTTTTTTTTTATCATTATTATTATCTATTGATATTACAAAATCATTGTTAGAAAAAAAAAAGTGATATTTGCATTATTTATCAGCCATCAGGTAACCTGCTCCTTTATACTCAATATCAGCATCGGCCACTAATAAACTGTAAAATCCTGTGATTATGAATACAACTGCATGTGTAAAAATGTTTAAATCTATGTCACTGTTCTACTGACATATTTAATGGTATTAAGAAAGACAATCTTTAATATTTAATAATTCAGGTATTTTGCCTTAGAAGGTGGAGAGTTGTCTAAAATACATGAACTGTATCTCTTTGGATGCCCTTTGTGGACATACATTCAGACATATAATTTACTTAGTTTTTCTGTGACAGCAACTAAATATCAAGAAGTAACCTCTGGTGTTGGAAAATGAGTCCAATGCAGAAGTGCAAACAACTCGGGTACTTTCACTGGCTGACTAATACTTAACTTTCCATCCAGAGTTAGAACATAGTGGACTGAGTAAGAGTGTTATGTTTGTGTTTTATTTTGAAATGAACCTTTCCCCCCTTTTCATACATGAACCGTTATTGTGTTCACCTGCTCCATTCGCTGTGATTTATCTGTATGCTGCTGTTGGTGTGTCTTCATGCGTCACATTAGATTAATACTGGTGACAGAGCTGAGTGACTGGCAGTGATCTGGTCCTTGTGTGACCTGTGCTGCTGTCTCTAAACAGTCATTAGTACAGGGGAAAGTGGTCCGGCTACCTTGAATGGTCTCTGTGTCTGCTCTGTGTTCCTCCTGTCTAACATAATGTCCAGACAACAACAAAATCTAACCGCGTTATTTATCTAGTTTCTTTCATCAGTGATAGATCCTTTATCAGGTGTGTTTTTCTTTTCTGTGTTTTGCAGGAGCTGCAAAGAGTCCATATTGTTGACTGTTGTTCAGCCATACCCAGTAAGTCTCTTCACCCTTTATGAATGAATAAAAGACGCTCAAATAGGATGCTTGTATGTTTGAAGGGGATTATTTTGTTGACTCCACGAAAGCAAGTCATTAATCACGCCATATGTTTGTGCTGGCAAAGTATCAGTAATGCCTTAGCTGAGTGTTCGAGTCCCAATAACTCAAAGGGAGTTCATGCTGCAGTCTGTCCAAGTCGTTTCATGTTGTGGCGTCACAGCCTCGCAGGACCTCGCATGAACCCGCCATCGACATTTAGAGTCATGGCACATCAGATGGTGATGAACACAAAGTGCCAAGAGCCCATGTTTGCCCTTTGTTCACAGTTCATATACCAATCTAGCTAAAATATAATTATGTCTGAACTCCCTCCTAGCACAGACCGAATCATTTCTGCCTTCTCAAAGACTCACTGTTTCTTGAGCAGCAGGAAACTCATTATCAGATCTCATCCTTGAAAAAAAAGTATTCACTTAAATTCTTTAATTCATCTATTAATCCTGCATTTAAGTTGATTGTTTTGTTCAGTATCATAGTTTTCAGGGGCTCTGCAAGATAAGTGTGCAGTCTTTCTAAAAACAGCCACTTCACAAACAAACTTGAATGTGGGTTTGATTTCCAGAAATTAAGGGTGTTGTATCCCACAATCCACCGAGGAATAAGCAGCTCTTGGGATACAGCCTGTAATTGCCTCCATTTACTGATGCTTCAATGACACAGCAGCAGTGACGGTGCGCTCCCCCCCATGCCCTTGCGCAGAGCCACCTTAATTGTATCAGCACTGAGTGGGAAAATGGGAGGTTGTCATTTTTTTCAAGAAGGCAACATGTCCTTGAATTGTGTACAGCTAAAAAAAAACACACAGGATCCTTTCATGAGGAACTGATTGTCCTTTAAATGTCTGTATTTTTTTTTGTCTTCTTCTTCTTCTTTCCCTCCAAAAGTCACCCAAATCAGCATTCATAAGCGCAGCCAAAAAGGCCAAGTTAAAGACTAATCCTGTTAAAGTCCGCTTCGCTGAAGAGGTCATCATCAATGGCCAGGTTCCCGTAAGTCACACTGGACACTGATTCATTCTGCACATATCAAGACTCCTATCAGGGGACACCAGCAGGGGGCTTGAACTCTAAAAGACGACGTAGATGACATAATGAAAACATTAGAGCTTAAAAATCACTGACTGTGGAGTGATGACACACATAAGCAGGCGGTGCACCTCCTCCGCTTATTTCTTTCCTAACATCACCAGGGTGTAATAGAGTGTGGGTATGATTGACAGAAAATAAGGGGACTCTCTCACAGAAGGCTTTCCTGATTTGCCGGATGCGTCACCCAGAGAGGAGGCTTTTTCAGGAGAGCCATCACAAAGTAAAGGGACTATCAGGCAGTCGTATACTGGGCAGCTTCATAGAGACTGCACAACAAAGTGGTTATAACTGAAGACCTATCAGTGCTTTTTTCCCCACTATTATTCTGGCCCATTATAAAGAATCACATTCATTTGCATGTTTTAGGAAAAGTTCTTCACAAAATATAAAAACAATAGCCAGCCTTTTTTGCAGAGTTTGATAAGAGTATTCTGCTCCTATTTAATTCAAAGCTTTAGTCAGGGGAGCACTAGCTACCACGGAGAAAAGAAACATGGGAAGACAGACCAAAAGCCCAGAGATTTCAAAATGATCCACCCACTGGCACTTTTTCATACTCACTTTTTAAAATTTTATATATTTTTAGCTTTATCTGTAGAAAACCAAGCTGTGTGAAGGACAAGTTGTGGTTTTCACAAGGCTGTTATGTAACAAACTATTTTCTGGATGGGTGCACTTCTTTTTGAGAGTCTTGGGCCACGTCTGAAACTGCGTAGTACCATAGTCCTCATGTGGTGTCACAATGACTGTGTAGTATTTTCTACAGAGTTTTTTAGTTTGATACAGGAATTCATTATTCATGCATAGATGCCCCAAAATGCTACAGAAGTATATAATAAACACAGTGAGAGGATAACTCTATTATTAATCCTGATTCTTGTTTCTTTCTAAAGGAAACGGTGAAGGACAACTCCCTTCTTTTTATGCCAAATGTGCTCAAAGTGTACCTGGAGAATGGGCAGACGAAATCATTTAAGTTTGACAGCAACACGTCCATTAAGGTAGGCATACAAAAGTGTCTTGTTGACTTACAATTCAGAAGTGTGGTGCAAACATAGACTGTATATAGAATCGATGCCATCTGCCCTCTCGTTAAGTGAAGCCACCATGAGAACAGCACCCTCTGGTGACGGGTATGGGTCATAAATCCCGCCTCCTCCAGCAATCCCTATGTGGACAAACTTTAGAAATTTATTACACAGAATATAAATTTTTCTTCCCTCTGGTTGCGATGTTGAAATGTAGTTATTGTAAGCCTGGTTTGTGCTCAATTCCTCTTTTTTTCTGTTCAGCTCCATTTTTAAAAGTTATTAGGGGGTTCATGTTTTTTATGATTGACACTTGATACAGCCTATTGGCATACGAAGATTGCGTAGCTTACCCTGGGGATACGCTGTTTGAGCCGAGCATCATCACAGTTGCTCTTGGAGACTCTCCCACCAAATGCATACAATGCTACTGTGCAAGTGGTGGTTCCAGGAAGTGGAGAAAATCCTGGAAATACTGAGAGCAATTTGGAGCCAAGTTGTCCATAGTATATATAGTCTATGGGTGCAAAGCAATGTTGAATGCATCAAGAAGTAACACAGTATATGAAGTGTGAACTCCCGCTTTACTTTATCTGAACTTTTATAGAAATTCCTTTTTATTTCTTTGAAGTGGAAATTCTGCTTATGCTTTTGCATCATCGTCACATTTTTGTGTATGAGCAGGTGTGAGAACTGTTTTACACTTAAAGCACTGAGCTAGGTGAGAACAGGATGCTGCATCTGCACATTTCCCACGTTGTATTAACTGTGTATGACTTTGTCTTTGCGGAAGGATGTCATCTTGACCCTGCAAGAAAAGCTATCCATTAAAAGCATCGAGCACTTCTCTCTGATGCTGGAACAGAGAGCAGAGGGAACTGCCAGCAAACTCATGCTCCTGCATGAGCAGGAGATGCTAACTCAGGTGAGACCGTCTTTTTGGCTCCTACAGGGCAGAGGAGAGACGTTTAAATAATACATACACTATAGTAATAAAACAAATAAGATTTGGTGCAAAAACACAGGAGGAGTACAACCCTTTATCCTCAGGATATCGTAGAGTATTTCTGCATTCATACTGCATTAGAAATGTTAAGACCTAGTTTGACATTTTCGGAAGTTTGCTTATCCACTCTCTTGCCAAGAGTGAGAGAAGATCGATACATCTCAAAAATAACCCTCCAAGAAAATCACTGCAGTTTGATTTTACTCGCCAGTTCTTGTAGGGATTAATCCAAGAAGATGCAACATGTTGCCCGTCTTATAGGAGCTAGTTGCTTCGTTTATAACTCCCAGAAACAGCTGTGATAGCATGATATATTTAAAGTCTTAATCAAGATAATTATCTACAGTCTAAAGAAAGCAAATAAGCTTATTTCCCAAACTGTCCATTTGATTCATCACTACCAGAGTGGCACATCATGGCAGACTCTGTGGATGGTATTTCATATTGATCCTTACTTGTTAATACACTGTCCCTGTTGGTCTTGACAAATTAGTTTTAAAAAAAAATTACAGTAAATCACTTGATTAATGGGACCCCCTGTCCAACTTGTGCTCTAGGTGACACAGAGGCCAGGGTCGCACAAGATGAAATGCTTTTTTCGCATCACTTTTGTCCCAAAGGATCCGGTGGAGCTGCTCAGGAGGGACGCGGTTGCTTTTGAGTACCTTTATGTTCAGGTAAACATCAGCATACACTGCTAAAAACAAACTTGGACAGTCAACTTCATATATCTGAAAACACGTCAGAAATAGACTGTCTCTGTAATGATTATGGTAGCTACCGTGTTGGCTGCTGTAGGTGTGACGCTGTCTTAAGTTTCATGATAAGAAGAGTAACTGAAGTCTAACATCCTCTTGTCCTCTCCCTCTCCGGCTCCTCCAGAGCTGTAATGATGTGGTACTGGAGAGATTTGGGTCGGAGCTGAAATACGACACAGCACTTCATCTGGCTGCCCTGCAAATGTATATTCTAACCATCAATACCAAGCAGTCCCAGAAAGTTTCCCTCAAGTATATTGAGTAAGTAGACTGAATCCCAGACTTCCTCTGATCGTAGTGGACACCATAGAGTCCAGATTGCTGTTACACAATAAAACAATGAGTTCAGTTGTGTTCCTCAACAGAGCCAGAAGATCCATCCCTGCTGGTTAGTTAGTGATTCTTAGCGTAGCCTGTCAGTTAATCAATGCTGCACCTCTAGGTGAAGTAAATCGATCGCTGCTCAAGAACGCTAACCGCACTGTTTTACTCTGAGGGTTTATTAGACCCTTTTAGAGACCCTCTCTAATCTTTATGAATTGCACGTCTGCAGGAAGGAGTGGGGTCTGGCGTTGTTCCTGCCTCCTGCTGTGTTGTCCAGCATGAAAGAGAAGAACATCAAGAAAGCTCTCACTCACATCCTCAAGACCAACCAGAACCTGGTGCCACCTGGTAAAAAGGTACGCTGGACTAAGCCTTTCTCTTGGCTCTCCATCACTCTGTATCTGCATCTGAGAGGGCTGTAGACTGCCACCTAGTGGTGCTACATTTCAAAATAACTCAGCTGGATTCTTAAGCCGACAATGCTGAAGGTTACATTCAGCTGAGAATAACTCATTTCAAAGATCTGAGCTGGCCTGTTTTTGTTTATTTTTCTTTCTTCAGCTGACTGCCCTGCAAGCAAAGGTCCATTATCTCAAGTATCTCAGTGATCTGAGACTGTATGGAGGGCGAGTGTTTAAATCTACACTTGTAGTAAGTGAAACCATCTTGCTATCATTTCAGTGTTCAATATGTCACCTAAAGCAGCATGCAGGAAATGATGTTTTCACAACTTTCTGTTCTATTTTACAGCAAGGCGAGAAGCACACAGAGGTGACGTTGCTAGTGGGGCCTAAATACGGTATAAGCCATGTGATAAACACCAAAACAAACCTGGTGGCACTTCTGGCTGATTTCAGCCACGTCAATCGGATTGAGATGTACACAGAGGATGAAAACCGGGTCAGAGTGGAGTTACATGTTCTGGATGTGAAGGTTAACAATCATTTCACTTTTTAGAAAACAACATGCTGACTGGCTTTGTGTAGTTTTCTAACAAAGGGTCCGTTCAGCAGTCATTACAACCTCTTTCTACAGTTCCCATTTCCCATTTGTTTTGTCCTCATTGTCCTCTTATCTTCCTCTTTCACAGCCCATCACTCTCTTAATGGAGTCGGTTGATGCAATGAATCTGGCCTGTTTGACTGCTGGCTACTACCGATTACTGGTGGACTCTCGGCGCTCCATCTTCAATGTGGCCAAAAACACAGACGGTATGAAGACAGGTACATCTGATATGATGACACGGTGACTCATCAGAAGGTGCTGTGTTAAAATAGATTTGTTTCATTTTCTGGTTCCCTTTTGCAGGCCATGCAGCAAGAATAAAGCAGAACTACCAGGCCATCGAGTGTACATACAGCACAGCCCATAAGGCATCTGAAGACAGGAACAACCAGAGGTGCAGCCAAGAGTATTCTGACCAGGAGTTTGATTACCTCGACCATGGGAGGTGTGAAAGCCAACCGGTTTATGTGACCGAGATTCACCAGCCGCAGCACTCAATGCACATGGCAGAGAGAGCAGAGTGCTGCAGAATCCCCTGCACCCAAACTTACCTCAACATCCAAAGGCCCAAACCCCAAGACTCCTCCAGGGGTGCAAAGGTCTCCTTCATATTTGGAGATCCTCCCTTAGACAGCGTAAACCCCCAAAATTTGGGCTACCAGAGACTGATGGATGAGAGCCCAGAGATTCTAGACAATCACAGTCCCATGTACAGGCGACTCGAGGAGGACTATAAGATGATGGATGCCATAGAAGAGGGGGAAGCGTATCCCTACTCCACCAAAATCTTTGGTACCACCGAATGCATCGAGGAGCCGCTGCTGCATGACATCTGCTACGCCGAGACGACAGATGACGCAGAGGATGAGGATGACATTAGCTGTGAGGAGGACTTGGTGATGAGTGACATTGACAAACCCATGTTACTCTCACTCTCAGGGTCCAGCGATGACATCATTGACTTGACCTCCCTCCCTCCCCCGCCGGAGGGGAACGACGAGGAGGACAATGACGTACTACTGCACTCTCTTAACCTGGCCATTGCTGCTCCTCCTCCTGGTTTCAGGGACAGCTCAGATGAGGACGAGCAGCAAGGGGCTGGGTCCAGAGCCAAGGGGGCCTGCAATGATATCCCAGTGTCTCTTATAGATTCAGTGCCCACCCACAGAGCAGAGGACCATGGGGAGCCACTGAACGATGCAGTGGTGTCCACCTTACAGGCCCTCGAGGCCCTCGCTGCATCTGAGGAACAGAGTCCTGCACAGTCAGAGAGTAGCACAGGTTCTCCTTATACTATTGTAACATTCATCCATTAACACCACATATGCTCCAGCCATTCACTTTTGTTTTGTTGTTATTTTCATTTTTCAATAAAGCCCATTTTGTTCTCTGTTTCCATTTGTGTTTGTGTGTTTTTCATTCATTTGCATTCAAACTGTTTTGTTTACCACTGTATCATTTCTTTTCATTTTCAAGAGTTGTTCTTTTGTGCTTCATTTGTGTTTTGTTTCTCACACGCACACTGCAAAATGTTGGATGTTTGTTGCTAGTACAGGAAACTGAAGTTGAACGCGCTAATTTTAACTAATTGACTTTTTTTCTCTTTATTATGTTAAAGGCATGGTTGACGATCTAAGAAGATGTTGAAACAAACTGAGCTGTTGAGGCAGATTTGAAAAAAGCGTCCCACCCCTCACACGCAAACCTCTCCTCTCTGTGCTCCACGATAACTCCTTCCTGAACCTGTATCACCCTCCCACAACACCCCCCCTCTGGAAGAGCAAGAAGCCCGCCAGCAGAAGATCCCACACTAGCTACAAATTACCATGTGGGATTGCTAGTGACTAGCGGCAGTAAACACCAGCTCTGCTAGTGAGAATCGTCTGCAACTGCCTGGACAGCTACCGTGTTGACTGATGAGAGTTATTTATGTAACGTGCCACGATAAAAGGCAAAAATTACCTGTTCAACAAAAACTCTGCTGTCTCAGCGAACTGCTTGAAGGATGACCCGATGTTTATTCACGTTAGATTCCACGCTTGGTCACATTTCCCCTTCGTCTTGGCCCTTTCTTCTGTTGGCTTGCGTTTTCTTAGCACTTTTAGTGGTGGGGCAAGCAGACATGTTTTTTTTGTGTGTCCTTCTCCATCACAGCTCCTGTAGCTAAGCTGCTACGCTACTTTTAGCCGCTCAGAGCTCAGAGGAGAGCTGGAAGAGTGGGATACAAGTACGGGTTGGAACTACGGGAGAGGGATGTGAGGGAGATTTACCAATAGGAGCTGTCCGGGACAGATGGCTCCCATTGGTCAATGTTTTTTCTCCTCACTTTGTGAAGATCGCACTAGAGGACCATGATCACCATATAAACGAGCTTCATAATAATTACCAATCTCTCCAATCGTCAACCATGCCTTTAACCTTAAAGCAGTCATTTACTTTTGCCAATAACTATCTCTTGTAATTTCATGGCTTGCAAATGTAGCTGCTAATGAGTTGTTTGTCTTTCTGTGGCACACAGGTGTAGAAATATCACGAGCATTTAGTCCTGACTCCTCAGATTCTGGCAATGAGACAAATTCCTCCGAGATGACAGAGAGCTCCGAGCTGGCCACCGCTCAGAGACACTCGGACAACCACCTGAGGCTGCATGTGGCCATGACAGAGGGATACCACGCCATGACTGATGAGAAGAGAGAGGGCACTGTGGCTGGCAGTGGAGGCGTGGGAGCTATGCAGTACAATCCCCAGGAGCATCAGGAGGAGGAGGCGAAATCAACCGCCGTCACCTCCTCTCAGATCTTTCACTCAGACGGTGGTGAGATGGAGCCAGAGACAATGGAAATCAAATCAGTGAGTGAATACTTCACCAAGATGCATATGGGCTCAGTAATGAGCAGACAGAGAGGGAAACAGAGGGAGGCAGATAGCAGAACCCAAGGAGAAACCTGTGAATCCTCTGACAGATCTCACATGACTCCTCAGGACTTGGCCAAAGAGGAGCTCCCTCATCTTGTTGGGAAGTACAACGCTTTCACTGTGAGAGATTCCTATTACATGAATCAACTTGATCTGGGGCGCACTCACTTTAAAGATAAGCATCAAAAATGGCAGCAGAGAGCGCCTGGAAACAAAATGGCAGAAAATCTGTCTCCAGATTGTGTGAATGACTCACAAGCTTCCCACGCAGAAAGGTTGACAGTAAAGGGAGAGAAACACGACTCGGATGAACGAGGCCAACAGATAGAAGCACACGCTCGCTCCCCGTCCAGAGGGCCTGCAGAGGGAGATGCTGCTTCACAAGAGAGCGAGCAGCAGCAAATTAAGACTCATCCGTCAGAGCAAGATGTCACGCGTTTGCACGAATACCACTTGGGCAAGCGCATGTCATCAATACAGAGTGAAGGCATTCATTCTCTCCAAAGCTCACAGTGTTCCTCTATAGATGCTGGTTGTAGCACAGGCAGCAGCAGCTGCGTCACTCCCATGGATTCCCCTCTTTGTGCCACAGACAATATGCATGTTCTGTCAGAGTCGACCCTTAAAGGACTGAGTTATGTTTCTGCTGAGGAGAGAGCTTATGGACCCCCTGCTCAGGGTAAGGTGGGTCACCCCATAGACCCCACCCTGCTGAGGAAGATCCACGCAGCCACCAGTGCAGAGCCGGGGTTACGTGCGACTGGGGAAGGCAGTCACAGGATGCCCAAGATAAAAGAAACCACAGGTAAAACTATACAGAAGGGCGCGCTTGTCTATGTGTGTCAGCGCATGAAAGGAATGAAAGATTTTTATTTTAGTCACAAAAACATCAAAAGCAGATTTTCTCTGAGGTATCCAACCATGCAGACAGATTCGCTTTATGTTCTTATATTGGAAGATTTCTGTTTCTCCTCTACTGTGCAGGAAAAGAAAATCTAGCTTGCTGAAAAAGAAGTCTGTTTTTCTTGCAACATTTTTTTTCGACACAAACATAATTTACACTCTGTTATTCCTCGTTTTAGACTGGGCTAAGGTAAAGGTTTTGAAGCTTCATGTGTGGCCTTGCCTCTGAGGGTTTCTTAGAGCCAGAAGTGATCACATTAGAGCAAGTAGGTGGCTCAGGAGACTGAGGAGGGAGCTGTAAATGCCATGTTGTCAAAGCTATTAGCTTAAACATTAGCGCCAGTAGTTAGTTCAATGGTAGACTAATGGGATAGTTGAAGCTAAATGGTACGGTTAGACAAGTGTTATGAAATGACTGATTCTCTAACCATATGAGCAAAAATTCAAACAGATAACTGACTAGTAAACAGTGAGTAGTGTTGAGTAAACACTCAAAAAAGACAAGATTTAGTTTTCAGTTTATTCAACCCAGTTCAACACTAGATCACAGAGTTTGTGGGTGGACCATCGCAAATTGGTTTGCTGCAGTGTTGTGCATGAGCACGCCAAAATGATCATGTTTATAATTTGGTGAAGTGTGAACTGAACGGCCCAATTTTCCACTCATGAACGGTAACATGAGTGGAGTTAAACAGCTGCTGACATTTAGGGAAGATCCTACAGATAATAAGCGGAACATTGAGCGTTTTGGCAACTGAAGTCAGATTTACGGATGTAGTTGGCGGTGCTGATGAAGCCAGCTCTTGTGAACATTGTGAAGGAGTTTTATAAACAAACTGCTAAGTTACAGTCTTATATGGTTTAAGACAGCTGCAGCTTGTTGAGGAGGAGAATAATTTCATTTCTTGTTGTTATTTATTCAGTGTTTTTTTGCCTTTGGCTCTTTTATTTCAGAGGATGTGAAAACTGTCTCATCATCATCACAAATAGATGTCAAAGTTGAAATCTTCAGGCAAATATTCAGCCAACAAATTATAGTTATACAGTATGTGTGTTTGTTGTTTTCAAAATGGCAGACACTCTGTAAAACATACTCCAATTTTCCTGGCTTTTAAATCTAATATCATTTAGTTGAGGAAAAAATAGTTAAATGAGTTGATTTATTTTGCACAACACAAGTGAGTCCTCCTTATAGGTTAGCATTCACATGCCTGTGCAGGTCACACACAGCTCCAGTCTCACGGTTATATTCTATTTTAAACAGACTCAGTAATCCTCATTTACAAGATCAACGCCACGCTATAAGATGCCATCAGTTATTGGTGCTTGTTTACATCCAGGTAGAAAAGCATATAGCTCAGCACGATGAACTGGAGTTTTGAAAAGGTGGCTACATTACACATATTAATTTGTTTAACCAGTTAGTAAGTCCGATGCCAACTGGCAAAGGTAATAAAGTTTAATCATACAGTTAGCTAGATGCACACATCCCTGGTTGTTAGTGGCTTTGTTGCTAACCCTTTGACATCACATGAATATAAAAACCTCTGTAAACACCATCCACACCTATTTTTGTAGGGATAAACTAAAACAGAGTGCTCTTAAATTTATTTTTGTTCAGTATAATCCTTTTATTTTGTCTTTTTGAAAGTATGAAGACATTTTTTTTAAATGTATCAGTGTTTGCTTTAAGGGAGATGCTTAACAGTTCTCTTTGTTTCCCTACTGCCCCTAGTGTAGCTTGCACACAGCTGAAGAAAGTTGGGGAACAGTCATCTTTAGCTCTCTATGAGACCAGTACCACCACCACAACTACGTCACCATCATCTTTAAGAAGTAGCACAGAGCCCAGTGGGCTAACACAGGCCATCCCAGAGCCCGACCCACCCATTGTGGCTTTCCCCATAAGCAGTTCCTCATGTGACTGTACAACTGGAAGCCTCAGGAAGCCACGCAGGGTTCGGACGCTCAGGAGAAGCTTGAGCACCATAATGCCAGGTTCCAGGAACTTAGAAGCTCTGTTTGAGAAGACAAAAACCTCACTGAAAGGAAAGAGTGGTGGTCAGAGTGAGCAATCCCAAGATCCCCCAAAAGTACAGAGGATTTTCTCTGCTAAAACCTTGCCCAAGAGCTTCTCCCAGGGCTCAGTCCCATTAAATCCATCTGGTAGAGGGATGACAAGAGGAGCTTCTCTGTCACTGCCCAAGTCTGCAACAACAAGGCTGGACGCAGCTGCATGGAGGTGTCGTGGACCTTTCAGTCACTGCTTCCTGAGGAGGAAATCTAACTCAGACGGCCATGATGAAGATAGACAAACGCCCTCACACACTCTGTTCTCTGTTTCTGTCAGTCGCAGAGAGAACGCTGTCCTGAAAGCCGAGCAGAGTAGTGCAGCTGCAGCTATGGATGACAGAAGTCTCAAAGCAAGGCTGGATCGTGTAAATTCAATGAAGGGAAAAACCTACAGCCTTCACACGGGGTTCGCACTTGCAAGAAAGGATGCCTTAGATATGGTCAGCATTTTGCGTTCCAGCCTCGACCATGTTTCCAGAGGTGAGAAACCCGAGGTCAGTGAGGCTGACATGGATACACACTCCCAGCTGCTTTTAATGCAAGCCAAAGTGCTGGGCAGAGCCTGCACTCAGATGGCCATAGAGTACAGCAGCCCAGAGGAGTTACTGCTCACCCTAACGCACAGTTTTCACACACTCTGCTGCTTGGCACAAGCCTGCATGTCGCTGGTTGAAGGCCTGAGCAGCGAGAAGGAGCGACGTGAGGTGGTAGCCAAGGTGGATGAGGCTGTCATGAACTACGTGTGTCTGCTGAAAGCTGCTGAGATGGCTTCAGGAGGCTCCCCTGGTGACCAAAGTGTGAATGCATTGACACATCACTCAACCACCATGTCTACTATTATAAACACTCTAACTCACTCACTGCAAACACTGCTCAGAAAGTAAACTGTTGTTTTTTTTGTCCAGATTATTGATTTTAAAGCCATACATAAGAGACATGGGTTTAAAAACCAATGTGAACTGCTGTGAAAAAAGATAAACTTGCCTTGTGTAAACAATATTTTATTATGTAAAGTTCAAATAAGATTATATGAATAATTAAAGTTTTAAATAGATTATATTAAGGCCTTTATGAAGACGAATAAATCACCTCTCTCAAGCATAATATCTAATATATCAAAGGGATTATTTTAGTGATCAATTGGTTATTATAGGGACTTAATATTTAGATTGTTAGAATTAAAATTAACTGTTTATATTGTAAAAAAAAATTTATGTTGAAGAAATGCATACACTATATACAGCTCTTGACAAATCATTGCACAAGCAAAAAGCGATCTAATATGACCTTTTGATTTGCTGAGTTCACCTTGATTTGATGAATACTTTACACATGAACACTGAGTACTTTCCTGTTATTTTTATGTCAACATCATTAAAAGATTAAAACTTTTCCAAACGTCTTCTCAAATAATTTCTGTCTGTCCATGCTTCACTAAAAACATGTATGTGGTTGGCTGTTTATCACTAAATCATCTCTTAATCCTATCATGCAATATCGTGCTGTGGTAAATGCAAGTAGACAATTACTGACTGGCTTTTAGTCGACCCCTGAATCATTAATTCCAGAAAACAGCGGTAGAGGATTTGACTTTTCAAGTTTGCTCCTAAAAATGCATTATTCATGCAAAAACACTGCTTAACCCGTGTTTAGTTTTATAACTACATTTAATAATTTAGCATATTACAATTTACTCAAGCCTGAGTAGAGGTAATGCTTTCTGTTTTAATAATGATGATGGCCCATTTCACTAAGGGGGCTGGAGAGAGTGTTTGCATGAGGACGTGTGTGGAAGGAGTCAAGCACATGCTGAATGGAGCTTATGAAAAGTCTGCGGCCATAATAGTATCGCTCATATTATTTGATAAGTGCCACAGATAGAACACTCTCAGTTAGTGATGGTACTAACTTGCTGATTTTTATGTCATTTTTTTGCTATGTCCACTATACTCAGCTTCCTAAATTGCAGAAAACAGGAATTACAGCTAAGGCTGATTTTTAGGCATCTTGTTCCAAATCCAAGTACTGAACAAATTTTAGCTTAAATCTGATGATGGCAGTGGATGCAAATCATTTTCGATCAATCTCCAGAGAGTCATGAATGTTAGTGTTAGATTGCACTGCTGGCCACTTCATAACTGTCCATGTCAGAGCTGTCACAAGATCAGATCCAGATCACAATCATTACTTGAAAATTGATTGATGGGATAATTCTGACCAACAGGACTGACAGGGTGCAAATGCCTTATGTTTAAATCATGACCAAAGATGACCCGTCCTTAGCTAGATACTTTATCGAAAGCAATAAAGTCAATTCCTAGCTTAGGACTCTCACTGAGAAAGCTACATTCAGTCTTAACAGATCACGAATATAGGTATGGGTGGCTTAAGCTGGAAAAGTATGCTTACCATGAAGCGTTGGGAAACCTAAACAAAGCATTGATTTCACTTTCCCCCGCAGGTTTGTCAGAAACGAAACTGCACCTTCTTTTTCTGGAGGCCACTGAATAACCCACAACTCCTCCGGTTGTGTTTTTCACACTCTTACACTTCATGAGGATTCTTCCCCTTGATCCCGGTACACTAAAGTGAACCTCCACATTTGCAGCATTTTATCACAAAAAGCTATGATGAACTTTTTCTACCTGAACATGTAAAGGTTGGAAGATTGTCATGTATGTGGTTTTTGACAAAAGGGAAGTGATGCTGGCTAAATATACACAATGGGCTTACCCAGACATCTGTTACTTTCATCAACATTGAACCCATCATCAATGTTACATTTTTCTCAGCACTTGAAACAACCCAGACCTCGTACAAGGATCATTTTAATACTCAGGTGAACAATGTTCTTCTATCTGGTGAGTAACAGCTATATTCTATATGCTTCTATTATAGTCATTGATTGTAACTAGAGAGGATACAATAAAAATGTTTGGTCCTTGTTTGTAGTCACAGCTTCAACCATAATGCTCTTAACTAGAGTTGTTTTGATCTGCCAGGTGGTTGTTGGTAGTACTTGTTGTTGTTGGTAGTCAAAGTGTCTAAACAGTATTCAACCTGCTAAATTTCTCAGTAACACATCTGTGTTTCTGCTCAGATGTGTATGGTGTTGCTGGACCTGTGGTGCCTTCTCCCCATGTCGACAGCTAGTAGTTCCTACCCAAAAACTCTGCCATGTGTTGTTAAGGAGATCACTAACGGGAGTGTGGTGACAGTGGACTGCACTGAGAGAAGGCTCAAATATGTCCCATTTGGCATCCCCAGAGACACTACCAACCTGACCCTCACCATCAATCATATCCCCAGTTTAAACTCCAGCTCTTTTCATGGTTTGGAGAACCTGACTGAGATTGACATGAGGTGCAACTGTGTGCCCATCAAAATCGGCCCCAAGGACCACGTGTGCACAAAGGGTGTGACAATAGAGGAAGATACTTTTACCAGCCTACTGAATCTGCAAGCCCTGTATCTTGATGGAAACCAACTCTCCAGTATACCTAAAGGCCTGCCGTTGAACCTGATCCTGCTGAGTTTGGAAGTTAATCACATTGTTGATATATCTAAAGCAAACATATCTGAGATCAGACATATCCAGATGCTTTACCTGGGTCAAAACTGCTATTTCCGCAACCCGTGTAATAAATCTTATGAAATAGAGGAGGGTGCGTTTTTACAGATGACCAGTTTAATGTTGCTAAGTCTGAAGTCAAATAACTTGTCCTTTATTCCACATCAACTCCCAACAAGCCTGAAGGAGCTTTATCTTTACAACAACAACATCCCAAACATCAATGACGAGGATTTCAAGAACTTGACAAATCTGGAGATTCTTGATGTGAGTGGAAACTGTCCTCGATGTTACAATGCTCCTTTCCCATGCAGGCCTTGCCCAAATAATTCCCCGCTCAATATCAGCAAGGCAGCTTTCAAAATGTTGACAAAGCTTAAGACTCTCCGGCTGCACAGTAACTCTCTGACATATGTGCCATCTGAATGGTTTGCCACCACAACAGAGCTGAGGGAACTCGATCTCTCGTCAAATTTTTTAGCAAGAGAGTTGGGATTCACCAAATTCCCACTTTTCCTGGGCAACCTGGAGGAACTTGACCTTTCATTTAACTATGAGCTTCAGAGGTACTCTCCAACACTGAGACTGAGTTACAGTTTCTCTGCTCTTAAGTCTCTGAGAGTTCTCAGAATAAAGGGCTTTGTGTTTCAGCAGCTAAAACCAGAAAGCATTGCTCCTTTAAAACCTCTCAAAAACTTGGAGGTGGTAGATCTGGGCACAAACTTCATTAAAATGGCAAACCTTAGTCTTCTCATGGAAATAGAAAGCTTTAAAATAATCAGTCTGTCTGACAATAAAATATCTTCCCCCTCTGAGGGCCAAGACCTTGTTGGTTTTTCTGGAGTGGAGCCCTTGCAATGGTCTCCCATGTCGGCTACTGATGAGTACCAAAAAGAAGAAGTGAGAGAGATTCATTACTTCAGATATGATGAATATGCACGCAGCTGTAAATACAAAGACAAAGAACTTGGGGTTGTCACATCCTTTGTCGAGAAGCAGTGCAGTCAGTTTGGCAAAACCCTGGATGTCAGCAGAAACAATATATTCTTTCTGCATTCAAGGTTTTTAGATCTTGGGGAGCTAAGGTGCCTCAATTTGTCTGGAAATGCAATGAGCCAAAGTCTGAATGGCTCTGAATTCACCCATCTGACTAATCTGAAATACCTGGACTTCTCCTCAAACCGCCTGGATCTGCTCTACTCCACTGCGTTTCAGGAGCTGACAAGTCTGGTCATCTTGGATATAAGTCGAAACAACCATTACTTTGAGTCAGAGGGCCTAACTCACATGCTGAACTTCACAAAAAATTTAAAAAATCTAACAGTACTGTTGATGAATCACAATAAGATCTCCACTTCCACTAACACAGAAATGGAGAGTCAGTCCCTTGAGAGGTTAGAGTTCAGAGATAACAGGTTAGATGTAATGTGGAGGGATGGAGACACCAGATATTGTAATTATTTCAAGAAATTGGTTAATCTGATTGTGCTCGACATATCCCAAAACAACCTCAACTTCATTCCAAAGGAAGTATTTAGCGGTTTGCCAGACAAACTAACTGAGCTCTACTTAAAAAACAACAAACTGACAGGGTTTAAATGGGAAGAGCTACAACTTCTACTTTCTTTGCAAGTCCTCGATCTGAGTGGAAACAGAATAACTACTGTTCCACACATGCTGTCCAACTGTACCCAATCTCTCCAGAAACTTATTTTACACAAGAATCACATCGTAGAACTCACACCCGATTTCCTCAAGGGTGCCTACAGCCTAAAGTATCTGGACCTTAGTTTCAACAGCATACGGTACATTGACAAATCTAATTTTCCGGATGATGTGGTTAATCAGAACACCACATTGCTTTTGCATGACAACAAATTCCTGTGCACTTGCAATGCCACTTGGTTCATTAAGTGGCTCAACAGCACAAATGTGACCATCCCCAACCTGGCTACAGGTGTCACCTGTGACAGCCCGGGTGCACAAAAAGGTAATGCTGTCCTCTCAGTGGACCTTTCAGCCTGCCAGTACCATTACTTGTCTATCTCTCTCTACATCCTTGGGACATCCCTCGTCCTCAGCTTCCTCACCCTGTCCATCTCCAGCCACCTCTTCCTGTGGGATGTTTGGTACATCTACCACTTCTGCAGAGCCAAGTTCAAAGGCTACATGCGCCTGTATTCCCAAAGCTCTGTGTATGATGCCTTTGTGATATACGACAAAGAGGATCCTGCTGTGTCGGAGTGGGTGATGAAGGAAATGTGTGCCCATCTAGAGGACAGTGGAGATCGTCAGCTGACACTGTGTCTGGAAGACCGAGATTGGATACCTGGATGTCCCCTGATTGACAACCTTTCCCAGAGCATCCATAAGAGCAAGAGGACCGTGTTCATCCTCACTAGCAGATATATCAAAAGTGGCAACTTCAAGACAGCCTTCTACATGGCCCACCAAAGGCTAATGGATGAAAAGAATGATGTTATTGTACTCATCTTCTTGGAGAAAGTAAAGTGCAATTCAAAGTACTTGAGACTGAGGAAGAGACTCTACAGGCGGTCTGTGCTGGAGTGGCCGACAAATCCACAAGCTCAGCCATACTTCTGGTTCACCCTGAGGAGTGTGCTCGCAACGGCAAGTCACAAACAATACAACAATCTTTTTAAAGAGACACTGTGAATAGAAAAATATTCTGTCTTAAGAAGTTCATCCTATTACAATTTGTCTGAACTAACCTCTGATTATCTTAACATCATACAAATGGAGAAAAAAAAGGTTATTCATGGATAATGTACATTTTTTTTGTATTCTCTGATCACTTTTGCTTATTAAAGAAGTAGCTGGTACTTTTTACCCTGCCTCAAATAAAACAGATCTTTCTATTTCGTTAGAATGGTCAAGGAAAGTGCCAGCAAATCTCAAAACAAGGAAGTGAAACTGAAGCACTTCCTTGCTCAATTGCTACTCCCATGTCAGAGTGTGAACTAAGAAACACAGTTAATCAAATTCATGAACAGTTTCAGCAACAGGGGTCTTTTTTCAATGTAAAGTGAATATAAACTGAATATTGGAGAGATAAAGCTTGCATGCATTTGTGGAAACCACCCAATTTTCAGAGCTGTCATTCACGGATGTTAAGGAGCTAATACAGTTGGTACAAAATGGTGAGTTTTGCTGAAACGAGTTTCTCTGTTCTTATTTATCTTTGCTTTGTGTATAGCAAAAATACACATGCATAATTAAAACTTAGAAACAATTTCCTTATCAGACCTTTGCTTGGGCACATTTAATAATTGTTTTTGAATAGTGTGTGCATTTTAAATTGATATTGTTATCATGCAATGTTGAATTATTTTGTGTTTTAGTTTCAAGGACTTTGCTATATTGGTTATATTGAACCATGTGGGTAAACATTTTGACATAAAGACTCGCCGCAATTTAAAACAATCAGCTGATCTGTAATGTACATGGTTAATAAAATTGTCTCACAACTATATGAAAAATCCATATTATATTTTCTTTATTTATCCAGTATTTCTTTTATTTTAGAGGTTAACAGTTGAATAAACAGAGGTCCCTCTTGTTTTCACAGTCATGCAGAAGAAGTTCATTCAATTTTAAAGCTCATAGGATATTTGAAATACTTCCATTTAGCTGTAACTTAATGCCACACATTATAAGAACTTGGTCTATTTACTGTAGAGTTGATACAAATTACTGATTACTGAAGTATTTTAAACTTTCAACAACTATCATTTCATAATGGAAAAAGCATGGAAACTCTGTGTTTAATATAGATATTATGGCTTTTAGTGGAAGAAACAGAACATGTATTATGGTTAAAGTTGTACATAAAACACTCAGTTGCATAGTAAGTACCCTCTAATTTTTTTCTGCTATAATCTAATTCGAGACTGATACAAACAGTGTGGTTAATTTTAGTGAGTGTGAGCACAGACCATTATGTTGTGTTTATATTTGCACCCTGCCTTTGACTGAGCAGGTTTGTATGTATTGGCACCTTTTTCAACACCAGTTGTAAAGCGCCGTACTGCAAACAACATCATATAATAAAAAATACATTCAAAGGCATTTAACTGTATAAGCCTACAAGAAAAAATTAAAGATGCACAGAGAAAGCATAAAAAGAATACAGCAACCACCAACTGCAGGGCAAGTAGGCTTAGGCTTACGAATTTAGCACAGAGTTGTCCTTGTGGTCATAACATTAAGTGTGAGCAAAAAAACAACAGAGGGGTGGGTTGTTGTTTAGGAGTTTGTAAATTTTAAAATTTAGACCAGAAACCCAAAGCAGTTATCAAAGTTGAAAAGAAGTTCATTTAGAGGCTGCTGCCACCTGCTGGATGAAGGTAAGGCCGTTCTTAGAAATGTATTTTAATACTTTGAGGAAGTTCACAATCCATCAAGTCTGTCTTGAACAAAAGAGGTTAAGGAGGTTTTCTTTTCTGCATTTCTCCTGTTAGTTATGAAAAAAACATTTTGATTTAGTCTGACTCAGTCTGCTGAAGCCAAAAATTAACTGCAGATGCACTTTAAAAAAACATTTAGGTATGTCAGGAGTAAGTTGATGAATTACAAATAGAAGCCAAATGTACACACCCAAACATTTGGCCTCCTATCATTACATGTAATTGATTGGATGGTATTTGTTGCATTATGTTTAAGTTCAAGTTGATCAATATTATTGTTTGTCTATAGACCTTCAAATGGTGGATACACCTGCTGCTGCTCGGTCTGTGCTGTCATCATGAACCTGCCGCTTGTAAACCAGAATGGATGAAACCGCAGTTCCCATGTGAGGTCACATCCCACAACTCCTCAAGTATTGTGTTTGACTGTCAAGAGCGTCAACTAAACAAAGTACCTCGTGGGATAACAAGTAACGCAACTGAGCTCGATTTGTCAGAAAACTACATCAAGAACATTTCTGCTGGTTCTTTTTCCAACCTGCTGAACTTGACTCGACTTGATCTCGGCTGGGCCAACCACGGAAAGAAACTGATCATTGCTGCAGATGCTTTGAAAAATCTGACAAAACTACACACACTGAGACTGGCAGGCATTAATCTGACTGAAATCCCAGGCAAGCTCCTACCTGATAGTGTGAAAATCCTTCTACTGGACCACAATAAGATTATCAGGTTGGATAAAAGGAGCCTTGCAGGCTTAACAAACGTGACCCAGTTATGGTTATCCAAAAACTGCTACTTCTGGAGTCCTTGTAGGGAATACTTCACAATTGCTGACAACACTTTTTCAGTGATGACCAAACTCGAAATTCTGGACCTGGCCTTTAATAACATAACTAAAGTTCCAAAAGGGTTGCCCCAATCCTTGAAAACTTTAAAGTTAGGTACTAACAGAATACAGTACATTTCTGAGCATGATTTTTATGGACTATCAAACATGATAGACCTTCATCTGCAAGGGAACTGTCCAAGATGCCACAATGCTCCATACCCTTGTGTCCCTTGCCAAAATGTTTCTCTTGACATTCATCCTAATGCTTTTCAGAGTTTAACAAGCCTGGAAAGTCTAACCCTGGGAGGAAACTCCCTGACCCATGTGAAATCGTCCTGGTTTGCGAGGTTGACGAAGCTAAGGTCGTTAATCCTGTCATTTAATCTCTTATTTGAGGCAATTACCACAGAGGCAGCGTTTTTTAGATACCTTCACAAGCTGGAAAAATTAGATATCTCATTTAACTTTGCTCCACAGCACTATCCAACTAAAATTAACTTTTCCAAAGACTTTTCATATCTGGTTTCACTTAAAACTTTGCACCTAGAGGGTTTGGTCTTCCAGAATATTGGGCCAGACACACTCAGTCCTTTGTACGAACTGAAAAACCTGTCTGCTTTAAACTTGGGGACTAACTTTATCATTTACTCAGATCCCTCCATATTTCATAAATTCTCCCACCTGAAATTGATTTACCTATCTGAAAACAGGCTATATCCAACATCTGTGAAAAGTTCCCAACTTACATGTGATGGATATAGTCAAGGGTCAGACCTTTCCATCTCTCCACTCGTGATGAAACATCCTAAAGATCGTGTGTACGAGTTGACACATGGGTTAATCAAACAAGAGTGCTTTGACTCTGGACGAGTCATCTCCCTGAGCTCCAATAATCTCTTCCTCATATCTCCAGAGCAGTTTGCCAACTTTGGCAACATTTCATGCCTCAACCTCTCAGGGAATGGATTTTCAGCAGCAATAAATGGAACAGAGTTTTCCACGCTGCCTAATCTGACATACCTGGACCTGTCATATAATAAGATTGATCTGGCCTATGACAATGCCTTCCAAGAACTCCAAAAACTGCAAGTACTAGATCTCAGTCACAACTCTCACTATTTTACAGCATTTGGAGTGACGCTCAATTTGAATTTCACTCGAAATCTGCCTGATCTAAGAGTGCTAAATATGAGTTACAACTTAATTTCTAAATTAACAACCAAACTCATGTACAGCAAGTCATTAGCAGAACTTCAGTTTACAAATAATTTTCTGGGCACTCTTTGGAAGGATAATGACCGCTCTTACCACAGGATTTTCACTAATCTAATTAATCTGAAAATTTTAGACATATCATACAACAACCTTTCACAAATTCCAGACAATGTTTATGATTATTTGCCACACAACCTGACCAAACTACTCATAACTAACAACATTCTTACTGATTTCATATGGGACAAACTGAGGTGGTTCCCCCAACTTGAAACTTTGGACCTGAGTTTCAACTCTTTGACGCATATACAAGGCTCAAACTCAAATGTCACGCATAATTTGACATTCCTTGACCTGAGCAACAATCAGATTTTTCAGCTGGATGGTGGGTTTTTAAATGATGCAAAAAGCCTTAAGACGCTCAGTCTTAGCAACAATGAACTGACCATCATCAATCAATCCACCACCCAAATGTGGCCTAAAAGTCAGATCAAGACTTTGCTTTTGCAGGACAACCCGTTCCAATGTACCTGTGATTCCTTGGATTTCATTCTGTGGATTGAAAAGACTGATGTTAAGATACCTAAACTGACCACTGCAGTGACGTGTGACATGCCTGCAAATTGGACGGGTAAAGCTCTGATATCCTTTGACATTGAACAGTGTGTGAATGACAGTCAGGCATTTTTGATTTACATTCTCACAAGCTCCTTTATCATCATTTTTATGTTTGTTTCAACACTTGTTCACTTATTTTACTGGGATGCCTCCTATGTCCTACACTATATGAAAGCTCGGATTAAGGGATATAGGTCTCTGACCTCACCTGACAGTGCTTATGACGCCTTTGTGACGTACGACACCAGAGATCCACATGTGTCTGAGTGGGTGATGAAGAACTTGAGAGTGAAACTGGAAGAGGAAGGGGAGAAACATCATCCTCTGTGTTTGGAGGAAAGGGATTGGCCCCCAGGAGTCCCAATGGTGGACAACCTCACTCAGAGCATCCGATACAGTCGCAAGACCCTGTTTGTCCTAACAGAGAACTACGTTAAGACCGGGGTTTTCAGGCTAGCAATGTATCTGGCTCACCAGAGATTGCTTGACGAAAATGTGGATGTGATAGTGTTGCTGATGCTGGAGCCTGTCCTGCAGCACTCTCACTTCCTGCGACTCAGGAGGCGACTGTGTGGGAAAAGCATTGTAGAGTGGCCGAGAACTGCTGCTGCAGAGCCATGGTTTTGGCAAAACCTGAGGAGTGTGGTCAGAGTAGACAATCAGGCGATATACAACAAGACTTATTCCAGATACTTCACCAACAACTGATGCAAGAGTGAAGATCGACAGCCTCAGTTATATGTATCCAGCTTTAATGTGCAGGGTAATGTCTGTATAAAACTGTTGTTTGTATTAAAACTGATGTGATCCTTTACATTTTCTTTTAAAATTCATTTATGATGATTGTTGATCAAATTAAAGTCACTTCCTGTTTCTTATTTGCATATGTAAATAAACAGTATCATCTTTATTCTTTCAGTTTGTCATACAAAAAAAAATAAATAAAAATAAAAAATAACACTGCTCTAATATCTCTGTGACAAGGGGCAAACCAAAAGCTCCGGATCAACACCGGCCCAAGGCATAAGTGAACTAAGGGCCTGCTTGGGGCCCCGTGGCCAAAAGGGGCACTCTGAAGAGCAATAAAAATATATATATATATATATTTTTTTTTTGCATGTATGAGTGATGCTTCCTGTATGATCAAATATATATTATTGTAAAAATAAAATAAAGTAAAAACATTTTAGAGCTGCTGCTGATGTAGGCCTATGATTCTTACTGCCGATGTCAAAGCACTGCTACCATTATGTGCCTCCTTCTGTGCAATGTGCACTGAGCATCCAAAGCGCAGGTAGTTATGGGGTAAAATAATGTTGCAAAAAAGGAGACATCCTTCACGAGCAGAGAAAAGAAAGAGGAAGAAGAGAAAAAGTGCCAAGATAAAGGTACGTTTGCATGTCATAGAATGTTCAAGAGATTTGTGAAGGTATGTGAATGATCAACAATCAATATTATTGGCAGAAATAGAGGGCCCCAAAATCACATTTGGCTTAGGGCACCACTGAGGCTTGGGCCAGCTCTGCTCTGGATATTAGTAGAGCCTCAGTCAGTATCCACTGTGAACTACTCTGGCAGTTTCTCCATTTTCAAGACACCCTGGTAGTTACTCTGTTTGCCCACATGGGGTCGTCCCTCAGTTTCTCTAGTTAAGCTACTGCCCACAGGTTAAACACCAATCCAGCAGTGAACACATTTGCCCCCTCATAAATCTCCCCCCCAATCCTACATTTTTTAGGCCACTTTGCGACAAGAGGAGGCACGTCGAGCAGCCGTGATAGGTCGGTTATTTTACTGTCAAGACAGGAGGAGCAGAGATTTCACCCACCTAAAGTGTCGTGGGTGGTCATACTGAATAGATTTTCTTGAATAAATGCACAGACGACGGTTATTTCAAAGCACACTTAAGTTATAAACCAGTAACCTTCATGTGTATGGTTATAATCGTTATTTTTTCTAGCAAAAACTGGTTTGTGGACAGGCGTGATGACGTCACGCGTCATTTGCATACCGCGCTGTATTTATTGTGAGATTGACGCTTGAGACTTCACTCTGCCCCCTGCGCCCGCGAGACGTTTATCCTGTTACTTCTCTGACTCAAACTCCGGTGAGTGTCTCAATGTTTTTGAAAAAATACAAGTTAAATTCAGTCTGCTTTTACCAGCCTTTACTGTCGGACGGTTCTGTCTACATTTTTTTTTAGTTTTCTATCGCACGGTCTACTCAGGTCCTCTTTCGACATCAAACCGTTTCTGCTGCACAGGATGTGAATAAAACTAACGGAATTGTAATTAGGAAGTTCTGCAGAATTGGCCCGTTAAAAAGCTTTACGGTTTTTAACCGTAACCCCTCATACTGGGACATTTGTACTCAAGGTTCCCTTTTGTAACCCAGCTGCACGCTTCTTCCGTTTTTATATGAGGCTCTCATTTTTTGGCACAAAACGCTGATAACTTCTAGCAGTCTCCCAAAGTTCTGCTTTTCTCTTGATACGGGTTTTTGTACATGTGGATCTTCAGACAGTTGGAGGCAGTCATCTTGATTGCTTAAAAGGGCGGTGGTCCTTCAGCTGCATGCGCTCTCCAACTGATACAAAGCTGTTCTCAAGTCAGGCATTAAAAAGCTACATCCGGCTGCAGACTACATGAACTGGCATATTTTTAGCAGCCTCCCTTTTTTTTTTTTTTTCCCAGTTTCTATGTTAGTCATGTGACTAGTCCTCGAGGCTGCAGTCTGTTTATTCTGACTTCTTCTAATCACCTGTCCACAGGCGCTCAGGTGTATTCTGATTGAAGGGGAGCATAATTAAGTGTCCACCTTCTTTTCTCTTCAGAGCCTCTGCAGACATGTCTGACAAACCTAACGTCGCTGAAGTCACAACATTTGACAAGACCAAGCTGAAGAAGACGGAGACCCAGGAGAAGAACACATTGCCAACTAAAGAGAGTACGTTGTCATGTACCTGATTCTACTTTTAAATCCCATTTTTGTCAGTAAACTTGTGGATAAATCATCTAAATTTCTCTTCTTTTGCAGCCATCGAACAGGAAAAGACTGTGTCGTAATGGAGACTGGTCCTCCTAATGCGCTGTACATTCCACAAGCCTTGCCTTTTTTCAACCAACATGTATGCAAGTTGAAGTGCTAAATAATAAAAGCAATTGCGCCAACACCATTCACTTGCTTAGATTCCCCCCTCACCCCACCCCCCGGTGTGAAGAAGGAAGTGCGGCGTGATGTCAGCATTGGGTTCCTGGTCATCTGTTGCTGCAGCGCCAATGGGCAGGTGTGTCATGAAACAACTGAGGGACCTACACTTTGGGATTTGTAGCCCTGCTTGTGCCACTTGTAAATTCTAACAAAGCAAGTGTTTTTGTAAAAAAAAAAAGAAAATCTGGAATGTGCAAGTTTGTTAAATATGCAAAATAAAAAAATGTAAATTGACTTCCTGTCTTTGTGCTTTTTTTTTTCTTTTGTTTGTTTTAAACAAGTGTTTACCACAAATGATGCCCCCTCACTCTTTTAGGCGTAACTTACAAGTAAATTGACTTAATTCAGCTTTTAATCTGAAGCAGCTCTTCCAACATGGGGGGGCTCTCTCAAAGCAGTGCATCTATCCTTTTAGTGGCCTAAAAAGTGCTGAAATCTGCACAACTAAAGCTCAAACAGCTCACTCTATTTTTAAACAAGGCTGACGGCATGAGCCAAAGTTCTGGCTTTGGAAGTATCATATACTCTTAAATCTAACACACATCTGGTCTTGACTGTGTAGCACATGAGGACTTGGAAGCTACAATCCTGGATTTCCCAGATGAAACAAGCAAAGAGTTCAAAAGAGGGCTAAATTGTGAGCTATCTTGATTCACTTGACCATAGCCAACACTTTCTTGCCTTCTGAAAGAGAACATCTGAATTTAAGGGTGAAATAACTTTTACATTTACAGGAGAAAACATCACTAGAGGCTAACCTATCCTCTACATGATTCTTGGTAGAACTGGGACAACTCGAGTGTTTCACACCTTGCTTTAACCAGCCTTGCAGTCATGTTTGATCCTGTTTGGTGCACTCAAAAAGTTCATTCTTTGCAGCTGCACCAAGTCCAAGCAGGAGCACAGCCTCAGTCCCTCCCTACCCTACCTTCAGCTGTAGCTACAGCTGCTCCCTACTGTGAACTGCTACCAGGCAGATCTGGAAGAACTCTCCTGTCTGACAAGACAGGTCATAGCTTGTCAAAAAACGGGCCTCGGGTGTTGGATCAGGGTTTGGAAATCAATCAACTGACTCCTCTTTGTCTGATTAGAGGCTGAAGGAAGAATCTAAAACTCCTCTGTGGTATACCATAAACATTATGGCAGGTAAAATGATTGATTGGGTGTGATTTATGAGTGTCCACTGTGCTGTATTCCTGAATGTCTTGTACATCTTGTACCTGATCTGGCTTGGGGGGCTGATAGTTAAAAGCTGAGGTCATATGTTCCAACATACACAAAGTAAGAGAAAAACAGTGTAGCTTTAGCTGCACAAGTTACTTCCTGAACAGTCTTTTAAAGCCCGTGGGTCAAAATGCAGTGTGATTAGTGCTGGACGATAATTCGATAACAATATATATCGATCGATAGACGTGTGGGGCGATAGAAAAAAAACGGGTCGATAAAAAGTTCGATAGAAAAACACAGTTTCCCTTCCTTTTTCATCATGGCCTATCATGTAGCTTTTACTACAGTCATTACTTCCTCCCAACCAATCACAAACGCAGACCCAGGTACGCTACGGCACCAAGCCCAGCCCCTATCAAACCACAACAGACAGCACGTGTATTAGAAAAAATGTTACAGCAAGGAGAAGCGGAGGACATTGTCCCGAAAAAAGGTCTCAGTAGTTCTCCAGCATGGCAATGTTTTGGATTTTAGAAGTCTGACAAAAAGCGAACAGCGGTCGTTTGCAAAATTTGCCGAGAATTAGTAAAAACCAAGTCTGGTAACACAACCAACTTGTTTTACCATCTAAACCGGTCGCAGCCGCAGGAGTACGAGCTGTGTCGGCCGCGCCGCGGCTCCACGTCGTCGGAGGAGGAATCCTCTGGAACCGCTGCCAGCACCGGCACAAAGCAAGTGAAGCAGACCAAACTGGACTTAGTTTCTTGCCAAAATACGACAAAGCGTCGAGCGGCATAAGGACATCACCCATGCAGTAACATGATTCATAGCGAGGGACATACTGCCAATAACTACCGTTGAAAAGCCTGGCTTCGACCAGCTTCTAGCCACTCTCGACCCGCGATATGAAGTGCCCGGCCGCAAGTATTTCTCAAACACAGCGCTTCAGGCATGAAAATGGGTCAGGGGTTGAAAAGGTGAGAAGGGTGCGGAGGAAATACGTTCCGGTGTTGTACCGTAGAATGCACCCCTGCATCCCGTCCACTCATTAGCTTCTTAAAGTGGAAGAAAATGAGCTCATATTTTACAAAGACGCGAGTATTTGGATCATGGCTACTAGCAGGGGGTGCATTCGGCAGGGGTGCATTCTACGACACAACACCGGCGTGGATAAGTCCTGCTTCTCGTGCTCAGTTTGCGTATTAAGTCAATCACATGATAATTAAAAATAAATCTCCCGACCCCGGGAGAAATATTTCAGTGTTCAGACACCAGGCTGTGGGCAGTTTCCCACATAGTTAAAACTGGTAGTATGCTATTCCCACCTAAAGCTATTCTGTTTATTTATATATTTGTTTGTTTTGTTTATTTTCATCAAAAGACTATTTAAATATTTATTTATCAGATTTTCTGGTCCCTTTAGTCTTTATGTTTGTCAGTATTTACTGACATCACTCAGGCCACTTAAGTTGATCTCTTTTTTTTTTTAAGTTCTTTTTTAAAAAACTTTGAGTTGTGGTAAAAAAAAAAAAAAGGTGGTTGAATAAAGGTTTGAATTTGAATTCAGTGCTTGTGTGTTCTTTATTAAAAGTAGGTCATTAAGCAATAGCATAAAACATCCAGGGCTGCAATTAAAATATATGTTAAATAATTATAATAATATCGATAATTATCGATATCGATCAATATGATTTATTTTTTATCGATATGCTTTTTTTCTATATCGTCCAGGCCTAAGTGTGATCATTCCATAATGTAGCAGAGTGAGTAGCAGAATGAGTTACACTGGGAGAATGCTATGAGTTAACTTCAGCCCCAGTCGAAGTGACCTCATTGGATGTGTGAACCATGGCGTTGACAAAGCTGCTCTATTTGGAGGCTGTTACAAAGAAAAACCCTTTTAAAGAGGTAAAAGAGAGAGAGAACCTGTTCTACCTCATTCTGCTGCACCAGGACCACAGCTGTATTTAATGTGGGAGAGAGCAAGAGAACAAGAGAAAGAGAGATTATGCAACTGCAATGTGGCTGTAGAGTGTAACATCTGTGCTGTGACAACAACAATAGTCTCTGCTGAGGGATTGGCACAAATTCACATCTCTTCTCTTTCCCATGCACCCAAATTTAATCTAGAGTCATTATTATTATGATGGGAAAAAATACATTTGCCTGCTTTTATTTTTGCCTTTTGAGAAGCAACTAAAGGCCACAAAGTTTGCACACATCTGGTATGACCCCTCCCCTTCCTCATCATCCGTATGTGCAGTCTGGCCACACAAGAGCTCCATAGTGTCTGATAACAATGTGGTACTCTGGGGAAAAACAGAAGCTAATACTACACATGGCAAGATGCTGCTGTCTCCTGTTACTCTCTCTTTAAACTCCTTTAAAACAGATACATGACAGATCTGGATTCTGACAGATTTATTGCCACAATCCCACAATGAAGAAAGAGATTGATGATTCTGCTTGTTTTTCAGGAGAGCTCAAAGTTCGAACCAATGGGAAGTTTACACCTGATGGCTTTTACGGAGAGGCACAGCACTTTGAAATCAACATCTGCTGTGATTTATCTCTTATCTTGCTAAGACAAGACGACTCTGCCAAGCTCAAGACCTGATAAACGTCCATGAAAAGGGATGCAAATGACACTGACATGGCACTAAGGGCTGATTGTGGTCAACTTGGCCCAAAGCACCAAAAGGCCATCTGCCAGTGTTGTGACGGGCACCCTCTGGATAGGCTTTGTGGCTCAGACTGACTGCAGCCCACTACCAAAGAACACAGATGCCTCTGAGATGGCCTATAGCGACATACGTAATGTGCTTTGAGAATGAATCTACGCTGGGGAAGCTGCTTCCCAATAGGGGGCCTATACTGTATAACAACGACAGTAGTGTACTGTCATTTTACAAACACAACATCATGTTCAGAAAATCCTAAAGTGTGATGGCAAAAAACCTTGCAGACATTTTTGTATCATGAGTGTATTAGGGTTGCAAGTTTAGTAAGGCTACATGATATTTTTATCAACCTATAGAAGGTGCAGCAGAGTATAATCAAACCCCCTAAACAAATGCTGTGAATCTTTGTCAGATTATACCCTGACAGTGTCTGATTTACAGGAAATGCTTCAGGGGTGAAACACAAGTCTTGTTCCTGTAGGTTCTTATTTTTACATGCAGGAGGAAGTGACAGGATCTCAACAGCTGCGAGCAGCCAAATGGCGAAAAACTCATCCCTGCGTCTCTGCTTCGTCTTCATGTTCAACCCCAAAAGCTGAATGCAGGTCTATCTTTCTTGTGCTCTCTGTTTCCATGGCAGCAGACGGGAGATTTCCACACATTTTTACATGATCAGAGAGTCGGCTGTGTTGTTGAGGGCTCTAAATCCTTTCATTTACTCATCAACGTCCAGTAGCTGTGTATATGCTATTTATATTAGATTCTTCGACAAAGGCCTTTTTCAGAAAAAGTCTTTTAATCTGCCTAACTCAAAAACTCATTAATGAAAACATATTATCAGCTGTAAAAACTAAAGGTCAGAGGCTTAACTGTGGAGAGCTGCAAGGTGAAGTAAAACCAGAGACTCTGAACTACCTAGGGAACTATTCCCCTTGTGGTTAGGTTTACACTGTTCAGGACAAAAATGCCTCAGTAGAAAATTTCATAACAGTCTGCCTGTCCAAGCTTGCATGTTTAGGCGGGGCTACACATTTTTGAAGGCTACTTTCTGCAAGTCTTCATTGACATCCTGCAAGCGCATTTTTTGTAACACCTAGTGCAGTTTTTTTTTTTACGATTAGTTCACAGTTTCAGACGGGCGGCGGATTATCCTGTCAAAGCTGTGCATTAACACTACACGAGATTTTTTTTTCAAGGGGAAGGAAAAAAAAAAAGAGCTCTAAATTTTGTCTTTCATTTTATGGCATGAACCAAAGATAGAGGCTCTCTTTATAGGAGGAAACAATGGGATATGCAGCGGTAAATACTGTTAATTAACTTAAAAGAGTCAGTTAAAAAGGTGTGCCAAATAAGTAAGTAATGATAGGTTTCAAGATAATGAAATAAATATCTATGTGAGGACTGTGGGTGTGACTCAAAAACAGCAGCAGCCGGGACAGAAATGTTCATTCATCTGCTGGGGAGGTTCAGAGTCTTTATGTTCTTTATTCAGGCAGCACCAAGGAAAGGACAATTCATCTTTGTCTGCATTATCATGGCCATGGTGGGAAAAAGCAGCGCAGCTATTGTGTGATAGGTAGATACAAAAGCTGAGGGTGTGAACTGGCCAATCCAGCGACACACCATAACGGTTGCTATGTGTGACAAAGATACTCCCAGGAACATGCCTTGAGTTTTGTCTCAGGGGGAAGATATAAATCCATCATCCTCATAGAATGATTAAGAAGCAGAGATACAAAAATGTTTGACTATGAGCAGATTATGACAGGAATCTCCGGAAAAGCTAGATGGTTATCTAAAAATCTTACGCTGCCATTTGAAACCTCGAAACAGAGCAGACACAAAAGCAAAGTCAATAACATGAAAAAGCTGCCTGACCTGTTTCTTATTCTCTGAGGGCTCCTTACCTTTAGTCAAGGTAATGCATAACAACCCTTTGCACTTATAAAGCCTTGCATCAGAATTACAATTCAAGGATGGCCAGCTAAAGGACCTGTGGGTGATTATGTGATGCAAAGACAAAGTAGCAGGTTAAGGACAGATTGGATGCATCAGAACGTGAGAAATTTTCACTGCAAGTACTTAAAGCAGAAAAGGAAGAGTCATGTTAATACCTCAGACCAGCATGTGAACTCTCAGTTTTCACGATCACAGAGTTGATCAGATATCCAGCTGTGTCACAGGGTGTGTCAGCTTTAAAACCAGGATTAAGTGTTAGCACACAGCTGGTGCAGTTTTTCAACCTGGAGGAAGAGAAGCGTTCTGAAAAGGAGGAAAAGCTGAGGAAATTAACCAGGATTTAAACACTGAGGTCATGAGTCCAAATTCCTGGAGCAATTTTTGATGAAATTTTGGTTTTGTAGCATCGACCAGCTAGGCCAGTGGCACCCCTAAGACTCTGTACAACACACTCTTTTCAATTTGGGGTTGGAGTTTTATTGCTATCAATTTTGATCTTGAAGTTGCTTCGAGCTATTCTCAGCATTGTTAGTGCAAACACCCTGAAATAAACACCAACAACCACTTCAGCCACATTCATTTGTCACTTCAGATCAGTTCACAAGGTAGTACTTGCCAAAAAAATCTGTGACATAAACACACAACGACAGAAACACAACCAAACCAGGAAGAGAAAAAAGGAACACGCCCAGTTCAACAAAGGCAGCAGTCCAAGAGGAGAAAAAACATACATCTCATTCCCCCTGCTGGACTATTTTTTTCTTTTTTAGCCAGGCAGATGTGGTCCAAGTGCACTTGCAGGGATGCAGAGTGTGATTGAATGTGACATGTGCATGCAAGCTTTCAGCTGCAAGAGTCACCCTGGTGAAGCTCAGTAGCTCACCGGTTGTGAGCGTGGCAACAAAAAGGCCCCATTTCTGCATCAGTACTCAGTATACGTGTATCAACCATGAGAAATTAACACCTTCATATATAAGCCATAACTCATTCGGCACATGCAGAATACAGAAGTGGAGCTGAGAGGTTGACCTGGTATGATGACAGTGATGGTGTGTGACAAACAGACAGGAAGTGAGAGACAGAAGGGTGAAGTAAGACACCAGTTTGAAGGTTGAGTTAGAGCCTGTGTGGCAGTAATCATGTGATGGAGGGAACTGGAAGTTAGTGAGTAAGGGCCAAAAAGCCTTCCTTCAGAGTTATCACTGCAGTAAAATATCTGTTTCTGCAGAGTAAAGAAATGAGCTTCTGAGTGACATATTCACTCAGGAAAGTGACCAGATGCATGTCTGGGAACATTTTAATGCTGAGCTACGACAAGTGCTGTGATGAATCTGCATTTTTTTTCTTTTTTGTATCACTGACTTGGCATCAGTTTTAAGCTAAGGGAAACTCAACATATTAGATGGGCAGGAGTGGAAGATGTAAACGTTTGAGACAGAAATTTTAGCCGTGGCAAATTCAGTTTGTCCTTGGTTTAGTGCTGAGTAAGTGTTCCTTTCACTTGGCAATGCAGGCTGCACAGTCCCATATAAGTAAATGAATGTGACCTCTATAGGGACATGCAGTTATCAAGGCAATGAGCCAAAAAATTAAGAGATGCAGCAAGGTATTTAATCTAATGCAGCTGTCCCTGTTGATGTGTCACTTTTAGACCAGAAGAGTGTTTACCGCAAAGGTTCATGCGGTTAACTCTCTGTCACAGTGTCATGTCTAGTCTCAGCTGTCAAATGCATCAGGAAACAGAGTTTTCTCATTCTGAGAAATGTCTTTATGTATATAATGTGCAGACTTGAGTGAATGAGCAGGAAATCATTTGGTGGGAGACTTGTGACTACCTGAAAAAAGCAACTCTGTGATGGTTCAACACGTGCAAAGACTGTTTTGTTTTTCAATTTAAATGAAGGATTTCTGTCAATATTTGCAATGACTGAATGATTAAATAGAAAGCACGTTTAGAGTCTTGTAATGTCACACAAAGAAGCACAACTGCTCTAAGAATGTTGCCCTACGATTCAGCCTCGCTGAAAAAAACCGTCAAAGCTTCATAATGTGTATACTTCTCCTCCTACTTCCACAGTCACACTGATGTTTCTCAAACTTACAGTAAAGGTTTCCTAACTGCTAAATGCTCTGTCATAGATAAGCATTTTCCTGAGATCACATTTTTACAGCAAGTTTCAGATCATGAAACTGCATCTCTGATTCAAAAAAAAAGAAGAAAAAACAAACAATATTGTTAACGCTGTTTAGAAAATCGACACTCAAAAGTAAATGTGCTGTTTGACTATTATAGGAGTCTGATGTCTCTCAACCTTAAAGTTTCTAAGGTGTGTAACAGGATGTGGTTAGAGAGCTGCAGTGCAATACTGCAGAAGCAAAACCTTCCTAACTGTGCTTGTATGCTTACATTTGACCAGACTGTAAGGTTTTGCTGGCCTGACTCACACAGCTAAATAAGGAATAGGAACTTATCTAAAATAACTGATGATGTATCAAGTATCTTGACATCAAAACATGTGCTTTTTGTAAGTTTCACTTTGCTAAATAACATTTCAGGCCTGCAAACATCCCACTGGCCTGTTCTCATTAGGCGTCGGTGCATATAGAGGTGTGTAGAGTTTTAAAGTGGCTAGCACTGATGTCATCAGTGTGTTAGTGTGTGTGTGTGTGTGTCTCTCTGTGCGTGTGCCAGATTTTAGACTGCTCGTGTTAAACGTCAGGAAGCAGAGGGGAACATTTTGTGCAAATTCAAAAAGTACAGCAGAGAACAGCATGATTCATGTGTCATGTTAATGTCATGTTAACATCCAACATAAGCTGCACAAATTACACTCACAACATAGGCACTTTTTTGTGACGTGTATAGTAAAGTTTGCATATGCACAAAGCTTACACGAGGGTTGTATTTAATGCTTTTACAGTATTGTTCAGAAGTTAGTTGAGCTTAAAATAGATGGATTTTCCACTCAGGCAACGTGATGAAAACCGTCTGAGGAATGTGCTCAGCTCCAAGTGTTTCAATACTTCTGCAAGACCCTGCATGTCTCAAGTGAAAAAGGAGCGTTTAAGTCAAATGCAGGTAAGCACTTGTTGATCCTTTGTGTAACTATTTTTACACTTTTTAACTGTGGCATAAAGGCACAGAAATTCCAATTCAGCTACATTTTCTTTGTGCAGTATGCAGTCGTCTGGCCGTTGTTGTGAAACGAGGCGATTTAGGCAACAGCATTCTGATTAGGTCTGAGAATGGTTTGATCTCTTCTTAATTAACATGGATAATCACTTGAGAAAGAGATGTCTGTGTGCACGCAGCAAGAATTGGGTCGGCGCAAGCGGTCGAGACCAAAGTCTTTCAACTGCAACTTCTGACTTCTGCTATTTATGACTTTTTCTCTCTTCCTTTTTAGAGGCACGCTGTTTCCACTTCACGCTGTGCACCGCTGTAGAGGAACTTGTAGGTGTAGCGCACCAGCTTCATTCCTGTTTGCATGAAGCCTAAACATTATGCAAGTATGAACAGAACAGAAGTTACATAACTGTTGAGGGCTAAACCAAGACAACGCATGCACAGAAATAAATCACTCATATCTGACAGTTCATAGGACATAGTTTGCTATCCTTTAATAGTTTGTTTTGAAATCACATGCCTGTACAGTTCTCTATTTGTCCTCTTTTTTGCATGTCCCCGCAGCTATAGCAGAGCAAAGCCCTTTCTATCTCAAACAGGAAATGAAGTCTGGTTGTTTTCATCGTCCCGATACCCACACAAGTCTGTAATAAGGGCAAATCCATTTTTATATGTAATCTCATGAGCCTATAATCCCGGCAACAGTGCAGGTACATTAAAACTCTTGTGTGCACACAGGGTCAGAGTTATAAGTGATACTGCAGCATGTCTTATCTTGTTAGGTATGCACTTTACATGCTCACTACACTGAGGTGAAATGAGTACCCAGCATGCACCTATAAAGCAGGGAAGAATAAAGGCCTGATCTCAACTCTGACCTCTGAGGTCTTGTTACTTAAATCTGCAGGTCATGAAGCAAATTGAACCTGGACTGACACGACAGGAGGGTGAAAGTGTAGCTGCAAGGTGAAATGGATCACCAAAGCCTTCTTATTATTGCACAGTAGATTTTATAGCAGCAGAAAAGCTTGAGAATGTTCAAAAAAGAGGGTTAAAATCTGTAAAACGAGTCGTTTGTCTTGTTTGTTACGGGGTTGATAAAAGAGTCTGTCTCAAAGGAAATGGATTCGCATACAGTCATGTGGGGAGGAAGTGCAAATGGGAAGTTCTCCTTAAAGTAACCACGATTAAATTAAAAAAATTGAACTAAAGCGCTAAAGCATCTAAATGTAAATATAGTATGATGATAATGTGTGCGGTCTAGTCGAATGAATCATCACGAAACATTTGATAAAAGGAAAGTCAGCAAAATAATGTCAGACCATTACAACTCTAGCAAAGTAACTCATGCCGCCTCTTTAGAGTTGCGTGTATTATCAGCTCTGCAGCAGCAGCAGAGAGGTCAACATTAAAGCTCCATTTAAGACCATGACACACTAAATTCGCCCTCGTGACGTCTCTGACCAGGCTAGCTCATTAATAAATCATATCAAGCCATACATCGACCCTCTTGAGATGTCTGGTGCTTTCCCCATCAGACACACCCGCACAGTATGGCACAAAGCGAGTCTGCTGCTGCATTATTAAAGAAAAGAGAGTGGGAGATGTCCAGCTGAGCCTGCGTTTAGTCTGTCACAGGCGTCACATCGAGGCTGCATAAGTGCCGTTGTGATCTGGCAGACAGCCTGAATCCCTAAAGGCTGCAGAGGGGGTCAAACTCCCTTAACAGCAGCTTATTATTGTGTAATCTGTGGGCAGCAGATGTTTCATGGTGAACACCTGAAATTACAGAACTGAATTAGAACAGGACTCTGTTGGGTCAGTGAAAGGCCAAAGCCATCATTTTGAAACTTTAAGAACCAAAACGAAACTTAAGCTACCTCAGTGTATGGATTTTTTCAAACACTTAATGTGGCGAGTTATTGAATTATTCCAAAGCATTTGTCTATGGGGTCAGATTGGATTCCTTTACTTTCTGCTTTCTTGTAGTAAAGCATTTGCAAGAAGTCAGCTCTACTAAATGATCCCTTTTTCTATCCCCTCCACACACAAACCTTGAAATTACAAACAAGCAACAAGGGCATGAGTGATGCAGGAGTCACAGCACACACCCATGCTCAAGGACACATCTATTATTGCGAGGGGAAGTCACAGCTCCTCTCCTGCACTGTTGCACCATCCTCCCAAAGTAACATAGCCTGAGCCCTTTTTTATACAAAGTGGAACAGAAACTTTTTAATTTTGAAATCCAAAGCCTCATTGCACATTTCATGCCTAACCAATAAACCAGCACAAAAGATTGTTGCGCACTTTTTATTTCACTTCTTGGTGCACTTTCTCAGGAAACTAACTAGTTCTGCTTAAATCTTTTCTGATCGCACTACCTAAAACTGTGTATCCTGATGTCTCTGATGAACAGCGGCTCATTTTCACAGCACTCAGTATTCTCTGCAGTGCATTCATTGCTCATTGCATCTCCCACTCAGGGCAGGATGTGGTTGTGTACACACATCACTTTCAAAATAACTACTCATCAGCTCTGTCTTGTCTCTCCTTTTATAGTAAAAGCCTTGCTCTCTGTGCCAAGGGCCACAGTGAGGGACACTGAGTGGATGGATGTGTGTTGTCCTTGCCAGGGCCAGTGTTTATCTGATAAAAAGGGTAACCAGCAAGCTTGGGTATTGGACTGTGGTAATCCCAGTATCAACTGCATTACTAAATTATAATTCCATCAGCTCATGTCTGCAAGATTAGAGGCCATTAAAGAAAAGGCAGAGGACTGGCCTGAGTGAATTCCAGGAAGTGGGGAGACATACTTCCTGGAGATTGGCAATGCATTACAAATCTGCAGTGTCATTTGCAGACAGCGTAAATACAAATGCAGAGAAAGAAAGAAGACCAAAGTTCATGCATTCAAGTGTTAAAAAGCCTTTGGTTTTTACAAAACAAATCATTATCAGTCACCTAAACTTATTAGCTACAGGAAGTAGAAAAGTGGACCGCTGTCAACACAAAGTAAACGCAGTCACACACTGACCTCTAGTGACAGAAAAGAGAGGAAGGAAACTTACTATCAGAGTGAATCACCATTACTTGTAAAATTCCACTTGAACAGCTGAGGCTTTTGTTCAGAGCTGTGCAGAAAACACCAGAACAAAACCAGAAAAGACAGAGCTTCTCTTGTAGAAAACAATGTCATAATATGGAGTGAGAAAAACAGAAGATTCATAAGACAAACAGAAGTAAAAAACTGACTGTGGCCTGTGTAAAACTGAGGGGGAGACTTTTTTACTCTGATGATAACACAGATAATTAAATTCTACTGTTTGAAAACTAAATGGTGAGCTACGAATACTCTTATGACAATAGATAGGCCTCTGTTTGATAAGGACACAAAAATAAAGTGACATATTTTAGGATTTTAGATAAATGGTTTGTAGGGGGGAGTGGGGTAAGATGAGCCATTTTTCACATTTCGGATCACTACATCAAAACATACAAAGTGGTCTCCTATGGCCAACTTATTCCGTGCATGGGGTAAGTTGACCAGTTGAGCCGTATCTCTACTATCCCTCCACTCTCCACCCCAGCCCTCCCTCACCTTCTCTCTCCCTGAATAACAGTCACTTCTTCACATTCATGTGTATTTTTATCTATTATACGCTATTCAACTGGTACAATAATTCTTTTTATTATTATTGCATATAACTGCTAAAAAGCTGTTTAGTAAAAAGACATTTTAACATGAGAATGCCTTTCAGTGATTCAGAACATTCACAGCTGTATTTTTGGAAAGAAAAAGTAACACATTTCAACAATCTGAACTGAAACTCTGATCCTCTCATCACACTCCTTTACTTTTTCACCCCAGAACTACTATTATGACTTTTTTAGTCCTCTTAGCTAAAATGGTGGACTTTTATGCTAGGTTTTTGACCTCATGTTGTAGCTCATAGATACCACAATTGATGTATGAAACACATTTAAAATGATCTTTTTTGGTCTGAACACATTTCTAATAAAACTTATTACAGACTAAATTCACTTTCAAGAGTGAAAAATGTTTATTTGGAAATAAATGTCTAACCCCTTCACCCATGTGCTTCCAGGGGGTGGATCAACTTACTCCACTCTCCCCTATATGTACTTTACACCTAACCAACAGCATTGAGTGTTTCAGAAATACTTGTAATTTTGAAAAGTTCATGTTTTTTCCGTATTTTTTGTACTTCAGCAAAGTTTGCAGTTGCCCTAAAAAAGCCAAAGACGTTTGGATTGCTGGTTAGAGTTGTGCCTGCAGTCTCAATAGCAAAACTTTCTCAAGGACAGAAGATGGAGCTGTTGTAGTCAGAATCATGCCTTCATCTGAGACCCCAGCCCAAAGTTTGGAATACAGTAACGTCACCAACAATAAAAAACAGGAATGTGTGCAAGCATGTATATGTCTGTGTTTAGTTTTGTAGCACCAGAGTTCCTTTACAAATCACCAATGGAGGTTAAGCCATAAAAAGCAATGAAGACAAGCATTTAAAAAAGTACTGGTCATGGTTCTGGACAACGGTTGCTGCACAGTACATAATGTCATGCACTCTACTGTACTCTTCTGTGTGCTAACAATTACTTTCTTGTCCAATGAAGTAACACGGGCCAGAGCCTGACACTGTTCAGATAACTGCAAAACAACAAGCCATTGTTCAGTGTGAATGCAGATCTTATGTCTTTCCTGGATTTTCATTTAATCGCATGCTCCTAAGTTAACCCAATATTTGTCATGTGAAAACTCTTTCTTAAGGAAGTTCTGGTGAATGGTCAGGCGCCGGTAAGGGAAGGCAGGGGTGGAGGACCACTGACCTGGACTTGGGATATCATCAGGTCATGGAAGGAACACTCTGACGAACCCAGCTGAAAGACAGAGTCTAAAGACCAGCTTCGTCTATAACCTTGGAAGAGGTGGCTGAAATAGTCAAAAAGCTTCTCAGAAGCAAAGCGCCAAGGGTGGATGAGGTTCTCCCTGAGAAGCTGAAGGCTTAGGACATTGATGGGTTGTCTTGGCTGACACGCCCGCCTCAATTTCCAGGACAATGCCTGTGGAAAAGAAGACTGTGGGGCTGTGGTTTCCATTTAAAAAAAAAAAAGAAATGTACTCCAATTATTGTAGCTGCACAATTCTCAGCCCTGGAGAAAGAAGACTTTTGATCGTGTTACTTTGGGACTCTTGTGAGGGGTACGAAGGGAAATGGGGTCCAGGGCCATTTCTGCAAGCTATTTGATCCCTGTTTGCCCAGAATGAGAACTGTGTCCACACACTCAGCACAAAGTCACAGTCAGCCTCAGCATTCACCGGGTTGCTCCTTGTCCCTAGTTCTGTTTGGGATTTTCATGTACAGGATCGTGAGGCGCAGCCAAGGGAGGAGGGTTTACAGTTTGGGGGCGACAGAATTCCAGCTCTGCTTTTTGCATGTGATGTGGTTCTGTCAGCTCTTTCAGGCCGGGACCTCTAGCATGCACTGGAGCAGACTGCAGCTGAGTGCTGAAGGCACGGTTCTCTGCCAGAAAACAGTGTTGGGTGGGAAATCAGACTTTGCTCAAGGTGGGGGAGTTGAAGCATTTCAGGATCTTACACATAAGTAAGGAGTTGCATCAGCAGTAATGCAGGCATACCAGACCATTGGTTAAGGGGCTTTGCAATCCAGAATAAAACTGTTGCTCCTTTGCTTTACAGGGACTCAGTTGAGGTGGTTCAAGCATTTGATTGGGATGCCTGACTTTAGAGGTGTTATGGTCACATCCAACTCGGAGGTAGACCCAGAGCTTGCTGGAAAGATTGTATAATGTTGTTGGGGTAATGAATAAAAAGAGTAACCAGAATGACACAATTCAGAATAAGTAGATAAAAACGAATGGATGAATTAAAGCTTGCTTATCTAGCCTTAGAGATAGTCTGTTTAATCAATATTTATCATGTTTTAATTTGTTCACTTTGGGTGGGCCAACTTAAACCTTAGACTGTATAAATTCATGAAGTCATGTAAGCCTCTATAGGCTGGACATAGACTGTATTTAGAATGGCCGCCGTCTGCCTCTTTGCTGGGTGAAGCCACTCCAAGAACAGCACCCTCTGGTGACAGGCTGCAGTATAGGTCATAAATCCCGCCTCTGCCAGCCATCCTTATTGGCTGTGGACAAACTTTAGAAATTTATAGCACAGAATATATACCCCCCCCACCCCCACCCCCACCCCCCGCGATGTTGACATGTAGTTATTGTAAGACTGGTTTGTGCTCAAGTCCTCCTTTCCCTGTAAAACTCAATTTTTAAAAGTCATTAGAGGTTCATGTTTTCTATGATTGACACTTGATACAGCCTATGGGCGTATGTAGATTGCGCCAAGCGTCATCACAGCGACTCTCCTGCCGAATGCGTACAATGCTACTGTGCAAGTGGTGGAGTGGGTACAACGCTACTATGCATGTTGGTTTCAGGAAATGAAGAAAAATCGCAGAAATACTGAGAGCTGTTTAGCTTCAAATCCATATACAGGCGGAAGAGGGAACCAAGTTGTGTGTGGTATATAAAGTCTATGAGGCTGGATATGTATACATGTATATACCACACAAATACAAAATTAAACTTCAAAATCCAAACTTTGTTTCTCCCTGCTCACACACACTAAAGGGTCTGTTATGTTGCAAAAAACTGCTCAGGTTTGTAAATTAGTTACTCTTTAAACCAAGACTATTGGTGTTGACTCAGATAGCACTTAAAAAAAACTGATTTGATCACACACACACACACCAAACACTCTACAATTACAATGCATTTAACAACTGACCCAACTCAGACTACTAGGTGGTCCTTAGACCAACCACTTAGAGCCATGTGACTAACTAAGCTCCCAAAAGGTGGAGTAAGAAAGCACCCATGCAGTGCTGTTTGCATCTGGAGCCAGACACATTGTAGTCGAGACTAATGCACTTTAAATCACAGCTTGGTCATGGTTAAAAAATAAATCATTGTAATTGATACTTTAAGGAGGTTGGAGCAAATATTTGAGTCCGTATTGACGGATATTATCTCCCTTCTGCCGGCAGCACTACTTATTGTTACTTATTGCATATTTGTGGTGACTCCTGCAGACTTTTCCAGCAACCAAACTTCCTCAACTTCCCCAACACTCACCCCCTGGATAAGTACTTAGGACTCGCTCCATGTGGATTCAGCAATATGAGTCCAGGTTCAACAAGGATCTCTGAGTCCCTCACTTTCCAACTGTACTATCTTTCAATGAATTGGTGCAAAACTGGGAATGCCTGTGCTGGAATGTTGTTGGCCTCCTGACCTATATAAACAAAGCAAGATGCAACCACCAACAAGTACAGGTGAAACTGTTTATGCAAGCCTGAAAGAATAAACAGTGCGGTGATGTTGAGCTAAACTACAGATTAAAGTGTGGACTTCCTTCTCATTAAAAGGCTGTTTCCATCGCAGTATTCAGACTATCATTTTAATCTGTTTTTGGACGGCATAGTAGATCCCAGAACTAACCAACAAATGTAAACTAAAACCTGACACTCCCACTGAAACGTCACCTGTCTGTTTTTCTAAAAGGTATATAGGATGAGGACCAGATGTCTGGGCTGACTTTGAAACCATGAAAACTCATTAAACATTTTTACTACTGAGCTTGCACTTAGCATGTGCTCGAGAGAGGAAAACTTTATGTGGTACCTGTGAGCGAGACATCAAAGAGCAGTGGAGCGGCTAATGACAGGCCTACGCATGTCTGACTTCCACAATTAGCCAATTTTCCCCTCATTCATACAAAGCCTATATCTTCCCAGAATTTGGAATCTGCACCAGTATGATTTTTCTGAATGGTGCTCCACAGGGAGACTTTCTGATGTATAGGATTTCAGTGAAGAGAGGAGCACCCCTAAAGATAATCCCCACCCCCCTTACAAACCCACCCCTACCTCCAGGAGTCACAACCTATCCCTCCTGGTGCAGTGTCATTTCACAGAGTGTCAACCCACCTCTGGAATTTCAGAGAGGCAGAAGAGGAGGCAGATTATGGGACAGAGAGTAAAGCTGCAGCAGCATTGAAAGGAGTGAGTGATTTTTTTTCCCTTCCCCTGCAGGGATTGTGTGCTCTGGAAATACATGAAATCCGGTGTGCCTTGTGTGAAGGCTCTCCTAAGACCTGCTCCTGTCTAAGCACTTTAATGAGCAGAAAGCCCCAGGAGGAATAGTCGGGACTCAAAGTAAGCAAAGTCAACCCCGTGGGAAACAAAGCTCTCAGGCTGCTCACAGACATGCAGCCTTTCACCTTGGTCGGTGCGCTTTTCCTGCTGCTCCACATCTCCTCTGGCAGCACAGAAACCCACAGGTAAGTCCACTCTGCAGAGCTGGAGTGTTAAAAGTTGCATGGTGCTGAACCTGATCTAGGATTTCTATCAAATTTAATATTTTCCACTGTTAAGAATCAAAAGACTCTCCAGAAATATGCCAGGTAGATGTCAATGTGTGATGTTAAAGTGTCTATAGCATTGCCGCAGCACAAACGCTAATAACAGTGTCACTAACAATATTGGGTAGCATACAATTTAGCCCACTTAGTGTGACCAAAAAGAGGGATTACCACCATTTCTAACAGCCACTTCCTCCCTGCTTTTATCTTCAGCGGGGCTTAATGAGTAACACGAACCCCTCTATTTTGCACAGGGTTATGTGCTTTAAATCTTTACAGAGAGGACTGTTGTTTTAGCCGGTATGTACACAGCATAGACCACTATGAGAGCTATGTGTCAGCTAAATGTGGCTCAGCAACTGTGTGTATAACTGAGGAGCACCTGTCACACTTCAGAGCCCCTCTCGTGTGGGCTATTCTGGTTGTTTTCTATCAAGTCTCAGATTCCTCTGGTCCCAGTGGAGCCAGGGACGCATATACGATGCTAAACCTTTGACACATAAACATCTGAGGTTGTAAAGTTTGGCACTCAGTGTAAGGGGGAGGAGGATAATTTTGCTAGTAGCTGATTTGGATGTGTACGTCTAACATGGAGTTACTGTTAAAGAGGCAAACGGGGTCTCATCATCATCATCATCATCGTCATAATTTAATTGACAAGTTAAAAATACACACATGCAATATAATCTATACATCCTGTTGGTTATTTGCAAACCAATGCTTAATGGCTGACCACAACTGTGAATAACTTCACAAGAGTCTCATTGGTTTAATTAGATGTCATGTGAAGATGAAGGTTAAGTTAAAAAGGGAGAACATATGTTTGTGCAGAAGGTATCTATATGTAGCGCAGGAAGTGTCTGATTAGTGTGTTTTTCTCCATCTGTAGCCGACATCCTGTCAGCTGGCTGCGGCTCCACAGGGAGCCTAACTTAATCACTAACCAAGTCTGTGAGGGGATGCTTTATTTGGGTTTGTTTTTTTCACACATTGAAACCAAATGAAAGGATGGCGGAAAGCTGTAGGGAGCTCTTGAGGAGTCTTGATGCTCTTTTTCATCTATTTATTTTGATATAATTGGATTTGTAATAATTCAAACTGCCGCAACAGTTTCTGTATCCTGATAAAATGTTGCTCCAAGGCTATTTATGCTCTCTGATGTTTGCTGTATTAACTAGTATGAGCTATAAATTTAACTAAGACAGGTAAATTACACATCTTACCTTTTGCTCCTCTCCTCTTTTGCAAGGCACTACCGACAAGTCCTTACTGGAAACCAAGCAGGTGTGTGTCGCTATGGCAGGAAACTGGAGTGCTGCTATGGCTGGAAGAAAAACAGCAAAGGACAGTGTGAGGGTAAGAAGAGTCCAGATTTACGTAAAAACTAGTCTAAAATAATAAAAAATCATGTTTTATTTATGGGTGATATTCAAACTACACAGTATTTAAATAACAGTACATGTCAAGAAAGATTTACTGCCATAATATGCTGACCATTATTATCCATTTTCTCAAAGATATTTTCCTATAACCTGGATACTTCAGTGGAAAAAAGATACCCTAAATTAAAAAACCTTGCCAGCACATGTGTGGTTTGACTGTCATCCATCTTTTTCAAACCACTGATATGTCTGGTGGTCTTTTCTCCATGCTGAATGTTTTACCAGCTCAATGTGACCACGGCTGCAAGCACGGGGAATGCGTTGGCCCCAACAAATGCAAGTGTTTCCCTGGATACACTGGGAAGACGTGTAATCAAGGTGGGTACATGAAGTGAGGAGTGAAAAAGGTTTGGAAAACACGGGTCAGACTGGGATGAGAAGATCTCATTTCATTTTGTTGGTTTTGGGTGTTTTACTTGAAGCATATCCTGTTTTCTTGGTTTTATTATTAAGTAGCTTGGTTAAATCATATGTTTTAAGTATTAGAAAAGAATTCACAGTGGATAATAAAACGATCTTGAACTATATTTCTAGATCTAAATGAGTGCGGCCTGAAACCTCGTCCCTGTGAGCATCGCTGCATGAACAGCTATGGAAGTTACAAGTGCTACTGTCTCAATGGTTACACATTAATGCCTGATGGATCTTGTGCAAGTGAGTAAAATTATGTCAAAAAAAGTACAAAAACAAAGATTTCAATGTATCTGACTGTGTTTTTGTGTGTGTAGATTCTAGGACGTGCTCTCTAGCTCACTGTCAGTACGGCTGTGAGGAAGTTCAGGGTGAGATTCGTTGCCTCTGTCCGTCTGCGGGGCTGCAGCTCGGGCAAGATGAGAGGACTTGTGTGGGTGAGCAACATTCACTACAGATCAATGTGTTATAAAGCAAAGTCAGATATAACTATGTCAACAATTAAACTGAATAAATAACAGGTTTGAGAAAGATACAAGGGGAGAAAAAGATGCATGGACTGTAGCTGCTCCTATGTCATGGATTTTGTACTGCAAAACAACCCTGTAATGACTCTATAATGTGGCTTTAAAATGCTAGGCCTGGAAATCCAGTGGGGTGCAATTAAATAAAATTTCCTCCCACAAAGCTCCTTGGGCTCGAACACAGCCAGTCTGACAATGTGATCACACAGAGGAAGTAATATTATAGTTATGGAGCATTAAACTCTGGACTGAGATGGATCCAATAAGTTCAAAAAGGGTAACAGCAGAGAAACCCTTTTTATAAAAATGGACCAGAAAGTATGGCAGTGCCATAAAAAACATCTAATGAAGCCTGCATCTACTGTATCAATCATGAGAGTGTAGAGTGAGCTTTAATACTGAGCCTGTGCTAAACATAGAGGAGCAATCTTTAAGTCTGAGCTGCATAGACGACTGGCTGCAGGCCCAGACTACAAGTCGCTGACAGTAAACAGAGACACATAAAAATCATTCACACTGAGAGGTGAAGAAAGGTTGAGATATTACTGTATATGCGGGTTAGTTCATTAATGAAATCCTTTTTAACTTCTAAAGCATAGCTAAGCTTAGCAAACATGAGTCAGTGTTTACTGCGTAAAACATGGACATAGTTTTGAATTCCAATAATGAGTCACCATAAATAGAAATGCAGATTCAATCACTTGAAACAGAGTCAAAGAGGTACAACTGAGGCGGGCTTTAGCCTCCTAGCCAACAGCTACAACTCGCCCACCTGTCCGTCAATACAGACAGCCTAATTATTATACAACCTTTTTTACAACTATGTTTAGCCTTGGCAAAAATGAACGTGTCATTAAGATGTGGATGGATGTGTTGGACTGCTGTATAATCTAAACAAGGTGCAACAAGGGTACAAATGATTAGAGGAACAGAGGGAGGCAGGTGTGTGTGCGTGTGTCTGAAAAGCCAAGGACTAGAATAAGCATGACATGAGAGAAGCTGAAGCAGTCATGAGCACTCATGAACTAAGGACTGCCAGGCTAAACAGTGAGAGACATCAGAATTATAATCAAATACAGGCCAAAGATGAGTAAATTGGTGTGATGCAGACGTCACATGATGGGTTATTGTTTTAAATAACTATGATATCAACGTCAATCAAAGCAATGATTGTGATTGGCATTTTTGCCATGATCGAGCAGCACCTTAAAGTAACTCTATTCAGTGCTTCAGTATTTTGAAAGCGATCAGAAACACTAGTAAGCCAATGAGGTTCATACTCAAGACCAGCGAGATGATGAACTGCATACAGTTTATCAAAGATGGTTCATGTTGTTGATGTTAAAAACAGCTGATGTCTACATGAGAATGAACTAGAGCTCAAGGCTATGAACACCAAACACAGGAAAAGAGTCAGCAGGAAGCTGCAAAGAGCTGGAAATATGTCATATCTGTCACAATCGTGCTCGTGTTTCCTATCTGTATATATCAAAATGGAAACATGAAATCACATGCTATTAATGTTTCTGTCTCTCCAGATATTGACGAATGTGTAACTGGGGAGAACCTCTGCCCGTACAACAGACAATGTGTGAACACATTTGGCAGCTACTACTGCAAGTGCCAGGAGGGATATGATCTGAAATACGTAAACGGCAAATATGACTGTGTAGGTAAGGTATACCAATTTACAATCATGATTCAATTCCAATCAACTCTGCTCCTGAAGGTACAAATAGGCTTCTTCCATTTCCAGACCTCGATGAGTGTGTAAGTGGCACCAACAAGTGCAGCCACCATGCTGTCTGTCTGAACACCCCAGGATCCTACAAGTGCAGGTGCAAGCCTGGCTTCAGAGGCAATGGCTTTGAATGCTCTGGTGAGATCCTAGCACTGCTACACAGAAACATTAATTGAATATATTAGGAATGCCTTTTGCCTTCAGAACAGATTTAAATAGCTGTGTTTAAGCCTTTCTCCAGATGAAAGTCAGAAGCAGTTTTACAGTTTAACTGTATATTTCATTTGGACTCCTTAAACACCAGCTAACAGCAGTCCTTCCTCGGCCAGTTTCCTGCCAACAGACTCCACTTCTTTTAACAGATGTTAGCAAAAGAGAGAGAGAGCCACAGATTGAAAACACACCTGTGTAAATATGACACTGCATGGTAGGGAGCCATCTGAGGTAGAGGAAACGGGGCAGGTTGTGTTGCACTCTTTCAACTGAGTCCAGATAACAACAGGTGAAACCTCATGTAGCCAAAAGACTTAAAAAGTAACAGCTAAGGGTTTGTGGGTTCAAATGAAGATGCCTTTATTTTTCTGTAGTTAAGCCATTTTATCAGAGGTCGTGGGACGGAGACAAAGGAAGTGCTGATGATTTCCTCAATGGTGAGACTGTGTGGATCCAAGTTTCTGTTTCGGCTGTTCGCTACCTGCTCTGCAACCGCTTTCTTTCTTTCCTTGTAGTTTCTTTTAAGACCACCTCTTCAAACTGTCTCATATGCTCATGGCTGGAAATATCGTGCATCCACAGCTTCAAATAAGACCTGGAATCCTCAGCATGACACTTTGAATACACATTGTACTTTAAAAGGCTTGTGCACAGATAGAGCTACAGGCATTGAATGTCACTGTCATGCTTCACCTGCATGGAGTAGTTCGAGAACAGCAGCTGCAAAATAGATGACAACAAACTTATCCACATCCCAGTAAAATACTGTACTTCCTCCTCATGATTGCATTTCCACGTCTCCTCTGATTCCTCTTCCTGCCTGCAGCCATACCAGACTCCCAGGTGAGGCCCAAGCAGGACAATGAGGACATCAAAAATGTAATCCCTGAACCAGTCGCCACGCAGCCTCCCAGGATCCGTCAGCAGCCCTTTGACTATGATGGAGAGGTCTATATTGGCGCCCCGGTTGAAGAGAGACAGGAGGGTGAACTTCCTGAAGAGGGAGAGGAGGAGGAGGAAGGGGAAGACAACCAGCTCAATCCAAGGGGAGATGTTTTCAGTAAGTGTACTCCTGTTTGGCAGTCTGTTTTGGATAGTCTGGGTGGTCCATGATGTATTAACCTTACACACAGTAAGACTCCTGATTCAACACAACATCTGAACAGAAGCTCCAGAGAGTCAGCCATTGCTCCTAACAGCTATGGCGTCATCCTGTGATAGCTGTTGGGCTCCGAGAGTGCCTTATTTACCGACTGAATTAAGCTTACCAATTTAATATGCTCAGTTATTGTCAGGTTTTTAAGATTCATTCCTGCATAGGGCTGGGCGATAAACTGAGAATTTACCAATACCAAAATTTATGACCATAACCAACGTCATTTTGCCCATGTCAATATATTCGGTGTCAAAAAAAAAATGAATAAAAGTTGGTTTTGGATGTGTGTAGGTAGGCTATGGTTTCATGTCCCTTCAAGACGCTGTCCTATGTCAGAGATGTGACTCCACCCCATCCAATCCGTAACAAAGAGGGAAAGACATGCGAGGAGACGGAGGACAGTTCAAAAGTTGTGACTGCTGAAGCAGCAGCTGAAGTAGACAAAGTTAATGTGGGAGGGGGTGAGCAGCTTGTTAAGTAGTTATCGTCCATTTATCGTTATCAAGGTGAACTGCTCAATGTATCATGATATTGATTTGAGGCCATATCACCCAGCCCTATTCCTGCAGCACTCTTTAAGTTTAAAACAACAGGTCAGGTCAAAGACACTGACCAGAGAAGAAAGCAGGCTTGTCCCTGCATGTCCCTTGTTGACCTCATATTCTTCTAAGACCCTCCAAAGAGGTTTTATGCCACTCACAACAGAGAAATATCCATTTACTTGAATGTGATTCCCTTTTTTGTAAACAACAACAGAAATATTAAATCTATAAAACACGTCCACTTGTTTGAAAAAACTTTGGCTCATTCTTTTATGTCCTTTGGAGTCAGAAATTAAGTGTGTAATATCAGAGACATAATGGTGTAATTCACACCTGAGTTGTGAGTTCAGATTTCATCAGACTAACAGGGGAGAGAGTGTTCATGTAGAGGTATGCAGCTCATTGAGAAAACCCCATAAATGAGGTTACCTTTCACCACTAATCTGGAGCTTTATGGAAACACCCGAGTGTGTGTAAGAACTCCGATAGCAAGAGGAGACAGGCCCCAAGACATCCATCACCTCCGGGAAGGAATTTTACTCTGTCGGCATGTGAGAGCCCAAGGATAAAACTCATCCTGGGTCTGCTTCCCACCTCCTGGGAGGGGTGGTGGGGTGAGGGAGGGTGGGAGGTTACGAAGCCTTCAAGCCTTTTATTATGTTTTCCCCAAAACAGCTGTTGTGCAAACAGACTTGACTCCTAGTAAGAAAGTCTGTCATCAGCACTCCAGACCCCTCTAACACTAGCCCACTCTGGCTGGGCAGGTTCAATAACCCCAGCTGTCACTCCTCTGGCTGTCTATGGCTGCATGTCATGGGGGAGATTGCTGCAAGAGCTTTAAAATACTTGTGGGGGCTGAAGCCTAAAGTTGTAGTTTCATCTTGAGATGTGAGTGACAGCAAGGCAGGTCTACACTTGTTGGTTAAAAGGCTTTTTTCTTGCTTTGTTTCATCGAGGAAAATCTCCGCAGAGGATAGTTTTGAATGTTTAAGATCAGATATTTTAAGAGGGAGTCATACCCATACAGTCTGTAATTATTTTTTATAAGCATTAATCTAATGGACAGGTTTATGGTATTTTCTATCAGTGCTATCTGTGATGAAGTGATCTCTGCTTCACTGATTTGCTAGTTATCACTTATTATGCTTGGTTGCATTTTTAAGTGTAACCTTCCAAAACTAATGAGGTCCAATGGAGCTGCCTTGCATTGACTGTTATCTTCAGTTTTGGCTCAAAGTGAGCACATCAACCCTGGTTTTACTGCTCAATTTGTCATACTGCAATAGTTTAAGTTAGCTGCACTTTTGTCCCTTTATTAATCAGCGTGGGGGGGTTCATTTGGTTGAAAAAATACATTATAAGGTTTTCATTTTCTCTTATCTCCTAACACAGTTTCAGAGGACTTTGAATCAGTGTTTGGCCCGGCCACAGAGGTGAAAGAAATTGAACTAGGACCTATTCAAGAAGGTAAACAAACATCTGTATCTGCTATTGCTGCACACTGACTGGTAATGTGATTCATCTGTTGATGTGCTGTTGTGATTTTACCCTCTAGAGTTCATTATGGATTGTAACTTTGATCAGGGAGCATGTGAGTGGGTCCAAGACAAGAATGATGACATGGACTGGAGTGTAGCCTACCACAATGAAGGTAAGACAGATATGTATACATTTTTCACAGGTTAAGATTTAATCATTTTTAGCATTTTGATGTACTCACATCGATGTTCTGCGTCCTCTCAGGAGCCGGAGCTGAGTACTACATGACCATGAGTGGGCTCATAGGAGAGCAGGATGACGTAGCGAGGCTGAAGCTCCTCCTCAGTGATCGAACGCAGCAGGGCAGCTTCTGTCTCACCTTTGACTACCGTGTGGTGGGCCATAATGTGGGAACTCTCAGGGTGCTGCTGGATAACATTGCTTATCCAGTGTGGGAGCAGAGTCAAAGCAGTGACCAAGGTTGGCAAACTGAGCTCCTCACTGTGACCTGGAAAGAGGTGGCCCCAGAATCTGTAAGTCAGGATTTGGTTTGAAATTACATAATGAAACCAGTTTTAAACCAGTGCTGTGACTGATAATAAAGAATATCTGTAACAAAAAGTACAACTAAGAGGGTGTGTGAAACCACATGTTTTACAAAGTACTGAAGCTATAATTGCACCATTGCCTGTCTTTCAGATCGTCTTTGAAGCTCAGCGTGGGAAAGGTGTTGGAGGAGAGATTGGCCTGGACAATGTTGTTTTGACCTCAGGGCCTTGTCAAGAGGATATCGGCCCCTTGTTTTAAGAACCCACACCCAAGATTTAGTATTAGAAAAGCCTGTTTTAGGTGACACATGTCAAAGATTTATAGTTCCTGTCTGCATACGGTATATCTCCCCTGAGGTCCTCCACGGTGTGTCATATATCAGCAGCAGGACATCCTCATATGTAGGTACATGGCCCCTAGATACTATTTTGTATAAAAGGTACATGCATGTTTTACTTTATGGAGCATGCTGCTACATCTGCACATCCTGTTACATTGTGTTTTGTTATATTCAGAATCGTCTCTTATGATCCAGATGACAGATCTCAGGAAAAGGTGCCTGATAGTTGGGATAAACAGTACTGTGCTCAGTCATTTGTTATATGTGATGAGCTGCAATTTATTGAAAATAAATAGATATGTAAAGTGAATCCCAATGTGAATCATATCTGAAATTCAATCACTTTTTGAAGGCTGGTAGGTTTAAATGAGTATCAGTGCTGTAAATTTTGCTTTCATGTTATACTGTAACATTACATTAAATCGTTTTTTGTTTTTTTTTACTCTGTCTACCTTTCATTTATTCACCAGCATACAGTATTAAATAACTGAATGAATGATCCGCTAACGTATGTGAATTGATGGTAAAGGTCAGATGAGTAAAATTCAAAGATAATCTGACAGAGTAGAATTATAAGGGTAGTTTTTTGTTTGTTTGTTTTTAAATCAAATACAGCCATCTATCTAGGCAGGTGATATTTCACAAAGTAGAATTGTTATATGGTTTTAAACCGTTCAAACCCTCAGTATTTTCTCCAGTTAAATGTCGCTATCTGGTGGCTAAATGTAAAAAGTACGTGGGTGAACGTCAACGCATCTTTTCAGCAAACAACTTTTGACGAGGATGAGCCAACAAAAGAGCCCATATGATGCATTTTTTATGAACCGATGTTGCGTGACTTCAGCTGGATAAATATTTGTGACAATATTCAACGATAGGAATCTGAAGACCAAACTTTACCACAGCGATTGTTTGTTGTTCCTGTCTGGTGTTCTGTCGAGTTGTGCTGCGTTGTCGAAAAATGCCACCTGAGCTACTATCAAAATAATCTGTCAAATAATGTTCCTTCTGCATAAAAATCTTACTTATAAAAAGAGTCTCTTGGTTAATTTTTACTGAGATAGAAAATAAAAGCGTATACTGATACTGTATTGTAAAAAAAAAACAATAATTTTAATTTGTGACAGGCGTCTGAGACTCCGACGGAAAACTGCACAGCGCATGCGTATTAGTACATTTTCCTAGGTAGCATAATTCGCCAGAACACCACCGAGATCACATGATCGGAGACTGCATATGCATCGTTAGCTGACTCGTTAGCGGTTAGCGGCGTTAGCACCAAGCCTCTTGTGCTCACCAGGAAGCAGTCCGACCTGACGTTGTCTCAAGCCGCACTGAAGAGAGGAGCTGTCAAACATATGCATCAATATTATTTCACGATTCTTCCCTCGTTGACTCTACAGCAGCCAGGTACGTTGCTTGCAAGTAAATACGTGCTAGCCAACCAACCATGTAATGTTTACTTTAGTTCAGCTGTATTCCCTTATCTCTTTTTCATATTAGCCTAGCTTAGCTATCACTTAGCTAAATGATGGAACCATAATAAACTACTTTAGAGCGTGTTGTAGCTTTTATTAAATGTTGTAAACGGTAAATGGTTAAAGTAATGTGTTTGCACTTTGTGATCGTGCTCATAGTGAAGTAAATGTTTCGCACTGAACATCCAGTTCTTCTCTACAGTAACTGCTGTCATGGGCCATTTGTTAACAAGGAAACTGTTTGTTTATCACTGTTTCACAGCTGGTTAAACGTTACCTACATGGCTGCTTACATTAACACAAAATAAATGAGCATGTGACCAAGGACCAGAGACAACAGCACATGATCTGGACAAGTGGAGGAGGCAAAAGTCTATCAGGGGTGAGACAATAAAGCACAGCACTGCCCTACAGTGAAAAAGTGGACATATTTAAATGCAGCATTTATAATTGTTATTCTGGTTTTGCAAAACTGATGAAAACATCTGTTGCACATTTAATCCCTCCATTAGGATAATTATTCAAAGCGGTCGATCAGGAGTGAACAGCCATGACAACAAAGACATCCCTGCTGAAAGTCATCCTCCTGGGTGATGGTGGTGTTGGGAAAAGCTCCATTATGAATCGCTATGTTACCAACAAGTTTGATGCACACCTTTTCCACACTATTGGCGTGGAGTTCCTCAACAAGGAACTGGAGGTAGATGGTCACCAGGTTACCCTGCAGATTTGGGACACAGCCGGCCAGGAGCGTTTCCGCAGCCTGAGGACTCCTTTTTATCGAGGCTCTGACTGCTGCTTGCTCACTTTCAGCGTCGATGACAGCCAGAGTTTTCTCAACTTAGGCAACTGGAAGAAAGAGTTCATCTACTACGCAGATGTCAAGGAGCCAGAGAAGTTCCCGTTTGTAGTCTTGGGCAACAAACTTGACGTGACAGAGAGGCAGGTGTCTTCCGAGGAGGCTCAGCAATGGTGCCAGGAGAATGGGGACTACCCTTACTATGAGACCAGTGCTAAGGACGCCACCAATGTAGCCGTGGCGTTTGAGGAGGCAGTGCGTAGAGTGTTGGCAATGGATGAGAGAACAGACCACCTCATCCCCACGGACACAGTCAAGCTCCACAGAAAGCCTCGCTCCGCTGGCGCCTGTTGCTCATAACATCCAGGAGTTATTACTAACCATTTTTTGCTGTTTATGCCTGTAATGTGATGAGGCTGTAGGTGTACAATGCTGTAGTAACATCTTATTTAAACAAGTGATGCTACTGGCTTATTATACTGGTTTATTATACTGTTAAGGGTTTATAATGCTCATAGTTGGACTTTGGTTTGAAGACATGGAAAACACTAAATGCAGGCCAGGTTGACAAAAAATTGGAATCAGTGAGGATGTAGCTCAGTTCTGCCTACTTCAAAGGTTTGTCTTTGGAGGAAGTCACTGTATGTTTTTAGTTTACAATAGGTACCTACTAGAAACTACAATTACATCGATTGAAAATACACAATATTACATGGCAAAAAAGAGGAAATCATTTGAAAAGTTCCCTTTTTATCTCTCACAACGTGTTTAAACCTGGCCCTTCAAAAAATGTAAATGTGTACTATTGCGAAAGTGCAATATTCAAAAGGCTTCTGAACTTAACTCTCACATGCATTACTCTTGCAGACAAGAGTAATCGTATTCATAAAATATCTGCAAAATTGAATATTCGTTCACATTCATATGGCTAATTAACAGTTTTCCTGAGAATAATGAAGTAGCTGAGGCACTACTGTGTGTAACTAACAAATTGGCTTTTTGTGATCGTTGCACCTTCAGGTCTTGTTTGTGCGCATTTTGCATAGTGAAAAGTGAATGGCTTTATGCTGGAAGCACTGAAGGGCACAGTCCTGAACAGAAGATACACATTAAAGCAAACATAACATGCATGGCTCAAGATGAACTTAAGTTTCTGGGAACTTTTATATTTTGTAAAGTATTTTTAACTAAAGAATTCACAGAATCAACAAATAGAAATCATAATTGGAATAACGCTTTCCTAATTGTTGGGTTTGTTTTATATCAATGATTTTGATCTTTGTAGCACTATATTAACATTTTTTTAAATAACATTTAAAGTCTGTCCCCACAGTTTTAACATGGTGAAACATTAATTTACCTTGACTGCTTCTCATTCCAATTTCATATCTATTTACAGCTGTACTACTGTTATGCTAAATGATGAATAAACCCTGAGAAATGTCTCCTTCAGTCCTTTGCAGTGTGAAAGATCTGGTATTTATTATCCTTCAGCCAGCACTCAGCTGACATCAAATCTCCTTCACTTTAACCACTTCAATAACAGATAGCATAAAAAGGTAGATGCAAGAACGGACCTCTCCAAGATGAGGCATCAGATTATTTCAGTTTCTTATTTTTTTTATAACTTTCAGATATATTTAGTCTTAAAAGTTAATGTTCAAACAAATCATGAGAAACCCATACAAAAAACAGTCTTAAAACTATTGACAAGGAATGGTTTTAATAGAAAATTCAAACCTGGGTTAAATATTTACAGAATTTCTCAAACAGTCAAAACAAACATAGACGCTGAGTACATTTGTATAGGTACATTCTTGACACGACAACATGTATCCACATTTTTGTGCATGTGGAGAGATTAATTCAGGAGATGTTTCTTTCCCAGAAACTGCACTTTCCTTTCAAAAGCTGTAGAACGGATTGGTGCGTTGATTTCATAGAATGGATTCATAGCAAACTGTAAACAGAAAAAATGATTAAATACAGTCCAAAGTGAGAAAGACAAAGAAAAACTTCAAATATACTTCTCATGCTAAGGTACCAGACCGTACAGAGGAAAACTTACCTTTATGTATAAATCATAAACATCATTAAAGAAGTTTTTGATCCCATCTTCTTGCCGCACATCATGCAGCATGATGAATCTGATATGTGGGGCGCATTGTTAAAGAAAACTGAGTCATGCCAGTGAATTCCTTGGCTTCAGAATTGGAAAATAATGTGACTAGCCTACAAAGAATAATCACATTATCTATTGCTAACAGCTTTGAAATAACAGCTGGGCTACAGCTGGAGTACTTTCTTTATTATCAATTAATCTGTGAAACACTAATCACAACATGTGAGTTTATAATTTTGAAAAGCTTGTTTTGTTTGAGAAAAAGTCCAGACATGCAACTTCTTTACAAGCTTTAAAGGGATATTCCGGTGTAAAATTAATTTAGGGTCAAACACACCATAACACCAAGTTAGACACCCCCGAGAGAGATGAATGTTGCCGACCGCTTGCTTCCCTAGTTATACCAACTTTAGTAACGACCGCACAATAGCAATACACAGCAGTCTGAGGAGCCATAAACAAACCTCAACCAAAATGCCATCCTATAGCGACAACTAATGCTCAGAACAGCACCTATTAGAACAGTCTATTGCAAACTGCTGTGGGGTGACGCAGCTCAAGTGATTATTAAGTAATAATCACCATATTAATCATTTAGCTCTGCAGACACGGTAGTTCTTCTGCATTAGCGTCTCGGTCTGATTGCATTTCCATGAAGAAATCATCATAAATGTTCTTCCTTGAGCTGTGTCACCCCACTGCAGTCCGTAATGGACTGGTTGAGGTCGAGCTACAAACAAGCGGCTGCTGGAAGAGAGTGGGTGAGTTGTGTTAAGTCTCTTTGGTAAAGAAATTAGGCAAAGTTAAAAAGATGTTTGGTGGCTAGTGCTATAGCTGAGACCCTATATGTACTGTTGATGAAGTTAGGTGCTGTTCTGAGCATTATTTGTGGCTATAGAGTGGCGTTTTGGTTGAGGTTTGTTAATAGCTCCTCAGACTGCTGTGTATTGCTATCTGCGGTCGTTAGTAAAGTTGGTATAACTAGAGAAGCAAGCAGTCAGCAAAATTCATCTCTCTGTGTTACAGTGTGTTTGACCCTAAATTGATTTTACGCCAGAATATCCCTCTAACATAGATGTCAGCACCATTAGTGTAGTCGTTATTATGATTTTCGAAATATGTTCTCAATTATTTGAAGAATAAAATAAAAACAGTCCTTATGAACATCTACAAGCTCTCTTTGAGGGATTAAATATGAAGAATCCAGTGAAAGGATATGACCCGCAGTAACAAAGGCTGACACGAACCACTCATTGAACTTGTCCACAGTCTTCAGGTACATATTGTTGGTCAGCCACATGTTTTCATCCACCAAATCCAGAGCTGCATGTGCAATGAACTGGTTTAGATGGCGATGGTCATCCTGTGGCGAAGGAAACAAATATAGTCAAACATGGAAATAAACTGAAATTATCAGCATCAAAACACAGCATGTATGGATTGTTGACATAGTGAACACAGCACACAGACAGCCTGGTAGTATACTGTAGTTCAGCTGCAGTCAATTTTTAAAGTTTCATAATCCTTTCTGTTGGTATTTGACAGGTAAAGTGGTAGAGGAAAGAGTTAAGGTGCTGACAATAACAAAACCATGTTACCTTTGACTCGGGCTTCCCTGTTGGCAGGAACTCCATCTCAAACACAGGATTGTCATGATGACCAACCATGACAAAATAAAAACTTCCAGACATGGTTTCCTCCTCTTCTTAGCACCACCAATGCTCCCTGAAACGATTAATACCAAAGAAACACACACAAATGAGCGTCATTCTGAGCAGCAACACTCATTTTCTAACAGTATTGCTGCTGTTCAAGCTAGCAGGCTAACGCTCTTTTTTTAGTCTTTTGACACAAGTATAAACATAACGCGAAGAACAAACATCATAAATACAACGTGTGAGCTAGAAGACATATGTTTTAACTTACAGATATCGACTTGGCTTACCTGTCAATTTTGCTTCCTGAATAGGACGCAAAGCAGTCGCCAAAAAATGACGACGTGATTAAAAGGGAAGGAAGGTCCCGCCCCTCTTTGCCTCTGATTGGCTAGAAATGCTGGGCTCCGATTGGTTATTCCTAATGGCTGTGAAATGTCATCGTCTGTCGGGTTAGGGTAAGGGTTAGGGTTAGGATGATGGTTCGCATTAGGGTTAGGGTTGGGAGATTAAGAAGTGCGATAATGTTCTGTAATGTTCTGTTCGAAATACAGAGCAGACAGCCCGCCTTTGGCTTGAGCGTATGATGACGTTTCCAGCTTTTCTAGCCAATCAGAGGCGAAGAAGGCGGGACCTTCCCCAACCATCCTTCAAAAAATATATATCGCAAACGGGAGCACAACTTTCACCATATCTTTTTGCTACACCTTCAGAGTAATTTATTTAACTAAAAGTCCTTTAAATAATTTCTTTTTTCAACGAATTGCATGACAGTTAGTCGTTAACATTAAACTAAACACTGATTTTAATTTCTATTACGTCATCTCCATGGGACAGTGGTAACATTTCCGTTGACGGATTTAAATGTTTGGTACATCTCCTCCTCCTCCTCCTCGAAGGGGACCTAGAGACGCTTTGTGGTCGTTAGGCTTGTTACTACAGGGCTTATTTCAGTTTTAGGGATGGTATTCGTTAAAGAGAAGAAGCGGTGATGGTCCGATATAAAGTAAGAACACTTTGAAAGCTTAGTTTCGTGTTTGGTGTCTCTTCTGTCAACTTAGTCATGTCCTCGGCTCAGGAAGAGACTCTTTCTCCCGACGAGCTGAGGAAAAGACTCTATCAGACTTTTAAGAATAAAGGTGTTCTGGATACCCTTAAGGTAAGTCTTGCTTATATCGTAGGGTTATACAGCACATTAGAAAGAGATTGGCTGTTTTATTTCCTGTTGTTTTCCTCTCTTGATCTGCTTCAGACCCAGCTGAGGAATCAGCTCATACAGGAGTTAAAACACCCACCTTTGACAGGAGCAGAGCCTGTCCCCAGACCAGTACCGGTCAAATCTGAGCCCATTTTGGCTTCAATCTGCAACAGTGTAGTGGCTGATCATCTCTGCATATTTGGATATGAGTACACCCTTTCTGTTTTCTACTCTGAGAGTGGACTGTGCAAAGACAAGGTAACATGACTCTGTGGTTTATATCTATTGTTGCTTTATTTTTTTAAAACATTATTGCCAAATAAGGTGTAAGGATGCCTAGCCCAGGTTCACACTTGAAAGAATGGAGGGTCCACTTTGACAAGCTTTACTGATCGCAGATCTGGGTTACAGCTTCATCATGCCACAAGTGTAACAAAGACTGGTCTGAGACTGTTCAAGTATATATAGTCATCCACATTTCCAAGCATTCTGCTGGCATTTAGTTGACATGAAGAAGAGTCCATGTAGGGTGAGAACAAAGGACAAAATATTTTAAGGAGCCTTAGGTAAACATATGGAGAGCCCATATAAGGGAATACCATAGCGTAACATATTTTGGGAACCTGAGTGATGTCAAAAATATGTACAAGGTTTTTTGTTGAGGATGGTTGTCAGAGGCCCCCTGGCCCCCGGCTCCAGCAATCTAATACCAACGTATCCATGGTGTCTGAGTTGCATGGCTCCACCGCCATAAAGGCTGATGGGTTTGGCTAAAGAAAATTCTCCTAACATAAGGATTTTGGTATTTTACCACTTTTGCAGGTTTCCCCAACAGGAGAACTTCTTCACCTCCTGAGAATAAATCCTGATTCTGCTCTTTACAGATCTCTGGTAGGGACTGATATGATTAAGTTGGTTCAAAATTGTTAAAACGTATACAAATAATAACTGCAATAACGGTGTAATTTGTTTGTAATGTTTACAGTCTTCAAACAAAGAGAACAACAATAAAGGTATGTGCAGCATTCAGCTCCTTTTTCGTAAAACTGCCTTCTCTTTTAACAGAGCTTGACATATTTTTATTTTCTTTCAGGGTTCTTGATCAGTCTCCTCTCACAGCTAGCAGACCCTCATATCCGCAGCCTGTGTCATGATGCTGACACTCAGACAACCAGCATGGGAACCCATGGAGAGTCTCTCGGTAGATTGAAATAGGTCTTTAGTCATATGTACCCCCCATGTGCCATTCAGCAAACATTTTCTAACATTTTCTTCCTTCTTTTCACAGTTGAGAAAATGAAAATGATTGACAAGGAATATGAAAGCGTTGATTACACTTCGGACAAGTGGTTTTCCTTCCAATCAAACCTGGCTGCTTATAGGAGAGAAACTGAGGCACAGATGCAAGCGGAAATGAACACCAAGGTGCGTATCTTTTACGCACTTCATGTATTTTAGGAACCTTTGAGGAGGTGTGGGGCACAGCTGCATGGTTATGGTTGCTTTGTTAACATGTGTTTAACATCTTTTTTCTCTCACTGAAGATGCAACACTTTAAAGATGTAGAAATTGCCAAGGTGAGGATGGAAGAGAAAGCAGAATATCACAAGGAAGTTGATAAACTGAAGCAAGAGCAGGAGAGAGTGTTTGAAATGAAGACAAGAGCTCTGATGGAGCGGGAGAAGAATGCAATTGAACGGCTTCAGAAACAACAAGAGGTGAATCCCTGCTCACATGTCGCACTCTTTCTTTCTTTTTGACATAAAAGTCACTAAAGTATTTTTTATTGTAGCCATAAGACTGACTTCAGCACATACTCCAGTCGTTCAAATCTAAAAGTGTAACAGATGTTGATTCTTTTGTATTTCTTTGCTCTATAGATTGAAGAGAAAAACGCGTACATGCAGAGACAATCCGTCCTGAAAGATATGGAAACACTGCGAAACAGAGAAAGTGAGCTGAGGATGAAAATGGAGGCTTTTGAAAAGTGAGAGCCTCTGTTTCACTAGCTCAGAAAAGTTTCTGTGCTCTCTGTTTGTGACCGCTTTCTTATAGAGAACTTGACTGTGACTGTGTTCATGTGATGGCAGGACTTGTCAAATCCATGAGGAGAAAGTCAAGACCACTGAAGAGCTGCTGAGGAGGAGAGAACTGGCAGTGAGGACCATGGAGGACACGTACGACCAAAGACTGAAGAATGATCTGACAAGGTATTTTCATAAACCCATCATTTCTACACATGTCCTCACTTTTAATAGTTCCCTCAGTATTTCCATCTTTGAAAGCTATTGTGTGACAAGAGAAGGCCCCTGTGTGGCAGGTTTAAAGAAGAACGGGTTCAAATATGTCCAGTGAACGCTTAAAATTTTTTGTCAGAATGAAGTAACAAAGAATAGTTCTGTTGGTCAGTGAAATATAATGTGTTTTGAAGCTTATCAAAGTGTCTCAGTAAAAGCTATTTTTATGGTAAATGTGAAAATCAAACATAAAAAATAGCTAAATTGGTTGTATATTGAGACTTAACTCCAAAAAAGTGTAGTTCTTGGTTTTTATGCTCATTGCCCATCTGTTTAGATTATTCATTTGTACTCCTCTCTAATGAAGGAACATGAGAATTTAAAGATTCTGTGCTGATAATGTTTTGAAACTCTGTTCTTGTGTCTGTATTTAATCAGGTACCAGCTTGAGTTGAAAGAGGACTTCAACAAGAGAACTGAAAAACTAACCGAGAGTGAGAACAGAAACAGAGGTCAGTGTCTCACTTCATTCAGTGTCACTCACTGATTTGCTGTAGCTTTTGCTGTCAGTGTTTTTACCTTCTGGTTTTTATCTCAGTGGAAACTGCTCGTATCCAGAAGGAGTCAGCTGTCATTGACTCCAAACTCGAGGAGCACAGCAGAGCATGTTCAGAGCTGAGACGGCTGCAGGTAAACAACACAATCTGTCTTCCAGCAGGGCTCGCTACATTTCCCTCAGTGGAAAATGGGCCTAATATTTCAGTTACTTATTTTCAGAGTAACTTTTGAATAATTCAGTGTGTGTGTGACCCCCTGTTCTTTCACGTCTCCTCTGTTGTTTCCCAGGCCGAGTTAGACACAGCACAGCAGCAGATTTCCCTGCGAACGCAACAGAAAGAGTTATTAGGAGAAAAGCTTGAGAGCATGAATGACTACCCCAGCTTGAAAAGAGAGAGAGCAGAGCTGCAGGGTCAGCTGCGACTCCTCAAGAAGCAGCTCGAGGAAGCCCAAGAGGAGAACCGCTTTCTCCATGCAGGTGAGGATTTGTTCTCAGTTCCCATGTCAGCTCAGTTTGGATGGGATGATCCATTTCTGGGAGTTTATGCTCATAAATATCAACCTGAAAAATCCGCACACTGTAATACTTTTATTCTTTATCGCTGAGATAAACCAAATTCCCTCGTGACATTCAGAGTGTGAGCTCATTGTGAGCTGTTGGAGATGCAGTCTACTGTGAAGCATTCCTGTTAGTCTGTCCCACTGCTTCTGGCTCCTCTCAGTCTTTTTGAATGTGTCTTGCCTGCCAATGTGGGGCCTCTGCGCTGTGTCTGTAGCCCTGCAGACAACACTCTCTAAAAGAGAACCAGTGAGAAAAAAGAGGATGAGAGGGAAGGAAAGCAGAGAGCACAGTGAGCAGAGACAGAGGGCTCCCATTTGCCCATGGCACAGAACCAAAGTCTTACCTCTCCCTCTGAGGGATTCAGGATTCTTCCTGTTTAAGGGTGAGAAGGGGCTTCTCTCTCCTCACTCCTAACAAAGATGGTGTTAAACTTCACGTGATGTACTGTCATTCTGGTCAAATCCATTCAGCTATAAGCCATGAACTGTTAATTAAACCCTGAATTAGAAGGCCTCCAGTGATGGACACCAAGCTTGAAAAAAAAGTTGCACTTTGAGTTTCATGTTTTGACTTTTATAACCTGTCTCTCAGATTTGGGCAAGCCGTCCAAAGAGCAGCTGGCTTTGCAGATGGAGCTCCGGAGGCTGCAGAGCGCCCGCAGACTGGATGAGGAAGAGTTTGACAACCAGAAACAGGTGCTGCAGGCACAGCTCCAGAGTGAGGTCAGAAATACTGCTGCTTCTCACAGAGCGTGGGAAACTATGTGGTCAGCTTCTTTTCATACGCTTTTGTCTCACCTTAGGGAGTTTCTGGGGCTTTTCCTTTAAATCCATGTTCCCCTTGACCTATACTCTTCATGTATGTTGCACAGATATCCCATTTCCTGCAATCGCACTATAACTCCCAGGGTTACGTCCTGTCTTCTGCAGGTGGAGCGGAGTGCTCAGCTCAAGGCTCAGCTGACACAGAGTGAGGAAAAAGCACAGTGGATGAGTAACCATATTGAGGATATTAAGATGCAGCTTCGTCAGACTCAGCAAGGTACTTTGTTACTGTGCATGCATGTCAGGCATGGCTTACTCCGATTAGTCACTCTAGATTGTAGAGGTTTGTATGCAGTTATGTATGCTGTAATTAATCATACATAACATTTGTAGTGACCTTTATTTCAACTTTTCATCCACTGGCTTCCTTGCCTGTGTCATTTTAGTTTATTTCCCATTTAACTCGAATAAAATTAAAATTTTAGGACTCTTGCCTGCATTCAGTATTTTTGCAAAACAAAAAAGAGAGCCATGTAATAGTAGAAGCACCTCAACATTAGGGGTGGGAGAAAAAATCGATATAGCATAGTATTGTGATATTTTGTCTGGTGATAAATCGTATCGTCTCATTTACCAAGTATCGATTTTTCAAATGAATTGTTAGTATGAAGTCAAATCTGTGATAGTGGAAAACTAAAATCAACTGGTTATGCAGTGAGGTTGGCACGGGTGACGTCATAGAGCAGGAGAAAGTTAGTATAACAAATATATATATATAAGGTTTGCAAGATGTGCCACATGAAAATAAAATTCAGCATAACTAATACAAACATTAAAGAAATATTCCAGCCTAAAATTAAGTTAGGGTCAAACACACCGAAATACTGAGTTAGACAACCTGTCGAGAGATGAATGTTGCCGACTGCTTGCTTCTCTAGTTATACCAACTTTATTAAGGGCCGCAAGATAGCAATACATAGCGGTCCCAGGAGCCACACGCTCAACCAAAACGCCACTCAGTAGCCACAAATAATGCTCAATATGGGGTCCCAGCCATAGTACTAGCTACCAAACATCTTTTTAGCTTGGCCTGGTTTCTTTAGCAAAGAGACTAAACACAACTCACCTACTCTCTTCCAGCAGCCACTTGTTCGTACGAAGACCTTGGGCCAGTCCATTTCAGACTGCTGCGGGGTGACGCAGCTCAAGGAAGAACATTTATGATCATTTTTTCATGGAAATGCAATCAGACCAAGACGCTTAAGCAGAACAACTACCGCGTCTGCAGTGCAAAATGATTCATATGATGATCATTACTTAAAGTAAATGATAAAGTAATGATCATAAATGTTCTTCCTTGAGCTGCGTCACCCCACTGTGGTAATGGACTCGCCTGAGGTCTCCGTACTAACAAGCGGCTGCCGGGAGAGAGACGTTGATTGGGTTTAGTCTCTCTGCTTGAGAAATCAGACAAAGTTAAAATGATGTTTGGTGGCTAGTACTACGGCTGGGAGCCTATATGTACTGTTGATGAAGTTAGGTGCTGTTCTGAGCATCATTTGTGGCTATAGAGTGGCGTTTTGGTTGAGTGCATGGCTCTCTGTATTGCTATCTTGTGGTCGTGATTAAAGTTGGTATAACTAGGGAAGCAAGCGGTCAGCAACATTCATCTCTTGATGGGTGTCTAACTTGGTGTTACAGTGTGTTTGACCCTAACATTAATTTACACCGGAATATCCCTTTAAGGAAAGACAAATGTGAAATTAGCGAAACAGTTGAAAAAATTGTATAAATTGCAATATACTTTATCGCAATACTCACTGTATTGCAAAATGTTAATTCCCACCCCTACTCAACATGTGAATGTATGTGCAGAGTTGTTAAAGATTAGTAGCAGCAAACTTCTCTCCCTGATCTGTAGTCTTTATTGGTGGTTGTTCTTCAGTATTAGTGTTCAACTTTCCCTTTCTTTGCCTTTCCTTTCTTCCTCATTCCTGTCCACGATGGCAGCTCTTGAAAATGAAGTGCTGCGTAACCCGAAGCCGTCCCTTGTGGACCGCTCTGTGCTCGATCTCAGCTCTGACAAGCTGGTCCCCCCTGACATCTATGTGGACAGAACTCTGCTGAAGTCCAGAGCGGGTTATGATAGTCTTTATGAAGCAGGTGCTCGGGGACGCAAGATGCCTCGAAGCGACTCCCCAGACTCGGACATGGGTGTGGTGGCTGAGGCCAAGGCTCGCATCCAGGAGCTGCAGAAAGAGGCTGACATCTTGGAGGAAGCCTACAGGAGCTACCAGCAGAGGGCAGTACACTCCAGTGTCTCACATATGCTCCCCTTTAGAGCTCTCTCCCCTTCACATCGCCCTGACCCTCTAAAAAAACAAATCTCTCGCCACTCACACACCCACACACCGCACAAGTCAAAGGTCAAACACAGACCACTATCACCACAAGCTACCAGAACCCCCTCCCCGCTACTCTTTAACACCAGTAACACTATACCTACCGCACAACCGCAAGTGACCTTTTCAGAAGACCAAAACCAACCCCAGTCCCCAGTTTTCCCTGACCACAGTCTCCATTCATTGACTGAGCCCCCGTCTCTGAGAGGGGAACCTCCTCAGGATGGAAGCAGCTCTCCTTCCAGACGTCTCTCCTCCACACCGCGATCATCCTCCAGGAAAAAGCCTTACAAAGAGACCCCTGAAGGTACCCCCTAATAATGATTTACGCAGTGAAAGCACTTCAGAGGGTTGGATTCAACTTCCTCTGTGTTTCCAAAAAATAAACAAGAAAGTTATTTGTATGTTTGCAGCAAATTTAACTCTAACTGTGCATTTTTACTTATGTTCAGTCTGTCTACACTCTTATAAGTTAGTCTTTTAGATTGTAATCTTCCTCCCAAAAGAGTTTCGCCTAACATAAAGTCTCTTCCTGGTAAAAGCAGTTGCATCTGCGATGGCGTTCCCAGAGCCATCGTCTGACAGACAGCCCCTCCATGCCCCCCATGACAGGGTCATGACCTCAGGTGACTTCTCCTCCGAGCTCAGTCCGCCTCGCAGTCCTCAGCTCAAGAGCACAGCGCGAGACCAGACCAGGTACCATCTGGCACTGCTTCGGCAAGGACATGGCATCATTTGAATACACTCTTACATAGGGATGATGAATACTAACATCCTCATGTTTGACTCCGTCTCAGTCCACCTGAGCTGCAGCCCATCGTGTCCAGTTTGGAGTCTTCCCCCCAGCCAGAGAAAATAAGCCTTGAAGATCTCACGGGGGACTTGACAGGTACTCTAGACAAGTAGAAGTTTTTTTTTTTTCCTGGCACTGTAAAAACAACAAAGTCAAAGGCATGTAAAGTGCTCTTTATAGTTCTGTTTTTACAGTCTAGAAGACATGGATTAGAGACAACAAACTCTCGTGTCATCGCTTTCAAAAGCACAGTTGAAAGGTTTTCCTGCCAAACCTGAATCTTTCCTTGTACCCTTTAGATGAACAGCCATATGTTAGAGAAGACACCTATGACTCTTTTGCATGTCTTCAGTGTTTCCACATGACTAAAAAGTGTGCAGTGTAATTCATTCATTCATTCAGCGTTATGAATATTTTCAAACTCAGTCATTGCATGCTCTCTCCGTTTTTTTTCCAGTTTCAATTGTCATGTAATCAAAATCCCTGCACGGTACAAACTGAGTATATCCGGTTTGGAGGTTTTGGATTTGAGAATGGCTGTTTTTTAATGAGTGTGTGACCGGCCTCCAAAGTGTCCTTTCAGTGGCCCTGCACAATGGTGAAGATGAAGGGCAGCTGATTATGTATTCTGTGCCGGTCCTCTGGCCCTGTTGCATTATGGCGAGGAATAAAAGATCTCTTTGTGCGCGTCTTCCCTCCAGAGCCCGGCCACATTCCAGAGCTTCTCCCGGACACTGTCGTCCCTCTCTCCGAGGAGGCCCCTGACGGCCCCGCTGTCCCCCGCCCACAGGACCTCCCAGAAGACCCCAAAGACTCTCAGGGCCAAGGGGGTGAGTCGTTAGTTCCCCCCTTGTTACCGATGCTTTATCATGGTCAAATGACAAGAATAGAGCCCCTTTCCCGTACAGTCTGGCTGTGACAATCTCTAATTTTACACTCACATTGCAGCTGCTCTGAGGTTCACTGCTTCTGAAAACAAAAACAAATTGACATGTAAATCCATGCTTTATTAGGAGTCCAGCAAACCTCGGTTGAACCAGCAGGGGAAAAAGGCGAGGAGGATGAGGAGCAGAGGTGGGAGAGAGAGCGGAAGGAGAGACAAGAGAGGAGGCAAAGGGAGCAAGAGGAAGCCAGAGAGAGGGAGCTGCAAGAGCTTGAAAGACTGGAGAAAGAGACGGTGATGATTATCCTGATATCTGACATATGCACCTACCTATCTGTGTCTGATGAGACGGATGATGATGACTGAATCTTTCTAACAGCTCTTGGAAGAGGTGGAGCAAACAGGTGAGAAAGAAGGAGAGGAAAAAGAGGAAGCAAGTGTCGTGAAAACAGAAGATGAAGAGCAGAGGCGAGATGCAGATGATGAAGAGGGGGAGAAATCCAAAAGCGAAAATCCACTGGAGAAATATATGAAGATGGTTCTGGAAGCAAGAGAGAAGCAGCGCCCGCAGGTGAGTCAGCGCGCATTTGTCTGAGACTCCTGAAGAGCTTTACTTCTCTTGTAGTCACACCGGCTTGTGTCTTAAACTGATTTATTTTTAGAGCCCAGGAGGAGATGAAACAGGACACTCCACTCCAGAGGCCAAGAGTTTGTCTGAGGCAAAGGATGACAGGTAACATGTAACAGCTGATTTGTACACAACACACATAATACATGCTGACTCATTCATCAAATGGAGTCTTGTTAAAAAGTTGTGGCATGACTGTAGGAAAGTTTAATAACTCCACAAGCCTCAATAATCCTCTTCCCAAAACATTTAATTTCTCGTAGTTTCTCATCTCCCGGCCTTCATGTTGTTTTTCCTGAAATGATGTTGTCTTAAGGATGAGATAACTCAGAAATACTTTCCTATTCTAGTGCAGCTTATTTTCTGTCCTTGAGGCTTTACCTGATTAACGTTATTTTGTTTTCCCAGCATCGCAGCTTACTCGCACAAGGATGAAGATGATGATTTCTGGTGAGCCGCTTCTGCTGATGAATTTCCCATAGCTGTGTGAGTTTGGTTCAGTTCCATGAATTGTGAAGCATTAATTGTAAATTTATTTGTGTATGGATATTTGATAGTTATTTTTTTAATCAAATCTGACTATTTGAATAAACTCTGTTGGATTCTTTGTTATTAGATGGTATGGCAAAAAGCAAAAATGACCAAACGTTAATAAAGAAAGAGCAAAACATACAGAAGTTTGTTTCATTTCTTTATTTTCATAAAAACAGTCAACAGGCCGGTTGAATAATGTCACAAAGGGGGTTTCCAGTCAGACAGGATGCTAGATTGTTGTCCTCCTGGTGATTATTAGGTAGCTTTTACTCTTTGTTTATTTTTTGGTTCATTCAACAAAAACCTCCTTTGTCAAAGATCGGATCGCTCCTCATGACTACGATGCAGGATTTGTACCACAACATTTCCCAGATATTGTATTAAACACCACAAATGGCATTCATACTTTGGCTAAGTTTACCACTTAGATTGCTTTTTTTCTTAAAAATGGTGTTGCAGCTTATGTTATATGAGAGTTAAATTAAAAGTTAGGAATCAGTATTGTAAGAGGAAGCCCTTGACATTCAAAATAGAAAATACTGGCTTACTATCAGGCAACAAAACAATATCAGACTCTGATCGCTCTGACTTGAATAAAAGAACTAGAAACACCTAAAACTACAGAGCTAAACAAAAGAGATTAATCTTAAATGCAGTTAGAAAAAGAAGGAAACAGGCAAACACTGCCTACTACTGATGCCAGTATACACAACTGAACATCACGTTTGTCACTGCGAAAACAGTTGTCTTCACGCCACAAAGAAACATCAAGTCATCCCTGTAACTCAACTAATAGTAACAAAAGATTACATGAGTAGCTATTTCAGCAACGTAACAATTGCACATAAAAACAGGTGCAGTTATAGAAAATTAAGAAAAAAAAAACATGTTTATTCTTAAAGTAAGAAAACACTAAAAAGCCTTATCTAGCGTTTTTTCCACACTTGTGTTTTCCATAGTACCATTGCACATGGGACATACTGTAGTTACACATGTTTTACAAATCAAGTGCTTTAATACTAAACTTAATGATTTTGCAGAAATGAATACCAATGGACCAAACATCTGCGATAATGAATACCTTATTTTTCCTTATTGGCAGCAGTTCACTTTCAGCAAGTCGGTTAATCTTCTGGCATTGTGCATTCACATGAATACGTATGATACTGTAAATCTAAATAAGCTTCCTGTATGTGGGTTTGGTTTATTTTTCGATTATTTCGCACATGGGGTGTTTTTTTACAGTTTTTAAACCAGAGTTTAACACTAAAGACATGTTGTTTTGTTCCTTAGGCTCTTGTGCACTTCTGAGGTAGTGTTGATGTAGGCCATAAATGATCCGGATGACTTTTAGGGAGTCGTACACTGAATATGAGGATGTTGGACCAATTTAAAAACATGAATAATCCCTAGGATTAAGATACTTGAACTGGTTTGCGTTTAAACTTTTCCACTTTATGTAAAGTTTAAGCTCCTGTGGGGATATTCTAGGAGTTTATGAGAGCCTGAAAATAACACTGATGCCTCTTTGTAGCTTAAAAAAGCCAACAAGACCATCAGCAGCAAGACTGATAACGTCTACAGAGTGTTTGAAGTGTTTATCACTGCCGCCATGTACACAAAGTGATTTACAGCATATAGCAAAAAAAACCTTTGTAGACATTTTCAACACTAAAGATTCACAGCAGGGGGGGGATACTTCTGACTGCTGGAAGACCGCAGGAGGATTTTCTTATACTGGACAAGATCAGCAAAGACAAAAGGTGTACCACACTGTCCACAGAGTGCCAAAATCAACACAATACAAAAAAAACTTTCTTACAGGAGCTTTAAACCAAAAGTGATGTGTCAGTGCATCATGAACTGATCTATTAGTAACAGACTTCTAACTCATATTGGATGTAAGGCCTTTTACATAGCTTAATATTTATCTGCATTTGGATTAACGATTAAAAAAGTTAGATGTTAAATTCCCTTCATTGAAAACCAACCATCACAGCTTGAAAGAAAAAAAAAGAGCAACACTGTAAAGCAAACTTCTCATTGCATCATTTTAAAAAAAAAGTGCAATGTCTCAGTTTTCACTGGCAATAAAAGGGTTGGAGAGAACCAAACACTACACAAATATCACAGTTTCAAACACTTCTTCCCCTTTCATATAAAAAGTAAATGAACCAGCATAAATGAGAATGTGAGAAGCAGCCCCAAGTTAGTGCGGGAAGCTGATGCATTAGTTTGTTAGGGAGCCAGGTTAGTACTGCACAGCGTCAAGGCAGGTGGCAGGTTATGTAGCTGAGCATCGTCTTGGTCCAGAATGGGCCGGCAGTGTTTGGCCTCAGTGTCTGCATGTGCGTGTGTGTGTATGTGTGTTTTAACATGTGATTGTGTGGACTGAGAGTGTGAGCGTGTTTGATCCTTATGTGTAGGAATTGAGGCATTCCTTTGAGCGTGACGTGATGTCCTGCAGCTCCCGCTCTTCCTTCATTTTGATGTCTTGGTAGGCATGCAAGTGACTGGCGTCCTTAAGGTAGGCCCAGTTTGCTGAGAGAATCATGAGGAAGTGGATCTGGAAGAGAAGGGTGAGGTGGATGGCCGGTGAGCATGTCAGAGATGCAAAGCAGGCTACAGGAGTCAGAGCTACAGTACGTAGTAAACAAACATAAAGTTTAGATTTTTTTTTTAAAAAGGGACTGAACAAACCAGAGGTATTCTGAAAAAAACAATCACTGTAACATTACTGTTACAGTTATTACTAATATTCAAGTTACAGCTACAATCTTGTGCAAAATGTTACAGAAATGACTCTCAAAAGCGTGAGAATGACAAGAGAAAAAGCCAGCGGCCATGCGTGTAAGTTTGATGCAGCAGTAAAAGTTGGTGGTTAGTACAAAGCAGGCGGTTTTGTGACTTTGACCCTTTCCCGTTTTGCAGTACACACTGGTGTATGATTTACAAGAAATAGACCAAGTAGGGTAATTTTTGTAAACAAAGATTGTTTATTTTAAAAAGAAAGTAAAAGCTACAGTCTTGAAAAACTTAGAGGAGAATTAAATATCTGTCATATGGAGTATAAGTAAGTCTAAACAGATCAAGAATCTGAAAAATGAAAGCATGCAGGCTCAGTGTTAAGATAACAACAAATGGCTCTTTAACGGCACTTTGAGAGAGGATAAAAGGAAAATGTATGAAACAGAACAACTTCATGGCTGAGGCTATACCAGCATCGGCCATTATAACAAAAAATACATTGAATCTACACTAAAATAGGAGAATGTCTTTTTTATAATATACATGAATTAAAGTGAGCCCCGGGGCCTCATGCAGAAGTAAAGCCCTCATACTGGCCTAACCCTTTAGAGTGTGCTGTGCTACGTAGGTGCAGTTACTCCGAAAACTACGATTAACTCCACTGCTTTTCATAATACTCATCAGAATAATACAGTGTTGATGAAGGCTTTTAGTTCAGTTAAGATCTAACTTGTGACAAAGTAGAAATACTGACAATTGTTGTTGTAACACTTTGTGGCTTTTCATGGGTCTGCACCAAAATTTAAGGCTAAAGAAAGAGAAGTAAAAGGTCGAGGCATTTAACCTTGAGAGTTCATGGTTTACCACAGACGTACGACTAGAATTCATCCACACCTAAACTGCTAAGAAGGCGATCCAAACATAAAGCCTGAGAGCTCATTATAAGATACTGTCATCAGAGGTCCACGTGGACTCACTTTAGAGTGTAATACTGCTGATCTGTGGGCTTTTCTGTGTTTTTGCTTGATCAGACCTCCGAATTTCCTCATTTCCAATTCAACACTGTGTTACCACATGCAAAAGAGTTTTAAATTTAGGTTTCCGATGGTGCCTCAGTGTCTAAAATCGCATTTCAGCTCTGACTTAGTCATCTGATGCTCGTCCAGTTATATAAAGTAAAGTACTGCATACCTAATACTGTTTTTTTTAATCTCAATACTTATGCAGTTTATGCTTTTTTTTTTGCAGGCCAGAATCTGCCTTGCACATTTTGAATATAAATAACACTGTTGTGGTTTTGTAGCAGTGCACATTTTCTACTTAATCTGATGGTGACACATTTTTTCCTAAGAGTGAGAGCAAAAGGAAAGCAGAAACAAACCGAACACCACCCCTAATCTGAAGACAACTTTCATCAATCAAGCAATATCCCTGGATAACAAATGCTAAAGGAAGCATACAATCAGCTATTTACACTAATCAAGAGATGTTGATTTTTTTTTTCCTAATCTCATTATTTTTAGTTCATTTGTTGTCAGTGGAAAACTGTCTCTACTCCGTGCAGCCCCCAAATGTAGTACTGCGCCTTTAAGAACAGCTTAAAACTTAGTGCAGCAGTCTTCTCGACTCTTAAACTTCAAAACAGCAAAGTTATAAGTGGTAGCCATCATGTAGATCAGCTGGTGGAAGAGAACAGAAAAAGTTGTAAGAGAACATGCCGGTGACCTCCATGTCATGTGTACTTAAACCAGTTAGTAATGTGACCAATACATTAACAGCCATTAAAAGTTAAAAACGACTCGTAAGAAACTGCAATATTTGATGACACACAAAAGTGAAGGTCAGACTACACCCTCATCCCTCCCTCATGGAGTAAATACAGGGCCATGTGCATCACAGCAGATGGTAAAAGAGCAAATGGAATTGGAGCTGAAGAAGTGTGATCTTCCTTGTTGTGGTTATATAAACCATATGGGCATGAAAAGAGGAGCACTTGACTCATGATCAGCTGATACAACCGTGCAGTGATGGGCTAAATGGAGAGGATGGAAAAGAGAGGAGGTGGGCTTACCAGAGCGATCACGGTGGCTCCTGCTCCAGCACACGCCACGATGTACAGGTGATAAGACAGGTAAAACTGGAAAGAGGACAACAAAAAAAGTGACCTTCACGCCTTCCTCTTGCTCCTCTTTGGATATATGTGCATGACCGAAGCGTGATAAAAGGTCTCCTACCTCGCTGGTGTCGCAGATGTTGCTTAGCACAGTTCCGCAGGCCTTGCCCGGATTGGCATTCCACGGGATGATTCCTGCAGCCGTGAAATTCAAAGATTTTCACATTGATGCACACAGTTTCATTTGAATCAAATCTGCCAGAAACGATAAAATTTGGATGCTTTGCAATTTTAGACAGGCTGAGACTTAAAGGGGCAGTCCATAAATTTTACACAGAAGGGTCAGGGGGGTTTCCATGTCTGATGTTAATTGCTTTATCATTGAAAGTATGCATTACAACCTGAACTAAACCACAATCCTACAGCCTCGTAAGATTATGAGCGAGTCAAAAAAGCTGTTGCGTTTTTCCGTAGTATCAATTTGTAGCCATCGTCTATTTTTCATTGCAAGTACACCAGCTGTGTTGTCTTTGTTTTTTTGGACAATGCAGGGAATTTCTCCTTGAGGGCCTTGCAGCTGTCTGAAAAGATTCTTGTTAACATTTTTTTGTGATAAACTGCTGTCAGTACTGTCAGCTGTAATACTGGAAATAGAGGTGCAAGTTACATTTGACAAACTGATCGGTATCAGCGGTCACAAGAAAAATCCTGAGATAAAGAAAGATGGGGAAAATAATATTTTTTTTTAACTTTGGTCCTCACATGAATTACTGGATATTTAATCTTTTAACAAGAGTTACAACCAAAAAAGTTGGAGGTAAGATCCTTCAAATTAAAGGTAAGTTTTCCAGGGGTTGAAGTGTGGCCAACTCTTCATCTAAAATTGGACTTTTGTTCTTGAAGTCTGAAGTTTATTCATTTCGAATATGTTCAAAAAAGAAAATTAAGAGAAAAATACAGAATGATAATAATAAGTAAAAAAGAAACATACAACATATTCGAAAAGGAGTGGGAGGAAGTAAAACTTATCAAGTCCCGCCCCTTCTCCATCAGCTACTCTGTGAAAGTGCTTCCATATATATACACATATATATATTTTTATACAAATGAAAACAGGTTATACATCATAATTCAGTGGTCTTTCCAAAAATCAATTGAATATCAAAAAACGATCGGATATTATATTTGTACGGATTTTTAAAAATTTCCTCAAGTCTGAGCATTGCTTCAGGTCCAGCTGTAACCTGTTCCAGATATAAACACCACATGGTGAAACACAAAAACTTTTCATTGTTGTGCGCGATCTTTGAATTATGAATTTAAAGTTTCCCCTAAATTGTGAACCCCATCTCGAACTTTGAAATGTTCTTACTGTGCTTATATTTGTAAACTAACCAAACTTTTTTTCTTCAAGCCAATAAAGCCACACGAGACATTTTCTCTCTTTACTCTTACCGTACTGACGCACATCCACACAGATGGATTCGATGTAGTCGGTGTCAGTGAGGTTGGCCATGGAGGACTTAATGGTGGCACAGGTGGACCACATGTTGTAGAAGAGAAAGACGGGCACAGCGGAGAAGCCGAACACACCGAGCCAGGCCACGCCGAGAATGTATGTGAGGAACACAAACTGAGGAGACAGACGGTTCATAAGCATCATAAGCTAACAAAAGAGCACATTTAGCTATTTAAACACCATACACATCATGTCACATTGAAGCACTCTGTGTTGAAGACTCAGCTCCACTCACAGCTCTGTGGTTGTGTTAACATACCATTCCACTGATGCAGCGTCCACAGATGGTGGTCTTGAACTCACTGTGCAGTTCCTTGACGGCACTGGTGGTGTAGAAACCCTCGGCCAGCAGAATGATCCCGTACAGGAAGAAAAACGAGGCGATGCCATAGATGACATACTGCATCAGCTGTATTCTGTTAAAGAGAAATGTCACACACATGAGTTTGGCTAAAGCACATATTAATGCCTAACATACTGTTCTGCCCCTAAACACAACACCTGCAGAGACCTACAAAAATCTCGGGTAAAGGCTTAGCACGACATACTGCTGTCAAGTGTGGAAAATAGCTGCTTGTGATTATTTATATTTTTCGCATGCGATCTTTCAACATGAGTAACTTGTGTTTGCCGTTAAATCATAACCAGATGAATGAAACCATAATCCAGCTTGCCAAAGACCTGTGGAAAGACTCCAAGCCCAAATGTGGAGATAACAGGTGATGCTTGTCTCTGGGAATCATCAGCCAAGAGACAGACTGCCCCTGTAGACATCTTAAATTAAACAGAGCACTTCCAATCTGCTCCAACATAAAACATATGTGCAGCCCTGTCTCTGTCATTCCTCTTTTATTGTCGGCACTAATGGATGCACTGTAAAAAAAACAAAGGCCCATATTAGGAGCGTTCTCCAGGGTTAAGTGAACATGGGAGGCACTATCATCCAAAAATAGACTACATAAAGTCAACTTCGCTGAAAGTTGTATTTATCTTACATTTGGGACCATCTTTATTGTGAGTCAGTGTAATAAAACCATCTTCAGAGAGAGCACGTTGTGTAACTGATCCTTCGAGGGGATGTTTTCATGATCCCAGAGTTTATCAGCATGTTATGATGACGCTTTTTATCTGTTTGTTCAGCCATGTAGCACATATATACAACAGGGTTTGAGTACACTCACATTTCAGTCAGCATGGCATGATCACTGATCGTTCTGGAGAAGTGGTTTTCCAGGATGGACACAGTGCCGGTAAGAGCGACATGGCCGCATCCGCAGAACAGGGCGACGCCGGAGAAGCAGAGGATGGTGGCCACCAGAGACGCGTATGGCACCCCGCCTAAACACTTGATGCAGCACTCGAAGCACCCTGTAGAAAAAAAGAAAGAAAGCAACAAGTGAGCTTAGAGTTTTGAAAGTGCTTGGAGCCTGATGGTGGCAGGCGCCATGTTGGAAACACTGGAAATAAGTTTTAATCAACCTAGAAAGAGACAAAGAGGTGCAGCTAAAGCAAGCTTATACCTAATGACAAACAGCTACAACACCCCAGCTGTCAGTCAACTCAGCTGATGCAAATTTAAGTAAATCTATTAACCTTCACTTCATCTGTGTGTAAAACAGTGTGTAAAAAGAAAAGAGGTACACAGACCAAAACTAACTTTTGTTAAGAGGGTTCAAAGACGATCTCTTTCTTTCTGGTTTGTTTAGGATTATATTTTTTCAAAGGAAAAAAACATAAAATTAGAAAAGCAACTACTGCAGGATTAAATATTCAAAGATATTCAGAATATAAAAACTTATTTATGCTGATATCTTATTTTTGAAGCAATAAAAACCAAAGCCAGTTTTCATGAAGGTTAACTTGTGCATATCATACATGTATCAATAAGCCATATCTGACTCATTACAAACAAGGGCAAGAAATCTGATGAAGAAGAGTCCCTTCCTCGCTGGGATGAAGAACACAGACATGAATACAGACAAGCCTCTTCAAAATAAAGTCCACATAATCCCCCCACGGTCATGCTTGATGCGGCGTGCTTCCTTTGCAATGTGGAGTACCGGCAGATTACTGTGTGAGGAGTCTGAAGTTTCACAGCCTTCACTCTTGATAATGTTTCATCTGAGAGTTCCTCTCGACACTCACAGGGCACTAATGGCCATCCAGCAGGTCAAAGCTTTAGATGTCAGCCTGCCAAGCCAGAATGGAAATCAATGAAAACTCACAATGAGGGAATGAAGTGACCCAGATGAATCGGCCTCATCCAGTGTTTTGCAGCACCATATGAAACAAAGGCCGTCATCACAATGCACTATCTGTGGATGCATGCAAAACAAGCACGGCTCTAAATCAGGTCTGTGTGTCTGACAGGATGTTGTATAGTCATAGGATACACAAGTCAATGACTGGTAATGTTTTTAAACTCTCATATGTGCTTCACGTCACACTGAAACTAAAACTTTTCAAACAATAACTTTGTTATAATTTGATCAAATTATTTGACTGAGACAGGTCGTGCAGGGATTTTTCTTTCCCAGCTCTGCAGCTACTGAGCGTTTTAGTGTCTTTGAGCTAATTATATTGGTTATGGGACCAACAAGAGTGCTGTTTTGGTTTACCCCACTATAATAAGCAAATCTAAGTAAAACTGTTCCGATAACTCTTGTTCATTATGTGCCAGAATATTTCCAAAATTAGAAACTAGCTGGAGAACACGGTGGACAATCTAATGAGCTAAATATTGTTGTCTGTGGAGACAAAAACAGCAGAGTCATTAATGGACTAAAATGCACAGAAGCGAAAGTAATCCACTGAAAAGCCCATTTTAAAACCATGAATTTACATCTTTGCTGTTGCGAAAACTTTTTTTTCTTGATTTAATCTATTCCTGACTCACATTTTTGACATGCATGACACCAGCCGCTCCCTAAAGCCTCCTCTGCTATATCCTAAAGTTTACTCTGAACTGGACCAAAGCTTGCGTAATAGCAAATGCACTGCACTGAAGAATACTTGGGACTTGTCATTGAGGCCATACATTCAATAGCAGAACATTTCACCGAGGTAATGAATCGACTGACCCTCTGGCTTCCCCTCACAGTCCAAAGACATGCTTGTTAAGTTAATTGGTAACTCCAAATTGCCCGTAGGTGAACGTGTGCATGAGTGGTTGTTTGTTTCTATGTGTTAGCACTGTGATTGACTCCAGGATGTACTCTGCCGATAAACAACTGGGACTTGCTTCAGGCTCCCCCTTAACTACCACAGTAAAGATAATGAATGTAAAGATGGATGAATCTACTGACACACAGGGTCATACTCTCTTCTATTTTCATCCAGTGAGACTTCTTTTGTTCGCCACTGAAATCTCAGATGTCGGTTATTAGAAAGAATGACGGCTGAAGATACTCCCACGTTCGCCTAACTTTTGAAACCAAGAGGCTACATCCATTTCTCTTATATAGTCCACGTGTCTCACTGTGAATTATACATGAGAGAACATTTGCAGCTGTATGCCAATGTTGCTAATAGTTTAACAAAGGCAAATGGTCCGAACTTCAATTATTTCAAGCTGTGTTAAAAATGATGCTTGAACTGGTTTGGCTTTAATAGACTTGTACCAATCCTCCCTCAGTAATGGGAGCATTCTTACCCAAGCAGGACATGGTGAAATTCAAATGTGGTAAAAATTATCAGACAAATGTTTCCATGAGAATCTATACACAGTTTATCCCATTATTTAGACCGCAGAACAAGGCAATATTTAGCACAATATTTGTGATGTTTAGCTGTTGCCAGTAAACAATGTAGCTGTTGTATAACAGGGTCAGTAGAGGCCAACAAGGAGAACTGATATGTGAAATATATTAGGTAGGTTTTGAGTGTCTTCTTGCTCCAATCTTCCTCGAGGTGGGAATCTTAAAAGTTCATCTGTGTTTGTGCCTCGACAAAGCAAATTAAAAGTGAAATACCTCTGCTGCTGAGCCAACACTTCAGTAGTGAAACGCTTCATCCTGTCTGTTTGTGTAGTACAGGGAGATAAAAACATTTTTGTCCCATGCTGGTTGAATAGGAGTTGCCATAGCAGCATGCTCACCGCAACTCCACAAATGTGCCCACAGCAGAGTCGCTAACTTCTACCACAGCCCACATGTCTCTGATGAGCATGAAGGGGGGGGTTGCTGAGACAGCTCCACAGGATATTGAGCCCAGATGCAAAGTAAATACAGCCATTTAAAGGACCTTTGTAAAGAATGACACTATCAGGAAGTTATGATCCAGTAGCAGACTATATCTTCCTTATAAATCAACTTGCTCTCAGGGTTCAACCTCCTGAAGAGACGTCTCTGTATGGAAAGTATGATAAGTGTTTGTCTCTGTTTCAGTAAATAATAAAGGGAGCAATAACAACAGCCTCGCCGGTTAATTATGAATTAATTTGACTGAAATAAGGTTTGACATTTCATAGAGAAAATAAGCACGGCTGCTCAACCCATTATGTCTGATTTCAAAGTCTGCCCTCTAATTGTGTCACTTTTCCCATTAGATCAACTGTCTGAAAGCTGACAGCCCAGTGCTGGACGCCATGATATCATCAAGACAACCAGTCTGCTTTGATCGTCTGAAACTGACTTGATGTGATTTAGAAAAATCACTCTGTGAGCCTAACTGTCTCTGGAGGAGTCAACACTTAATATATATAAAGTTTCAAAGGTTTAAAATCTCGCATGGACCATGAAACTCTCGTCTCCTGGACTTCCTCACAGAGAGGATTAGACTGACACGCCTGTGTCTGCCATGCTCATTTAACAAGCTGCACTTCAAGAGGAAAAAAAACTGCGTTATGTTAGAGAGCCACCAATTTAATCGATAGGCCATCTGTTTGATTAGTGTCCATCTCACAGGAGGGGTTTGCTTTAGAGGCAGCAGTCCACCCAGACTAAGTATAGCCTCATGACGGCAAAACCTTGTGTCACTCTCTGGTTGTTATGCTTAATAACCCAATAAATCCACGGTGGTATTTTCACAGCTGGTTCAGACATGTTGGCAGGTTAGTGTAACACTGTTCTGACCGGCTAGAAAAACACTGGCAGAATGACAGACCCACTGACAAGGTTCGAGTATTAGCAACCTCAGGAATATGACACTGTTCACAAAGAGCCTCTGTGAAAGCCTCAGTCCTGGTATTAGACATCAGGGGAGACAGACAGGACTTCAAAGACCAGTGTAACATTCAGACAGTCCAGCACAGAGTACTATGAGGACAGAAGTCCAAGCCAAGATATAATTGGTCTCATAGTTTGTGGTTCACAGGAAGAAATAGCTTTGAGAGTTAGCGTAGTATTGCGTGCCTCCTTATCGTAAGTACAGGCCTCATGCTGGGGTCATTCAGCACTTGTAGCTTTCTACATCTTTGTTTGAGAGAGAGCTCCACTATGAGTATTAGAGGAATCTAAACATTGGAAAATTAGACAGTGAAATTTAGTTATATGATGTGTCTGAGCTGTAGAGCAGCCCCCCACCATTTGCAAAGGCTGTAGCTCCTGTAAGTTTTGTTGTCATTGTCCTTTAATGCTCTACTATCCAGATGTAAACATGAAATTTCCATACTTTTCCATACTCTACTTTTTAGAATTATTCTTGGAAATACCTACTTTTCTATTTTAGAAAACAGTATTTTATAATTGTGGCAATATAGTCTGTTAACATAAATATTTTTCCATACTTTATTTTTCATTGACCATACTTTTAAGACCTGGAAATTGATCAAATTACTTCCATACTTTTCCACACTTAGTAGGAACCCGATTGGCAGCATTTTTTATCCTAAAACAATAAAAAATTCTTTTACATTGTTTAAATGATTGACTCCAGTTCAAAGATTAATTTCACAAACTCACAGAAGACAACAATTTTCACAGAAGCTGTTGTAATGTGTATCTAAGGGTTACCACTAAGCCCGTCAGTGTCAGTGTATCCACCACACCACAAAGTGCAGATTGTTTTCTTTGAGTGCACTACGTGGGATTTCATAGCAAACAGGATATTGCAGGTCAGACTTCAGCTGAAATCATCCTCCTCCACGGGGGATAACGGCAAAGACTCTCCAAACAACAAGCTTGTACTAAATGGATCCTGCTGCCTTGTTCTGAGTGGAGGACCATAAATGAGAATCACATTGGACTTTTTCCCCCTCTGATGACATTCACATGCTCCCTGAGTAATACTCCTGGTTAGACCTCTAACCACTTCAAGCCTCTCCAGCTCATTGCTGCAGTACATGAATGAGAGCAGAAGAGGGAGAATGAAATATAAAGAGAGAAAAGGGGGAACACAGACAAGTTAGCGACTGTTTGTAATGACACAGTGGGATCACGAGGAGAAAAATAGAGACACAGAGAGTCCAAGAAGCCCGGATACAAAGAGGCAGTGTGTGCAGCCCCAGACTGTCCATCACACTGGACTCTCAGGGGCCATTCACAGCAGCACTGAACCACGGTCTCGCTCTTCCGGCCCTGTAGGCTCAAGGCCCAGGACAAGCCCACTGCTGAGCTCCATCCTGTGTGCCCCTCCAGCACTGCACATAGCTCAACTATTAAGAGTCGCAGCAGCCACTCACCCTCCAGTGAGATCCCACTTGTCAAAGAAACTCAAAATCAGCCAATCTGGGGAAGAAATGTCTCATTAAGGGCGACAGAAGATGCAGACAGACTGGCATACAGACTCTTAGACAAACAGACTCAGACACTGCTTGATAAAGTCACCAAGAAACTCCATGTGGATCCTCAGCCAGTAATTTACAACCACAGTGTTGGACCTGGAGCTTAAGAACCCTAAACTTCACTGGTTTAATGTGTACCAATTCTTGTTTTCAAGACTTTTTTACTTCCACTAAACACTAAAGAGAGGCAGAAAATGAAGATAAAAGGGACACATGACTTGACAACAAAGGACTCCAGTCAGACTGATGTCCCATTTCAAGTTGAATCAACAACCCAAGGCCATCAGGATGTCACGGATTATGTAAGACAGTTTGATGACCTTTTGACCTTCAATTCCAAATCTTTTATTTATTTCAATGTCACATTGTATCAGTCAACTAATTGGAATTGTTTGACTGAAAAAACTCTTACAGGTCGGGCTAGAACGGGGGCTGCAAAGATTTGCACTCTTCTTACATCATCACCTGACTTCAACATCACAACTCAACAATAAGCATCCAGAAATAACACTTCAGAGCTACCTAGAGTGTCATGTTTGTAAGTGCCAGGTAACTGACCAAGTTGCAACATCATGGGACTTGGGGTGGCTTTGGGGTGCCCTTACATCAAATTTTTGCCCCCTGCCCTCAAAATAGCTTATTCCTGCCCTGCAGTTTGCCCCACTCAGATTTGTCACTCTAAACCCCTGCAGCTGGCTTGCTTCATCACCTCCCTCCACCCTTCAACAGCAGCAATCACTTAAACACAACCTGTCGACACAGCAGAGATGAATTCTTCCAACAGCTGGGACGCTAAGTAAAAACAGAAAAAAAAAAATCCAGAGACATACCAACCAGATGAGAATTAGTGAGCAGCAAATATTTTCGAGATCAGTGTTCAATTTGGTGTCAATGCCAGGCGCCGAATAAAAACCTCAGTCCTGTGTAGAATCATGTGTAAAGTATGCACTTCAAAATGCCATATAATCAAATGTAAAGAGCAAAAGTACATGTATCCTAAATACAAATACACACAAAGAAAGACACTCAGATATATAATATGGGATGAAGTTGTCACAACCCTCCTCCTCATCTCTGAATCCTGCACTCCTAACCGATGTTTAGCCCTGTCTTTCTGCCGTCCACTTTTAATCAAACATCGACCCTCATTGCTAACAGATGTGTGTGTGTTTACAGCCAATGCTAAACTGTTGTTGTTTGCTTCATTGGGGCGAGCTGCCAAAACACCATTTATGAGAAACAGTCTCATTTTCCACACTCTCCACTTTGAGAGGAGTGATACTTAAAAATGCCATAATGGTAGTAATGGCCATTCTCGAGGGACCGTGGAGATCTAAGCCTGCAAATTTATCGAAAGTGGTCTCATTGTTTACCTTTCTAACAACGGAAACTCTGTCAGCTAATAGCTGTTGACTACACCTCACCCATAAAGAGCTCAATGAGATGTGTGTATGTATTCAGTGACAGTAAGAGGCAATGATGGCAGTAATCACTCATAAATTGTGTGTTAAGGGACAGCAGAGGAGTAAACATGTGATTAAGAGCCTTGTGAGGGATAAGAAAAGGTTGGGAAAGTCAAATCAACATCCCGCACACGGTCTCAAGGTGTTTCATCACAAGTTCTTGCTCAGCCAAAACTTCAATGTTAAACAGGGCTCAGCTAGGAGATAAAACAGCTGTTAAATCTACAATGAGATAATAAACTCAAATGATGTTAATTAAATAATCTAACATTTGGTTCTGGACCCCTTTTTCATGGGTATCATGTATCGAAGTGTAAAAAAATAGTGCTACACTATACTCTGTTGAATACAGTGATAGTAAGGCGTATGCAGCAGCAGTAGAAGTTTCCTCAAGAGAGTAGGAAATAAAATACAAATACAGAGATTTAAATTAACATCATGCACTTGTTTGAGCTTTAAAAGTTAGTTCTTTACTACTTTTCACAACCCCTTATCATTGCGAACTGAATACTTTTGGGTGTTTAACAAAGACAAAACTTTCCTGAAATCTTAAAAGCAATAAAGAGTATTTCCCCAACATTTTTTTCCCTTTTTTTCTGATATATAAAAGTTAGTCTAAACTGTCACTTTCAGTTTCTTTCAGGGTGCCATATTTGTCGCATTTTTTAGGGCCTGTGTCTACTTACAGCATTTTTTTGTTGGCAGTACTTGTTTTCTGTACAAAACCAATGCAGTTGTTCACTAAGTATATAACACCCTCATCATCTGCTGCTGTTGTTGTTGCTCATTGAGCTCTCAGCTATACAAAAAAAAAAAAAAAACTCATTAACATCCCTTCTTCATCAATAACCACGTAAAATCAGGAAGGGGCAAGACTTCGTAAACAACAGTGGCAGAGTACAGAGGGGAAACTTAACCACACTCATTTTAAGAACTATTTCCGGGTCTAGAGCCGCTGCTTATGCAATGACACAATGTCTACCAACTGTTTGTAGTTGCAGTGTTCGGTTCTGTTGCTGCATTTAGCAGATCACACTTGACAATGAAATTTAGCATTTGCAGTTATGTTTTGAAAACAAACAGGAGGACCCAAAATATATCTGTAAATATCCCAACCTTACCTTCACGTTTTAAATTCGGGGCTAATATAAAGTGTGCAAAGAATCTAAAACACAAGTACAAGAGGCAGAAGTGCTGCTAAACAACTTTTGTAACCTAGCAACAGTAAGCAGAAGCCTTCTGAAACTGTGGTTGTTTGGAGTTGCGAGAGCAAATATGCTGTTAGTGGACACAGGCCCTAAAGCGGATGTGAAAAATGTAAACAACATTATTTTGTCGCATCTGTTTTAATAATATTCACTGATTTAAAATCTCCCTCTGCTTTCTGAATGTATTCAGAGGTTCTTTTCGTCTTCATTTCATAAACCCCATCATTCACCCCGAGTGACACTAAACCAAAATAACCAGATACATCTGTCTGCTGTATGTCATCTTCAGGCTGATCATCTGGTTTATTTCAGCCTGTCAAATCGAGGTATTGGCTTTAAAATGAGACTGTTATCACCAGTTCAATCCTCACAGTGGGTTTGATAATGAAACAAAACTATCAATTTAGAGATTATTGAACATCACTTAGGGAAAATCTTTCCTGGTTACATTATCCCAGGATACTCAACCTTTTAAAGTGAGGAGTGTTTGACTGACTGATCGTTGTGTTCACCTTGGAAAGATGTTCAGCAGAAAAATCACTGATTCTTACTGTTTCTTAATGAGGTGTGTGCAAATGAATGACTTTATTTCTCTCTTCAGTGTACATACACCTCATTTCTGTCTGTGTGCAGCTGGTAATGTCTGGATCATTTATCTTTTTTCTTGCCAGCCCCTCATTCACCTCATTAATCATCACTGCCCCCTCCTCCTAACTCTACCTCATCCCTCCTGAAAGAACAACTGAAATGCCCCCTGAGGTTTGATGGATGTGCTGTTGATTCTGCAGCAGGCTCATTGTCCTTAAAAGTGACAATAACATGATGATGTCCAGCAGCTACGCAGTATTCCCTCAGCTGCAGGAGTAAAATCTGCTAAATACACCCCCACTCAGATCACAGAACAAGCGTGTCAAAATAAATGAAGCATCACAGCGACTGTAACTTTGCAGCTGCAGAGCCTGAACTAGAATATCAACAATTACATGCATACAAAGACTGAAAAAAAACAGATTGATATTTAATATCTCTCCCTGCTGGGTAAAATCTACCAAACTGTTGTGTTGAGTGAAAACTCTGCAGGCTGGAGTAGGTTAAAGCCCCAGTAAACACAAGCAGTGAATAGAAAGAAGTGAAGCGGCTCTTTGTGAGCGCTCATTGGTACCTCTTTTGTCCTGCCCCTGCTCTTGGTTTTCTTCTGATGGAGTTTCCATGGTTGTTTTTCTCCCATCCAACAAAAATGCTTCCTTTCAGCAAGATTCTTCCTTTTTTCTCCTCCTCTCTCCTCTCTCGCTCCCTCTCCTTCTCCGTGCGTTCCTGCTCTCTCTTTATCCCTCTCTCGCTTGCTCTTGCCCTCTCCTCTGCTTCGCTTGTTTAGTGTCATACTGCTTCACAAAGGCAGAGCTCCACTTTACAGTGTGGTTTTTGCAGGGGTCTTGTCTGAGGGTATTTGCTTGGACTTAAGTGGGTGCTCTGAGTCATATATCACTTAAAATCTAGTTTCACGGTAGATCCTACATGACAGAGCTCTGCTAAACTCTGAGGCAATAGGAAGAAGAGTTAAGTATAGAACAAAAAGACAAGCTCGGGGATTAACGTTCAAAGAGTAAACTCGCTTGTTCAGTCAATATAGGACACCATCTCACACACAAACTCATACGCTGAGGAAAAGTAGTGCAATTTTCACTGTTTCACCACACTCTATTTGATGTAGGCGGTAGCACGTCATCTGAAAGTGGCATCACTGATATGGAAAAAGTTCCTCGAGTTCTGGATCCTTTAAGTCACCTGGAAAGTTGTATCGCAGGGAGAATGTATTGAAGAAACACAAGCAGCGGTAGAAACAACTAACCAAAAAAAAGTAAGTATCCCAGAGCCAATTCAACATGTCTTTGAGAACTGCAGAGAGTTTACCGGAGAAAACCCAAAAGTTAGAGCATCAACGTCACTGAATATTCAACGCATGATGAGCGACCTTATTCTGAGACAGCTAACATTTCATTATTCATACATCTAATCATGTTGTAGTGTATGTTTCTGTCTGTACATTTGTGTGTTTATCCTCCTCTATCTGTCCTTTCTTCTTGACTCAGTCAGCAGATGGATGTCTAACTATGACTTTGGTTTTGCTTAAGTTGTCTGCCTGTTACAAGTGCAATGTTAAGTGGATAACATTAATGCAGTCTAGATCAGCTCAATGTGCCAAATGTGATGGGGTAACTTCATTGAAATATTAAGTCATATGGATATAAAGTTCTTCTCATGACACAAACCTCAAAAGAAACTCTCCACACAAGCATCCCTGTGTCTGAAACTGATACAGACCCCTGAATAACTCTTTTTGGGAACTGGTTTGTTAAATCAGAGTAAGGGGTTGCACATGAGAGCACAGGGGACCCTTACTACAGTTGACAGAGTGGCTGAAAATCTACTTTTCTTCACTTCAGACCACAGTTTAAGAAAAGGGGGGAATGTGTGCCCTTCATCTCCTGATCTCCACCATATGCCCTCTGCCTCTGCTGCATTCATTAGCAACCTCTGACCGCCGTCTCTTCCTCCCATCTGGTGGCTTCTGACACACATAAAAAAGACACAGGACATTTCCTGAACGAGGAGACGTGGAGTCCTCAGGGCTTATACAAACAACACAGGAAACAACATGAAAACGAGGGATCCAGGTGAGTCATGGAGGCAGACAAACATGTCCTTTGAGAGAGGAAAAAAAGAGATAAGGGAGGAAAATGAAGGGGTGAAAGAAAAGTAGGAGAGGTAATGGATGAGGGTTTGCAAAAGATGATGGAAGAATCAGACAGCGAGGGAGACAGTGAAGAAGATCTTGGCTGTGTTTGTTTGGCAACAGCAGGCTAGGGAGCCCCAGGGGCATGCTAATGAGAGAAAGGCCTTTCAGCAGTAAGGAGGGGGGGCCGTGCTAGAGTGGGGTCTTCTCACGGATACCAGACCTCAGAGAGGAGGGGGATCAGCGGGGAAGGGGAGCCTCAGGGGTCAGGGAAGTGAACTTAGCAGGGATCCCACAACAACAAATGCTACGCTAATCTCCAAGCTTTTTCACCGTCCCCGGCCCCGTAAAACACCAGCAGAGGGGACGTCTTAGTGATGAGAGGAGGAAAAACTTCAACACATATGACCAAGTGATGTTTGTTTGAACTTTTTTTCAGGCAAACTTACAGCAGATTTAGAGGTAGTTGTGCCTGGGATTTACCCAATAATCACACTAAGAAGCCCCCGAGAAGTTCCCAACAAAATGAATTTGATACATAATGTACCACATGTAACCACATGGAGCTGGCTCCAAGTTACCAAGAACAACAAAATCAAAACAGACCAAACTCCATCTGTAGCCTTTTACAAGAGTATGGACAACAACATGTAGAGTTTATAGCACACATGTAAAGGGAAATTCAAAACACGTGGCCTGATTAAATTCTGTTCCTGACTAAAAATGTTTGCCTAAGATTGGAAAAGGTTGCAGTCACCAGTGGTAATAACATGTTAATGAGGTTTCTATCAATTAATATTACCAAATTTCCAAACATAAGGGGTCATGTCATTGGAGGCGATTTTTAGCACCCACACCCTCTGAGTGTTTCCCAGCAGCACGAGTTATAAAAGTTGTCCCTTGAAACATTCACTTCCTTTGCTAATTTTCCACTGGGTCTATTTAAAAATGCTTTAACTATTTTATATTTGTTTTCATTTACTGACATTGGTGTCATAACATTAGCAGCAGCTCTAGACCTGAGTAGAACCTTCAAAGAGACAAATCTGGTCGGTTTCTTTCCCAGCATTGTAGCTGACATGCCCATAATAAGAAGTCCCGCCCCTTTTTGAATCTGATTGGTCAGTGATTACAAAAGTTGAACTACTTTCACTCAGAGCAAAGGATCAAAATCATCTGATGACAAGGTTGATACTTTACACTGAAAACGCTGAACTGTATTTAGTTTGAATAGAAATCAGGTCTGCCTGGACAAAAATACTCTCAACACAGCTGTTACGAAGAAAGTTGGTGTGGAGGGTAATATGATAAATAATGGTGATAAGTACAGTGCCATCCTATACCATAAAATTACATAACAATTGGACTGCCCATTATAACTGGACTTTTTTGTCAACATTTGGTCAACAGCTTGTAAATAGGCCAAAGATTGTCAAGTGTTGAGGAATGAAAGGGCAACTTTCATTGGCTAACTGGCTAGCAAGCTGACAAGCCTGATGACAGTGAACACTGAGTGTGAAGTTCGACAGAAATGGAGGATCAACTCACTGATTTGTGGTTAAAAAAAAAAAAAGTGTATAATGTGTGCTGTAAAAACATCCATCAACCAAAGTGTGAATAGTTAAATAGAAATCTCTATCATTATTGATTCACTTTGTTGCTAAGCAAGTAATGTTAAGCTTGACAACGAGTCCTTTGTCTACCATTTTTGTTTAATCTAAAGTCAAGTTTGATTACATAAGATTTCATAAGACTTCTCATTTTGAGAGCCAAAACTCTGGTCGCTGGTAAGCACAACCTGTCAGTGAGTATTGTGCGATGCTGGTGATTTTGGTCCACACTTTACACTGGAAAACGTACAGCTAAGTTTGTCATCATGTTTGATCCCTCCATCAGTTTCACAGTTCTGAAGACAAAAGTAGAAATTCAAGTTTGAAACCATGGAGTAGAGGAATGTTGACTTTGATTTGAGCTCAGTTTCAGTCCAGAGCACATCCAAGGGCAAATATATTTGTCTTTCAGAGCAAGATGTTTAACTTTCTGGGAAGATAAAATACTGTGTGTTTGACATTTTTCATGCTGGAAAAAGCTGCCAATAGCTAGAAACAAGGTTCATTTTTGGCAGACAAATAGGACATTGATAAAAATACTGAGCTGAAAAAGAGAAAATGCTGTGTGAAGCTCATAAGTTGAAAAATAAGTCACTGTGGTTTCACTTCTGTTGCTTTATCATGCAATTTTCTTTTAATGTCATAGCTTTAAATATAAACTTACGACAAAATCTTGTGTAAAATTGGGATGGAACAAGGAGAAAATAGCTTTCATCCCGTTCTCACTTGTTGGGCTCAGTTTTACCAGAAACCCTGTGGCAGGCTGAGTGGCTGTGGGAACACTCCTGTGAATGCAGGAGGCAGAGCCTGAGTGCTGCATGTTAAACTCCAGGGTTGAGACAGCGCCACTCCCCTACTCAAGGACACAATCTGAATGATGATGAAGCCTATACAAATGGAGGAGGCTTCATTGTGGGTCAACCTTTCATGCTGTGAGACTGGGAGCCTGTAATGCTCCTCAGGGTTCAGTCACCCGTGAGGACCTGCACCCTGATGGATTCACTCTGAGGACAGAGTTCTCAGGGATGCAGGTCTGTGCCCAGGAAGAAAACTATAGTGACCCCACCAAAAAGAACCAGACGAAATGGGTGTGTGGAGTTGCCCTGTTGAGGCATGATCGACTCTGAGAGCCAAAGTCTGTTGGAGAGGAAGTCAAACTGATCGTCCAGGAACTTTTTCAGCTCTCATGGAAAAACTCAAACATTCCCCACTCCTGTTTTTGACAGTGATTGGTAGCGTATTACAGCATCTGAGCCAAAGAGTCTTGTAAACACAGTTTGGGTAATTTGTTTCAGTCAGTTCATTCCTATGAACTGCAGCGGCCCAGATTTAAATACAGGACATCTTCATAGGTCAATCTGCTCCCATGTTAGTCGAACTGAAGCCAAGTCATTGATTTGTTTACAAGAGCAGGGCACTACAAACCCATTACACAGATCCATTCAGATGTTTGCTGACCTATTTTTCCCTGTAAACCTACAGACAAAAGCATCCCAAATTCTGTATGACTTTTACTGGACAATCACTCATGTGATCCATGTGAATGAAAGTTAAATGTGTCTGTAACTATCCCCCTGAGATCAGCATGTGCCCTAAACCGTTCTTCTGAGATCAGCTATTACTTCCTTGAAATGTCACAGCAAACTAATCAGAGCAACATGAGCCGCAGAGTTCTGTTTTGTGAGGAGAAAAAAAAAGTTCTCCCCGCAGTGGAAAAAATGAATATGCTAACTGACCTCATTTATTACAGAGAAACATGTGGACAGTGAGAGAAAAAACCACAACAGCCTGATTTAGAGTGAGCTTTGTGGTTTCTGTTTGGCCCTGTTACAACATTAAAACAAAGAAAAGTCACTTTTTCTCCTGTTTTGTTGTCTACATGATTGAAAAAAATCAAAAAAGAGAGAAATGGGAAATATTCACTGGAAAAAGAGCAAAGGTTGTAATCTTTTTCTGGCATTATAAAAACTTGCCTTCATTAAACTTGAATTTTATTGGGTGCCTTGCAGTTTTTCTTCTATTTCAGATGTCTGTATCTCTTCAAACAGCATTACATATATTAAAAATTAGTCTTGGACAGTTCACATACAGTTTTAGAATCAATGAGGCCTAACTTTGGGACAACATTCTCTACAATGCAACATCTCCAGTTGCATTTCACCCCAAGATACTGAACTGACGGCCAAGGACAAGCTGATAAGAGAGAGGGTTTGCTGTAATACCAGAATTTAAAACTTCCAAACAATAATGATAAAAATCAAACAATATCAAAACATGTCTTGATACTGTGGCAGCAAGAATTAAACTCATGGGCACCCATAAATGCTTTGGGGGTAATACTTTTTATCAAGTTTGTTCTAATCAATAGTTAATAGGTAACTTCTAAGGTCTTTTAAGGTGCTAACAAACATTTTTAGTATGTTAATAAAAGCGTAATGAACATCTTTCTTATTGCTTATAAAGTACTTACAGGCTCCCATTTGAAACTTAACATTTTACGTACTTCTCATGACATGTTGAAAACACCGTACCTCAATCCAACTTGTGGCCGGACTATTGTCACTCCTTTCCCACAGAGAGTTGATTCAAAGTCTATTTAAGGATCTTTTTAACAAAGGACCTGCCATCACCAGACCTCAAAAGTAATACCAAAACACAAACTGCTGTTTTATTCTGCGGTGCAAGAATTCATCCCATGGACAAACTTTGTTTCCACGAAGAATACTTCTACTTTGTTCAGCCACATAGCAGAATTCCAACTCTGCTCTTCAACCTGAGCCATTTGTAGCAGATCCATATATAATGTGTTGGTATGTCTACCATTGAATGGTTTCCATACTGAGATCTTCTCTTGAGGATAATTACAAGTGTTGGACCAAACAATACCCAGGATACCTGATTCAGCACTTCTCTAATTGCATGTTAGTGTTACGATCGTGTCAGGCCTGAAATGGAGAAACACTCACTCAGGCTGTGTTGTTCCTCCAAAAATGACTCGACAGCCCTGACTCTCTGGCACCTCTGCAGCCAGTGTGGTTTGCAGGGAGAGTGAGACCCACACATGCTTTGTATTATCAAGGCCTCCTCGCTTACAGCACCTTGGAAACTGCCATCATGGCTTGGCCGGGCAAAAAACAATGTGATATCAAAACCAAAAGTCTTTCAATTTCATAATTCCAGTCTGGAGTCGAAAGAGGAAATAAAGCCAAACAGAAACCTGGAGCAGAGTGAACAGAGAGTTCCAGAAAAAGAGGAAGTGAAACAAGGCCATGAACTTCTGCTATATCAGAGAAAAGCACCAAAGCAAAGGTCTTTGTGTAGTTATTTGTTTTTCTTGCACTGTGCTCTAAATATTTTAATGATGCTTCTGGTCTGGATCAGTCTTGGCAGTATTAGTGGTCTGCCGCTCAAACATTATGGAGCCAAAGAAGACGCCAAGAAATACTGCAAGCAAACACCTCTCCATTATCCAGTTGGAATAATGCTACATAATGACCTCTTGTCTTTTCAATCCATACTGTGAGGATGAGTTGCCAAGAAGAGGATAATGAAATCTGCAGCTACCTTTGAAAAGTTGCCTGTGGGCTTAAAAACCTTTATGCTTCAAAATGAGCCAAAATAAATAGAATTATAGGGTTTATCTGGGCTGGACAGGCCTCTGGAGACGTTATTAGCTAGGGGAAGTTTTTATCAGGGGGCCTCGTGTAACTAATGTTTAAAAAACCTGTACTATGGGTTTTATGTTGTTTTTTGTATATACTGGATTACAAATGCAGTGGTGGATGGTGCAAATCATACCTCTCACTGTGGTTCATCTTGTCAAGACGTCACTCAAACCTTTTGCTAAATGATGTTTCCCTCTATTTCACTAGTTTTATAGCTGTCAATCAGCCATAACTATCATCTTTGCAGCATCTTCAGCAACAAGCTAAACATACATTATTTTTGTATCACCATTAAAGTTACCATAAGTAGCATGCAAGCTAACAGTTCTCTTCCTACACATCCACAAACATGGAGCAAACTCACTTTTACAAAATTAACATCTTATTTTCATCCTCCTTGTTATTACAGGCCAAGTTCTTGTCTCTTTTTGGCTCGGATTGGGTCTCCAGAAACTCTAAAGTGAAAATGAAATCTATTTTGGGACTTCATGTTTAGTCACCAGCTAACTTCCCCTGTGGTGGTTTTGTTGAAAATTTGGTGAAAGTGATGAAAACCGACAAGAAACCAAACTGAGAGATGACAAAGTAGAACTGCAAAGACAACTCATCGTTTCCCATGTATTTGTGAGTCACAAATCATGTGGTTGAGTGACACATCATTAGCAAAATAGTAAAACACATCTTTGTACTTCATCCAGTTAATATAATCATGACCTCCTACAGTGTAAATGCTCTTTTAATCAGATTTAATCTTTCTAAATGCACTTAAACTGAAAAGAGCACACATCCAGCTATCACTCTGACGCTCCTAAAAACATTTCAATTAAGTAATAGTTCATTAAATTGTGGTGGTATAAAAGTCTACCTCATGGAGATCTTGAACCAATAATGGCATTAGTCCATTTTATTTTGAGACTGTTAGTGATGCGGCCGAAGTGGGCATGCACTACTCACTTCATTCACTTATTTTTTAAAGTTGCCTGAACTCAGGCCAACTGCTCGTGCCACGATACTATATCAGCATAGAAATACCCCAGTGGTGAGCGTCAACACAAACCGGCGAGGTTCATTCATCTGTAAAATGGAGGACAGACTGATCATGGTGATGTGTGGCTGCTTTGAGCAACAGGATATTTGAGCATCAGATATCTGTTTTTTTTTTTCCGTGGAAACAGGAATAAAAATGGACTCTCTTGATAAAAACCCACCAGTTCCTTGCGATGTACCATCTTTGATATATACAAATGAAAATGGCATGAAAAACCCCTTTCTCCCTTGCATTAATTCATGTTTTTCTGCCTTTCTGTAGACATGATCTGGCACACAAGTGGAGCGTGTTACTATTGCTAGTTGAGCAAATGAATAGGAAGCATTTAGGCGCTCCAATACATGTGAATTAAGTGAGTGCATGATATTATTCATGTCTGGTGTGAACGCAACATCACATAAAGATGGATCGCCACAACTCAAGTGTCCTCACGCCCTCACTGCTAAAATGGCTACACGGGGCCAGGGTTGCACTGTGTGTAGGCATGTTGTAACCCCCCTCAAACACACACACAATACAGACATAATGAAGCACAAAAACATGGAGACATCAGATGAGACACTCCAGCTAATCTTGGGGTTGCTTCCCACGAAGAACAGCCCCCACCCTCCCGAGTCTCCCCCAGCTGATGGGTCTGCATCGCCCGTCAATTCTTTTGTCTTTCCTCTCCTTCCCCTCCTACTCCTCCTTATGCTGCCAACCTCTAACCCCTGACCCAAAGACTTTATCCTGTCAACCCCCCCTCCCAGGCTCACCCCTCATGAGAAGGAGCAGAAACCCTCTTCTCTCAACACCAGCCAGTCAGACCCCACCGTGTCAGGATTCATCGACAGCACTATGACAACAGAGCAGAGGAGACGGGGATCACTTTAATGCCATTGTTCTACGAGTTTCTCCTCTTGCGTCTCAAAGCCATGGGATCCTGCAGATGGAACATGAACCTGACACCTCCTCCCCTGCAGAAACGTGTTTTCCCTCACATTTAGGAAGAAAACACAAAGACTAAGCGCTTAACCATATGTGGCAAACACAGTTCACTTAAAGGGAAAAGCAGACGCTAATCTCTCTAGCGTTCGGTGTATACTCTACCCTGGCTGACCTCTGCCAGAGTGGGTCAATCCATTACTTTATTGCTTTAAGCACTGATGGGCGAATTTCCAGCGGCACACACTGTAATGACATTTTGTCCATCAACCTGGACATTATGCAGCATCCAGTGTGGAAAGTGAAGCCCATTTATGGCACCATTTGGGTCGATGCTGACACTTAATCATCATCAGTGTCTAAACATTTACACGGTCAGGAATGTGTCCGGTGCACACATCCCTCAAATGATGCGGATGTTTGCATAGATGGAAATACTTGATGCAAATTGTTTACTCTACTCACATACAACCACTGCTTCGCGTCCCACAAGACTGAAAGTGCACCTACTTTCAACCCCAGCATGGAAACTGATAACAAACCCCTGACAATAGTTCATATCCTCAAAACATCAAATAATATTCAATCTTAAACTAAGAAGTCTCTTTTGAAAAATAGTCAAACCTGCGTCTGTTGAGGTTTTGTTTACTACCTGGCTCCCTATCAACACATTTGCGCTGTCCAACTTCTAGGTTAAAGCTTGCCGTGTGAACTCTGGCCTCAGCTGCATTATCTGGGTGTGTGAGTCAGACGATGAGAAGTTTAATTTAGTGGGCTGTCATTCAGACAAGGGTGTTAACATGTATCTTAACAGTGCTGTTTCAGTCAGACAAATGCAATACATCAACTTCTTTGATGATATGTAAACATACTGAGTGTAAAGAGGGGGGAGGTCTTAATTATTGACTCAGCATCACAAACGATGGCTCAGAAGAAGCATATCTATTTTGGATTAAATGTATATTGCAAATTACATTTCCCAGACCCAGATCTGCTGCTAATGTCAGGAATATTTCCTTTACATTTTTTTCCCTTTTCTTTGTGGGGTTTTTTTTCCCACTAAAAGCAAAAATCAAGCACGCAGAGCAAATCAACTACCGGATCATGCATAGTGAACAGGTTGTTTTGCAAACCAGAACCCCAACAAGGCGAGACCAGCTAGAAAAAAGTATCAAGTATTTCACTCAGCTTTGGTTTTAAGTGAGAAAGCCAGGTCATACAAATGGCCTTAACACTATTAAAAGTCATAATACAGCTGTCATAGCCTAGCAATAGCAAACACAAGGTGAGAGCTGCTCTGTAAATGAGGTCGTAGGCACTGCTGGTGCAAAAAAACAAACCTTTGGTGGACACATGTTGCTCTTACTAGTCTTAATGAATAGAAAGAAGCGTTCTGTCACGAAACAACAAACACGCAATATAAAATCCATCAGGTTGTGAATCCAGGAGCTTTTACTCACTGCTCTGTACATTCCTTCACAACATTTCTTTTTCATTTACAGCTGTGGTCTCCCTATCCTTACAGTATTGTTTTCCCATAGAGCAGAGGTCAAAAGCTAAGATGACTTGTGAGACCTCTCAGTGGTGTTGCACCGATATCAACAGTGTTAACTGATCTCTGCTTCAGTCTGTGTGTGGTGATGGGGTCAATGTGTTTTTCTGACAGAACATCTGGGATTTCCTCTGTCCTGAAGCTGCTAAAACGGGTATTTTCTTCTTTCCTCTGAGGCGAACGTACCTAAAGTTGACCCAGAGGCCTTAAAAGCATGTGCAAATGGAAAAGACATCCCAAATAAGCAAATGGCTATGCAGCACAGGGAAAGATTTTTTTTTTTGAGCAATTAAGTCAAAGTTAAATCCATCTTCTCAAAGTCCCAATAAGTCTGTCAGTGAAGCAAACAGCCTCCCCCAAAAACACCTCCCTAAGCTATTGGGTTTCCTGCAGCTGTCGCTTTATTAAAGTGCAGCTATGCAGATTTTCATCTGCTTGGCAGAAGTGCCTCTTCCTGCCGATAAAGCCTTTCTCTGGAGGATAATAAGCAGACAATGAAAACTCTCACTTGGAAACCTTTTTCTTAGGCAGGAAAGTGATTCTCTGGCGAGAGAGAAAAAGAGAGAGGGTGTTTGTGTCCAGTGGCCTCCAGCTCTTATTCCACTGTGTCACATGCAGCGCCACATCACGACATCATGAGCACAGAGGAGTCATGTGCACTTCCTAAAGTGTCTCGAATAAGAAAAAAACAACAAGCTGTGAAGAAGTGCGTCCTCTCAAGATTTGTTTTAGTAAAAAAAAAGTTAGATTTTTCTCATAATCATGAACTTAAAGGCAAAAAAAAGTCATATATGGCTATTCATTTATGCTCCTGCTTAATTCATCCTGAGTGTAGCATTTGGCTGCGTCCAAATGGTCTCAGGCTGTCTGGCAGGGCTCTTCATATGGTGAACATTTCTCACTGGTGTACAGGGGTACCCCAGATGCTTTTGTCTTACGGTTGTTTAGCAGCTGTGGGGACAAAGAGCTATCTGTGGAGGGTTGAATACACTCAGCGGGCACCCAGCCAACAGCTCAATCCTGCAGGCTCCCACCGTTGAAAAGCAGACTAATGCATTCTGCTCTCACTCCTCACACATGATCTTAGAGGAAAATTGGCTGGGGTGCCATTATTAATGATTCTCATTTGAACCTCAACACTCACATCCGTGCTGTGGTCACATCAAGCTTCTACGTAATTCCCATATCAACTTGGACAGAACACTTGAGATGTGTGCTCCCTTCTAATTAGCAGGCACACCCATTGCCTCTGATTATAGATTGAGGAACTTTGGACTGAAACATAAAACAATGTTTGGAGATTGAAAAGTCATATGTTTTGCTTTTCCTTTAACCACTTAATCCAGCCGAAGACTTTAGGTTTAATTCAAGGGGCCCCACCTTAGTTTGAAGCTAAGGTAGGGCATGCATGAAAAGCAACAGATGTAACAGGCTGGGACATTAGTTGACTGGTCCAAACTATTGTCAGGTGTCCATATAAACTGCAACCATGACACTTTTTCTTCTCTGTTTATAGCAAAAAAACTTTAAAGATTGCTAAAAACCAAAAAGCTGCATGAAGTTGGCTCGGTTGTTTACAGTCTTGGAAAGTATACACAGACAGGCATGGACTTCAGAAGCTTTTTCTGAATCCTTAAGGTACATTTTGGGGAAATTTGACAAAAAGTACTTAAAATTGGAGAAACCTAATGATTTGTGCTTGTGGGGCAATTTGGAAAAAATAGAAAACAGGTCAAGGAGTGCAACTTGAGTAAGAGACATGTTTTAGTCCAATAACAGAAACTTCTGAAACTGGCTTCAGTCTATGATCCCGGTTATAAATTATTGACTGTGTTTAAAGATGGATGATTCATCTTTAACTCTTTTCATTAAAAAAAAAGTAAGGCGAAGAAATCAGTGCAACAGGTGTTGGCATCTTGCCCATTAGGAGCCAGAGTCTCAGAGGGATCAGCACTCGAAACTTTTTTTATTATATGAGTTACATTTCCCCCCTCCATCACATTGAAGCAGATACTCACAGCTATGAGAATTCAATGACTGTTTAATTGTTTCTCTTTCCATCTCTTCTTGCACACAGAAGAACATACTTCAGTTAGCCTTTTTTAAGTCATTATACCACCTTAAAAAAATATATTTTGACTATTTACAGTGAGAAAACTATGTGTAAGGAAATTTAATTGTCCATACTTTCCTCCCAGGTAAATAAAGTGGGATTACCTGCCAATGGTGAAGTTGGTGATAATAAAGAGAACGCTAACTGTTTTGGCTTCACTTTCGGAGAGCTGTGATGTTGTCCATCTCTTGATACAGTTTACCAATGCACTAACTCCCTCACCCAGATGCACTGATTCATCACCAAAGAGTTGATATGAACCACTGAAGGCCTCCCTGCTACAGAAACCATTTTGTGCAGCACAACTGAACTGTTTGGTGACTGTACTGTGGTCTAGTTACTTGCTTACCAAAGAATGGGGAGAGTAAATAGGTCACTCTGGGAAATATTGACCATCTAATCAATCTTCCCTACTCATGAACAGTGTTTTTGGCGCCATAGTAAAAGGGTCATACAGTAATTTACAGCAGATAGCAGAAAATCCTGCCGATAGGCCGAATGCCTGTTGAATGAGTGAGTGAATGTTGCTTTCCGCCAAGCTTTTATTTCCCACAGGCTCTCTGGAACAATCATCTGACTGTGAACAAAACACTGTTACAGATGGCAAATATCCCCTCCATGCATACATGCCAACATACTATAAACTGAGAAAAAGTGGCACTTATTATGCATGAATTTGGCAGTTTAACCTTGAAAATGGTGGGTGTTTTTCTGGAGTCATGCAGATATGATAAAGGCCAGATTGTATCTTTGACATACCAGGCTTCCTGTGCATTCTGAAAAGGCTGTGGTCTTTTGCATGCAGGGTATTTTCAGATATTTAAATGTCATACCACACATGCACACACAAACACCCACACTTGCATCCCTTCTGTTTGAATATGAATGGGCTTTTAGTGAAAAAGTGACGGCCATGATGCATGCTTGAACAAGCATCCCCGCTCAGGAACTTTTATTCTTATCATCTCAAGTCACAATACTCAATGGACTGCTTTGTTGACTGAGTTATTAAGCTGAACAAATTAACATGAGAGCTCTGGCGGACCTGCAGAGCCACAGGGAGACAAAAAAACAACAAGGGAAGACGAAAAAGTAAGAGGAACAGAGAAATGAAAAAAGGAAGTGGAGCAGGAAGTGAAGCAGGATATAAATGAAGTCTTGATTGGACCAAAAGGGGGTCTATTTTTTCCAAACTGCACAGTTGCAAAAAGTCCTCTAAGGGCCTCATATGCTGCATAATCACAAAAGATGCTCGGTCATATCTTTTGCCAAATGGAAAGAAGCCCAGAAATCATGTAACTCTGACAGCAGCTACCTCATTATAGAGGGATATTCTGTGTAATTAATGATCGCAAACCCAAAGACGAAAAGCAATTTGGGAGTTATTGATGGCGACATAAAAATGTGGGATCTGTTCTCAGAGGTTAGCGTCGACTTAATTTGGATTACACCATATTTTAAGAGTCGGGGAATCCAAGGGAAGCATCTTTATGGTGTCAACAAGCTTTGATTCAAACAAATTAACACTCAACAGAAATCCGTCTCTTCAAAACATCCCTTTGGTGACTCATCCTCACATTCCTGTGTTTTCCTCATCCCCACTTGGATAAAGTCATGCGCAGGACCTGCTGCTCATCTCTTGAAGATAGCATCGACATGAGTCAACGAAAATCGGGGACAAATGTCCCACTTTCTGTGACAAGTTGTTGATTTTGCGAGTGTAAAAACACCTCAGCTGGCACAGCATTAGCAGTCAGGGGTCTTTCCTCCCCTCATACTCAGGATGTGGGGTCACAGCACACACACTCCACCACATGTGAGTGTGTGTCACGGTGATCCCTGCTGATGTGTGAAAGAAATTATCGGACACTATTCAGACATCCTAGTTCAGATAAAGAAGGAATGAAGTGAGAAAAACAGTCGACATCCCGGAGACACTTCACAGGCCTGCATGTAAAAATCATTATGAGGGACAAAGTCCAACTGGTGTGCTTTTGGACCACAGGGGGACAGAGTCAATCAGTTTATCAAGAAGTCTTTAAATACCATCAAGAGGTTTTTAAAATTCGACCTTCCTTCAACAACAAGATGTTTAATTAAAGACATATGTTCAACTGTCGTCCATGATTAACTCTTCTGTGAGAATCGCTCAAAAACAGTGATGTAACATTTGGATCTGGTTTGACTCCAACCCTGATGGTCTTTCCACGAGACCACCACACTGAATACTGAACACTCCAACTACCGGGTCCATGAGTTTCCATAAGGAAAAGAAATCTTTCCTCCCTCTCTCTTTTTTCCTTTCTTTTGCTGCAATCAGGATCTGGCTCGAAGAAGAACAACAGACACTGTGTTTCGCAGTCGTGTCCATAATTTGCTGCATCTGATTAGCTGAATCTCCTGTCATGGGATAGTTTTATAATGCTAAGCACATAATTCAATTGCGTCTATAAAAACATCGAAAAGTTGCTCCATTTTCCAGATCGTATCAGACTTGGAGCTTCTTCAACTGTTTTTCCACATGTTTCTCAAAGTACTGCAGATGAATTTAGCAAAAAAAAAGATAAAATTAAGTTTGCAAATGTTGGACAGATTTGTCCTACATGCTTCAGGGCAATAAGCTGCATGAGATTATAACACTTCGCATGTTGCATGTCATACTTTTCTTGCTAAGTGAATGCAAGGAAAAAACAGCTGGAACTCAAGGCCAGCATTTTCCCTTCAGATGTTTGGCTCGATATTAGAATGTGTAGAAGCAAAACTGCTTTTTTTCTCCCTTGTGTTCGCTTATCAAGAAAGCCCTTGGGTAATTGGGTAATTGTTACAAGACAAACACCAAGAGCCTAGTAAGACATTTGTAGAAAATGAGTTGCTGTCGCCTTGGCTCAAGCCAAGTTTTCCTCCCACATCCGTCACAGAGGCCAGTGCGCTGTTAAAGCGTTCAACAACACAACAGAGCAGGATCTCTGTGAAAAATATGCCGCCTCTCCGCAGAGGTTAAGGTCACTGAAAAATCTGATCGTATACAAGTTCTACAACCTCTTTTTTCACTTTCAGAAACGAACACAGTCAGCTGCATGACATCCTGTTTTCTTTTGGCTTTGTGCGCACAGTTAATCCATTTTTTGTCATGAAATATTTCAAAGCACCACAGACAGTTATCAGGGCCCTGAAAGACCATAAAAAGGCAATAGAGGATCTTTGATTATAAACCAGAGCTTCAGCAAGTGGACAATGCACTTGTTCAATTGCAATGTAGACTAATATCCTCTATGAGGCAGTGAATGAAGGTCTGTGGGGAGTGGGTTCACAGGGTATCCACTCTGAAACTTACATTCAGTGAACTCCTCTCTCTACATTAAGAGCCACTGAAGTCGCACAAAGGAGCAGCTCCAAATTAGGAGCACAATGACGCCTCTGTGCAAGTGAATTAATGAGCATTGATACACATTCGCACACAGTGTTCCTCCCTGGCCTCAGCTGCACCATCGCAAACAATACAACTTAAGAAACACGGCCCAAAAGCAGATAAACAGAAATGTCTATTGTCTCTTCAAGTCAAATAAAAAGTCCATAAAAGGAGGAGATCTGTTTAAAGTGAACTCTGGCAGTGTATCATCCTTTCTGCTTTACAGTTTATCATCATCTCAGAGGCTTAAAGTTGCAAAACATTCATGGCATGAGCAGCCTCTCTTCCCCATATGTATCCCCCCAGGTCTTGGAGCACAGATGGCCAACACTTGGGACTGATTTAAACATGGGACTGTCTCAGCTCTAACCCTTCACATAGCAATTACAAGCTTTGGCATGAATCACAGCTTGCAGGGCTTCAAATATGGAGAATATGACTAATGCAATGTGCTGCGTGTTAGTGTTTATTCCAGTAACTTTTAGTCACTCACTCTGCCAGGAAAACAACCTTTTACCTATAGGATAACTCAATCACTGCCTGATCAATCACAGCTGATTAATACTGATCAATAGGGGTGAAATCAAACACTCATAACAAGAATTCAGTTCTGGAAACAGAGATATGAGACAGTAGAAAGGCACTAGTTGATCTCCTCTTAACACCTCCGCTCACTCACACACAGTGACTGCAGGAATCCTGATAGACTTAATCTCTCTAATCGCTTTCTTCAGCAGGCTGCTCTAATACCGATTCTCGTGGATCCGGGTCAGGTAAACAGCCCTACTTTTGCAGCAGGAGCTACATTTCACTTTACATGAAGTTTGCGTCCAAAAAACAAAGAAACAACAGGCGCGCCCCCAAAGTTGAGCGACAATAACTAGTGTTCAAAGTCTGTTAATTGTCATGGAGAAAATGCTGACATCCGTCTTTTAGAGTTTATTGGAGGAGTTTGAAATCGGACTCACCCATTTTTATAAGTTTCCCAAAAGCCTCTGAAGTTCGCTCGATCAGCTGGAAGTTGAGCCCCGGCTACACTGATGCTGCGTCCTGGGATGCACACTGGCCGCCTGGCTGCTCACGCACGAAACGCCGCGTCCCTTTGGAGACAGCCCTCGTGACGTCACCGCGGAGGGAGATTACCGATGAGAGGACGGAGTTGGATTGGGCTGTCCCCCCCTCCTCCTCCTCTCTCTCTCTCTCAACCCCGTCCTCCCCCACTGTCAACGGGAAGTTTCACCGGTCACTCAACGCATCACTTTATCTGGAAGTAGAGAACATTCGTGAGTACCAAGTCACCTCCTTTGAGTTTGAGAGAGAGAGATGTCCGGATTAGTAGCCTATAAACATAACCAAGAAGATGATCAAATTAGGGGATTACAACAGGATTATAGAATGGCACTCCAGCAGAGTGTCCTGCATTCCTGTTTGAACAAATGGACAGAGTTGAAAGATCAGTTGCACACCAAAAACGCACAAAGGGGCTAGTCCCATGTTTGTATGCACAAGGAAAGTTCGTGTGGAGTGTGAAAAGACAGATTAGAGTTAGTAATACAATCTCTCCTCCTATTAATGGTCCTCTAATGACAGTTTAGCTTTACTGGATCTGTCCTACAAACATCAACATGCTCTTGGATTTCACTTAACCTGAGTCCTGCCACATCCAGAAATACTCAAATGACTCCGCTATTGTGGCATGAATCAGAAATGGACAAGAAGCTGAATACAGAGATCTGATAAGAGCCTTCAGTGACTGGAGTCACAAAAACTGCCTCCTCCTCAACACCTCAAAGACAAAGGAGATGGTCATAGACTTCCGTAGATCCAAACCCCCTCTTCAGCCAGTGAACACCTGTGGAGTGGACATCGAAGTGGTGACATCATATAAATATTGAGGGGTATCTGGATAATAAGTTGGACTGGTCTAAGAATATAGACCACATCTACAGAAAGGGGCAGAGCCGCCTCTTTTGCCTGAGAAGACTCCGATCAACAGACATCTGTTGTAAGATGCTGCAGATGTTTTATCAGTCTGTAGTGGCAAGTGCTCTGTTCTACGCTGCAGTCTGCTGGGGATGAAGCATCAAACACAAAGATGCAAGACATCTCAACAAACTGGTGAAAAAGGCTGGCTCTGTGGTTGGACTCAAGCTGGACTCAGTGGAGGATGTGGTGGAGAGATCTACACTGAGGAAGGTGGAGACAAAAGAACATGGACAACACCTTGATGCACCAAAGGGCCAATGGTGGTGGACGGCTCCTCTCTCTTCGCTGCAGGACAGAAAGATTCAGAAGATCTTTTGTACCAACAACCATCAGACTTTATAACTCTTACGTAAATAATAAATAACTTTTATAGACATATTATGTGAGACAACAGACAATTGAATTTCCCTTCAGGGATCAATAAAGTTCCTCTTATTCTTAACACTTCCTTACCTGGTAGTAAGATTGTCAACAAAGGCCATGTGTGAAAAATCATGGCGAGAAGTCCTCCTGTCAAACCTCTGGGTACACTTGAAGCCATATAAAGTCAGCAGCTGATTCTTGGATGAAACTGTCGAAAGAAATTTGCACATCACGGTATGAGAATTAACTAGTTCTCATGGGTAAAATCTTGAAATAACAAAACAAATTACATCTACATTGAAAACAAAGCAGATTGAAAGCCTTTTAATGCATCTTTAAATCAGTTTCAGATCACACAACCAGCCCAGTTTCATCTTCCAGGAAATTTGCAATAAGTTCCAACTCGGGAAATGGGTTACAAATCTTTTTTATTGTCCAACAGATGGGAAAAATCTTATTCTGGATGTCAAGAGAGATTTCAAGGATTCTTGAAATGCCTTCAGAACAGCCACAAGTGCCAAACAACCTCCCCAGAAATCCAAGGGTAAGTTTGATTTCATTTAAGAAACAGATGCAGTCCTGACGTTGATGAAAAGGAATACAAAAAAAAGGACAAGCCAGACAGATCAAGTCTGCTGTCCTCCTCTGAGTCTAGAGAATAATGAGTGAGTCTTACTTTCGCGTCTGTTGAATCGGACTTTAGACAAACATACATCCTCTGTCTCTGCTTCCAACCATCCTAATGTTTATGTAAATATATTTACAGTTAAAGGTTGCATGCATTGGCACACTAATAGTTTGACTTTTTTGTACAGCATGCTCACAGTGAGCGATACACCAGGCTGTTAAAAGAAAGCGGGGTGAGATTAAGGTCAGAAAATGAAACTTATTTACGAGACAAGATCACTAAAAGTCAAGAGGCAAGTGGTTTTTGTCCAAGGGGGACAAAACCAACACAAACAAAACGTTCCTAACACTAACCAGAGCTTTAAAGTGTCTGACTCTAAAGTTGGACATTTTTGTCCTTTACAAACCTGAGGCTTTTACAGACAAATAATGCCATCCATCCATCCATCCATCCACCCATCCATCCAGCCATCCAGTGTGCCGCCATCCCGTATCCAAGGAGTTCTGAGTCCCCCCCTAATCCAGCCCAGTCTTTTCACTGGTGGCCAAGTGGCAGCTCTCAATGGGCTGTTTCATGGCCAAACAGGGCATCTGCCCAACATGGCAAACACAAAAGCCTCCAAAAGGCAAATATTTAAATGGTCAACTTCAGCGCTGCAAAAACAATATTACCATTTTTTCTCAAATGTACACATTATAGGTCTCATTTTCTAGTCCCTTTGCACATCTATTTTTCATTTTTGTTTTCTTAGATGATTTTTTTTTTCTGTATGTCCCCATGGTGTGTCTTCCATGTTTATTTTTACATTTGTTGATGCAAGGCTTGTTTCCCTATGCACCATGAACTCTATAAAGTGAGCAGATCTCCCATACACTATCCTTCAGGCTTCTTCTACCCCTCTTTGCTTTGCTTTTTGACTTTCTCTGTGTGTGTGCACAGGAGCTTTATGTCAGTGTGTGTGTGTGTGTGTGAATAGAGGGTCTGCATGGGAACATTCCAGCACTGTGTTGGCTGTTACAGCAGGCACAGCAGCTGGCAGACAGCAGGCAGGCATGCAACTGTTAATACGGTGGACCATAGCAAAACAAAACACATCGGACAGACGCTTTTTATACCACAATATGCAGTTTATATGGATGTTTCATTTATATAGGGATACAAACAGGTTAAAACATTTTAGGATAGTTCTCAGGACAAAGACAATGGCTATTGGAAAAAGGAAATGTTGCATGTAAAAGAAGAATCTAAATACTGAAATGTAACTGAGTTAGTTATGTCAAGTTTAAAAAACAAGATGATGGTTAAGATTACATGATGGAAATACACTGAAGAAGAGAGCAGCAGTCCAGCGTTAAATCAAGCTTTGGACTGTTTCTTTTGGAGCTGTCTGCCCACTGATTTAGTGATTATTTGATTGCTATAAACTAATATCTAAAACACCTGAAAAGAGAAAGCATCAGACCCAGTAATACTCTCATCTTTCCTTCCAAAGAGATGATATATAGAGTCGCAGTTGAAGGCCAGACGTTTATGAAAGCAATTTTTCCTCCCCTCATTTATGTTTCTCATTAAGCATTAGCGCAGAGAAACAGGGCTGATGGTAGGCATTAGAGGCAAATTGAGGTAATCCTGCGGTGCCTAATTGCAAATCAAGAAAAGCTGCTGAAGGGTTGTGCTAAACACAACAGCCACCATGGTTACAAACCACGGAGTAAATGGCAGACAGTGTGAATGGGCTCGAAATGAGAGGCGGTGTGAAGAGTGCTCAGAGTGAAGCTGGCATCTGTTTGAGGGGACTTGGTTGGAAGAGTATTGCCTGCAAAGTATCTTTAAAATGCCCTAAACTACATTTTAAATAACGAGGAAAAAAATGTGCGAAACGTAACGATGAAATGGCAACAATAGGGTTTCAAAACAAGACAAAGCATTAGGAAACACGAGCTGGTGTGCAATCGAGTATTGAGTTTTTGCTTAAGATAATTGAACTGATTAAGTCTTTCCACATCTCTTTCATTGGGTAAGATGTTGGGAAATGAATCTGCAAGTATCAGCTGCTGCAGATGTTTACTATAAAGGTTTGATGAGTTCCTATGCCTCTGTGTTTATGGTGAAGCTTGTGGGCACTCTCTACATATGGATACATTGGATAGTTTTTCCAGAAAAGCCAGCAATGTTCCCAAAATTTGGGGTTAAATGCAAAGTAGATTTACCCAGACAAGACCATTTTCTCTGTGTTATTAGTTCCTTTCCATTCAATAGCCATTCCTTCCATTACATGTACCACTTATCCCATCAAGTATTAGTGGGGACTGGAGGATTTCCCAGCTGTCTGTGAGTGAGGGGCAAGGTACACCCTGTCTATCACAGAGCTAATACATAGACGGACAACCAGAGTCACCAATAAACCTCCAATTAACCCAACCGACATGTCTTTGGACTGTTGGGGGAAGCCAGAGTACCCAGAGTGTACCCAGGCATGCATGGGGAAAGATGCCAACTCCACACAGAAAAGCCTCCACCCGTGATTCAGCCCAGGCACTTTCTTGCTGTGAGGCAACAGAGCTAGCCATGTAACACAGTGTTATTTGAGAATTACAGAAAACATGAATAAAAAGTACAAAAAAAAGTACAAAGGTGGTCCTTTACTGTCTTTCAACATTTGTACTTAAAACAGTATTTTGGTGTTTTAGCCTTAAAGAGGGGTGAAAAACATCTGAGGTTGAGAGGAATCAACATCTGGTTTAGTCTTTGAGAGGAGATGGAAAATAATATTCCATTGCCATCTACAGAGGAACTATATTGTTTACCAAGACCCACAAAGGCCTATCAAAATACTTCAATCCATTTTAGTTGCCTATAAACCCAAAGCCTGCCTTCAAGCCAAAACCACATGCATCTTCTTATAGACAAAGCATGTTTGTGTCTGTAACTTTTACCCAGTGCTTTTTTTCTCTGATAGTATCATCTTTGCTGATTCTTTTAATAGACTCTAATGAAGTTTAGTGAAGTAAAAAACCATGTCTTGGGTAATGTTGCCTCTGCTGGGGGCTCTACAAACACGAAAACATGTCGTCAGTGAGTCATAACAACTAAAAAGTGTGTGGTGGTGACCGGCTCCAGCAGGTCGAGGGGAGTGATGTACATGGAAGCAGCTCTGAGGTCATATAATTTATAACCCCTGAGGCTCCAGGCAGAGGGGGGTGTCACTAAAAAAGACTCCATGCATAGCTAAGGTCTGAACAGGAAGTTGCATCCAGACTGGTTATCTCCTCAAGTGCAAAAAAAATATAGATGTTACAAAACTTGTTGTTCCCTGTGGATAGAAGTGCTTTAAATATGCAGCGAGGAAAGGAGGAAAAACAGCTTGTTAAATGGTGTTGCATCGCCTGTCCTTCATTCTGCTGGTGTTAGGAGTGAATAGAGTTGGGAGTGGTCAGATTTAGAGGACTCAACTGTCAGACTTAACTCTGGGAATGGAAAAACAAAGAGCAACTATGCACACCCCCGTGACTCTGCCTCCAGAGATAATTGGGTCACCGCAACTCTGTTTCTCTCTCTGCACTGATACACAGGATATATCTTTAAATACAATCAACCATGATGCATCTTTAAGGATCATACTCATGTATTTGTAATGAAGGGGATAACAGAAATATGTCAGAAGCAATGCTGGGTTTGAAACTGTATCAGGGTTAGTTAAGCTTTTCAAGCAAACATCTCTCCAATACCAGTGTAAACTACAGCTGAATTCCTCCACCGCTCCCATCATTCGTTGGCTCACAGAAGTTACCGTGGGCAGAGACTATGTTACAGTAAATAATCTATCACAGCAAATAAAATACTTTAAGTTCATGTTCGCATGTTAAACAGAGTGTATGAACACATTTATGCTGGACAGGAGAGCTGCAGATTTGCTGTTGAGGATGGCAACACTTTGAACAGTAGTCCATACTTTGCTGCCATCTACTGGATAGTTACTTGGTGGCTCAACAGTTCATAATAAAGTGGACTTTCAAATCAGAGAAATCATAAAATCTTCAAGAAAATTAGTTTTAATAAAACAGCCTGGCTTATAGTATGGTCCCTCCAAATATATGAATGTAAATGTGGGACAAACCCTGTTTAGAGAAGATGTTTTTGCAGTGTGACGAATAAAATCCACTAAGATGCTACATTTGTGGCTCTCTGAAATTATGTGAGCTGTCTCACTATTTTTCCACCATGATATACTGGAGACCACCTGACTACCTGTCAAACTCAAGTTAACTTAAGATAATATAAGAGGTCAAATATTGGCCAAATCATTCTGACAAAGTCTGATATCAGTGAAACCTTATCTGATCAATGCCTCAGACTGAACTTCAGTCACTGTTCAACACTTTATAACTAGGGTACACATTTTTAACTCTTCTATGTCATTAGAAATATGAATTTATTTTTTTTATTAATCTTTGGGGCTGATCATATGCACAGTACTTAAAAAAACTCATATACCCAGCCAATTTGGCCACATATTATTTAATATTCTGTCTAAATTAACTCTTAATTTACAAACCTTATCTAATGGCAGACTGAACACTGAAGTTATTGTAACTTTATCATTGGTTCATGATAAGCATCATGAATTAATGATGCACTGCACATGGAGGCATGCAAAAATTAATCGTGAGTGATTAATCACTTTAACATCAGAATTAATTCACAAAATAATGTGTACCCTTATTGAAAAGAGTGTTCCTGTTCATTTATAAACCCTCTGCTTTAGCTCTGACTGTGATATTGAAAATTAGGATCAGATGTCATTGGGTAAATTAGCTCCTTTACTTTATTGTACTTCTTTGTTATGATCTATTTGGTCAAAGGAAAAACCTCTCGATATCAAGAAAGCATCTTCAAACATGTTATAGCAGTAGGGGTCATAGTGGGCTTTAGTAACAGTGTAAGAGGCTTTTAAGAGAATGAAGGGAGCATTTTTCAAAATATGTTATATTAAAGCTCCTGTGGGGAACGTTCTCTTTGAGTTAAATTTGGCGCCCCCTGTGGACAAAATAATAACCCATTTATTGTTGTCAAGTTAATTCACAAAAAAATCATGTCTTTTGTCTTGTCTTTTCTAAGTGATTTTTCTTTCTAGCTAGGACTGTTTCCTTAGTGTACCTACCCCCCCCCCCCCCCCCCCATAAAAATTGTTAATCTTGCCATCAGTGTTAATCTGTTTATTTCATCACTGTTCGTTTCATTACCAATGAAAAATATCCTCAAAGGAGCTTTAAAGTAGAATAATATCAACTGTACTTTAGTGTCAGTGGGCCATCAAATCTCACTCCAAATAAAGTCAGTAATATAGTTTTGAGTTTATTTTAGAATACTCAGAATTTTTGCTATAATGTTTGATCAGTATTATTACCTATCGAAAATTTCACTTGTTTTTTTAAGGATTAAGTTGTGAAATAATGACATTTCTTAAAGAAAGCACTAAATATGGAGTATTTTAAGGCAAAGCATGGACCTAGTTTTGAGCATAAGTTCACGTCTCAGCTCAGCTTTATATAGTTCTGTTATGAACACCTTTTTGTGCTGGTTTTTTTGGTGGATCATGTACTTTTAAATGCCTGATTTACATGTTATATTCTGTACACTCTGATTTTATCATGTTGTTGCTTACATACTTAAACTAAGGACTCTGTTTTCTGCACTTGTGTGCCAACATTTTATTAAAACACAGTGACTCAGAATTTATTGTTAGTCCGATACATTACAGTTCACTGGAGAAAATAATAGTAAAACCTGCTAAACCTCTAGACCAAGGTAGGCAGACAGACACTTTAGCTCTGGAATAAATAAGAAAGCTCAGTGAGACAGAAATCATTTATCTGTGTTCAGCCCACACTCACTGACTGTCTTTGGTGGATTTCCATCAGCCTTGATAGAAGTAGATGGCTCTACATGTAAATGACTCACACTGCCTATACTGACACTCTGTTTACGGATTAGGTGGCTTTTTCAATTAAAATGTCATTAAAGTGATTTTTTCTGCATTTCACAAATGCAGAAATTCAAATTTCTCCAGAGGATTCCTCGTGTGTTACTTGACAGATTAAGAAGTAGTAAGTGTACCTGAGGGAAATTATCATCTCACTGTATGACAGGAGACGCATGTTGTTTGAATGGTATCAACTCCAAGCAGCTGCTCTCCTCTTCACTCTCCGGAGTCTCTAATGGAAGTGTTCGGGCCAGTGTGTGTGCGTGCATGTGTGTGTGTGCACTGGCTTTACATCTCAGTTCTTTTTGAACTCTTAATAAATCCAACAGTAAAATAAAATATATGTTCAACCCCCCATTCATTATCTGTTTCATTGTTCTGTTTATGGTCGGGGTGAACATATATCTTATTTTACTGGGGGCGTTCCAGTGCTAATGCAGGGACAAACAACCAGTAGAAAATGGGCCCTCATGTAACAAAGACCCACAATGATAAGATAATGAATGGCTGTCAATACAGACAGGGGCCCATTGAGAATACCCTTCTATGGGGACTGATATTTTTGTGCAGCGCCCCTGTTTGCAGTTACCAATCAAACTGTAAAAGTTCACGTACGAAGGACTCCAGCTTAGATTCAAACTAGAAAAAAATGAATATTTTGAGATTATAACACTTACTACCATAAGAACATTGTTCACAGGAACGCCCATAGCAGTTAGGTACCTCTCTCATTAACACCGCTACCATTAACTACACAATAATCACTCAAATTCTAGTGAATTTATGGTTTTGACGGAATTTGATGTTTGTGTTGGAGCATAAACTTCCAATTTCAAATGGAAACCATGTGCAGTTTAATGAACTTGAGTTTTGCATGGATCAAGGTCTACTTTCTCCTACTTGGTTTAGAAAGGAGGTACGTGAGGCCTTTGCTGGACTGTTCATAAAGTCTCCAAATCAATACATTGAACAGTTAGTCGATAGATGACCTTCAGTACATGTTCTGTAAATATTTATTACCACTGAAACCATTACCTCTCTCAGTGCCTATCATGTCACATTGATTAGTTGCATCACTCCACTTTTATATTGAAGTAATGCATCATATGGTCTGTTTGCAGGCTGTTTACCCTCCACTTGCCCTCAACCTCATTTCACTGTTGTCGATACTGATTACAGGTAGACATTTCGTCTTATATCTTATTCATTCACAGCTTCGGTTAACCTTTGAATAGTGCTGTTTAAGTGTAGTTTTACAGTAAACGGGACAAGACTCTGGGAGACGCCATTAGTCCTCTAAGCTTTGTGTTAGCGCACCACAGATTGTGAGCTACTTGTCATTGTTTCGAGTAATTACTCATTTGCCAAGTGGATCTCATCTGCTGGCTCTCCCATGGAGCTGTCACACTTCTTGGTCTTTGTTTTGAAAGGGCAAATAAGGCGAAATGGTCTGGAAAGAACTAACAGGCTTTCACTCCCGTCCTGTCAGTGTGATTTAGATAAACCCGTTAGATTACAAAGCAATTCTTCTTTGACAAGACTCAATCTGTTTGCTGCCATGTGCCTTGACATGATCTACATGCTATTTCTTTCACTGTTCATTGATTCTCGCCTGCAGCCCTCTCTGGTCGGGGGGAAATTGGGCTTCAGATCCTGAGTGAAGGTAGATTGTCTTTTGCTGACCTGATAATAGCAGGCATTTATCACCATGTTCAGTTTTTTAATAGCTCAGTGAAGTGTTTATTTTACCAAGTTGCAAATGTGTCTTTACTTACAATTGAGTATTAGGACCTTTCAGAGGGGCTAATTGTCTCATTAATGTCTGATTCTCTCCCTGTCTCGTTTTTTTACCACATGAAATGGCTTTTCATTACAATGCACCGGAGTATCATTAAATATTGCTGTATTTTTTTTGCACCCAGGACCAATTGTAAAACAGAGAGGTACATTTCTGGGCTCTTGTCTCTAACAGAGGCCAGCAGAGTGTCATTATTTCCACCCGAGGCCCTGTTTCATTAGAAAACAGACCCATCAGACTGCCAGTGGGGAACGAGTTCATCACTGAGCCTCAAGCACATTGATCCACACTCAGCCCGGCAACAGAATGAGAAATGCATACCTCTGAGATATGTGTGTGTTTTAGCAAAGCTCTTAGAACAAAAAAACAGGCTCAGGTAAGTAAAAACTGTGTTGGCACAGGCCATTTGTACACCAATTCACCTTGAGTTGAAGAACACAGATTCATATGCAACTGTTTTCAAAGTCAGTAAGAAGGAGTGTTTTTAAGGTCAGCGCTCTCTGCTCTCTTCTTCTGTCTGCGTAGGCCTCTCAGGATCAGGACAGGCACAGAGGGGAGATATACAGTACGGCTCTCAGGCAAAGCTTCTCTCACAACACCATCAGTCACACTGGGATCAAGTTTGTCTCCGAACAGCTGAGTCTCTCAGCACATAACCCCGGAGGACTCCAGACTGACTGTAACCCCTATTCAGATGATTAGGGTACTCGATGTGGAATAGTCAGTTTGCATGAAGAGTTTTAATTGATAATGACGCAATTTGGTAGCACGTCATATGAACCTACCTCTTACAATGCATTATTTGTTAAGCTTTATAAAAACATCTATAAGGATTTATCCTTCCTCCTGTGTTAGGTCTTAAATCAGCTGCACTAAAAAATCAAATCATTACACTAAAAACACTTCGCTATCATCCAATTTGGTTCTTATCTCTAGGTTACCTTGTTAGGCTTCATTATCCATGAAAATATTGATTATAATGTGTTTTGATGTGGGCCTCTGGGCCTTTCTTTGTCAGTATACCCTTCATACAGACATCTACTGAATTGATCTCACATGTCTGGACATGCCTGACGTTGTTTTGATTCCCCTAAATTTTACATGATTGGAAGAGGATCTGACTGTCGGTGTGGCGCCTGACAGTGCACTTTTAGTTTTTATTCTAATTATTAGATATTAATCTAACCGGGTCAACAGCAACCCTATTACAACAAGTGCCATAATTTTAGTAAGAGCATTTTATAATTTAGTCAATTTAATTTTTTTTTTTTTTTTTGAAATAGAGGTTCCCGACAAAGTCAAAAAGCCTTGATGTGAAAAAGCTAATTTATGTGGTTCTTTCAAGCATTTAAAAACAAAAACAGGTTGGTGCAGACTCTAACACAGGAGGAAGGTTAAAACAATCCTTATACACATTTATACCAGCATGTTTATGTCATGTTATATACAACGAGCATATTGCCTTTAAAAAGTATGGTCTATACTTTGATGTATGCTCCAAAAATAGATGAAATGTTTGGGTTATAACTCAAAAGAATCTCCTCTTAATGAGTCTTCTTTTTTCACACTCCTCTGTATATTGACTGGTCCTGAATTAAACTGTGCCTGATTGTTTCCCTCCAGACTGATGAGGCCAGCTGCACGCAGATCAATATATCAATTTGTAAAGCAAAATCTAATTGGAAATTGTTGCCCATTTGCGGCTGCACTTAGACACCGAGGCAGACCCGCTGGGTGGCTGGCAGGCACAGCAAAGCAGAAGGGTGCTTTGGATTAGAAAAAAAAAGGGCAGATAAGAGTCATTTGTTATCAGCCTCATAATGAGAAATCAAACAGATTCCTCTGCTCGCGTGGATCCCTCTCTTCCTGTATATATTGGCAGCATTTAATTGCGTTCTTCAGCTGAAGCCCTCTTAGCTTTTGAGGTTTCATTCGTCATCTGAGGAATACAGCTGCTCCAATCCGCTTATCAATGTGTGTCTGGGTGATGTTTCCATGGAAACTGTGTTTACTGCCCCACAGTGATCTAAAAATGGTTCCAAAGTGGGAACAGTGCAGACGGGTGAGAGACGAGTAGAAATGTGACAGCCGGTGACAGAGATTGACACTGTGGGAAGCATCATTTAAATATATACATAAAAAAACTCCTGCAGATGCTTCATAGCCACTTTAAAGGAAGTCTTTGTCTACTTAACACTCTTAGGAGTCAAACTGTTTCGCTTTGACGATTGTAGATCCACTGAGCTCTGAGAAAAAGGTGAATTAAAAATATCTCACCCCCTCTTCTTGCAGTGTGGCTCCTTTTTCTGCCATCCACTCGTCTTCAGTTGTGCTACTCTGGAGAAGGGCTGAATATGCGAGCTGATGATTCAAGAAAGAGAAAGTTTGGAAAATGAGGTTGACCTTTTGGCAGTTTGTGCTTAGTTTGAAGCAAAAACAACAGAATTAAAAAGACTCGCCTGTCATTATTATTATCTCTTTGTTTTACTGATAGGATTTGGTTTTTGATCGCACCTTCAGATGTTCCCTTTCAAGCCAAGAGAAGATCTTTTGTCGGTCTGATTGTGTCTCTGTTTCTACAGCTGTGGCTCCTCATTTCAGCCTCGGTGCTTGTTCTTGAAGGTGTACAACATGATTGAAATTTTCAAGCTAATTTGCTGATCTAATTCTCTTTTAGTTCCACCCCCCTAACGCTGTGAATGCTACGAGATGTCTTTTGAAGAAGACAATTATCAGCTGTCTTAGATGGAGACAGTTTCAGCTCAGTTCCCATGGCAATAAGCTCGGCGGATATAACTTTGCATTCATCAAGTTTAAAGCAGGATTTTCCATCACCAGGGAAAAGTTGGGTTAGCGCGAAGCTCTGATTTTGTCTTTAATCATTTCAAAGTCTGGTCACAGAGAAAGAAGTTTGTTAATGAACTTCTAGAAAATCAGAGTTCTCCATCTTACACACGGTATAATTGTCTTTGGTTTCCTTTGATGTGTCATTTGATAATAAGATTCATTCATGCACTCCTTGGTTAATTGATCTTTTGCTGAATGATCTGGTCTCACTTTTTTTTCTACTAATGGTTCACAAAGCAGAACGTCTATGAATGAACTTAACAAAAGAAAAAAACGTCTGCCACATTAAATTATTCATAGGTTCGGAATGCTAACTGTTCACAGGGTGAATTCGGTCGACCTTTGACTTAATGAAAGCAGAGTGCTTCCAAAGACACACACATCAGACCTGAGAGCTGTCAGGTCTCGGCTTATCACTGAGTGATCCGACAGCTCCACATCCTGAGCGCAGAGCCAAAGAGTTTTTAGTCCAAATTGGGATCTTGACCATTTGACTGTAAAATATGTGCAATTCTGATGAAGTGAAGGCATCAAAGTCATTTTTTAAATAAAATAACTTCAGTTTTACACATCAATCACAGTGGTTTCCAAATAAATTCCCTGGTTTTAATAGTTGATACTTTGAAATTCAGATTTGAATAAATCATTTAGATTAGCTTTTACTCATTAGTTGGGAACTTTTGGGACTTAAAGTAATAATTTATTCATCACTTTTAAAGCAAGCAGATAACATCTTTTAACTATTTATCAAGAATGATGGTATTGGAAAGCAGAGGCGTTTCATTTTATTCCAACATGTTTTTAGCATATTAGAATCAAATGCTTCACTTTGCTGACAGCAGGAGACATGTGCCAGTCTTCATATCATGAGTGAGATGAAATGGTGAGATCTTTGCAGAAAATGCTGCTCTTTTTTTCATTTCATGATTACAACTACTTTTTATTACTCTCATCTTTAGTATCCAAGAGAGGAAGATACACTAAAATGTTAGGGTGATGCAATGAACCCAGCCTCAAAGTGTCATCAGCAGATTGGTGGTAAAGGGAGTCGATGATGTTTTCATTCAGGATGGGAAATGGACTTTGTTCTTCTGACCTCTCAGGGCGCTTTAACATGACGTGTCACATTCACCCATTAACAGCACATTGACACAATGATGGCAGAGGCTGCTATGGATAGAGCCCATTAGTTTTTGAAGAGTCCTGCCTCAGGACAATGACCATAGACTGTATATACTATGGACAACTTGGTACCGCCTTCCGTCATTATACAGATTTGTGGCCGATAAGCTCTCGGTATTTCCGGGATTTTTCTCCATTTCCTGGAACCACCACTTGAGCAGTAGCATTGTACGCATTTAGTGGGAGAATTGCCAAGAGCTGCTGTGATGATGCTCGGCTCAAACTGTGTATGCCCTTGGTGAGCTACACAAAATTTGTATGCCCATAGGCTGTATCAAGTGTCAATCATGGAAAACACGAACCCCCTAATAACTTTAAAAAATGGAGCTGTACAGAAAAAAGAGGACTTGAGCACAAACCAGTCTTACAATAACTACATGTCAACGTCGCAACCAGGGGGGAGAAAAATTTAAATTCTGTGTAATAAATTTCTAAAGTTTGTCCACAGCTTCATAGGGATTGCTGGAAGAGGTGGGATTTATGACCTATACTGCAGCCTGTCACCAGAGGGAGCTGTTCTCGGGGTGGCTTCACTCAGCAAGAGGGCAGACGCTGTGAGACAGCAGACGAGACCTTGAATCAAAACCCTAACCCCTCAACTAGAAGAACACCAACTCCACCACAATTCAATCTGGATTTCAAGAAAAAGGTCAATACAGACATATCCTTAACCTGCAATTTCCTGTCCTTTTCTCTTTGACTGTTGACTGTGTCATTATTCCACTCACAAAGTTAATTCTATGACTTACGGCCCAGTTTAGAGTAAAAGAGATAAAAGTAGACTATTCTGAGTTCATGGCTACCCTGTGATTGGTATGCTGCCATTGTAACCAGTCAGGTTCAGGCCGAGTAATGCCAATTAATCCTCTTGCTCTATAATGTTCAGTCCTGGCACAGGAAAAATATGTGAGGGGTCAAAACATCAAGCTTGAGTCCAAATCATTCATGAGGTTTTCTTGTGAGCTTCCTTTCCTTTTTTGCCCGAACAACAAACAAACACCATCTCAAATTAAATATGAAGCATTCAACCTGTAGGTGTTTCCCAAAGTCCTGATTCACATCTGGAACAGAGAACAACACTGAAAAAACCCTCTATCACAGTTTGCTGCTCACTCTTAAGCTGCAGAGCTGGATTCATTATCAGTATGACAGTGTCAGTCATCCTTAATATGCTCTCTTTTCTGACAGGCTGCACGCTCGTCACTTTCATGAAGCCGTGATTGTGCAAACACATCATGTCTTATGTTCTCAGCGTGATTCCTAAACTGTACATCCACATGTTTCATTATATCCCAACAGTTCTTACAGGCCTGTAACCAGCAATACTTAAGGCACTTTTTAACCACAGTTTCAAATATAGTCTTGTAAACATCAATATTCAAGACAAAACTCTGAAAATAAGAGATTAGTTTCCTTCTAAATATCTAACAAAAGCCTGCGACAAAGAGTTGCCGCTCCGCCATAGTCCCCCTCGTGTGTAATTGGTCCCCTAACAAGCATCTAAGCTCAGCTGAGAAGAAAAAGAAGACAAAAACAAATGTAAACTGGTTCAGTAATTGAAATTGCATCCAATCTTCAATTTATCCTTGCATCACTTTGACGGCTGCACAGCTCTAGTGACAGCACTCAGCAAGACAAGCCTGCAAGCTAGAAATAGATTGTGAGCCAGTGTCAACATGGAGCAAGACATTGGCCAGGGAGGAGAACGTGTATGTGTGCTGCTGTTCAGGCTCGGGTGACTGCTCAGGAAAAGCTGGAGCCCAGGAGAGACGTCCTGACATGCAGATCAGAGTGAAAACATGATGGAGTCATTGTCGCTTGAAGAGGAAATGTTTAACAAAGTGAACATAACCGTTTAATAAGATATACATTTCCTGTGCTGTATAGTGTTCTATTTTGGTGTGCGGAGTTACAGTGACCGTGGAGCGTGGATGGGGGGTCTAGTCCAGGGGATCAGCGGGTTTTCAGTGCTCAGTGATGTAGAAAGGCACTGTGGCTGTCTCCCACTGATGAAAGGAAGCTGTGATTGACAGGTGAGCCTTAGCGAGGACTAGTGTTGCTCCCTTCAATTGGCCTGAGGGAAAACATAACCTAAGGAGCAGCATCCTTGTGGGCATTTAGGCTGTCCATCACCTGTGGTTCACATGGCTCTATAGCTCTTATAGGAGGATTTCAGACGTGTTAGACCGCAGACAGCTCATAGAAAAGTGAAAGGTTAGAAAAGTGCTGTAAATTTATGGTTTTCTATGGTGTTAAAACCCATGTGCACCATAGGAAGACTACGCCTACACGAGTACTGATTTATGTATCAGATAAGATGAAGTTTTAAACATTGATTTTGCTTTAATAATTTTGTTTTTATTAAATGTTGAGCTAACAATCTGAATGAGTTGAAGCTAAAGAGTTTAACAGGGAGTTTGTATGTGCTCAAGCACCTGCAGCTGTTGCCTGTAAGGCCACATTTTGGGTGACAAAATTCACATTTCGATGAATGTCATAGCATAACTCACAAGTACTGATGATGACTTTTAGTGTTCATATGAAATTTGGCTGCAGAGGTTTTCCTTTGTAATCCATTATTTCTCAGTTATTTTTCATACATATATTGTAGTTTGTCTATAAATATTTGAGGACAGAGGAGACCTGCTCCTTGAGTTTTTTAAATAAAATGTCTTTCCATTTTCACCTGGTACAGGATTTCAGCTGCTCAACAGCCCGGGGACTCCTTTGTTATATTTTTCATTCTGTGACGCACCAATTTTTTTTTCAGTGGGTGACAAGTCTGGACTGCAGGCAGGCCAGTTTTAGCACCTGGACTCTTCTCCAATGAAGCCATGTTTTGTAATAAGTGCAGTTTGGTATTTTCCAACTGAAATATGTAAAGTTTGTCCTGAAAAAGGGGGCATATTCTGAGAGAAAATGTTTCTAAAAAAGTTGTATATCTTGTTCAGCATTAATGGTGCCTCCACAGATGTAAGCTGCCCATACCATGGACACATATGCATCTCCATCCCATCACAGATGCCCTTTTTTAACTATGCACTGAAAATAAGCCAAGTGATCCCTCTCCTCTTTAGAGTCAAGGATGGGGTGTCCATGCTTTCCAAAAAGAGTGTTATGTTTTGATTTGGTACAGTTTTAAGTTGCATTTGTGGATGCAACAACAAACTGAGCCTGTGCAGTGATTTACACTTCAAGGTCATGTCTGAGTGATTACCTCTTCCTCCTCCTCATTAGCGTCTTAGAAATGGCCCTTTAATACCCAGCCATATTACTCACTTGTTGCAGTATTTGCATGATTAGTTGGAGGATCTTCCTCCAGGTTTTGATTCCTTCTTTTTAACCCTTATAAAGCCAATTTTTTATTGATCCTGTCCTGACTTTCTTGCTGGCATGAATCTTAAAAGGAGCGGACAATTTCACTTTTTCAACTTATGATGTTGTCTTTGCTCTATCTTCAATTTAAAAGGGTAAGTTTGGTGTTAAATTACAGAAAGTGAGATTAATATTTCAGGGGTCTCCTGTGTGTAAAGGTGCGTCAATCCTGCTTTCTTTCCTGTTGGTGATTTTTTTCCCCCTACTTTTTAGTGCATGACATATCGAAGAGCCTGTGTCATACCTTGGACGTGTGCTTCATCTTAACATTTCTCCTGCATGCCACATATGGGCCCTCAAAATATCCTCATCTTGTTACAACAGAGAGATTATGGTAAGTGTGTTGGCTGCTGTAGCACTGGAGAATTCATAAATCTGTATTTCTCTTCAAGAATCCACTCATTAAATCTTTTTGCATTCTCTCTCCTCCTCCTGCATGTTACTCTGCCTCATCAAAAATAGCTCCCATCACAACTTACTCCCCTGGATCCCCTTCTAGGCTTCAAGATGAGCTCCATGTGTTGAATTATAGAGCGAAAAAGTCATTAAGTGGGATAAAGATACAAGGAATCGATGGGGCAATAGATACTCTGCAGCGCTCCATTGTCTCCAGTCCAGTGCACATGAGCATCAGGGAGGTAAAGCCTGTTTGTTGTTTCCAGGTGAGCTCTCCAGTCAGTCCACAACTCCTCACTTATTGGCAGAAATCAATGACAACAGCCTTGACTTCATGGAGTACCCAGCTGGTTATACTTTATCCTTCTGTGTACACATTTAGATACATATACTAACCTTTTAGTGTGTTAATTTTGGGTTTAAAATAAAAACTAATTACAAATATGAAAATAATTCGATTTAATTTCAAAGTAATCAATTGGGCTGCAAATCCTTTTAGACAACACAATGAACCTCATGATTTAAAAGCCTTAATTCCCCTGCAGAATAACTGTCAGTATATAGCCACCAATCTCTTTTATTTCTGTGTGGGCAGCTTAAAAATAACGCCTTTGCCCATCTTCAGCCTTTAATTTGAACAGCTCTGTGAAAAACTCTGGATAAAGAGACAGACAGACTGCTGTCGTCAAAAGGATTGTTCTGTTTTATACTCTCTTTTCACACAGACAGAAAGAAAAAGAGAGAGAGATGGAGGGAGGGCAGTGCGGCTCTTCCCTTAATGACACTTGTTCGCCTTTAATTATGTGACCCACCTGGCCCAAAGTCTTTCCATATGGAAACTAATGGCCAATTGGAGCTGCGGTAGGTTGTCATTACACAGACAAGCTGACCAGAGCTGTCTCAGAAGTAGGGAGAAGAGACTTGAGTGCAAAAAGGATTTTCAGCTCTAACAGGTGAAATTTCAGGAAATACGTCTTTCTTTTGCTTTTTTGGGGGACTTATTTTATCTTTAAAACAGTTAAGGTCCACTCATTTATTTAAACCATAATCTTCACTTCTTTTTACTTGGTTTTCTTTGATTTAAAATAAAAGCGGATACATGAGTGAGTTGGTAAATAATTCACATAGTACATTTAGTATTTATGGAGTTAAACATGTTGTAGAACATGACATACACAAGACCTCTGATGACACAAACGCCCACACCGGTGCAAGCCATACATACACTCGCCTCAGTGAGAAATAATGTGACACTTTTCATTTAAGACCGTGGCATTAAAAGAGGATGACTCTTTCTCTCAAGGTGAGACAACCCGGCGTGATCTCAAACCTGGTCAGCAACCAAGTGTCAGACTCAGGTGTAATATTGCCCCCAGGATGTCACAGCTTTGAGGCATGTGATGTGCTCAGAGAAAGCTCCATCACCACCCTGAGCCTGCAGGTCCATGTGATGTGAATGAAATACTTTTTTTTTTAACTCCCTAAGTTTAGCTGTTTCCTCCTCAGCACATGCCTGAGTCTTCATGCAGAGTGAGTCATTCATGAAGCCTCTCAGCCCACTCACAGCCTCAGTGTGCAGCTCCTGTACCAATACCAGCAGCTTATATACATATATATTGAATAATTTCTACATGCACCGTGGCCTACTAAACCTCTCGTTTCACCACCCTTGGGCTTCAGCCAGCCTGTAGTACATTTCCTGCCGTCTCCGTCTGCGTCTCTGTCAGTCAGTCAGCTCTCTTCCGTCTCGCTCTGGGAGGCCAACCTTTCAGCTTTTCCAATGATGTGCCTCAGAAATCTGTTTCCAGGGCAACCAGGGTGCCAAATACACTCCCAGCGGCTTCTGGCTCGTGCGTCCTTTGTTTACACTTTTCATATCTGCGAGAGGATGGAGGTGGCTTTAAACAGATAAAAATGGGCACCCAAAAATATGCCAGCAAATAAATCCAAGTGTGATCGACGTCAGAGTCACCCAGACAACAATACGCCCACAGTACAAATCTGTTTGTTTCTGATTGCAGCTGAAACATATCTCTGGATAATGAACTAAAACTGAGGGTCAATTCACACGTTCACCAAAGGCTGTAGATTTGCATTAGACTGTTCACAGTATCCACAGAAGCTTCATTAAGCCACTGGAAGCACATGAAACATCTCCAAAGCCAGTTAGTCCTGCTGCGCAGCCGCGCGCCCTCTCGTCAGTAAAAAGCCGTTACATTTAAAACTGACACCTTTCGTTATGCAACAGCCACTATATACAATGTGCGAACGTGTTTCTGATTATTACCACCTTCGTTGATTGGATTTATTGTAAACCAACTCACGTCCACCACTTTTAAGACTTGCGCTTGCGCGCAACGGAGACGGGAGCTGTCCAAGTGCTGAAATGAGAAAAAAAGGCGTTCCACTCCCATTCCTCAACAGAGGACGGTCCTCCACCTGCGAAAGATTTCACTTCATGCGTAACTACATGGGCTGACGGGTTGCCTTCACGGAGTAACATCCACATCCTGAGCCAGGACATGAAGCTTCCAGAGGACGCGGTTTTGGAGTTTTACCTCCTCGCGTCTGTCCTCAGTTCTGATGTCTCTCCTCACCTCCGCTTCAAGAAATCTGTCTCTAGGAGTTTCGTGAAACTAAACTATGATCTGTGGCTGCATTGAGGGATGTCTCCTGCTTTTTGTGAGACACAAGAGCACCTAAACGGTCTGGTGAGGTGGAAAGATCCTCTATTTGGATTATGTGTTTGACCAATGTAAACATATGGAAGAAATAAAAAAGTGAGCACATGGGAAAACCACGGGGCATGAATCGCTGCTTTTTCAAGGTTTTGGCAGCTTTAATAACATGTTTCATGGAGACAAACTTCAGGTAGGATTTGGGTTTTTTCCACATTGTCTATTTTAAAAATGTATCCTAAACTTGAGACGTGTATTCGCACTATTTGCAGGGAACCATATCAAACTGACAGGGACTTGTCTCTACAGAATGAGTTGGTTATATCCTTGTATGCTGTATTCATTTGTTTGAACTCTTTTTCTGAGTGACGACAGCCTTCATGGAATATATACGACATTCAACATCGGGACTTGTGACATTTACGCACGTAAAGGCATCATATCTCGTTCTATTGTAGCGCCATAGCAATATCCCTACGACGATCCGCTGAGTATTACCTTCAGAGTGATGAAATATTTGTGCCATAATGGAAAAGTAAAAGACTTATTCTGTGAAGTCTTTGCAGAGACGTAAAAATCACATCGGATTCGTCTGATTCATGCGTGCGCTTTAACGCACATCCCAGCCTCCCCGTACTTGCCCGTCACTCCCGTGCAGCTGGTAGGCGGCAGATAAGGTTTAAATCCCGGTTTTCAGGCGCGACTTCAGTCTGATAAAGTGATTTCTCCCCCTCAATGTGTGTCTCTCTGTGTGTGCGCGCATTTGTTACAGAGTTGTGGATGCCAAGGAGCACGATCCCAGATCATCCTCGAACATGTCTCCATCAGACTTTCTGGACTCACTTATGGGTCGCACGTCCGGGTATGATGCACGAATCAGACCCAATTTCAAAGGTTTGTTTATCACCGTATTTGTCTACTCCTCAGTACGGAACTTCAAAATTTAGACACAAACATCCAACTCTTCCCAACATGTGATGTGCATGCAGAATCCCGTCTCCATCCCTTTTATTCAAGCTTTGGGACTTTGACATCTGGAGAGCCATTTACTGCTATCTGATGCTGCCAGATTATTTGATAAGACCAATCAATCACTTCAGGTGACAGTAACATGGTTTTCCTGGCTTGAATAAAACCATGAAACAACTCAAATCATGACATGTCATGTTTTGTTTTGAATGAGGATGACATTATGTCAAACAATCCATTTCACCACTCAATAATCATTTGCAAACAAAAACACGAGGGCTTGTAAGTATCACAAGGATGCCACCCTGTCAGGCCGAATGATGGATGGTGTCCCTGTGGCAAGGCTGTAGGCTACTGACTTCCTGTGTTGCCTGCTGTTGTGATGCTGGGGACACACACATCATCTGTCACTGGAACAGTTCTGAGCAAGGAGCGGACCAGCCAAGCCTGCTGGGGCTCGGGCCAGATCCCACTCCAGCCTGGGTCAGGTGGGGCTGGGATTTGTCGGGGGGCTTGGGGACTCCAGTTGAAGCAGTGTTGCGCACGGGATTGGCCAGCAGGATTTCAGCAAACACATGGCCCAGATCCTACCTCTCCATCTGGGGGGGGTTGACAAGATTGCTGGAATAAGCTTAAGATGGGAGGAGGACCTGCTGTGTAGCACTGGCTGGCATTTTCAGGAGGAAGGATGAAGGGAAAGCAACTGTTTCTAGATAATAATGAGAGCAGAAGCACACATGGATTAAAGGAGGGAAACACTACGTTGGTGTTTACATTTGCATTCTCTTTGTATTCCAGGCCAGATAAAGCTCCAGACAGGATCTTATGGCTGGAAAACAAACACTTTTGCATGAACCCACTGCGATGTAAACAGACGATTCCGACTGCAAACCTGCGAGTCAGACTTTGAAGTGCAGTGTTGAACTGTATTTTCTGAAGGCTGACCTAGTTTTTTCGTGCTGAGTTTGTTGTGAGGAAGTGCCGCTTTATTTTTTTTCTGCTTCTGCTGTTAAATGCAGCTACCTGACGACAAACTGAGGCAAATATTAACACCAAGTGCTATGCAATATTGATGAGAAAAGCACAGGGGAAGGGCACTGGGAAGGGCTTACAAGGCCTACACTTATCAGGCAGAGGAAGAAATGATTTGCTGTGACTTTTAATAGTAACTTCATAATATGCCCTAAAGTTCAGGCTGCACTGTGGATATTAAAACTTTACCACAAATCAGAGCATGCTGTGAACTTGTTACACACACTGTTGAATATAAAATGCTCCAATTTTATACAATATTTAATAAATCACTATTGAGCTATAACTGTCAGGTATGACTATTATTGAATAACCTACCCAGAACATTGATCAAGTAATGACAAGTGCATCTTGGCTTTTTTAAAGCAGTAAAAGATTGATTTACAGTCAAAATAGCTGCATAATTTTCTGTTAATAGACTCGTTCGCGAGATAGAGATAATCACAGCACATCTTAACTACTGCTAGTGTGCATGCATTCGCCAGTGTGTGCACAATAACTTTAACTGTTTAAGATCTAAAGGCAGAAAATGCACGAGTGTTTGCATTAACTCCAAAAGATTAGCCGAACAGAAGCAGACTTTATCATTTGAAACAAGCATTTATGATAAACTAACATCAAATAGTCCACAATACAGAACCGATTAGTCACAAATAAGGAAAATCGATTTTTTCAGTGCTTTGCTACAAAACCCCAGCCTATTAAAAAATGTGCTGCCAATTGCCTTCAGGTGAAAATGTGGGTGTCCAACAGATGTCTGCTTTTTTCCCCCTGCCCCTTTAGGTCAAACTAATCTGTAAAAAGTCCAAGTTAGTCTCAAATCTCTGAAAGCCACTCAGTAAAATGTGTAAAAGTAAAACAATAAATAAAGAAATAATCTTAATACATATTTTAAACCATACCAATGCCAACACAGGTCTTCTCAGGTTCAGTATGATTTATCAGAGCATGCAGTATGTCACCATCCACTCACGGAGCTTCCAGTGCTTGAGTGTATGAATGCATGTAGCCCTACACCTTCAAACAGCTGCTTGCCTCCTCAAACATCTCCACCTCTCCAAACAAACTCAGGCCTCAATAATGTGGTTTAAGGCTTTTTTCCTCTCATGTCATTGTCATTCCATTTCACAGGTCCCTCCGTAAACGTTACATGCAATATTTTTATCAACAGTTTCGGCTCTGTCACAGAGACCACTATGGTGAGTTCTTCCTTTGGCCTTTTGTCTGATTCTCTACTATGTGTCAATGTGTTATCTATCCCTCAACCTGCAGGTCCACCAGTTAATGTTACCTGCAACATATTTATCAACAGCTTTGGTTCTATAGCAGAAACTACAATGGTGAGTGGAGCGTTGGGATTGGAAATGTTTTGTTGACCCATATTAAAAGGTTATAAATGATTCATCCTGGTTTTTGTTATTTTACTCTTTACTCTTACTTTGTTTTTGCCATCAAGGGGCTTATTGGCGGGTCCATGTGGCCCACAGTGATAATGAATGAGGCGCTTGGTTTGCGGTTATCCGCCAGTATTTTCTCTTACGCCTCCTGTGCATGTGTTAGTCCAGGTTTAATAATTCATGCAGCAAATCCAAACCAGTAAGCAGCCTGTAACAGAGTATTGGGGGCTGGGCTTTCTAACAAACCAATCTGTAGTATGCAATGTGTGAAGGCGTTAAACTGCCTGAGGGGTAAAAATATAAAACCTACAAGGCTGCATTGAAACTCATCACGATCAAAGGATTCATAATGAGTGATAATAACCACTTAGATCATGAATGAAGGATGTTAATTTGCACAGGAGCTGCAGCTCATGAGATTGCCAAGGAATTACACGGCTTTAGACACGCAGGCAAATATTTGGAACCGCCAATACGCTGAAAAGTCAAACTACACAAGGATCTCACATCATCATGACATATCAATTACAGCGAGCAACTCCGCTTTGTGGTGCTCAGTTTACAACCAAATGCGGAGTTTTCCTCATCAGCCACTACATCTTATAAACTCATTAGCTCAACATAATAGAGATTGATATGAAAAGTTACTCAAAGGTCAGTTTTTGATGCCTCTTGCAGCATTAAATAATCACCCGACTGGCCATGTGAACGTGGGTATGACATTTAAGAGGATATATGCTTAGTTATGGTGCATTTCATTGGAATGTATTATTTTCTCATCATCCATGTTATCCGTCTCCATGTTATGATATTCATATTACAGGACTGTGCTTTGACTTTACTTCATACTACATATATATTTTACTGTTTGAAAGCTGGACTACATGCCAATTCAATCTCTGTCATAGACACATTTCTGCAGATGAAAACTCGTAAAGAACTTTGTTGCAATATTTTAGTTTACCTCCTCAAAAGGAGGATACTGATTTAAAATAACAATATTGATGACAGACCGCATGCTTCTAATAACCCCAATCTGTGAGTTTTAAAATATGCAAAGCTGCTTGTCTTCTCTGCAGGATTACAGAGTGAACATCTTCCTGCGGCAGAAGTGGAATGACCCTCGGCTGGCGTATAGTAAATACCCAGATTCCTCCCTCGACCTGGACCCCTCCATGTTGGACTCCATATGGAAGCCCGACCTCTTCTTTGCCAACGAGAAAGGAGCCAACTTTCATGATGTGACTACAGATAATAAACTGCTACGAATCTTCAAAGATGGGACAGTCCTCTACAGTATCAGGTGAAGAGCTGGACGTGCTTTCACTACTGATAGAATCTAAAATAAAACGAGTAAAAGTATAAAGATATTGGTTTTCATACCAGATGGTTATGGCAAGTGAAAGGCAAATTATTCTGCAACTGGTGTGACTGCAATTTATTTAATTCTCCTTCTGCTATTGTATTATATTTTTTTGAAATGGCTCCAGGCGTTGAGATGGTCATTTTTCAAAGGCAAGAGATTATTCAAAATTTTTATAGTTAGTTGTGGCTGTAATATTTTGGTGCTGGAGGACTGAAGCTGAGGTAGGAATCAGTGCTGGGTGAAAATTATGCTGCAGAGAACCAAAAGCCCTGATGCATAGACCACCTCGGGACATTTCACTTATTGCTTTTCTTACACTTCCTCTTGAACATCAAAGACCCACAATGTAAAAGACACAGTTATAAATGGATTTGATCTCATTATGATTGCCCCTTTGAAATGGCATAATTCACTGAACTACAGAACGTCCCAGTGTGCAATGTAGATTTTCAATACAGGAGCAGTGATTGGAGGAGTGCAAGCTTATCTCAGGGGCATTGTTGAAATCCCAAAGAGAAGAGCGAGTTCATTTCATATTGGTGTCCCCAAACGCAGAATGTAGGTCTTTCAACAAAAACGCACTGTGGACAAGCCTGAAACATCCAGCCCTATTCAGCATGGATGACATTTTAAAGGCCTAAAATTTGAGCTAAACCCAGAACAAAATATGAAAATATGTTTCATTTCATTTCAATACAACTTCAATCTCACACCGCATTCAATTTTCTCTGCTGTGATGCGACATGAAGCAGATCAATTTTGAGTCCATTTGGGGAGCGGCTTCAGGCCGAGCGGTGCTCAGGTGTGGAGGCAGAGCGGGTCAACGGCAGAGATGAAAGGTGGTTAGCCACTCTTTCCATTCATGGGAGAACAGACAGAGAGAGAGGACGGGGACCACAATGCATCACAGAAACAATACCTCGCTGTAATGAAAGTGTGATAGAAACCTGCTGAAGGGAATCCAACGTGACATGCCCAAAGTTCAGCCCAAAAGACATGATATGTCAGAGGGTATCACATAGGACAAAAAAGTACACACTACAGAGGTTGCTGCAGAAAAGGGGCCAATTGTGGTTTAATATGATTTCAGCTCATGTGTTCAACCACTAGAGCAAGACTTAACACATACATTTCTTACAGAATCAAGTAATCTAGTTTGTTCAATGAGTCTTACCATAAAAATGTGTCTTGCATTGCAGGTTGACTCTCATTCTGTCCTGCCCGATGGATCTGAAGAACTTTCCGATGGATGTCCAAACTTGTACGATGCAACTGGAGAGTTGTAAGTGTTTCTGGAGATGCTTCTGGAGAATGGAGAGGAATCTTTATAAGAGGGAGGGAATGATAATAATGAAAGTGGAAGTCCATTTTTTTTGCAGCACTAGTTACATATTTAACAAACAGAAGAAAAGCCGTGAGTAGAATATTTTGGCACGGTTCAAGCTTAATTAAAAAACAAAGATTTTACCTTAAACTCCTTTGTAATCACAACACTGGAAGCACTCAGTGAATAATCATAAAACTTTACCCTTTCTTCTCAATATAAAACTCATTAAGTACTGAAAATACGACACAGCTAAAGGTTTTCTTATGTGACCAACAGGGGCGAAGACAGAAGCAATTGATATCAGACTAACAAAAAGATATCTTTGCCTCTTTTAAGCATGTAACAGACTTGAACATTGACTCTTTAAAATATTTTCTGACTTTCTTCATTTTGATTCACCTTTCGCTTTCTGTCTGAAGTCGGCTACACCATGAACGACTTGGTCTTTGAGTGGCTGGAGAACGGAGCGGTGCAGGTGTCCGATGGGCTCACTCTGCCTCAGTTCATTATGAGGGAGGAGAAGGAGCTGGGCTACTGTACAAAACACTACAACACTGGTAGGAGGATACACAAACAAAAAAACAAACAAATACATTATACAGCTGACACTCCTTGTTTGTAAGCCAAACTAAACTTTACACTGTTGAACAGGTAAATTTACCTGCATAGAAGTGAAATTTCACCTGGAGCGACAGATGGGATACTACCTGATCCAGATGTACATCCCCTCCCTCCTCATTGTCATCCTCTCCTGGGTGTCCTTCTGGATTAATATGGATGCTGCTCCTGCCAGAGTGGCGCTGGGCATCACCACTGTGCTTACCATGACTACTCAAAGCTCCGGCTCCAGAGCTTCTCTTCCAAAGGTAAGCTTTTTCTTTAGTTGTCTCAGCTGGGGAAAAAAAGATTGCAGGTCTACAATGCAGCAGAAACACAAGTAACACAAGTCTGTTGGTCTGAATGATGTTATTTCTAATCAAACTGCAATATTAAGGTACAAGACTATGCAGATTTTAAGAATATAAGAATAACATGAATATTACAGTGTATTATAAATGCATGGAGATTTTTTATATCCCATCCACAGACTCGACAATTGCTTTGTTTGAAGATTTGTCAGGTATATTTTGATACAGACTCTGACCAACATCTTAAAATCCAGGCACAGGGCAGGCAAAGAAATAAAGTCTGAAAATCAGCCAGGGGTTCAGGCTTAGCTTAATGCAGAAGCCAATCTGGCAGGACACTGGTGAGAGTTGGACAGTGTAAATACAACTTGAGTTAGCAGCAGGGCTGGGGAGCAGGTGATAAAACTGGCAGGGAAAACAGGGCAGAGAGAAGAAATGAATGAATTAGGGGACCAGGAAGGATTCATGACAGATAATTTTAGAAAAGTGAAAATATAAATCAAGTTAATTCGAGATCTGTTTGGTCTCTGTGCTGTGTGTTATAATCGTAAGTGGAAAAATACATCTAACCGTACATGAAGATGAACATTTGTTTGTAACAGGACTCACTATTACTATACTGTTGTTACTGTAAGTGTTCAGGACTCAGGCTCTTACATTCAACATTTATTTGTTCCTCTGTAACTGTAAGGCACGATGATGACAGTATTTGACGGACAGAGACAGTGTTGAAATTCAGGCAATATGCAGACAAAACAAAAATCTAAATGAGATGATGACAACACCAGTAATCAGTGAAATAAATGATAGGGTGCTTTGATTGTTTGAGGTACTTGGAATGACACACTGTTATCTCCGCGTAATGTGAAGGCAGCCACATCATCTCCGGTGGGTGTGAAACCCATTATTTCTAAGATGATTACACCATAAATGTGTTTTGCATTAAACATTTGCATTACAGCTGTGACAATGTCGGTGTGTATTACTGACAGCCTCGCTTTTTTTCCATCAGATTAAATTGCTGTGCAAATATAGTGAAGGGTACCTGTGAGCAGCAAGAGCAGATCTTGATGATCAATCAGCACATCAGCATATAATGCCTAGACCATGTCAGAGGTGCTCTCATAAAAGACACGCATACTGATAAATATTTAAAGAGAAGCCTTTGAGAGCCTCAATACGGACAAGTGTATCTCAAAACGCTTTATATGCCCTGAAATAGCTGAGTTGTTTTCTTTTCATGCTAATCAGCTGTCATGACGTTAGCCGGTCTCACTGATGAGCAGGAAAGGCTTTCAACTTCCTCCTCACTGTTTCAAAAGACACATCAAAACCAGTGCAAAAGGTACAAACTAAAGCTACTGTTTCCCCTTTGCTGGTAAATTAAGGCAGTGATTATTTCCCACTGTGTGAGTTTATGCAGTTGCTGACATTCCTGGCAGCTCTGATACACTTGTTAGCAAACACTAATTATAATTACAGTATTTTAGCAGGCCTGGGTTCATGACAGAAAGAGAAAGGTGAAAAATGCAGGTAGATCTAACAGAACCGGGACTTGAAATGAATACTAAAGGGTTTAAACCAATATTTTAAGTCTAAGCACACCTTCATACTGCACTTGAACCGTTAGCTGATGCTGTCACCCGGAGATCTAACCAAAGAAATCTGTTTTCTCTCTCCCAGGTCTCTTACGTGAAAGCCATTGATATCTGGATGGCTGTGTGTCTGCTCTTTGTATTTGCTGCATTGCTAGAATATGCTGGGGTTAATTTTGTCTCCAGGCAACAGAAAGAGTTCCTCCGCCTGAGGCGAAGACAAAGGAGGAATCACAAGGTAGGCTTTTCAAAGTTTACAAGGTTGCCATTTGCTTACCTAACTTTTAGCCGTACGAGCACTGTGGATTTAGGGATAACAGGGTCAATCAGTCAGCTGCACCACAAGACTGAAATATCTAAAACTACTGGATGGATTTTGTTTAATTTAGGCAGGAAATCACAATACCTCAATTTCTACAAACAGGAATATTATAACAGCTTCAGTGCGAACCCCAAAACTGATCAGCTAAAGCTGCCAATACATCCACACAAACAGAAATCAACATATAAGCATAATTTTCTCTTTTTTCTCCATATCACATCATATTGTATAATCATATCCAATCGTATCATGTCATGTTACGTTGTATGGTCATCATACCTAATTCTAAACCAGCTGTCTGCTCAGAAAAATTGGCCGTTGTTCCTTAAAGCTTTAATATCAGATTGTAGTCAATGTGGCAGAGGTTTACTTTTTTTATCCTCTCGTACTTGCGCCACCAGCAGGTCAAGTTTAACTCTAAGCTAAAGTATCTCAGTATTTACTATTTGAAATGACACAGGCTTCTGTCCCTCCTTTTTGACTATGGCAATATCCTGGCCCCCCATCAGGTAAATAAGAGTATTTTTAGTGACAGTTTTAGAGTCTGTCTGATGGTTTGTTATGAAACTCGATCAAAATCATTTGTTTGTCCCTCAGAATGAAATGTTATTTTTGTCACCTAAATTATTGATTCCCTCCAGAGGGCTTTTATAATCTTTGCAGAATTGAACAGTTTCTGGGGGTTCGATGAAAGAAAAACTCCCAAAATAACTTTAAGAAACAGCAGCAGAGACAGGGAGAAGCTGTTCGAATGGGTGCACATGAAACAGATGTGACATGACTAAATCTACGTGGAAAATTAGGCCAATAGATGAGCTGTTACAACTTCTAATTCCATCTTTGGATCAATTGTGTTAAGTTTTTTGTATTTCCCATTAGCTCACAGAGCCAGTGGTTTTAAAGGACACATTTCCTTTGCTACATTTAAAAAAAAAAAAAGACTAAATATACACTAACTCTGTTCCACATGTGCATGTGTTTTTTCAGGATGAGGACATGCATGAGGGCCGCTTTAATTTTGCTGGCTACAACACGAGTCAGTGTCTGCCAACGAAAGATGGCTCAGCTGTTAAGAATGCAGCTCCAGCCCCGAACCCTCAACCGTCAGTCCCCAAGGACACGGACACCATGAAGAAGAAGTTTGTGGACAGAGCCAAGAGGATAGACACGATCTCACGGGCTGCTTTTCCCTTGGCGTTCCTCATCTTTAACGTCTTCTACTGGGTCACTTATAAAATCATCAGGCATGAGGACATCCACAGTAAACAGTAAAGACCTTTTTCAGAGACATGTGTTTACTCAGCCCGAGAAATTCTCAGAAAGCGCAGCGGCATGAGATGGGAGGCTGTGCGATGAGAGGCACCATGGGGATAATGGCGGTGTTCTTTCAGGGATAATGTATAATTTTCATGCATTAAACTGAAATGCCCAGGTTCAGATTGCGTGAACAGCCTCTGGGACACAGATGCTTTTGTTGTTGTACTGCTGCATAATATTTCCTGACTAAATATGGAAAAAGGTTTAACTCAAGGCTTAGTAAAATGCTGGAGAAGATGGACCAATGATCTTTTTTAAATCAATCCTCCCTTGGCATCTGTACAACCAAGGAGCAAAGACATTCCACTGATTTGTAAAAGGAGAGGTAGCGTAGCTGGACCCTCAAAACTCAAGGGGTATTTCTTATCAAGGATGTCTAGGGCTGTTTTATATCGTACCATTGACATGGCACTTCCTCTTTGTTTCTACAAAATAAAGCTTCAAAGATATCGAGCAAACACACAAAAAGCAAACTTCAAGTACGTTTCAGGCATAAGTGTGATGTAAATCTGGATTCTGGAACTGGACACAGCTCTTTTTCTGAAATACCAGAGGCCTTAGATATCAAAGATTAGGTGAGATGAAGTGCTTTCCATCTCTATTTTTGCAAGACTCTCCTGTTATTCAGTGGTCTTACAGAACTGAAAGTATTACACAAGATTTTTTTTTACCCGTGGGCAGACACCCAAAGGTATTTCTTGTTTCCTTTATTCTCTAAATGTATTATATAAATAATATTAATGGATAACTGATGTCACATAAAGCTAATGTAAGTTTATTCAGATGTTATAAAAGTCACAATGTTTAGTTTTTATTTTAATTTGAAAAAAATAATTAAACTTACTCAGATATTAAAGGATTCCAATTTTTAACACGGTGTAAAGCTGAGCCTACAAACTGTGAACACGCACTGCATCAATCCACACAGTCATTTGCCAACAATCTCTCAATTTCATTGAAAATCCAGGTAGATACTCCAGGTATCCTAGGTTCGGTTTTAGGATTTGAGACTATGTTTTTGTAGATGTAGTCTGATTAAATATTTATCGTAATGGAGGGGGTGTTATGTTTATGGGAGGGAAAAAAAGCTTTCTGTATACTTCTTCCGCCTTCGCTGTGGACTGTTTTTTCGTCACATGGCGTGTTTGTTTTTCGGTCATACTACAGAGCAGCTAATGGTCCTTACACTGCTGATGTACTGTGGTGGAGAACTCCTTTTTTGAATGCTGTTTCATGAGGAAAAAAACTGTTATTTACTGGTCTGTACATCAATAAAATTGACTGTGCACTATATTTACTTATTTTCCCTCCTTCTGTCAAACACAAAGAGGGAGACTTGGCTTTGTTGGAGAGATGACTCACTTATATTGCTTTTCACTCTAAGGAATGAGAAGATGGATGCCCTTCAAGACAAGAAACACCTAAAAATGCTTTTTACACCGAGATCAAAGAAAGACTAACACAGTCACCTCTCCTCAGAGAGTCCATAAGTCAGGATGATGACAGACAGCATGGATCGCTGGGTGGCCCGAGGTGACACAGATATGATCTGACAGTGGGTTTCCATTAATGCATGATAATGGACTTCACACTGTCATATAGAGATTCCATCAGCTGGGGTTTATACTGACCAGTTAAATAGAAAATATCAGCATGGCTCCCACAGAAAAAAAAGGGACAGATTTGTTACTTACCAGTATTCTTTCAACTTCTCCACCTGCTGTAACTAATGTAGGTTTAAAATGAGATATGAATAATATAAAATGATCAAACTGGACGATATAAAAGGGATCAAATTAGCTCATCATACTCCTGCAGCTTTGATGATGATGATGTCTATTATCTTTTTAATTTTCTGCAGTAATATTTAGCTCTTTTTTGATCTTATTGTTGCTATTTTTGCCATTTTATAGTCTTAATCTGTCATCATCCATTTATCTGATCTCTTCTGCTCTGACTTATTCTGTCCTTTTGTTTTCACTTCACCCTGAACGTACTTGTATATCATCTATTTCTGTCCTTCTGTTGCTTTTTTGATATCCTTTTTTTTTGCAAGTTGATTTCAGGGATGCTTTAATATTAAACTCATCATCTTTGGAAGGCTCAGTCAAACTAAAATTCACAGTAAAATTTGAAATTCATATCCTATGGTAGTTTTATTGGGGATGCAGCATGAATCCTCCAACTACTTTTTTAATGCTCATTGCACAGGGATTACAAACTAATCAATTATACTAATCCTCACATGGAAGTACCATCCATTTCACCGCCGCAGCCTTACATCATCGTCCATTATTATTCCTGTTTGAATAAGCGAGGATGCAACAGCCGTCGTTCAATCAAGTTCACTAGTATGCTGCCTTATGAGGGGGAAATTATTTGCTGCTTATGATGGTGTTCAGAGGGGAAACAACTTTCCGTCATTCATTAAGGTTTAGGGCCGGCTGCTTTGTGAGGTCTGAGAAAGGCAAGAAATGAGCGTTGCCATAGCAACTGCACAGCAATGGAGAGGGCCAGTGTGAGAAAAGTAGGAAATTAATGGAGTTAAGAACACTGGTGCAGGTTTTTTTTAAAGTCCAAAATCACATCTCTTAATGCTAAATGTGACTCTGAATTAACCAGCAGTTTGGGCCGTGCTGAAGTAATAATACAACCAGCTGCACATTCTGCTCTTTTCTGTGGGGTTTATTCAGGGGATTATGCTTGCACGGCAATCTTGAAACCACAAAGACAGGAGCAGTGTGTGGCGTGAGCCCATACAATTTTCAGCATGTCTGCCATACAAATGCTGCTCACACAGGATGGGCAAAGATTTACTTTGAAGGTGTGAGATCGTATTGATCACTACGCAGCAGTCGTGTTGATAATAATGGAGAAGCCAGCATGTATTCTTTCACGCTGGGAGCTGTTGGCTCCATGCAGGATAAAAGGAGAAACTTTGAACATGGAAACGTACAGCGAAAACATCTCCGTGACAAGACCGCGGGATGTAATTGGAAGCTTAAGAAGCAAAATGAGGACATTTGTTAAGTTTCTCTTGTATTAAAATCATGTGTTAAGTAAAGCTGAGTTGCAGTTTGAGAGGCAAAACTGCAAAACAATGCTTGTTCTCAACTATTCTCACAAATCCAATCCCATTTGTTGCAACGAATGAGCAAGACGTGGAAATACTTGAAATTTCTGCAGACAGAGTAAAACAATATTAATGGCATGTGTCTGCGTTTGTCTGACTCCCCGAGTTCTCGAGTCCAGAGGAGAAAACCCTCTGACCTTGATCAATAACAGTCGACTGCTGGCTTAGACCAGACCAATGCCCTCATCCCACAGCATTGATTTAGAGACGGCTTAGCAGCACCATTCATCATTATGGATGTCTCTACATGTTGTTACCAAAGGTGCAATTCGTGATTCAAATGTAAACAGGAAGGTCAACTCACCGGGTATAAAAAAAATAGATAATATCGGACGCTGCAGTCAGTGTCACTTTTTGACGGACGATGACACACAGTGAAATTAGATAACAATTCAGTTCAACATTATAATGCATTCTGATCTTATTATATACATACAATCACCTAACATGTGCATGAAGGTGTTATTCAACATACCACTGGAGTGGAAAAAACAAAGTAATTGTAAAGTAAGTCACCGTTTAAGTAAGACCGCTTTAAGATCCTGTGAGGAGTTTTTATGTGAATGGAATAGACTGACATTCAAGTAATCAAGAACATCAGAAACAAGACTGATGATTTTTAAGATGTAATTTTTAATGCTTGAAACCTGTGCAGGAGGGTAGTAAATAAGACTCATGTATACATCTTATTTAAATCTAAATTTCTTTATCCTTTAATTTCTATTTCTGTATTTATGCTGCTGTAATTTGGAATTTCCCCCTGCGGAACGAATAAAGGAATATCATATCTATTAGTCAGCCAAACAGCTGGAGAAACAGCCTTATTTTAACTTTTTTTTAAACATAAAATATTCATCATAAATGTTAAATTTGACTGTTCAAGATCAGAATAAAGAGATCGTTTTATCAGAAGACACTCATCAAGCATAGAGGTCAAGATAAATGAAGACTGCTTTGTCCACAGGTGGCGCCAAAACTACCACATAACTAGTTTCTCACAGGAGCTTTAAATTAAAATTGGTTGCAAAATCATATGAAGTTTGACTAATTTAAAAACTCATTTAGAAAAAGATTTATTGCCATATTTTATTGGTATTTTTGAATCAGCTTGAGTAGTGTCACAAATCATTACCAAGTTTTTACCTTTTTTTCCAACCTGAAACTGACTTCCTTGACAGCAAACGTTTGGCATTCACACGCACATTAATTATGTCAGCATTGAGGTAAATTTGCTGTCGGCTGGATGCATAACTTTCTCCATTTTAGATTTGTTTTATAACAGCAGCTTTGATATTTATCTACAGTGAGGGGACTTGAACGGTGGGTAGAAACCCCGCAGTCTTCTCCCAGCACTCACAGTCAATAGAAGTTAGCGGGCAATAAAAGGATGACAAACCGTATATTTTACTCTGGGTGGCATTCGGGGCTTTGAGAGAGCAACAGAGAAACAGATTATCGTTTTCACATGTGATCTATCTCTCCCTGGCCGTTTACTGCGGTTATTTACTATACAGAGCCACTAGTCTTCTTTGCTGCTGGAGGTGACAGGTGTTTTTATTGCTACTGATAAAAGGTGTGTGTGTGTGTAGAGAAAGGGTAGCGGGGTTGCTGCCTCTTTTTCTAGAGGATCAAAAAATATGATTGCTGGTGTGTGTTTTGGAGGCTGGGGTGGAGATGTTAAACAGCTGAAAAGCTTTAGTTAATACAATAAAATATTTTTTGGACTTCTGCAAAATTCCATTAACAGAAAACTGAATTATTTACCACGCTGAGAGAAGCCATAAAATAGGACACTTTGAGGTAATTATGCTTCAGTTATGTTCAGGCGAGGCCCATCGCAGGGAAACAGAGAGAATTTTAAGGTGCAAAAGCGGGGGAGTTTATCTCTTCTCAAACTCAGAACTTCAACAGAGGAAAAGCGCTTGGAGCAAAAAATAAAATAAAATTTAAAAAAATAACAGGCACATTCTGGTTTTTGTCCCAAATAAGAGAACAAGAAAAACCCCACCAGACGTTTTCGAGAAACATCACCGGTCAAGCTTCCACAAGCTCTGAGTATCCGAAAAGCCAAGCTCCTCTTAAGTGGAGTTTGATGTTTACTTGAACGAATGGCATTTAAACTTGCGGCGCTGACAGCCTATGCGGCATCATAGCTGGAAAAAAACATAGGCAGCCTGTTTTTATTTACATCATTTCACCAGAAAACAACTGAACCATGAGGGGGGAAAATCACTAAAAGCTTTCAGTCGGCTACAACCACGCAGATGTATAACCCCTCGCTCCACCATCATCTGTTGTCTTCATTCAGAACACAAACTCCAGGATGAAAGTGCTCTCTCCATCTCCGGCTGAATTGCACACAGCAGCAGCAGAGATTAAAGGGTGTTTTTTTGAACACAGAGGGTCTAACGGGACATGAACAGAAGCATCAACTGAGCTGTGAGCTGTACAACATCAGTATCATTAAGGCTGTATGATCCCAAAAGACTGTCTGATAAAGCAGACAGTAACACAGACATAACAAAGCCAGCAACACAGGCAAGCTCTCAGTGCAGCTGAAATCTGCAAAGCATGCATGATGATTACACATGACCATGAAAGAGTTGGCGTTTTTCCCCCCTTTACGTATCTGAACATCCAAAAACACAGACTCAGCTTTGGGGTTTTTGAACCACATCTGCAGCGTTTTAGCTCAACAAAGTCCCCTGGGTGTCCAGAAGAGCTGCCAAATCTGCTTCTAGTTGGACTTTGAACATGTTTTGGGTCAGCTTTCGATACCTTCCCACATCCACCAGGGGGCTCAACTTCATCCTGCTCCTCTCTACGTCCTGCTGCCACATCTCTCTGACCTTCAGTAACCCCCCTGCGGAACACAGATCAGGGCCCTTCTCCTCCCCAAAGCTCCTCTTCTTCTCCTCCTCCTCCTCCCCTCCCTCTTCTTCACAAAGCAGAGACGACACACATTCTCGGAGAGCCACCGCTTCTTTCTCCAGCGCCAAAGAAAATATTTGAGCTGCTTCTTGTCCTGTTGTGCCTTTGATGGGCTGTATGGAGGAGGACATGGGGAGGTGAGCCAAAAGGGAGTCGAGGAACTGGAGCATCGGTAACTGCCTGCAAAAAGGAAAGAGAAAACCATATGTTGACGTTAGACTGCCAGAAAGTGCACATTACCATCATAACTGAAAATGATCATTAAATTCTCTTAATCTCTTGTTTAATCACTTCCATTTCTCTTAGCTGCTTCACACCCACATTACCTGCTCAGGGCCTATTTGCAGAATTTGTCATTTTAAGCGCTTTACTTGCCAGAGAGCCCTAATCACTTTGATATTCAGAGGAATAACACTCTGACGTGCATCCTAGTACACTTCAAAGCCTTGTCAAGTTGGAATCCATAAATATAAATTGAGCAGTGCCCACTTCTTCTTGCCAGGCTACCTTCTCGAGCTCCTCTAGAATAAATTGAATTATTCAATAGAGTGGCTCATAATAGAGGCTGAACCAAAACACAGAACAGGCATAAGGAATAGACTTCGATTTACACCTGTAGATTATATTTTTGTATGATAACCTTTCCAGGTGCCTAGCTAAATATTGTTTAGCAGCTCATGGAGTTAACCACCCCCACCCAACATGGAAGTCACTAGAGCTCTTTAAATCACAAAAATACGCATTTTACTGCAATTTTCACCTACATGATATACATTCTTTTGGCCATACATCACCCAGGGACATCAGGGATAGGAGCACATTATTCACACATATTCACATCATAACCTCACAGCCAGTGTTGCCAACTTACAGCCTTGTTGCTATATTTGGCGAGTTTTCATACCCCTCTATCGATTAATTTAGAAACTAAAAAAAAAAAAAAAAAAGTAAAATAAAAAAAAAAAACACACTAACTCCGCCAAATTGTCTCAATTGAGTCATTTTTGCCGGTCCCCAGCCCGGCATACTTCTCTGCATTTCTAAGATGGACAGCTATCAATCATCTTCTTCAGAGTCTGTGCTCTCAACAGGGAGAGCAACCCTGCCGCCATGTGTATGGGAGAGGCGGTGTTCTCCACACGTAAATATCCTCAACTTGTGTATGTGTGTGTGTGTATCTTGAAAACTGTGTGATGTTTGTCTCAAAAATAAATCATCCACAAACACATTTTTCAACAATTCACAAGCAAAATTTAAGATTTTCAAATGATAATAAATGCACACACACAATTCAAAAACAAATGTGAAAATCATGGTGACCTGAAAATGAGGCCCAAAAGCTGCAAAACCACTGTTAGTGGACACATGCAGGTGTCACTGCATTCAAAGGCTCTTTGACCAACAGCGTCCATTGGCCAGCCCTTACACAGCGTTTAAGTCAAATGAGCCCGCTGTTTCTCTTCCCACAGCCTCCAACTCAAGGTAAGTATTGATTCAAATTACTCAAACTTTATCTTATTCATAAACGATTGTGATAATAAGCAAAGAGAATGGAAATGACATGAGGCATACCTTAACATTTATTCAATTAAAAAAGTTTGATAGAGCAACAACATTAACTTTCTCTCTGATTTTGACCAACAGGAAAAGAAAAAGGGAAATGGAGCAGGAGGACAGCTCGTACATCAAAAAGCCGCCAAATGCCTTCATGATCTTTATGAGGATGTACAGAGAAAATGTACCAGCTGAAGTTGCAGAGAAAGGGAGCGCAGAGACGAATGCTTTCCTCGGCCAGTGGGTAAGTGTGTCAGGACATGGTTCACTCGGGTTTAAATAAATCAAAGATTTTTACTTTATCTTTTCACTGTAACTGTTAATGTTGCTTTTTATTCACTGTCTCATGTAAAGAACTTTTAAAGGTATGAAAGTTTGCTTAGAGGAAATGTTGTACACTCACTAATGAGTACGTGGTGTGCACCAGGTGTTGTTCATGCGCAAGTGGATGATCCAGTTTGGAAATAAGTGTGTTTCTGACAATATGTTTTTGTCTGTTCACAGTGGAAGAAGCTTACAGAGGAACAGCGAGGGGAATTTAAAGAAATGGCCAGAGTGGAAAAGGAAGAACACAGTCGGCTGTACCCAGGTTGGTCAGCCATCAACAATTATGTAAGTACACAATCTATGCACAGCAGCATCACAAATGTTGTGATGTGAGATTTCAAAAGCAGCTTTATACTACTGACACTGCATAATCTGGTGTTAACAGGTCAGAGAAGTAACAATGTTGTGTTGTTTTTCAGGGCAAGAAAAAGAAAAGGATGAGGAAAAGTGCACCAGCTGCAACTGAACCATTTAACCAGTACCCATACTAGCAGCAAAAAATATATTAAAAAAATCAAATAAAGAAAAAGAAAAACAATAAAAAAACAGTAAAAAAAAAAACTTTAAAAAAATAATAAATACAAAAAAACAATAAATAAAAAAAAAAAAAAACAATTAAAAAAAAAAAAATTAAATTAATTAAAAAAAAAAAAAAAAAAAAAACAGTAACTCCGCCAAATTGTCTCAATTGAGTCAATTTTGCCGGTCCCAAGCCCGGATAAAGGAGGAGGGCTGCAGTTATGACATTAAAAAAAGAAGAATCGACAGAATAAAGTTCATTTGTTGTTCTAAACATATTTGGGCAGTTTTTTACTCACTTTTTTACTTACTTTTATCTATCCCATGACATTGTTCCTCTCCCTTACAGCGTTCATTACAATTTTAGGCTATGGGCCAGAGGCCAGAATTTCACTATTTAGTACACCCTTAGGGTGGCAATGGTTCATCATGATTTTTGACAAGATACATGTCTCCGCCTTTCTGAGTTTCTGTTACTTAAAATGAGCAGCATGTAACAAGTCAGTGTGCGCAAACCAAAGGAAATCCTTCAAAATATCGACTCAGTATTCTGGCATTTGAGTATAACAAGCAGAGATGGACAGATTCAGTAGTAGCTGAGGCCTGCACTCACATGGCTGATAAAAAAATAAATAAAAAACATACATGTTAAAGTCTGCAGACACTGCAGGCAGCCTGTGGCCTGTTTATTGTGGCTACTGTTGAGCAATGTTTATATCCCCTTAAATTACAAAAGGTTTTCCCACCCTCACTGACAGCATATTAAACCTACAGCAGTAAGTGGCTTGTGTTTAATATATAACCTGTAATGATGCACAGAACAGTGCAGATTCATGTTGCTTTAAACATAGATATCAGACATGTTCTGAAAGATAACCCAGTGTAGTTTATTTCATAAATTATTAAAAAAAAAAAAACATCTCATATTGACGTACCTGGCTAAGATGACCATGAGTATCAGATTATTATGTGCTTGGAATGACAGATGTGTAATATTAAATTGTTCTATATCCATTGCAAAATAACCACAGAAGAACAAGTCAATCTATCTACTGTAAATGTTGCTAAAATGCATGTCAAACCCTGCAGTTCATGGAAAGCCAGGAGATAGGAGATTAAATCAATTTAACATAGTCCATAATTACTCATATCCTAACCCTGTAAACAGAATTCATTTTGTTTCACCGTTACATGAGCTGTTGCTGTTTTTTTAATGTTGCTGCTGTCCCCTTTCTCTCTCTCACACCCTCGTTCTCTACTCTCTCTCCCTCCCTCCCCCTAACCTATTCTCTCTCCTTTCCTCTATCTTGTTCTCTTTCTCTCCCCCTGCCCTCTCTCTACTCCTCTCTCTCTCCCACTGTTACTCATGTTAGATGAGATGGGTCAAATCCCAGCTTAGGTTGGGTCTTGATAATTCATCAAACAATGAGCGTGGTCTAGACCTGCTCTTTTTCTTGAAAGCGTCTTGGGATGATGACAAAGTAAAATTTGATAATTTTTTTTAATTTGGTTTAACAAATGATGTGGATAACTATTTATCACAGTTCCTACACATTTGTTACTTCCATACTTTTCCATACTTTACTTTTTAGAGTTATTTTTGGAAATATCTACTTTTCTATTTTAGAAAACAGTATTTTAGAACTGTGGTAATATAGTCTGGAAACAAAAATATTTTTCCATACATAGTTTTCATTTTCCATACTTTTTAAGACCTGGAAATTAATCAAATTTATTCCATAATTTCCGATACTTTTCATACTTGTGTAGGAACCCTGATTTCTGTGACCACATACCACCCTGAATATTTGAGATGAGTATCCTTAAATGTGAACACGAAACGTTTTTATCAACAACTAAGAAAACTCCACAGATAACCTTTAAAATAAATTGCACCTTGTCATTGTTTGAGGTCACCTTGGTTGTGGCCAAAGCTCAGCGCAATCTGAAGCATCTAGACCTCCAACTGTGAGGTCAGCACCATCTCTCTGCTATCAGTAAATAAAAATGATTTACCTGGAGTGGACAGACAGCTCCCCTTGGAAAGGGGTTATCTGACGCCAGTGCAGCAGCATGGGGGCAGATGTTCCTGCTGAATTTATCAGTAGATACTGTGGATGCACTTCTATTCTTTTACACCCCTCTCTCCTCTGAATCCAGCCATCTATATCACCAAGACTGTGCTCTGGAGAGTCTACACAGAAGACCCAGTGATCCAGCACGGTCCTTAGACTTAGGAAGTCTTCCAGAACCTCATCTGTGCACAACAAGAAGAAACCAATGAGCATGCATGGGTCAGTATTAAGATTTCAAGTGGTAGGTGTTTAATAATTCTACCTGTTTTGAGCTCAGGGTTTTTCAATAATTGAGTCGGTGGTTCACTGTGGATGTCTAGAGCAATATCACCGCAATCCAGGACAGCCTGTGTTTGGTTGCTCACGAGGGCGAAAGCATCGCGTCTCTGGATGTAATGGAGCACGACACGACAGTTGACACAGCCAGAGTTCAGCAAAGGTGTCAGCGCGGTAGCAGCAGTCACAGCCAGTCTGCATGTGTTGAGATCACTGGGTCTGCTGGCACTGTGCTGCCTGCTTCTTTTGGCAGCAGGCTCTGGGAAATTGGAGGCAGAGGATGAGAGGATTGGGGAGGAGGATGAAAAGTAGGGAGCAGGCAGCCAGAAGACTTGGCTCTGGGTCTGGATGACGGAGAGCGTTGAGCTCTGGCCTGTCGCTGTCAGGATGGATAAGCTCACATCGGCTACAGGTCTGCAAGAAAAACAAAACAGTGCAGCACAAGTAATTAGATATCACATAGAGCTGGGTTATCAGATCAGGAATCATACAGTCGGATCAAAAAATCGTTTTCTTTGAATACCTGCTTATGAACTGAGGTCAACCTAATCCAAAGTCTGTGTAGGTAGCTAAAAAAAATCAATTTCACCTTGTGCTTCCTGCCAATACCTGCATTGATGCACATGTTATAAAATCAATACAGCAACAACAGCTGTGAAGGTGATCCCAGTAAGTAAGGCTTGTTTGGGAATAAGCACTGACTACAGGGATAATTAAAACCCCATAGAAGCATGTCGAATAGAGCTATGCACCGTGTGTTTGTAATTCAGTTCTTCTCAAATACTTGACATAATAATTACAGTTTGACAGTTCTTGTTTTAGGTGGAAGGAGTCTAAAAACTACCTTTTGCTTTTTCTCACTGCACTTCTTTACAGCTGTGCATCAAGATACCTTATCATATCATGATACCTTATCATGTCATGATACGTATCATATCCTGGACACTGTACTTTGCAAAAATCCTGCAAAGGGATGGAGGAAATTAGCCACACTCCTAAATATTTCCAACTATGCCTAGCTCTTAGCCAACGAGAAGAAAGCAAAATCATTTCTTTTATTGTGTTAAAGAGTGTAAGACTGCTGTTAAAGTAAAAGTTGGTAACACTTTATTTGACACCTATATGTGAAACGCATTATAGATATATGCATAATGCCCTATAATCACATTAAAGCACTGTATAACTATAGTTCTAAACATTCATAAATGATCATAATGCTTTGCAGAAACAATCATAACACATTATAAAGCATTTCATCATGATTTACAAGGTCAGGTATTATAGTATGTTATAACTGTTAACAACAGTTGCATTGCATTATCTATGTGGGCATTGTCAGTGAGCTGTTAACAGTTATTACACATTATAATACCTGACCTTGTAAGTCATGATAAAATGCTTTATAATGTGTTATGATCATTTCTATACAGCATTATGATCAAATATGAGTGTTTATAACAATGGTTGCAGAGTGCTATCATGTGATTACAACGCATTGCACATATATTTATAATGTGTTAAAGAGATAGGCGTTAAATAAAGTGTTACTTAAAAGTTTGATGGGATTTTCTCAGCTTTTGGAGTCTCAAGGCACTGCATTTATTTTGCATGTTTAATTCATTTAACTCGATTTGTTCAGTTTCTGCTAATTACTGTTGACAGAAGAAAGATTTTTCTATGATCATGTATATTCTTTGAAAATTTCTAAATGTTTGAACTTTATAGATCTATTGAGTATTTATTATGCAGCCCAGCCGCTTGCAAAGCCCCTCTTCATTAATGACAGCATGGAGTGCTGTGGTGGTAGTATAGCCTTTGTCTTTATCACAAACATAGATCCACCCGACTAACTGATCTCACCATGTTAATGACACATAAGTGGACAACCACTCGGTGCAATCTTTTAGATAATGTTGAGATCAAAAGGCTCACTTCTGAGAAGGCCGTTGCCTCTCTCCACACACCCAGGAAACAACAAACAATTAAAATGCAAAGTCATATTTACACAGAAATGTCAGTGGTTAGTATCACTCCCACAACCATTCGGTCCTCAGCGATGCAATGCCACAGCTTGTCAACTTGAGGTTTTGAAGACACTGCTGGCATGTCGTGTTTCTTGTCATCCGAGCCTTCATCCTTTGACTCATCGTCACAGTCCCACAGAGCAACAAGGCCTTCCTGGACAGGGAGTGTAAAGACTGTAATCAGCAACGACAAGTGTGTGACAGCATTGACAGCAATAGCGGTTTACGTCAGGCATTTCAATTTGAACAACAGCCCATTAGTTACACATGGAGAGGACTTCCTTAAAGGCTATTAAAGAACAGAGTGCTTTAGTTTTACTTTCTGTCAAAACACAGTCAAATCAGCGAGGCCACCGGCTGGATTCAAGGTAAGAAACAGAACAGCAGCAAACACATTAGAAAATATTAAGTGGCACCATGAAAGAAGGGGAAATTATTTTTCAGTGCATGCAGCTGGTCTTCCTTTCTCATTCCCACTGGCCGTATAATGGACCAGGACTGCCTCAGCCTCGTGGGGGACGCCTTTTTAAATTTGACTACCTGACAAAATGAGTGACAAATCAGGGAACAAAAACCTAAACAACTGAGGGGAAGAAAGCTAGGACTACGGACATTATAGATGTTTTAATAAAGATTTTGTTGCTGTAAATGTGAGGGAAAACCAAGCTGAAGAGAGAAAAGAATGAGAGGAGATTTGTAGCAGACGGTGAGGGTTGGAAACCAGCAGGTGTCACCATGAGGAGGACTGTAGGGAAGGCCCTTATAGATGGGGCGTGTATTCTACCCAGTAATGAGGAAATAAAGTGTTTACATCAGTCAGCTGACACTGATCTTCAATTTAATCAAGAGGAAATAGGTCTGTCACAGGTATATTTATGGTATGTTGTTTTCGTGAATATTTACAGAAAAATAATGTAGAAAAAAAGTAGGCCACTGTAAAAAGTGGCCTTTCTTTTATCCCAATTAATCCCACTTAGATTCTTAAGCGTAACTGTGAGTTTATCATGATTTGTCTTTCACAGTTATGGTCTTACTTCATTGTTAAACACTCACAGTTATTGCAGAACACTAGTGTAGAGAAGACAGTTGTATGTATTAATGTTTAACTACCATAAAACTTCAATTAGTGGCCCAGGCTTTTATTTATTTATTTGAATTAATAAACTCACCCTGCCTTTATTGGGCACAGGCATCACTAAGAGACAGGCTTTAATTGTTTCTGTTGTTTTGGTAAATAAAACTTTTATCTTTACAGCCAGCACAAACTGTGACCACACTTCCCTGTCTCCCTTACACTCACTGAAGCACACATTTCTTCAGCTGTTTTTCTGATTCATTTGTGGGAGACTAATGTTGATAAATGACATGCTCAGAAATCTGGTATTTCATGGTACACACACGCACACTCGTAAAACAATGTATAGACTTTCAACTAAGACCTGCCTTTATTTACTAAAACATGCAGCCACACCCTGCCACTTAGTGACCCTACCTTCTATTGGAACAGACCTACTGTATTTTAGAAGTTTTATGGTATTTATATCTGTGCAGAATGAATACACAAAAGGATTTTAAAAAGGTTTATGAAAAAATAAATAAATGTGATGTCATATCAGTATCCATTTCCACATTAAAAATCCTATGCGAGTCTGGTTTTACTTTATAACAGAACCAAAAGTTCCCTTATAAATGATACAACTTGAAGAGTTCATTTTAATCTGTATTGTAGGGATTTAATATTTGAGAACCCTCCACACACACCAACACACACAGGACATGTTTCACAGAAGAGGAATGACTGTTGCAGCTGATGAGAAAAGGGGGAACTTCACCATCTTCCTTTTTAAACTTGTGCTGCCTGTTTTTTTTTTTTTTTTTGGTTTGTTTTGTTTTGCTGAACACAGCAGTGAGTGTGTTTTTCCAGATTTAATGCTCTTTTTTTCTTTTCCATTTTTAAATCTATTTTTATGCCAAAAAATAGAGAGACAAATAAATTAATCAGAATCATATGTCACGGGAAGTCTTGCATCAGCACTTTAGCAAAGGTACAGTGTCTACTGTACACTCACCCAGCCCTTTAAAATAAACTTGCTCAATAATGCAGCAGTTGTTTCTGGCAGAAACTCACTGTTGAACATAAACAGTACCTGCTCAGGCGATATGACGACAGACTCTCTCTCTGAGACAGCAGCAGCTAGGGCTTGCAGTGACTGCTGCAGCACCCTCTCCTTCACTCTCTCCTCTCTCTGAAACTCCTGCAGCACCGTCAATCCACTCTGTACAACAGAGTACGTGTGACTGATAGGATATACTGAAAAAATTGCTATCTATTGCATGTGTCGGAGTTCATGGCAAGATCATCAGCATATAATATACTATGTTGCGTAACATGGCAAGTCAACATGGGTGAAACAAGATCATGTGCTTATAATCATCTGAAATCCACAAAAGCAGTTTCATATTACTGCTAAATCTTTTACAGTGAACAATATCATAACAGAGATCCATAAGAAAATAAAAAGTTCACCTGTAGTCTGGACTCTAAAGCTTGAAGAGTTAAGAGATGGGTCTCCGGTGGTAAAGGTGTCCTAGGTGCTCTATTTTCTGGGCAATCCTTGACACAAGACACAAATACCCACCGTCACAAATGAATGTTTCAGTTAAACAGCATGTCAAATGTGAAATTGTCTTACTGCGTAGGCGATGCCACAGAGGTCAGTGAGGAGGAAATTTTCCAATGGTTGTCCTGATATACCCTGATCTCCGAAAACCAGCAGCATCTGATCTGTCCCACATCCCACAAAGTCATCCACGTGAACAGAACTGACTCCAGACCAGTGGGAGGCCACCTAGAAAGGGGGGTTAAACACAGTGAGACAATGCAATGTGAACTCGTTCTAAATAGAGCAGTAAAAATCACAAATTGCTGTAGATAATCTAATTACTGACTCTGTTTTTACTAACCTGAAATGTCTCCCTCCATATAGTGCATACATGCCCCTGGCTAAAAGTCACAACAAACAGGCAGCCATTCCTCCCTGTGTTGACCACCTGTATATTCTCAGCTTGTTCAAAGGGGAGCTGACATGTCTCCCTCACCATCCCATTCTCAAGATAAACAAGCTGCTTATTAGAAGTTGCTGCAACCACAGCAGATTTCAACGTATTTTCTTCTTTTTCTGCTGAAAGCACCAGGATGCACAGCGTGATACAAATGTAGGGGAAAGGTAAAATCATAGAGCCGTCAAACACGTGTCCGCTCTCCACTAAATATCCCAGAGTTTGCCTTGTGGGATGATGACTCGAGGACTTTCCTGAAATGTTTTGCCCGAGAATAAACAGTCTTTCATTAAGGAGGGGCAACTCTCCAAAAACACAGTGTGACAACTGAATCGGGATCCGTCTCACTTCTCCAGCCTGTGGGGACGTGTAGAAGACCTGACCAGTGTGGATCCACATCACAGTGGGACCGTGGAGGATGGACACATTTTCCTCCATTTGATAAGGCAGCTTGAACTCAATACAGGGCTCCAGTTTGTTTGTGCTGCTCAGTGTCAGTAGACTATAATGGAAACTTTCCCCTTTGTTTTTCTTCTTCCACACTAATACACAAGGTTCAGCGACTCTTTTCTGGACATTTATCACGCATTTACACTTCACAACATTCACATTTGTTGCGTTTCTACCGCCGAGGACAGCCGCTCCCTCTGCTGCCTTCACGTACCTCTTTTCCTGCCGGTCAAATGAAACGCAGGAGAATATTAACTCACTTTTCTCTCCCCCGTTTACACCTGGTAGTCGTTGACAGTTAAACGAGGTTATCTTTCCACAGTGGGAAAGCCGATAAACATCTTCCGGGAGAAGTTCCTCCATTACGGATTAAAGAAGCTGCAAACTCCTACCAGGTTCGACCGGTACTTATCGACAGTTTGAGGAGAAGATATTGCTAAGTTTAGAGCTGTCTCTTTTTTGACATGAGCCTCCAAATCACAAAATTGACCCCTGAATACTATTATTATTATTAAGCGATGCCGGTATCCCCCATGTTTCCTGGCGTCTGTTTCCCGCGCCAACTTTTTTTTTTTTAAACTTTATTTAGGGTTAACAACATTACAATTCCAAACATAGCAGAATCTGTTCAGTACAGTAATTTCAATATTGAAATAACAAAATAACATAACAGTAAGAAAAATAAAGTAGATAGTGAAGAACAACAAGCAAACAGAAACATAAAAGTAACTCAAAATAAATAATTTAGGCTATTAAAAACTTTACAAGGGTTTTCTTTTTCTTTTAAAACATCTTTAGCTGTTCATATTAATAGGAAAAATATTTTAATATCGTTTAACTTTCGTTCCTTCAAACCAACTGACATTTACAGATATTTTACACGCTTTAAAATCATTTATGAAAACAATAAATGTGGGGGGATGGTCTAATGACTCTATTCTTATAGATGAAATATTTGGTAAGATATAAGGTTACATTTTTATTTGGTATTAATATTCCAAAAGTAATATTATCTAGAGAAATACATTGTGAAAATACTGTATTTTTTTTGTTCCGCGCCAACTGAATTGAACGCTTCCTGTCACTCCAAGTGCATTATGGGTGCTACTTTGGGTAAACAGTAGTGAGTTGACGATATTACGCGGAAGCTTCGCTCGCTGGACTTATTTACTCTGTTAAATCGTACGAATGATTGGATTACCGCCTTTCTTGTGATGCTGGATGTATTAAAACACTCCCTCTCTGTCTGCTCGGCTTAAACAAACAACAAACAGAGAGGTGTGGCCAAAGTAGGAGCCAAAATGGCCAGCGCAGGACGCCGGTTTCACACTGTGCACTGATTCATCCTACGGTAGCCAGCGAGGCTAAACCTGCTAGCTGAACGAGGAACTGCTGCTACAGAGAGAGAGAGAGAGAAGGGAACTCGGGGACAGATGAACATGGCTGAACTTGAGCAACACGAAGGAGCGCAGGTATCGTTAGAAGTCATTTAAGCGATTCTGTCATTTATTCTATCCGAAGTTAATACGTGTCTAATCTAAATGAACTCATTTGACAGGACCTTGACAAGAAAATTGAGGAGACGAGACTCAGATTCAAGAATGAGTATCTTCAAGGTAAAGAGAATTGTGAAGGGATAAGCTGAGAGTAACTTGCTGCTTGACCTGTCTCTTGTTCTGCACGTATTTAGTCGAAGTAAGACTAAAAACTGTGGGTTCACTGCCCTCTAGTTTCCTGTTTGTTTACCTCTTCAGTTTGATAATGTGATCACATCTGATAAGAAGATAACCAGCTAACGTTAGCCTTTGTATTGACACATGGTGAAACTCAGAGTAAAACAGCCCGCAGGTATAACGTCATGGCCTTAAATAGGACTTAATTTGGGTCCACAGCACAGTGGGGTCATTATGGCTTTAACAGGATTTTTCACGCAGGAAAAGTGAGCGTGGAGGGAAAGTAAAGCCTTGTGCCCTAAATCCTTTGAAGTTCATGTCATGTGCTGTACCTCTGTGTTGTGTTTACAGACTCAGCAGAGAAATATGACTCCAGAGACGTGGACAGGCTTGAAAAAGATGATGCCCTGGTGGAGGGCTACCTCACATGGAGAATCTATGTTGTTGATGATGCCTTGAAAATGATCGATGATAGTTTTCAGTGGAGAAAAGAGTATGGTGTGAATGGTAAGAACTCAGACTGAATCATTTTAACATATATGTTCAATTTACAGCACCTGAATGAAGTATGTTTGATCTAGACACTGACACCAATAACAACTGTACTAGCTTCTGTCTGTGGTAAAACGTCTCTTAAAACCCACAAGTTATCAAAGTTTATAAAAGGTAAAAGTTGTAATGATTTAGGTAGTTTACCAAGAACTTTGCCTCAGTTACATAATCAAAATTTGCATTATGTAGATATAAATCAGGAACTACACAGCGCATAATAACTATAGGTAAATATGATTATAAATCTGTCCTTCACTTCCTTCCAAAACAAGCACTGCAGTTTAATATCAAGTCCCCACTGAGGAGAAATGTTGACATCCTTATATTTAGATGTTTGCAAGCTTGCGACACAGATCCGCGGTTGTCTTTGTGCTCCTCTGGGATGAATCCAAACAGAGTGTCTTTGTGTGTTAAAACAGTTGTATGCATAGGCCACCCCGGGGAACAATCCCCACTGTATGTGTTTTCTGAAGAATTTCCAAGACTTGTTGTCTGTTTAGTCTTTAATCCAACAAATTTAATTTGTCAACCTTTGTTTTGAGGAGATTTGATTTATTAGAGTCATTAACATGTGAGAGCATCAGGGACTGTTGGTTAGTTTGTTCCCCTGTTGATAAGAGTTTGCGTCAGTGTTTATTAGTTTAAAGAGTTTAAGGAACCTCAGCAGGTTCTATTAAAAAAAGTGAGAGACTTCCTCTGAAGGCTCAGAAAAGAATGCAGTCGAGTCATGTTTCAACTGACATGTACGCACGCAGTTTCAGTTTTGTTTGTTGCTTAGTTGCAATAGTAATGCTTCATCTTTTTAAATAGAACAAGAAAGCTTTTCAGACGTGATGGCGATCAAGATTTGTGGCTCCACTGTATCAAACATATCTTTTGAATAGTTTAAACTTTTTTGTTGTAACTTAACAAATCAATGTACCCCTGCTCTCATAAAACTATATCCAGCAAAGCCAAAAAGTCAAAAAGTATATATGTTTGTTTTCTCTCCTCAGACCTCAGTGAGAGCATCATTCCCAGATGGATGTTTGAGACCGGTGCTGTCTACCTCCATGGCTACGACAAAGAAGGCAACAAGCTCTGTATGTACTTTTCTACTACATGGCTTCATCTATTGCAGGCTTACTCACTGTAGGCCTTATAACTAAGTCTGTCTTACTGTAAGACATCTGAGCCCTATTAAAAGAGTTTAGTTACCACTCAAGTTTTAAACTAGCACAAACTGCTGCTACCTTTGCTGATAATTTGTACCTATGTTTGCTCTCCACAGTCTGGTTTAAGGTGAAGCTTCATGTCAAAGATGCAAAAACGATCGTGGATAAGAAGAAGTATGTTGCCTTCTGGTTGGAGCGCTATGCAAAGAAAGAACCTGGGATGCCTCTCACTGTTGTGTTTGACATGGCAGACTCTGGCCTCAGCAATATTGTAAGTTCTTGATGATGGAAAAAAGGTTATGGGAATTAAATCACTAACCCATTGCTGTTGCTCAGGCGTCTTGTCAGAGGTTATTTTCCTCTAGTTGTATACAGATCTTCCGAACTAGTTAATTTCTATTAAGTGCTTCACTCTTGCAGTAGAAGAAGACAATTTCCCTGCTGTGACTGTCATTGAAATGCTGTCAAGTGTCCTCAAATTTCTCGTTGTTTGAGCTGGCATCTTGCCGGGACCGATGCTCTTCAATGGTTTTACACTTCTGAGATTAAAGTAACCTTTAAATCCCGTTGGTCAACTTGAGAGGACTGTCTAATCCCGAGACTCGCGGTGTCACAGCTTCTCAATGCAGCTCTCTGCGTGTGTCTCATTGGCTGGGCTCTCTCTTGAAGAAATGCTTCAGTTTAAAACAAAATAAACCAACGCTGGCAGGGTGAAGAAGGATAAACAGTTATGCAACCCAAATATGAAATGCTTTAATTAAGAGGTCAGTTTGGAAAGTGGCCTTTTTGAAGGCTTGCTGAACCACATAGAGTGCCAGAGCAAGGGTAGCCTGTATGATCTCATTAAGACTCTGGGAGTGAGTCTCCTGCATAGCAATTAGGCTTTTAGCCTATTATAGAGCCTATGCAGGATATAGGGGGGCTTTAGCTGTTGACCTATCGGTTGTTTGTCTGATTATTGTGATTAACATGAAACTGTTAGATGCTCACTTATCCTGTTCACCTAGAGAAACGACTTTGCCTAGTTAATCACCTGGATATGTGGTTTTCACTTGGGAGTAATCAAGAACTGAGAGATGATAAAACTTGACTTTTTCAGGGCTTTCAACAGCAGAAAAGAAACATTTCAATCACAAGAGACTTACTTGTATTTATTCATGATGGATATTTAAAACTTAGACATTTACTTTAAGCACGTCTTTAAGTTTCAAGAAGTTTTCCACCTTTTAAAATCTGATGTTGAACATATGAAAAAGTAGTGAAAACAAACAATGCTCCCATAATAGAGCACTGTAGAAAGAAAGGACATTGCCATCATTTTTTCTCTAAAAATACTATTTCAATTATTATCAGTATCATTATAACATTTTTCCTTTCTCTCTTATTCTCATCTTTATCCTGCTCTAAGGACTGAGGTTACCATGCGTACCATCAGTTGTAATATAGAGTACGACCCAGCTGACTCTTCTGTTTTTCCTGCAGCTGCTATGTTGTGTTTTGTGTTTACTTCACAGCTCTGCCATTCTCAAGCGTTTTAACTCATTGCCATTTTTAATGTGCAAAACCCGAATGAACAAAGGTCCATTGTTAAATCTGTTTATCTCCACTGTGTGTTTCAGGACATGGATTTTGTGAAGTACATCATCAACTGCTTCAAAGTTTATTATCCAAAGTTTTTGTGTAAGTATTAACATTTTACTAAGTGCATTACAAATGTCAATTCACATGCTTTTCAAAAACATCTTTCTGCTGCTTTCAGTCTTACGCCTTTTGTTTTATTCCAGCCAAAATGATCATCGTGGATATGCCCTGGATCATGAACGGTGAGAACGAACCTTCCTTTTCTGGGAGTCTGAATCCTTTGTCCATCCGTTATTTATATAAAAATCAGAATCTGACTCCCTGATCATTATCATGTCTGTGTTACAGCTGCGTGGAAGATTGTGAAGTCATGGTTGGGTCCTGAGGCGATTAGCAAGCTGAAGTTTGCTTCCAGAACTGAGATTCAATCCTTCATCGATCCTGAATACCTGCCATCTCACATGGGAGGGACGGTATGTTATAGTTTCTGTATGTGATCCGCATTGATGTGTGGCTGTCAGCAAAATAGTTACTGTTACTGCTTATTGTTTTCTGTAAAGCAGCTACACTTGTGCTTTCAGTGGGAAAAGTTGAAGTGCTGGTGTTTTGCACAATCCGGCTATGCTAGCTTTCGTAGGATTTGAAAAGAAACAGTTGAAACTTAGATGACTAGTTTTTGGGTTCACACTGGCGTCATAAACGGCGTAGACATACATTTTTCATGGTTTTATACACTTTCTTTGTTTCTTTCCAAGAAAGAAATCGTTTAAGGTCACATATAAAGTCATCGCTTTAGCAGATGATGAACTTTTGTTTGACTGCTCACTATCACATAACCCTTGTCATTATGTACATCCACATGCAAGCCATGAGACTTCCCTGGATGTATCAATAGAACTCAGTCTAACTGCCTTAATTTGAACTGACAGCGTAGAAACCTTAAAAACCATGAGACTTCTCTGGCTTCTTTCCAGGACCCCTTTAAGTACAGCTACCCACCTCTCCCAGACGACGACTTTCATACGCCAAGTGACAACGGACCTATTATGAGTGAGGACGAGCCTGAGAGCAAAGAGGGTGAACTGGAGGTCAAAGACAACCTCGAGTCCAGCTTCAACTCTGAGATTGCGGTAAAGCCCAAAAAGGTACTTCTATCAGCTTTCCGTTGGATATTTTCAGGCGTGACAAATTGTTTCAGAATCAAAACCTTCTCCTTGTCCTTGTAAACTGCTTTGCTTTGCTGCAATCCAAGGCAGGATTACAGTTTCCAGTTTGGCAGAATGCAAACCACTTGACCTCATATTTATTTTAATGTGGATTAGTTGTTTCTTAATTCAATCGCCGGCTCAGTTAAAACTAATATTCAGCAAAACCAGCATTGAGCAAAGTGATCGCCAAGTAAGTTTCCCTGTGGTCAGAGATGTTGTCTGTTTTGTCTTTCACCCACTTTTTTAAAGCTGAGCCTGAGCTTACAGCATGTAATAAAACCGCTCTGCAGAGACATGCCGTGAATTGAGTGGCAAGCAACGCCTTGATTTAACAGAGAGTAAGCTCTTGCTCATTGTCTCTGTGAAGGTGACTCCTAACGTCTGAGGCTGCAATTAAATCCTGCCAACAAAGCCCGGGCACCACAGCCGGCGCTCTGCTTCCCTCATCCTCTCAGCTTCTCATTTGGTCCACGGGGGTTGTCGAGTCAGTTACTTAAGCTCTCCCCCCGCTGTAGCTAGATCCCTATTCCCGATGTTCAGTGAGACACCCTGTAGGTTTTATCTTGAATATATCTGCAGCCGCTGTCGACCTTCTTCTTCTTCTTCTTCTTCTTCTTCTTCTTCTTCTTCCTCTTCCTCTTCTTCCTCTGCTGTCACCGAAAAACTGATCTACTTGCAGTGAGGGCTGCAGCTTATGCCGCATATTCTGCTCCTTCCCTACAGGACGACCCAGCCCCTCGCTTCATAATCTGTTTAGCGTCTTTTCTGCCTACCAGCATGCACAAAAAGCCTGCATGAAAATAGATGGGAGCCTTTAAGGGGGTCATATCAGGATTTCTGCTATCAGGGGAAGACTTGTTGCACATTCTATCTGCACGTGTTGTTTTTGGTTGTTTTGTTTACCTGTGGTGCTGCAGCTGTCATTAACAGATAATTTGCTATTTTGCTGCCACAGTCTGGGAGCAGCAGACTCGGAGTTAACCTACATTTGATGTGAGAACAAGGACATATCTATTCGGATGTTTATAGCTGCTGTTGAGGGTTTTTTTTTAAAGCTGGATGCCTACAGGACACAAACTGTATCAGCTGGAGAAAGCGAGTGGAGCCGCATCACCCACAGCTACTCCCATGAGCCTGCTAAGCCCCAATAAACCAAACACTGCTCCCATTGTTAATAAATAACACATTGGTCATGCATAACAGATTTAGATTCACAAAGCTGAGATAAAAAATACAAAAAAAAAACAGTCAATTGTTCCCAACAATAAGCTACAGGCACTCATTTGTTGAGGCTCTTACTATATATTATTTAACATAGAATCACCTTTCACTCTCTCTTTATTATTATGAGTGTGAAACTCTGCATAACTCCAGAGAAAAGGTGCATAGCTCCCTAATAGGAGCTTGGATTATCTCCACATACTAAACCAAAGAACTGTGCTTTAACAAGCACTCGAGTCCCTTGAGTGTTGGACTGGATTTCAAAACATTTAAGGGAGCTCTGTGGAAAAAAAGAGCAGCTAGATTTCAGCACAGACAGCTAACATGTGATCAAACTATGAAGTTTATGGATATGCCTGCGTGCGATAAAGGTGGCATACCCATCATAACTTGGAAACTCAACAAACCTCACCCTTCAGTTAAAACTACTGTCATTGTAGTTTTTATGGGAGTTGTGATTCCAATGAATGTTTGCTAAGTCAATTTAGGTTATCTGAAACAATCACAGCGTAAAATGGGGTGAGGTAGAAGCTTGGGAAATGCTGAAGGGAGTGGTGATAAGAGGACAGTAAAGGAACAGGATCATCAGGAGTGATTACATAAGCACTGTATCTTTCTGTTGACAAAATGAGTAAGCCTGCTGAACTTATCTTGTTAACTTAACCACAGTGTTAATATGAAACCCTGACTGAACTTCAAGCCTGTCTGAACACATTCCACAGCGCTTTTGCTACACAGGATCCTCCTCTCCCCTCCACTATCACCACCCTCACCTGACTTCTTCTGGGTTCCAGGCAGCATAACGCTTGATGGCTTCAGGAAGCTAATTGCCTCTCTCTATCTGTTTCTGTTTTGAAACAAGGGCTGGAGGTGGTAAGAGAGTGTAGCGTCTCACCCACACACGGAGCTCAGTGTCTGGAAGATTTCTGCAGGCTGAAAAAGGCTAGGTGCACTCGACGCGACTCAGGACATTTTACGCGAGTGCACCTCCCTCGCAGTCGACTGATGTCACCACCACCCTGGACCCGACATTTCATTTCGACCCTCAAATCGCACTGAACTGTTTTTTGGAACCACAAAATTTCCGGCTTTGTCATTCGGAGATGTAGGCATGACAGCAAGCCTACCTTTTTGCACCATTTCATCTCAACACTGAACCAAACAGAACACTCCAAGAGAACGTCGCACAATCACTGCTGCCCATTAACAATTCAACATGATGTTTTTTTATCTTCAAAGCTTCGACACTAAGTAATTGCCTCTAGGATAATTACTCTTATATAGAAGTAGATCAAGCTATTAACCCTTAGCACTAAGTCTTTCAAATTGCTTGCCTTTGAGACAACTTTTTTAACTAAAGCCCTCTGTGCCTTGTCCTCTAATAGTTTCCTTTACCAGGTCTGTGATTCTGGAGAGTGCTAATGATGTAGATCAGATTGCCTTTTTAATATGTACTGTACAATCAGTAGGCATACTTTATAATGAGCATTTCACTAATCTTGAAGGATTTGAAGTTGTTCTTGATTTCTTTGTGTTTTATATTTAACTCGTATTGTGTACAAATCAAGATTAAGTTCTCAAATGTTGTTGTGGTCTGTTGTATTTCTGTGTTGATGATTATAAGGCTGTTACGCTTTGTTTGTTTTTTACAAAATTTTGAAGAAAAAAAAGGAAAATGGCAGTTTGTTTTATGTTTATTTCTGACATAACTTTGTTTGAATATTACTAATATGACAGAAGCAGTGCTGATGATACTCACCAAAACGCTGTCCGTTTTGATTTTGACATCTGTTGGTTGTATACATTTTAATTGATAAGTTTAATTTGAGCTTTTGTACTTTTTTTTAAAAGTCGCATCATTTCCTGATTTTATAAACCCTGCTCTTCCTAATAACAAATAAATGGCAACATTTCATCATCATCAGCTGATTATCTCTCCATGTCTTCATTTTGCCGGTTGCATGACAGCTGGTGATTAAACTTAAAATAACATGTCGAGCTGCTTATCACAGCAAATGACACACTTCCCCTCTGAGTCACAAGTATTCCCATCACATGCAGAGTCCATTCACCTTTGTCTCCCTCCTTTCGCCCAAAATGTGCTCACTCCCCCATCTGTTTACACAACATGTGGTGTCAGCAACAGTGAAAGCATCCATTTCCCCCTCCTCTCCCCTTTATGTTTTGATATCCTACACGTTTGCGGAGTTTCACAATTCCCATCCTGTCAGCTGCTGAACGGTCTTGTGATCTGAGTTGATGTTTTGCTGAAGTGAGAGTATCCACGCATGTCTGATATTATGACTCCAGGCTAGGTTGTACGTTTTTTTCCAAGGTTCTATATTAGAAAAGTCACAAGTTTGGGTTTTCCTTTTTGGTTCCGTATTCTCAAACGAACATGCTGCTTTTTCTTCCTCCTGAAGATGAGGAACAAAGGTCAGGAGGTTTCTCGGAAAGAAAAAAAAAAGCACATTTTTAGAAAGAAGATGGTATTTTTGATGAGCTTAACCTTTACCGTCAGTCCCTTGTAACCCTTTATTAATCATTACAGATGACTGTCAAAAGCTTCATTTACTGATAGCTTTCTCTGCATAAAGGGCAAAGGTCGAATCTTTCAGTTTCAAGGAAAGGCCCAGATAAGGGTCACATGATGACATTATCAGTATCCTCAGTCTCCTCTCTAATTAAGTGCTCTTTGTGTCTCAGGTGAACTTCATGGAAGAGAGTTTGAGGTCAGAGGACAATGATAAAGGAGAACCCAGCACCAGGACCAAAGGGGCCAGGAAACCTCTGACCACCTTCAAAGGCCCTCTGCTGGATGTTAGGTTGGTTATTCATTCACAGTTACTCATTGCTCACAGGTAATGATTGTCACATTGTGAAAGGAAAAGGTAGAGGTTATCTGCTGATTTTTGCACGTTTTTATGGGATAACTATACTGTCTACATCATTCGATCTCCTTTTCAGTGATGATATTCTTTTTTTAGAGTTGCATTTCCTGCCATTATGACTTAACCCGCATCACAAAATTTGTTTTCTTTGAGTAAGAAACCTTCAGTGAGAAGCTCTTCCTTTAAACGATGCTTTTAGCCACACTGGCAGGTTGGCTCTTGGGATGGCATTTTTAGCCTCGGTGGGTCAGTAGATCGACCACTCAGGTCCAAACGAAAATATCTCAACAAATATTTAATGGATCGCTCTGAACTTTTATGCAAGCCTCCAGAGGAGAACTTCATATCACGTGGTGATCTCTTGACTTCACTCAAATGTCAGGACCAGGTTTACAGTTTTTAGTCAGTGTCTTGAACACATTTGGCCGACACATTGCACTTCTAGGTTAGCTGAGTCATACTTACTTATGGGAACCTTTTCCTCTTCATATGTGTGGTCCAAGTTGTAGCATGAACAGAAACCATTAGCTATTGCCTGACCAACAAATATACTTTGACACAAAGTCAACTTTCAGTATTTCTGGTGTAACCAGACGTTAGGGATAAACAGCTTCCAGCGAAGACATCCTGGTCCGTGTGCCGTATTGTTTACAGGCCAGTTTGCAACTTGAGAAGCCAGTGTATGTGAAGTTTACAAGCTCAATTGACCTTTCTGGAAATGTTTGTTGAGTAAGTTCCCTCATATCCGCTGGAGTAACCTATATTTATCTGTTTCTGATGAGTCTCAGTTTCACTGTAAACTCAAAGTTACACAGAGGCTTTACTTCAGTTTTCTACCGCAGTAAAAACCTCAAATTAGCAATGAAATTCTTGTGATTAATGCTGCATTCCAGTTACCTCGGATGTCAGATGTCAGAGCTGAAAATGACGTCACACCTGAGTTACCAGCGTTTCAAGTACCAAGTCAGAGAAAAGCAAATTCTGAGGTGGAAACAAGATGGCTACATGTATGAAAGTTGTAAGAACGCTTGCCTTGTCCTTGTTATACTCTGACAAGGCAAGTGCTAAAATAACTTTCATAGATGTAGCCATCTTGTTTTCGCCTCAGATTTTGTTTTTTTTTTCCGAATTGGTAACTGAAACGCTGGTAACTCGGGTGTGACGTCATTTTCAGCTCCGACATCTGACTTCCGAGGTAACTGGAACGCATTATTACTTTCAATAAAAGGGTCGTAAAGCTCCTGTAAAGAACTATATGATTGTGTTGATTTTGGCGCCCCCTGTGGACAGACCCAAAACAATTTGTCTGTATGCTTATTTTGCCCAGTACATGTGTAGGTAGTGTTTTGTGGCCTTATAAAAACTACAGTTTCCTTTTTAATGTCAAATTTGTGATCACATAAACTTCTAGCATAGAAACTTTTTTAAAGGCTGTTTCTGTAGCGTGTTGTTCATAGCCCTGCCTGACATCTACAACCTACCTGTAGAGAGAGATGTAGATAGAAAATAATCAGTCTGGTCACAGATGGGTTTGTTTACATTTGTAAAGTTGTGATCTTTAATTAATCATTAATTTCAGTATTTAAGGAGCGTTTAGTTCATCTGTATAACATCATGATGCAGATTTGAAAAAAAGTAAAAATCCAAGCTGTGTCATGTCGGTCCTCAAGAGGAGAAGAAACTGTATTACTTTCATAATTGGGCTTTAATTAGACCAACTGCTTTGGTAATTACTGTTTTACTAGCAGCAGGGTATTAGATCAAGTAACAGATGTTTATCAAATTGCCGTACAGATTAAACTAGTGGGCTGTGTATAACGCCTCGTCTCTGACTGAGGGCCCACTCAACAGGGCACTCTGTGTCAAGGCTTCATATAAACACTTGACTGTGGCAAGGCTTGAAGCCCAGGTGCTTCCCCAGTGCTCTTCTTTACTGTCTCTATGACTGGTAGCTATGACTGTTAGTGTTTGTTTGAGAAAACCACAGAAGGGTCGCCCGAGGGAGAAGGGGGAAGAGTCCTGGAGTTTTCTCTGAGGGAAAGTGACACGACACAGCAACAGCTCCTTTTTTCAGCTCTGTTTTTGTAAACAAACAGAGAAAGCACATTGAGAGTGAACATTTTTAGTGTTTACATGTCGGCTCATTTAGTGGTTGTTCAGGAATAACTTCTTAAAGTTACTATCGCAGCCTGTTTACTCAGTGAAGAAAGCAAAAGATTGTCCTTCCCCTTCATATTTTCAGTATCTGGCATGCTGTCAATCCAGTTTGTCTCTGTTGAAAGTTTGGACTGTACGATTTTTGTTTCTTCTTCTGCTGCTCATAACATCTTCAATATGAATTTATACTGCACTGAAAAGTCAGTCACGTCATAGCTAATGAGGAAAAAAACAGCCATTACGCCAAAATTGTTTCTATCACCCAAGTTTTCCTGTCAATATGGTCGAATTTCTGAGCAGTTCCAACATTGTGAAAAAAGTCTTCCCTCTGTTCTCCACGGTTTCTCCTGACCTGAGTGGGTGGAGGTGGACATGTTTAGTGAGGCTTTTTGCAATATGGCAAGTCCAGTTTCTGTGTCCCATTTAATTCAGCCTTGTTGAGCGTGTCAAATATAAAACTGAGGCATGTTTTCTGTCTTTTAATACTTTTACACATCATAAAAAAAAAGAACACAGTTCGTCTCTAAACTTTATTTGACCGTTCAAATAAGCCCTGCAGCACCAGTCTCTGTTTGCAGTCGTACAAGAGACATGCAAGTTACCCTCACTGAAGTAAACTAAGAAGATCAAACTGTTGTTTCCATTTCATCCTTGTGTTTCATCATCAGTGGAAGAGCCTCTGCTGTTCTACTCAGTTTATATTTGCACACAGTTTGGATTATTTGCTCCACAGTTAGACTAAACACACAGCGCTTAAGGCCAGAAAGGTCCAGTGGTCACTGAAGTCTTCCTGGTTTTATCCTCTGAGCTGGAGCTGACTCAGTATGTATTTCATTTTCCGACCAAGGAAAAAAACACCTCTCCTATTAAGACCAATACTCTCCATCGCTTTATTTATTTATGTTTTTTATGTGTTGCTCTTTGACCCATTTTTACAAAACCCTTGAACATCACAGCTGAGTTACTGAGGAAGTAAAGCCAAAATATTAGGAACAAAACATCATATTTAGGAAAGTTGGATTTTAAATCATTTGAGACGTTGGTTCATCATTAAATTTGAACTACATGTATTTGTACCTGGTGTCCAGATACAAAAAGATAAATTTGTATCACCCTGCACTTATTGACAAAATGTTCTCTTCGCATATCGACTCGATGCCTACGGTCATTATTGATGTGTTTGTTCTTTTATGGCCTAATTGATCTAGTCACACGTGGGCAGGAATTAAGCATGCAACAAATCAATAATTGAGTGAGAGACACTGACCGTTGATCAATAAAGCAGGTCGCGCCTCTTTCACATGAAGTCAGTCACATCATGCGCTTTAATTGAGAATTCACTGAACTGCCAGAGCCGCCTGGATATGAAGTGCGCTGCATTGCAAAGGAGAGTAAGAATCACACAGTGATCTGTATGCCTCTCTGGTAAATAACACAGCCAGCCAGCCAGCCAGCCAGCCAGCCAGCCAGTCAGTCAGTCAGTGCATCACACACTGTATGATGCTGCTCTTCAAATTCATGAATAAGGTCCGTTGAGTTGTGTTTTCTCTGAGAAAGTGCTTTGATGTGAGGATTTTGACAGCTCTGGGCTGTGAATTATAGTGATAAACAGATTTAAATGAGCCTTAAACGCAATTATATTTCTGAGCTGTGTTCGCCTTAATTCGGGGCTGTGGGCTTTAGAGGGGAGTAGGGGGGCTTTGATCTTGTGCTTGCCGAAGGTTTCCCGAGCCGGAAGACTCTCTCTGAGATCAAGTGAGCGCCAGACTCTACAGCTGTTTTACTGGGTAAAAGGACATAAAAAGAGAAAATATATCTTTGTTCATAGCCATTTTAGTCCGTGAAGCACAGCCAGGCTGCATCAATGAAAGGCTTTATCCACATGAGGCTGATACTGTAATATATTTGCAAGTTCCCCCTTGGCAAAGAAGTCCCCAATAAAATCCCTGTTCACTGAGGCTGTATTCATCTGATCAAATACTATTTATAGCCCAATTAGACTGTTGCAAACTTGATTAGAGCGAGCATTGAGTTCAAGCTAAAATATAAGGTCAGACGGCAGAGAAGCGTGTTGTTGCTACATCTTTGATCTGCTCTAGATATCACAACAAACAAAGCTTTTTTTTTCTTTTAATCTCCAACTAAAAATAAACGAAATCTTCTGACTTAAATAACAATCTGCTCTACCAATCTGATGTCCTCTTTATCGTCTTTAGACATAAATCAAGTTTATAAGTATAAATGTCGTGTTTATTTGTTATGGTGCCCTGGATGGAGGTGGGAACATTGGGCAAACATTCAGCCCATCTTAAAGTCAGACAACATCCTACTGTGGGACACATTCACAAACTCTGAGCAGACCAGCTTGTCTGCTGAGGTCTGGTTTTTATTTGACAAATACTGATTTGATTCAGGGACCTTTGGTTGATGGAAAAGAAATATTAGACAGAAAATCAGTTGTGTCAAAAATAACAGAAGAAGTATGATTTGAGACATGAAAGGATGAATGACATATCTCCATAGTTGTCAAGTATCCCATTTTGGCTGGGAAACTATTGTATTTTACCCCTTCCTGATTAGTATTGTCCCGTAAATGTCCCGCATTATAAAATATGTATTAAAAAAGAACATTATTCTGCCTCTCCAAACTGAACTCTATCACTAGCGTGTGTAAGTACCCACCAACTAGTAGTAGCAAGTTGTCATCTGTGACAACTCGCAGATGACAATTTACCAAACATAAACTTACAGGTATGCATAGGTCTAAAAGGAGGGTGACAGATAAATCAATGTTTTTAGTTTGTTACAGTGTTATTGAATCCTCTTTCACTGACTCTATCTTCTATACCATGGTTCCTTCAAAACAGAGCACTGTCACTGTGAGTTTGCATACCTAACAGCTTTAAACAGCAGGTTATCTGCAGCTCATATACATAAAGGCAAATATCACTACCCTCCATTCAGATGCCGCTGTGCTTCACTAACAATGCACTGTCTGTCCTTCACTCCCAAACTTCAGTACAGGTTCGTTGAGTTTTTCTCTCTGCCAGCTGCTGTCAGTCAAACACAGACACCAATTTGCCCGTCCAGTCACTGACATGGAAAGGATATTTCCCAAAAGGCTTTTCTTTTTTTTAAACTTTATTAGTTAGAAAAAGAAAAGCAAAGTAGGATAACTAGATGTGATTTAAATCGGTTTTAAAACTTTGACATACTGCTGTTTTATTCCTCCTGCTGTCTGTACAAGCACCTGGGTGGGGCTTTTCAATACAAAACACACAGTACAAATCCATCTGGATCAGGAATAACTGCATTTCTGAGGCTTTGGACAAGAACGTTAACAAGAAATGGAGCTGGAAGTTTTCTTAGAACTCAGTGTGTTTACTTAAGCCAAGGCTGCACTACCAACTCGTAAAAGAATGCCTACTACCTAATCAGACGATTAAAAGCTGCATGACAATGTTGTTACAGCTAGTAGACAGTGAAGGCTATGTTCCAGAAGTGCCAAGATAATCAAGACACAAAAACTGCAGATAAAATACTCATGAAAGAAACAAAAAAGCATGATGTAGACCAAAGGGAACCCTTTTCAGAATTTTTCAGACCTTATAGCCTCTCAGATATATTCTGATAGTTACTCCAGTTTCATCATGTGTGTTTTTTTCTCTCCCCCCAGTCCGGCAGAGGAGCTCAGCTTCGGTTCTGGGGAGTTGGAAAAGAAAAGCCTCATCATCTTGAGCAATGTGACCAAAAATCAAGTGGCCTTTAAGGTGAGTGTGGAGGGGATCTAGTTTGTGAGCAGGGCATTAGTCATCCAAATAATTCCCTTTTATGAAACACTTCAAAAAAATATGAAATAAAATGTGAAATCCTCAGACAAGAACTCTAGACAAGGGAAAAACTGTGAAAATGAGATGATAAAGTCACACAAAAGTCATTTTTAAGATTTCATTTTTTTAAATAGTGCTGGGCTTATGAACCTGCTCTCTAAAATTGCTTAGGAGACCTGTGTGATTCTCGCTTTGAGCGCCGCATTTGATTTGTGTTTTTAATTGATTTTATGCCGGCAGGTGCTCTCGGGCAGTTGCTCTCGTGTGTAATGTGTGGTTCCTCACTTTTCTCCCACCGGGCAGGATTCCTCTGTTTTAGATGCTGAAATAAATCAGTCCTGCAGCAGCTTCTTGCAACCACAGGCTTAAGGAAACACTTGTTAGTCGATAGAGACACTTTTTTTTCCTCTGCTTTTTGAGTACTTGCTGTGTTTGCATTTTCCTGAGTCTGAAGAGAGCTCCCATTTCGCTAAAAACTATGGAGTATGGCTGCCCCGTAACTTTTTATTACCCATGTTAAAAATGTACTAATAAAGTCTCTTGTGTCTTTACAGGTACGGACCACGGCACCTGAGAAGTACAGAGTGAAGCCCAGCAGCAGCACCTGTGAAGCAGGTGCTTCAGTAGACATAGTCGTTTCCCTACATGGAGGTACTGCTCTTAAACTCTTCACTCTTTGCTCCTTCACAGCAGCTTCAAAACACTGAACCTCAAAATCATCAAAGAAGTCCAGTTTAAAGTCGAGTTTCCTACATTTTCAAAGAGCGAGCATCCGTTTTTCCTTTTGTGTTTTTGACAAAAATATTTCACAGGTGATAAAAGCATCGTCCTCAAAACAAAGCATCAAACAACTGACAGTGCGAACAACTTGACAGCCTCTGGGCATTAAAATGTCAGCTCTAGGTCAACGCTCGCTGCGTTTCACTCAGAATCACTGCCACCTTTTCCCTTTTGTTTTCTACCCTGGCTTGACCCGCATGAATATTTTAGTCTCATAATATTTCCTGCAGGTTCCCAGGCCTCTCCTCAGGACAGGTTTCTGGTTATGGCTGCAGAGATGGAGAACACCGGATCACAAGAACTCACGCAGTTCTGGAAAGAAGTCCAAAAACCCAAGATCATGGAGCACAGGTACACGTGTGGGCTCCGTCAGTGAGACTGTGGAAAGATATGAGGGCTCTTTGTTGTAGTTTCATCTCATTATATCTGTGACAGTAGACCTGTAGGCTGCATATCTCTTCCTGATGATCCCCCTCATTAAGCTGTAACTCCTCTACAGGTTGCGCTGTCACGTTCTCGAGAGTGCAAAGCCAACAGTGAGTCTCCGCAAAGACAGCCTGGGGGAGACGGGGACCAGCGGGCAGCAGGAATTTAACACAACGGTGAGATCTGTTAAGAGAGGAGCCTTCTCTCTTTACAGCAGGATTTATCCCTCAGCTATAAAGAGTTCTCAGATAGAGATAGGTTTTTTTTTTAAAACAGACACCTGTGTGCTGTTTCTTTACTGTGTGCCTCACAACCCTACATTTACAACTCTTGAAAGTCACCAAACCTTTGTCCACCAGACTAACTTTGGCACTGAAATACCTCTAAACCATAAAACGGTGCCTGTTCTAGTTCTGTTTACATCTTTAGAGGTGCTAATAGGCATATTTGAGAGGTTTGGAGGAAGCCAGCTTAGCTCTTTCCCCTTTGCTTCCAGTCTGAATGATAAATGAGCTTATTGCCTCCCTGCTCCAGGTCTGCATTTATCACACAGACATGAGAGTAGTATCAACTGTCTTATCTAACTCTTGGCAAAAAAGCAGATTAAACATATTCCCAAAACACCCGGCTAATCCTTGAATTTACTGTGTATCTAATTTGTTGTCACGGCTGTAATTGCGAGCGTGTTAGATTGATAAACCCGGTCAGTGAACTTTTCCTCTTCTTTTCTTACATCTCTCCAGCTCATGCGAGTCATGGCCAGCAACTCACGGATGGAGCAGAAGCTGAACACGTGTCTGTGGGTACAAAAGGTTCTCGTCGCTTTAGTGCTGGTCCTCGTGGTGCTCAACCTGCAGTGTCTCTACCTGCTGGGTACCTCCCCGCGGCCATCTTGACCGGCCTGGGAGGTACCCAGGCTTGTAATTTATTGCAAAACAAATAATGTAGGTAAAAAACATATTTTTTGATCAAATGTTCAATTTTTTATAATGTACAAAACGACAGATTATAAAATAAACACCTTTTGACAATTTAATTATGTGTGATTGTTTACTTTTACAGTCAGTTAGAGCTGAGTATGTCAGTCACTCAGATGAGGCCCAATTCTGCATAAACATCCTCACTATTTTCTATACCCTCATTAGTGTCTAATTGAAAACAATGCTGTGTTCGACCTTACCAAAGCTCTCCACACTCAGACCAAGTAGCCACATGAGAACTCCGTCCCTGCTATCTATTTGTTTTAATTACCCCAGCAGCAGAAAACTAAAAATACCAAAGCAATTACTGGAGAGGACAAGGACACGCCACAACCCACTTGTAGCTTAGTAGGAAGGGCTGATATCTAAAACAAGATCCGGTTTGCAGCAATCAGGAAAGGGGCTCACAGAATGATAGCACTCGGGTTATTAGATGCGTGCACATAAGGGGTGCTTGGATCAACATTTGCAGTAGGTGGTGGCTGCTTGCATGCAGGGGGATGATTGGAATGACTCATGCAATAACGAACAAACTAATCCTGCATTGATTGTAAACACAAATGCAAAATGTTTATTCCCTGTAGACCGCATTGTGTTGCTTTTCCTGTTATGGCGCTCTATTATAGCGGCTTCATCTTCTCTTCTTGCTGAACTTCTATTTATAGCTGTTTGTGGAAGGAGCTGGATATTACAAAGCAAGCATGTTTTCCAGATGTAAAACTTGCATCACTTATTTCACTTCAACGTTCACCGAGAAATACGTTCTGTAGTAAGTGCTTCTGCACTGCAAAAGTAGGGATGAGAGTTAATGGAGCGTTTTCCTCTGGAGGGTAAAAGTAAGAGCTTTGGCACCACATAAGCTGGTTGATTTTTGAGTGCATCTGAGTGCTGGACAGCACCTGACTGAACCCGTGAAGTCGTTCAGACACGCTGCACTGCACAGAGACAAACACCCCCATCAGTGGCTGTGGAGGAAAATAATTCTGTGGTTTGTTTGACACTGATTACTGGGGAGACTGGTCCCACCTGATTGTCTGTATGTCAGTAATTACAGGCAGAGGATACTGTATGTGTTTCCCAGTCGCTTCAGAAGCCCCCTCCACATGATTGATTTAACGTGAAACATTGGTCAAATCGAAACCTGGTTCAATTTGCGGCCAGCCCCCCTGAGGCACTCATGCGATGTTTGAGGGGACGATGATTTAGTCTAAGAGGGAAATTGGTGCAGGAAGAATTGATGGAAAGTTAATAGGTGCATGAAGGTGTGGGTGGGTTAAGTAAGTGTTAGAAGATGGACAAGGAATTTGCTGTGAATTATTAAAAACAGCAGAAAAATCAAAGCCTTTAATACTGAAGTAGTACCAGGACATTTTACCCCCCAAATATATTCTCATTCTCAGCTGATTTCCTTTTCTTCTCATATTTTCTAATCCTGTTCTTTTCCCCTGTTTGCACAAACAAACACATTAATCAAAAATCACTGAGCCTTTTGAGACTTTCTGGTGAAGGTGTTGACAGCTGACCATTTGTTAGGAGTTTTAGAAACACCACTTTGTTTCCATCAACCTGGATGGATAAAACTTTTGGGAGAGTTTGTGAGATAAAGAGGCTTGATTTTGAATTCCATGGGCCTGCTTTGGGCTGTGGAAAAACAAGTGATCACTGTGAAATCAGGCAGGACATCGTAAATGCTAGATTTGGGCACTGGAGCGAAGAGGTGACCTACATGAGACATTGAACTTTTTGTGTTTTTTTGTTGTTGTTGTTGTTGTTTGTTTGTTTTTTTGTATCACTGCAGCATCTCCTTTCAGCTTTTTAAAATAATCACCAGTCCTTGGATGAAAATAAGACGCTTTTATTTTCCTTATTCTTCACATCCAAAAAGCTCCATGTCTTCAACAAAAACAGGGGGAGTGTTTTATCTTTGTTTTTCATCTTAAATGAACTAGAGTGACTCTCTCATAGACACATTTTCATCTATAAAAACACACAGCAGACACACATTTTAAAAATAGTTTGTTGCTATATGCCAATACACTAAGAGTTCATGTGATTTTCATTAATCATTTTGCTGTGGTTGTCTTTTTTTAAAATATATTCTTCCGACTCTGGGGAAATATCCCATAACATCCTCTTTATAACCACCGGCCAATAACATAACACTCTTTGTTTTTAGCGAGTGAAAAACAAGACTCTTTCACAGGCACAGGCCTCCACCGTCTGTATGCAGATTCTTATTACAATTCTCTTATTTTAGACATCATCTTCAGGCAGTGTGCTACTTTGAAAGATAAAACACTTCATTTACAACTGGATAGTGACAGTTTTATAGAAATATACTACAAGTAAAAACAAAACAAATGAGCAAGGGAACAGCAGCTTAAAAGGAGCCCTGTATAATGAAACAAGGTAACCTAGATAGAAGAGCATTTTTGTCTATTGAACATATGTCTAACAAAGAAAACACAAAATTACTTGCTTGAAAGTAGATTTATGGTGAGCCTTTTTGATTATAACCTAAGTTTAGCATTGTTGAACAAGACAATAAGAAGCTACTCTCAAAGTGGATCAAAGTAAGACAATAAAAAAAGGCAAGGAGGTGAAGTCTTCTCATATGAATCATCTCTATTCTGAATCAAAATAGACATATAAGTTAGGTCTCCACATGCTGTGAACAACACCAGCAGGATATGATGCTATGTTTAACAGCTGAGCACAAATAATGCAGAATTTTAAGAACATTAAGTCTGTGTACGATTACTACAGATGTTTTTATAGACATGATCAGTTAGGTGTGAAGAGGTGTTCACTGTCCTGCAATCAGCCATAATATACAGTATGTACCCATTTTTGCTCCCCCCTCACCCTCTTTGCTGTCTGATTGTTTTCATTTTGATCCACATTGAGTAAAAGTTCTTCACTATATATTCATGTACACCGTTTTCCTGTGAGTTTTAACAGACTTTTAAAAGACTGAATTTAATATTGGTGCCACTTTATGGAGTACGAGCAAACAGGATTACTGGCAAATAGTCTGACTTTTTCTATATAGTTGCTGTTAATGTCTTAAACTGCAACTGGGGGTAGGTGTCAGTAAAGTTGATTAACAGCATGCTACCTTAACAGTCTTCCATGCTTATACTGGCAGTGGTTTCCCCACACTTTAGTGTCTAAACACACACGCAGTGGTAGACAGATTTAGTACTACTGGATCTCAACACTGCTTTTAACACAGTTGACCACATTATACTTCTTGACCGACTGGAGACCTGAGCAGGACTTAGAAAGTGCTTAACTAGTATAAACCTTACTTGAATGAAAGAGACTGTTTTATTCTATTGTAAACTTACAATCTGAGCATACAAAACTACATGAGGGGGTTCCCCAAGGCTCCAACCTCGGGCCTCTTCTGTTTAACATATACATGCTCCCACTGGCTCATATGTTGGAAAACAACAAAATAAGTAACTATAACTGCTCAGATGACACACAGTTGTACATAACAATGTAAAAGAATGACCATGGCTCCATGTAGGCCCTGATAAAACTGAGGTAGTTTTTGTTGGGACAAAACAGGATGCTTTAAAAGTAGTCAGCAGCTTCAGACATTATAGATGGAAATGACTGACCAAGCCACAAATCTAGATGTAGTGCTGGACTCAGACCTGAATTTTAAAAACCACATTAAGATAATTACAAAGTCGGTCTACTATCACCTGAAGGATAAATCAAGGATTAAAGGATTTATGTCCCAGCAGGATCTGGAAAATCTGGTCCATGCATTTATCTTCAGTCGACTTCATTACTGTAACCGAGTTTTTAAAGGTCTACCTAGAAAAAGTCTATCAAACAGCTACTTCTGATACTGAAAGCTGCTGCCTGAGTCCCTACCAAGAAAGTAGGTCACATCAAACCTGTTATGAGGTCTTTACACTTGCCCCCTGTTTGTCAGAGAATGTTTTTTTTTTTTTTTTTTTTTTAAATACTGCTGCTGGTTTATAAAGCACTGAATGGTTTAGGTCAAATATACATCTGTGATTTTCTCGTTTAGTATGAACTATTCAGACCACCCAGATCATCCAGAGCAGGTCTGTTTCCTGTCCCCAGAGTCAGACAGACAGAAATAAAGTTCTCTTCCTGCTCTGCGATTAATGAAAACAAATAAACTATTTTAAGAAATCTTCTCACATATGTAAGTTTAAACATTTTAATACAACAGCATCAAAAACTAATTACAACACAATAAAGTTTCATTATTGTAATAAAATGTTGCTTTAGTATGTTTGTTTTGCATCAATTATTCATCATTTCTCAAACATTATGGTCCCTCATTTTCATTTTAAAAACTTTATGTATATCTTTAATGAAAATTTAATGACACAAGTTTGCTCCAAGACTCTTCAGTTTTCTCAGGAAAATCCAGATTCATCTTGTGAGCCAGTTTGTTTACAGAGGTCGCTCTCACAGGAGGATTATCGTTAATTACAATCTTCAGGAGCCATGGCGTAGTCCTCTCTCTGCCAGATTGTGTAAGTACCCCCCCTGCTGTCAGAAAAGTGAAATGCTTAGGATAATTGGATTCCTCAGTCCATCTGATCCTCCCTTGGGTCTGTTTGGTGGAGGAGATAGCGTTTCATTTCTGCGGGAAGGTGGAGGTCCTGAATCCCACCCAGTCTGTGCTTCCCCACAGTTTGTCTGATGTGCAGCCGGCACAGCTGCTTCAGTGGAGACACTCCTGGGTGAGCACGAGGAGAGAGGCAGGGCCATGATAGTGATAGAGAGATGTTTTGATTATTAACTCTGATGTAAAGGCCATGAAAACTCCCACTACTTGGTAAGTTTGGATGAAATACCTCCTGCTTGTCTCAGCAGCCTCTCCACCAGGCTGTTTGGCGCTGTGAGGTCCTGCGGCTGTTTGCCCTCTGAGTTCCTGAGGGAGCAGTTGGCTCCGTGGTCAAGCAGGACAGACACCAGCTCAGGGCTGGACAGAAGAGCAGCGATGTGCAGTGGAGAGTCTCCAGACACATGGTTGTTCACAGCAGCACCTGAAGGGTTGAGCAAACTAATGAGGTATGATGTTCTCACATTATGTAACAGCTGGGGAGGGGACTCTGCCAATCACTTTTCTCCTATACTGGAGCATCATACAGTGAACCCACTGTATTTCTTATATAAAACATTGTATTTTTGCTCGTATGTCCATGTTTTTATAGGTGGCATATAAAGACAATCATTATTTTCTTATTATTTATTTTTTATTTATTTGTTTGTTTGTTTGGATCCCCATTAGCTACTACTTAGGTAGCAGCTACTCTTCCTGGGGTCCACAAGAAGACAGTAAACATACGTGTACATTAAAATGATAAAAGTCCAGAGGAGAATTATACAAAATGTTCAAATCATAACTAAAACAAGAATTATGATGACATTACATTTCCAATTACAACAGACACCAATAAATGCCAAAATAAATGCACTAGTAATCAAAATCCCACTGGCATGTATTGTATGTTGTCGCAGTCTAGTCTAGGTGTTCTGTTTCTTATTTCAGTAAGTCTGGGTCATTAGATATTGGTATACCTTCTTTTTAAACACTGGTTAACCTTGTAATGACAGTAATGACTATTTCCATTTTTTCGTACCTCTGAACATGACAGTACACTGTCCAGAGTTAGTATTGGTGAGTGGAAGTGTGAAATAACCATTTGATGCATGCCTTGTGTTGAAATTATGACCTATACGACTGAACAGCAATTATTATTATTCTATATATGTTTAATTATTATGAAGTCAGCGCATGAAAAAAACTAAATTAATACCAATCTCAAGTATTTGTTGCAGTAAAATTGTGATAACTAACTTCATGCAGTCATGCTGCATCTACTGTGCGGCCTTGTCTATCACCTGTAAGGGCTCTTAAGCACCAACTATTACCGAACTGCTGTATAACCACAGCCTCCTCCTCAACTTCAAAGTATTAATTTATCTGAGAGTTTAAAAGTTTACTCGAAAGGATTCTCACCAAGTTGAAGCAGTTTCCTCACAGCACCCAGATGCTGATTGGAGCAGGCCACGTGGAGAGGGGTACCTGATTGGTCGGTGTAATGATCCACATCTGCTCCGTGCTGAACGAGGCTCTCAATGCACTCTGAGTGACCTAGACAGAGTTACCAGAGTCATCACAATGAGAAGTGATGCACTTGAAAGGTTTTCTTTGAAATCAGCTCGCACTCAGACTCTCCTGGGAAGAATGTGTAATCATCTTACTTTGAAGGCTATAAAAACACAGGCTCCTCCTGAATACATTATACATTTCTCTGAGCTCTTCTTTTGTTTTGGGCTCCTTTGTTCGGTTTTAGTACGCTGAAACGGTGGATCGGCATAGATTGTGCGAGCATATGCGGCAGAATGTGACCTCTAACCTTTTGCTGCTGCCCTGTGGATTGGAGAGATGGTCTGGCTGTTCCCTGCGGGGGTCGCTCCATGTTTTAGGAGCAGCGATACACATGTCACATGACCACCAGAAGAGGCTTCTGAGAGAGGAGTTTGTCCATCCAACGTTGAAATGTTAACCTGATATGGGTACAAATAAAACTGTTTTAACTCACAATAAACTCTCTAGAAAAATGACTTTAATTATTTGGCAGAAAATCAGATTTTCCAGGTGCAAGCTGCTGATCTGCTATCTAACATGCGAGGCGCTGTGGTAATCATTATTTTTAAGAGTGTTATTGCGTATTCATGGATGAGTCTGGATGCTAATTTTTAAGCTTGTTTGGTTAATCTCTCACTTACATGCACAGAGTTAAACCCAATGATAACTCACATGGCTGCAACTGTGCAACCACAGGTGTTATCATACAGCAAGATAATCCAACATACAGTCTTGTGTTATAAGTAAGTCTTAACATAATACTAACATTTGCTCCATTTTCCACCAGCAGCTTTGCACATGCCACATGTCCTTGCATGCAGGCTCCATGGAGGGGAGACACCTGGTCCAAAGTGCACAGGTTTACACATGAACCCTTTTAACAGAACACACAACAAGGTTACAAAGTCAGTTAAACGTTGAAGTAAAATTCCCTCAAAATAGTGTGTAACTCCCAGCCTACATGTCTACACATTTGAGACTCTACCTGAGCGATGAGTCTTTGCAGAGTGAGGAGGCGTCCGTTAAAAGCAGCATCATGAATTGGAGACCAGTCTGACTCCACATCTTCAAAGAACACATAAAAACAACACTTAGCAACACTTTGAACAGAATCAAATGTATTAGATTTACACTGTGACACTTCCTCAGCAGCAGCAGACACACTAGAGCAGCACCAACTCACCACCCATCAAAGGGTTGCAGAAAAACACAGCAGCTCCACTTTGACATGTAGAGTCTTGCGGAGTCTCGTTGTTTGCAGTAGACATAGTAATTCACTGAAGCAGAAGAAAAAAGGTTGTTTTAACACACGCTTGTTGTTTTCTGCGTGCAATTGAGGCTGATATGAGTCACCATCATCTGAAAGTCATTTGGTCCTCATCTGTTTTCACTGTGTCTGTGGCAAATCTGGGTGCTGTGATGTCACTTCCCGTCTGACAAAAGTCTCTGCCATGCAGGAAACAGGCTGGTCGAGAGCAGCGGTTTTTTGCTCTCAGCCAATGAAGGTGCAGTGAGGGCGTAGGAGGAGGCTGAGAGGGGCCTGTTGAGCAGGTCTGTGTGTAATCTGATACTGTGGAGCCACACCCATTCCCCACAGGCAGCGAGGGCGGTGTGCAGGGAGGGGGTTAAATTGTACACAGTAAACTTAGGCCATGATGACTTCCTTCATCTGCAAGTTTAAAAAAAAAAAGTGTTCACCTCTTTTCTTTGTGCCTAATTGAGGGTGACATAGAGGTGTCATATAGAAGGATAACACGCCTGTTATGAAATGTGGTAAACACTGGATAATAACAACTTAAGTGCCTGAGTATTAACGTCTCACAATCAAGTTTTAAGTTTTAGTGTATTTCATTGAAAACTCTCATCCTGCTGTCTTTCAACAGTAAAGCCTATCACTCACTATGAATCTTTACTGGGGCTGTTTCTATAGTATAGTGAAGGCCCGTCTTGAAGGAGATTGTAACAAATGAAACTTTGAGACACTTGTTGGACATCTTAAATGCGTCAGTCGTGCATCCAAAATCACTTAAGGCTCCTGTGAGGATTTTTTTTACTAGTGTTGAAATAGAATAACGTTAACAGTGACACGTCTTTGTGGCTTACAAGAACAAACTGGAGAACTTGCAAAGTTTCTGTGTTGTAAGTTAGAGTTTATTGCCTTTATAGACTGGGAGGGGGTAGGCGTCGGACAATCATCTAAACTAAATAAGACTTTTTTTACTTTTTCTACAGGAAGTGTTCGTGATATAAGACAAATTTAACTGATAAAATTGGGAGAGATAAGTGCAAAGAGACTGTTTTTGTCATAAAACACTTCAACATGTACATAACATAAACAGCACAGAGGTAAGAGTTTCAGTTTTGTCCACAGGTGCACCACAACCAACAAGGTCATAAAGTCCCTCACAGGAGCTTTAATAGAAACGATCAATGTTACCACTGATGGTCTTGTTTGGCTTTATTGGTCATAAAGAGGCATCAGTATTAATTTCAGCCTGTTTTATGACCGACTAAAAACCCTCACAGGAACTGTAAGTGGTCATCATTATCTTGACACTTTAATATTATTGTTATCGCAGTACATAGATGCCACTACTTGCTGTTAAATTAATAGTTGTTGTCACAAACCACAATAATCTGGCCTCTTTGTGGAAAACAACCTCACAATAAAGAAACTCTTGTTGGTGCTGTTTTGGCTAAAATAAGTGCTAAATAATATGTAGAGGTCATCACACACAAATATTCTCTTCTGTAGTAAACACAACTGGATCTGTAGGGTTTTGGTGACTATAATCTAATTGTATTCATACCAGCAGAGGGCAGCAGCAGAGAGCAGACCTTCTAACAGGGAGTCAATACAGACTGTATTCCTAAGGGAGCTGTTAATCTCCGGCAGCAGGCTACAAGCTCTCAAACGATTGACTTTGTGCCTCGTCAGAGAAGGTGCACATGGATTAGAAAACCATTGTACAAACTCAATGAATGCCCTCTGTTGTACGGAGTTATAAAAAACCCTTGATGATTTGTTTCCAAAATAAGACTGTTTAAAAGGTCCAGCCATTTGCTCAGATCTCTGTCCATCCAGCAGCTGCAGTGACCTCACATACATCAGGACTTAGTGGAAGTCTGCTGCATGCATACTGGAGGAGGAAATTATTCTGAGCATCTTTATGCAAAACTGAGGAAACGAATGCAAGCAGAGTGCACCAATTATGCTCTTCTCATCATGCATCCAAGAATGAGACCATCTTCAGCTTTCTGTTACTGTTTGAGCACATAACGTTTACTTTAGGTATCTGATTTTTACAGACATTGTGAAAGACACCTTATTCAAGGAAAACTCGATATTTTGGTTCTTCACATGACTACTAAAGGTATAGGGGAAGAGTGGGGTAAGTTGAGCCAAAGGGTTAGTTGAGCCAGCCCCTGTTGCTTGAAAATGGTCAAAGAAATTGATCATGTGAACAAATATTTAGGAGATGGGCATCAAGGGATATGGGGGTAGGGGGGTAGTAGGGATACGGCTCAACTTAGCCCGCTCCTATGGTCAACACTTCCACACTCGGGGGTAAGTTGACCATAGCAGACCACTTTTTTTTGGCATGCTATATTATCAAGACAGTTATGTTTACACTTAATCTGTTGGTTTGCAGGGATGCACAACATCTTGAAATATATGCAGATACACTAGTTAGAGACAAAACTATGAATGCCTTGATGTAGAGATCCGCAATATGAAAAATGGCTCATCTTACCCCCTATCATCAGTCTACAACACAGAATGCTTTAACACTGGACACAGAAATTCAATTATTTTAACAGAAAAACACCAACTGATACCACATAGTAGATAAAGAGGTCATCGGTCTGTGTTCGTCTGAAAGTGTTAAGTCCACATGCGGCAGGAAGGTTATCAAGGCTGTCTCCCTCAGCTGAGGTGTCACAGTACCAGAGTTTGGCCCACAACACCCTCAGAGTGCACCACAACAGATAACAACCTCATGCACGGGAGTCCAATGGGGCAAGATGGTTCAATTTACAATATAACACAATACTATGAGAAACAATACAACACAAAATGTAACAAAATGAAATGATGCCATACAATATGTTATATGATACGATACCAAAAAATTGACGAAAATAAAAAAATAAATTAAACTTGTAAATACAAAAAAAAAGGATAATATCTAAAAGACTTTAGGATTAAAAAAGTACTACAATCAGAAAACATAAATGATGATATAAAAAGGATGAGGACAGGACATGGTAGTATACAGAATATAAATGAAATAGTATAATTCAATATGATATGACATGATATTATGAGAAAAGATCAAATATGATAAGACAGCCTATTATGTGTTACAAAATGAAAGGATAAGTAATGATACAGAAAAAGGAAATTAACTGGTCGATGTAATATTGAGTGATATATGTTCTTGTTCCTGCAGGGAAATATGTTTGGGCTTGAAAGCTGCACACATTTAGCCAGATACACAGTAGAGCAAAAAAGTATGAAATACATCCTTACTATGATAAATGGTTGGAGAAATAAGTGAGTCATAATCCTTGCTTTCAGGTCATTAAACCAACTTTGTAATGAGTTTTGAGTTTGTAAGTTTTGCATTTCTGTTTCCAAGATGATATCTCCTGAAAGATGCACCTGTGAGCATTGTAGACTGAAACATTTCCAATGAGACACAAAAGGGGCCTTCTGTATATGCTAACCGTTAATATTGCACATAAACATAGTAGCATGCTGGATACATATAAGTCATGTCCATACTCACACTTCATCACACAACTCAGCTTTGTGGCTTTCTTGCATTGTTGCTCAGTTAATCTACTACTGCAGGGATTAAATGGAAGCACATGATGATTCAGCCCCGTGATTTCTCACAGACTTTGGGTCCAATCATTTCCTCTCTCTCTTTTCTTGTCTGTTCTTTTTTTCTCCCCCCCTCCCTGACACCGTGGCCCACTTCTTTCTTCCCCTTCTCCTCCTTTCTCCTTTTCTTCCTCTCCCTGTCTCCAGTCTGTCATGGCATCTCCGCGGCTGGAGACTTTCTGCTGCCCGAACAGAGACGCTGCGTCCGAGTTCGTGGTCACTTTCCAGCCCACGTTGTTCGGGGCTTTGAGTCTGGGCAGTGCGAGTATCAGCCTCATTTTCGCTATTTTACAAATTTTGCCAAAACGGAAAGGATACAGAAGACTGGGACAGTATCCTCTGCCCAGGCCTGCCTCTTCCTCCCGGATCCTCCTCATTGTCAGCATATGTGACATTCTGGGATGCGCAGGTAAGAAGAAACCACTTTTAAAATCCTGTTTTTTACTCTAAAACCGGGGAAAACATGGTGTTTAGCTCGCTAAATATGGACCTAATTATGAACAAGAATGTGTTTCATTACACCCCTTTGTTGCTCTGCTTTTTTAAAAGCAGAGAGAAGTCTAAAAAAGATTTGTAAAGCTGTGAAAAAAAGTAATTCAACTTGAAAAAAAGGAGTTTTCCATTCTAGTAAATCCCCTTCAAATGGGTTTGTTGGCTGATATTTCATTTTAAAATCTCCTGTTTTGATTAGAAATTCGAATTTGAGTCAATAATAAGTTTTAAAAGTTTGTCCAAAGAGATTCAGTCAGTATGACTCTAAAGCTGCTTATTACAAAACCATAGATGAATCATGAACTTCTCACGTGGGTAACAGCACGAGCCACAATAACTGCCAGACTATTTCTGTATTTCTCTTCAAAGGAAACCAATGGTTACGCACTCATTTGTGCAGACACTTCACACATCACTTTTGCATCTGCACTTGACAGCAAGGGGATCTTTAACATCTTGAAATAAATACATGACACTGTTTAAAATGAAAAACATTATTTTGTCTGCATCATATCAGTTCTGTGTGAGGTGAAAGTGGAATAAAAAACACTCACACCCGATCGCCATTTTTGTTTCCACACAATCAAACCACTCCAAGGTCTCAAGGACTGAATCTATTTAATTAACACACTTGCTGTGGTTTATTTTGTAATTTCATATCCCCTGTTTTCAATTGAGTCTCCATTATTTCCTCTCATCCGCACATTAAAAAATCATGTGCTGTTTTTCCTCTTTCAGGCATCATCGTGAGGTCGTCTGTTTGGCTGGGCCTGCCAAACATCATTAAAGAAATCTCTATAACAAACAACACTGATGTCTGGCCAGAGGTCTTCTGTGTGGGTAGTGCGGTATGTGTGCTACACTTTGACTAAGCTTCACCTGGTCACACAATACGCCTTTATATACAGTATGCAAATGCACAGCATATACGCTGAAGTTTAAGCGTGGATTTATGACCCTGAGCTGACCATACAGGAAAACAAACTGCATTTTGTTTACAGTAAATCATGCATGATCCCAGAAAATCCAGATTCCTTGGTTAAAAGCGATGATTAGTTCCAATGAATAGGAAGCATTCACAACGGTCACAGATAATACTTGAAAACAAGCCACATTTGCTTTAGAGGATTATATTTATGACCTGTACTGTGAAAATATCCTGTCAATTATTCTGTTACAGCTCTGGATCCAGTTATTTTTCAGCGCTTCCTTCTGGTGGACCTTTTGTTATGCTGTTGACGTCTTTCTGGTGGTGAAAACATCTGCAGGAATCAGGTGCTTTGAACATCACCTTGATCTTTACAACAACTCATTTAAACCCTCAGATAGCTGTAAAGCCCACTCCTAAAATGTATGCATGCATATCAAAAACAGTCTCAGTGATTTGTCGCAGAGGAAGCACTAACTTTTGCTGCATTAAACGGTCTTTTTCCGCCTTAGCCTGATTTTTTATTCTCTTTTTTTTAGGCTTCAAAGGCTTCACACTTTTTCCCTCCCCAGCCTTTGTAAAGCATTTGTTTGCTGCACGATAAAAGAAAGATACAGAGCTGCAGCATGTGTTATGAGCGCAGTCCCATGACCTGTTTCTTTTCCCCATCAGCACCATTATCCTCTACCACATGATTACATGGGGTCTGGCTGTGCTGCTGTGTGTCGAAGGAGTGGCCATGCTCTACTACCCGTCTATCTCAGAGTAAGAATGTTTGGTGTCTTAATAGATACACACAGAAAAAAATATATATCTTTTAGCTTCAGATAAAACAAATAGCCAAATAATCTATAAATTACATGTGATAAACTGTTCCAGACATGATTGCCTGACTCTTTTCATTTGTTGTGTTTTTCCTTTAGTTGTGAGCAAGGCCTGGAGCACGCCATCCCTCACTATGTCACCACATACGCTCCTATGGTGCTCGTCCTTGTAGCCAATCCTATCTTCTTCAACCGAACCATATCTGCAGGTCAGTCCCTCACCTTCAAATCTCTCTGTGAAACTCCTTATCACACATGCACACAGGATACACTAAGCAAGTCTCTCTCTCTGTCAAATACAGTGACATCCTTGCTAAAAGGACGACAAGGAATCTACACAGAAAACGAGAGACGGCTGGCCAATGAGATCACGATACGCTTCTTTAAAATAATGCTGGTGTTTTTTATTTGGTAAGTTAATATTTTTTTAATTCTAAAAATAAGTATAATTTTACATTTCAGGATCACTCTCATATGGTTAATTGTGAGGAGTCATGTGAGAGGATTCAACACCACTGTCATGTGAAGATATGAGGGGGCTAGATAGCGGAAAGCACAAAGACAAGAAACAAGGAAGCAGTTACTTTAGCTGCCTCCAAAGTGATCAAAATCCCTCAAATGGATCACTTAAATGGAGTTATTCCCACATGTTATTTTGTCCGTGGAATTAATATGAAAACCAAAGCATTAAAACAACATTTGAGGTTTTACAGATTGCTTTATATCAGATTTCTGTTTTAGCCAGGAGCAGTAAATGCTTGTTGTCTGCCAAATTAGCTGTGACAACTGAAGGAAGATGCTGTGGCTCTGAGATTCCTACACAATAAAGCTATTGTGTCACCTATTCAGATAATTATATTGAAGTAGTATTGAAAACATGCATTCTTGAAATACTTGTGGCAGATTCTTTATTCAGGCTTTATCAAAGGTGAAGAGTCACGTTGAGCTCTTGTATCAAACCTAAAAGAACTAAGCATTACAACACCATGCAGTGAGCTGCTCTGGTTGTAGATGACTTGTTGTAGTTGGAAAATAAACAGGCTAAAACTCAGGCCTGGCCTTGTGTTTTCCACTATTAAGTTGTTTGAGCTTTGACATTTTTCATCGGTCACTCCCACAGTAGTGTAATTTTTGCAGTAATGTGACCCTCACAAGGCAAACCCATGAAAACTCATAAGTGCCAGTCCTCATAACTGGTCAATGAATGAGTAATTGTTTTCCTCAGAGAGGATTTATAGGCTGTAGATTTTTTTGTAAGATAATATGGTTTGTTTCTTTTTTTTATTTGAGTGGAAAGAAGACGATTTATGAAGTTTATTTTGGTAGGCATCAATGATTTCTCCCAGAAGTGAACCCATAGAACAGAGGTTACAAAATGAAATACAATGAGAGACTAAACAGGTGCAGACTGAAGCCAAAGCTTATTTCAATAACTCATGCTATGTTGGCAACCCTTACCTAATAATCTAAGGACAATATCACATAAAAATCTTTAAATATTTTATACATAAATTACCAACAAGCAGACACACGTGAAGCAAAGAACCAAAACAGTTCTGTCAAACCAAGCAGCAGGACAAGTCAACCTTAGTGTGAAGTCAAACATAGTTAAACCCTCTGAATGGAATAAACAGTTTGGGGCCAAGAAGTGAACTTTGTGGGATTCCACAACTAACTTGTCTGATTTTATATTTTTTGGGGGGGTTGTATTGATATCTCTATCAATGTATGCCAACCCCTGATTCTAGCTGTGTGTTACCTGTTTTTTTAGTATGCCATGATCAGTGATTACATTAAAACTCCTGTTTTTTTCTCTGGTGCTTCAGCTGGGTCCCAAACATCATCAACGAATGCCTCCTCTTCTACCTGGAGGTGCAGGCAGACATCAACGACAACCGGTTCAGGAATATCAGAAATGCAGCCCTCATCACGTGGTTCATCATGGTGGGTTTAAAAACAGAGTAAATCACTGTAGTTTATTCAGTGTCCAAACTCTTACAACCTTCTGTTTTTACTCTCTCAGGGCATCTTGAACCCCATGCAAGCTTTTCTCAACACTCTGGCCTTCCATGGCTGGACGGGCTTCGACGTGGACCTCAGCCTGCAGAGGAGGAGGGAGCTCGCCTGGGACTCAGTTTCTACTTCAGCTCCCAATGCAGCAGGACACAACCCCATGGTGGGGACCACTCTGCTCTACCAGAGTCACATCCAGGATGCCAAAAAAAACCTGATGGGTAATGGACAGCACAACTCAGACGCCATCAGTGTTCTCTCAGAAGGTAATCCGGCTTACAATGGCAGTAACAGCTCGCCTGTTTATCAGGGCTGGTGAAGCTCTAAAGCTGACAATACTGGACTGCATCTTGTTAAGAAGGCAAAATAAGCTCCAACTGTCCAAAGACATGTTTGTTTGTTTGTTTGTTTTTTATTTTGTTTTTGAGGCGGAGACAATTTTTTTTGTTACCTTGTTATTGAAGCGCCAAAGCTCTAAAGATGTTCACCTGCAAGTGGGCTGATTGCAGCACTATCAGGATGAGAGTGCACAGTGCAGCTCTGTAGTGATGCTTAACCATCAGACACAAATCAAGACATAAGGAGTTGAAAACTTTTGTGTCCTTCAGTACTTAAATAGTAATGCAATATGTTTTGTGAATTGGATTTTGAGACTGTTCATGGAGGGTTAATGCGAATTTTCTTTCTGTTATTTCTATTTTTAGCGAATTTGCCCCTTAGTTGCTAGTTTGTTAGCTTCACCAAGATATTGCTGATGCAGTCAAATACCATCATATAGAGATGGGCACTCATAAAAGGTGTCATTTTCCTTTTCTTTTGGCTACATTAGACAGTTGTTAGATCAACTTGAGTTTGAATAAAGGCTAAATTTGTGAGCGTGCCCTGTTTATAGCAAGTGTTGTTCTAAATACTGTATGTTGGTGATGGACAATGTGGCAGTGGAAATTTAAGACAAATCTCTCAGAATAACAATCCGAAGTACAGTTAATTACATGACTGTTGTATTAGAAATGTTAAGATGTAGCTAGGTGTACAATGTAAACTTTCAAGTGAGGATTAACCCTCCTGGAAAAGTCAATTTTATACACTTTTATCACACTGAGTGATTGATAGCATGGCTTTCTCACAGCTGGGATTTTTATTTGTAGCATAAGCCAAAGTTAAGGCATAAATGAAAATCCATGGCATCTTGATTTCAAATAGCTGCTTCAGTTTAAGAGCGGATGACAGTCACTGATGGTGTCAAACCTTTCCTCCCCAACTAAAAACATCTGCTGTGAAAATGCATCAGTTCCTTTAAATGTATTTTGGGATGTAAAGCAGTGGACAGACTTTGTTTGTGCATCGTAAAGATCTTGTACTAAGGTTACAGTTCACTTTTTTTAATGTAACCAGTCAGTGTATCTGAAATGACAATTTTTTAAAAATAAAATAAACCTTTCAAAGGATTTATGTTTTTTTTCATTCATTTTTATAGACTCCACTCTAGTTTTAGGTGAATGCAGGTCTACATTAGATAATATCAGATTTGATTTTTATATTAAATTAATTAATTTTCAAGAAGCTTACATTAGTATTCCCAAAATACATTTGATCAAAGCACATGTATGAAGAGTATATGAATACAGTGGGATCATCTCATTGGTGTCATGTGCAGTAATCTACCCCTATTTTGTCTTGCTAGGTTCAGAGTCTAGTACAGTTGAAATCCACATATCCGGCGAGCTGCGAGACTATGAGGATGTAGACGCAGACGGAGAATCCTTGGAGAACTCTGTGAAGCACTAGCTGGGGGGCATCAAGAACCCGCCTCCCTACGTTTTTCTTATGTGACATTGTTCTTCTGTGTTAGATTGTGTCCTCTTATCCTCTGTTGTACGGTTGAGATTTCCCTGGATATAAATTGGTCATGAGATTTTTCTAGCAAAGACAGAATCCATGTAATTCTTGATTCAAAGTATTATATTTCTCCTTAAGCTTTTTTTAATCTGTCTGCACTGCGGTACAGTGGAGTGCTACACTACAAAGCCGTGACTGTGCTGCAGCTCAATGCAAACAGTCAACAGAACAAATGTGATATATTCCTACGGATAACTCAGTGGCTGACATTTAAAGTGCCTCAAATGTTAGAAGGTAAAACTCCTCTTGGCTGATTCACTGGATTAGATGTGCACCAGTGTTGTGTCATGCAGATTAAGCTCCCAGTGCACAACAATAAGCTCATTAGTGTGTTTTTATAAGCTGATGTATCTCTAACTGTCCCTCTTGTATTTTGCACATTTTGTACAATATTAAATATCAAAATATTTCTTAAGGTTTGTGACACTTTCTTATTTTTTGTGTGGTTGCAGATTGTTGCATTAAGACTTTACACTTCAGTTTCAAACAAAGCAAAGAGAAACACTCAATTGAAGACCCCGAATGCATGGTTTCTGATATCAAAATAGAGTGATTTATTTGAGACACTGAATGACTTCAACGTTTTGTCTTGGAAACAGGTGAGCAAACCCTGGATCAGGGTAAGAGAGAAAGAGAGAGAGAGATAGTAGCTGTCACAGCACTTGTTTCACACTGGGCTCCTCAGCATGCCGACAACGGCCACAAACCTCACAGCCCAATTCTCAGTCTGACACAGACAATAATGGCCCTTGAATGAAAAGAAGTCAGAAAAACAACGAATCACCCATGAACATCCAAATGTGACATTAAAAAAAGAGGAGAAAAAAACAAAAAAAACAAAAACAAAATAAAACATTGGCCCTTCACTTTCAGCAAAATCCAAACATTTACTGAATCCACCATTATAAAAAGTGCACTTCACATTGTTAAAGCAGGAGTTGGCTGAAAGGGAAAAGACCAGAAAAAAAGGCAAACCAAAGCTGTGAAGAGTCAGTTTGAAATCTTGAACAGACGGAGGCAGACTCTGCGCACTGTCAGAGCTCGGCTCACAACACAGGCATCTAAAATGTGACCAGATCTGATCAGCTGGCATCACACGATGGGGCTTAAGACCAATCCGGGCTTCCTTTCTTTTCTTTCTTTTAGAGAGCCGGACTTTTGCTTCGCTCTGAAAATTCAGGAGAGTATTCAGAGGAAAGTGCCATAATCCAGGGATAAAGCTGATAAAGCTTCTGCTCTTTAGACTGTGATGGTTGTCCCTCCCACAAGTCGCTAAACGCTGGTTATGAGGCGCGCAATTCTTCCATTTTCAAGGATCAAAAAAGGAAACAACTGAAAGCTATGTGTGGTAGGCTGGGTTGAAAACAAGTATTAAAAAAAGCTGCTGAGACATGCACTTGGTTTAAAAAGAGTTCTCCTCATGTGTTATCAGCAAAGATTTGACAGCTCTACCCTTTAATGAGCCCCTACAGGATTGCGATAAAGTGTACTGTATATAAACATATACACAGTATATAAGTCTGTGTATTAATCTAATTTACATATCTTTACATTCTTAAATTTACATCCAAAAAAGGGAGAAAATTCTCTTTTTGTAAACCACGCTTCCTCATAACCTGTCCATCAAATGACGATTTGAAATCCCGAGCAGGTCATTTTTCAGAGGTTCGGACTGTTTCTTGGCAGGTTTTTCTCTCTCACTGACCTGATGTTACAAGTAAACTAAAAGTGACCTTTTGGCGGCACATTCAATTTTGACTTTCACACGTCCATCTGTGGATCTGTTGTTTCAAGTACTCTTGAAACAAGCGATTCTTCACTGAGAAGAAGTCGAGCACCCTGTCGGCCAACAATCAGTGCTTCAGCGTCGATGTCACCCTCACCACGCCCTCAATGTTGGTTCGTTTGGACATGAAGTGACATTTACTGTGAAGAATTTGAAAAGCACAACCTCTTTTATAATTTCCTGCCTTTCACAGCCAAACATTTGTCTCATTTACACTTTTCTCTTTGTATAAAACCCATCTTTGTGTCTCCACCCTTACAACCTGATAACAGCTGGACCAGAGCTTGGAGGGATCACAGCACTTAGGAAACCCTCATTAGAAACATGGATGCACCCTGGGAATTGGATTCAGTCCAGTCTTGGGGATCTCTGAAACAGGTTTGAGGTGTTTCATGAAACACACGTCAACAAACTGTAAGGTGCACTGAAGTCTGATGGTGTTGGCTCCTCAGAAGCTGCTGCAGAAGTCTGGTTTCTCCCCCCCTGTGAAGGCTTTAGTTTCACTCCACTTTACAGCTCTTCTTGAGCAGTAACAGTTAAGTTTGCTGATGGCAGGAGAAGGCAATACGCTGCACATTCCAGGATTCATCTTCAAAGTCTCAAGGCAGCTATTTTCGCAGGTCAAGAACACACACCTGAAAAGAGCGTGAGAGGCATTAATGATACATTTCAAAAGTGACATATCTTGAGGAGGCATGATATAAATGCAAGCACCAAAGCGAAGGAGTAAATATTACAAATTCATGATAAAAACGTAAGTGGCTCACCGAGCCGTCTGACGCGCTGGCACCAACTTTGTCCCCAGTGCTGTTCCAGCACACCTCGAAAATACCACCAGTGCCCCTGTAGCTGTGCACCAAGGCTCCAGTCTGCAAAGAAGAGCACAAACAAGCAGCCCCCCCTTTTAGATCCAGAATCACAATAAATCTTCTCTATTGTTAGGTGTAATGGTCTCATCAGATCCTCACCGTTGTGTTCCAAATGTGGACACATTTGTCAAAGGAGCCGCTGGCCAGGTGCTTGCCGTCGGGACTGAAGGCCACACTGTACACAGGTTCTTGGTGCTTAGTCAGAGTGTGGATGCAGACCCCCCGCTCCACATCCCAGAGCCGAACTGTCGAGTCAAACGAGGCGCTGTGGGTGTGGAAATAGATGGTACACAAGTCAGAAAGAAGCAATTGTGTCGTCTTGCACCCAGAACAAATAAATTACAGTTTTAGAAAAGAAAAAATGAAGGCAGTGACAAAAAGGAGAAGTGTTCAATTTGTTTGGTGACTGCAGGGTTCATCTGGATAGCAGATTTTAAACTGCAAATGCAGCTAATTTAGTTTTGCCAAATATCTATTGAAACACAAGGGAGAAAACGAGGCGGACTTTAATTAACACATTTCTTCAAGAAGGTATAAATAGTCATCTCCTGTGAGTGCTCTGGGAAACAAATGAAAACACCCTTGGATGGATTTAAAGGATGAAGAAAAACTGAAGTGAATTGAAAACACATCATACACATGTAGTGTTCAACAGTGGCACTTATATAAGACAGGCTCCTACACATTTGGAATTTCCGTACTTTTCCATACCCTACTTTTTTGGAATTATTTTTTGGAAACACCTACTTTTCTATTTTTGAAGGCAGTATTTTAAAACGTTGGTAATAGTCTGGACACATTAATATCTTTCCGTACTTCATTTTTCATACTTTTTAAACCTGGAAATTGATCAAATTTATTCCATACTTCTCCATATTATCTGTACTTGAGCAGGAACTCTAAGACCATAAAGTTATTTTCAAGCAATGACTGCAGATTTATCTCCTTTGTGAATTACAAGCAGGTATGTTGGTTAATTCCTTAAGTATTTGAGCCAAGAAATTTACACATCCATGAACATATAGGTCAGAGAGTAAAGCTGAGGGCTGCAGACAACTGCTAATGCTGGGATTATGCCTCGAAGGACGAAGGAAGTTTTTCTCTTCCCATACTCGCATAGCGTGAGTTAGTCCCTGAACCCACAGTCTGACAAGAATTTTTATATACCCTTTGGGAAAGATGGGAACTTTCCCAAAACTTACTTAAACAATATGAACTCTAAAAAGAAAAAAAAGTGTATAATGTGCTTGGAAGTGGCAGGAAATAACAGAAAAACAACATCATGGCTTACTTTTCGAATAAAGGTTAGACTGATTATTTCTGATGGGTATCAATGAGTCAGGAAATTTAAATGCTGATTGGTTTTTGCAGCACAGCATTAAGCAGATTAAGTTGCTCAAGTTAAAATGTTTTATTCTCAAGTGAAGGTACCTGCAATAATAAGAGATTACCACCAATAATAGCCAGTTTTTATGTCCGTGTTCTGCTTGTTTTTGCTCTCCATAGACTATTTTCCCACTTTCTACACGCTAACCAAAATACAAACACACAACAAACAGTTGTCAAGTTATTCAGCGTGTGAGAAGTGCCCCACCTGGCGAGCATGATATTGGAGTTGGGGTTGCTTGTTCCTGGGCCTGTTGGACTCCACTTGATGGTATAGATTTCTTTACTATGAGCCTGGAGGTCATGGACACAGGACTCCTGCTTCATACTCCAGATCTGTGTGTGAGGGAAACAGCACACTGTAACTTCATACCATCGACACTCTGTTGAGTTGTTGGCTGTTTATGAGTTCTACTACTGAGGGTTAGTATTACCTTTAAGGTCATGTCATCTGAGCAGGAAGCCAGCAGCATACCTGATGGATCCCACTTAATGGCATTGACTTCATTCTGTAAAAAATGCAGCACACGTTAGCCTTACAAGCGACAGGTTATGTGTGATATGAGGAGAGGAGAGCAGCAAAGAGAAAAGCTGCTTACCGTGTGGCCCTGGAAGGTCTTCAGGGGCCGGTCGCTGCCAAGGCGACATACGTGGATGCACATGTCTGTGCTGCAGGAGGCAAAGGTGGTGTTGTTCTGCCAGTCCACATCGAGTGCTGGAGCTGTGGATGTTATTTAACAGAACGGTTGACTTGCATTTAGCCCATTACAACCACAATTCAGAAGAAAACATTAATAACCCTTTTAATTATTTCATTACTGTGGAGAGAAAGTGGCAGTACTTTACCTGAGTGGAAAGGAAACTGCTGCTTGGCCTCTCCTGTGTGTGCGTCCCAAATGATTGTCGTCTGAAAAATCAAACCGAGCATTTTAGGACATGAGAGCAGCATTTCTGAAAGCTAAAACTGCAGCAAGGACGCGCTGATAGTTCTTCTAAATTATTATAAAGGACCGTCAGGGTTTGGAATAAACTAGCAGCATTTTGCCAGAAAACAGAATTACTTGTCCTTGTCCTCGTTTGATTCATGTCTTTGTAAGCTGTATTTTGTTATACTGCCTGTTCAGATCGCCCTTGACTCTTGATAAAGTTTTATGTGTAAAGAGTGCTGTACAAACAAATCAAATCTGCAGATCACTTCACCGCAGCATCTGAAATGATGTAGATTGTTTGTTGTTCTGCTTAATATTAATCAACATGTTATGCTGTATTTATGTGTGTTAATTGAATGCATGAAAGCAATAATACAAGCGCGTCAGAGGGGGAAAAATACAAAAACAAACACAAGGACATGTTTTATTGAAGAGAGAAACCCATTATTCCTCAGCCTTCATGGTGTACCTTGTCTACCCCAGCACTGAGAATAGAGTTCCCCTTCTTGTTCCACTTGAGTGCAAATATGGGCCCTTTGTGCTGCCCCAAGGTGCTCGCCAGATTTCCTAATAAACAAAGCCATACACATCTTTTAAGACAACGCCACAGGTTTTGCATTATTCAGAGTATCAATAACACAAACATGATGGTGACAGAGGATGTACCGTCTTTTGTCCATATCCTAGCGAATCCGTCATATGATCCCGTCGCCAGGAGAGTCCCATCGCTCTGTTGGATGGAAAATGACAGAACTGTTACTTAACTGTCTGCGGCTGCTGGTGCGATTAGTAAAAGTAGAAGTGGAAACAAGTGAATGGGCGATCCCCATCAGGAACCTACATTCCAGTCTAGTGAGGTGACGTCCTTGTTGCTGGGGACATCTTGGCCACCCTCTCGGATACAGTGGCGCAGCACCAGCTGGGTGGAGTTGGAGTTATTATTCTCGTTCAGGTTCCAGATCCGGGCCGTGGAGTCCCCCGAGCTGAATAGAATACCAACACAGCAGCGGAGAGGAGGGTTTAAAGATTTTTGGATTACAGACTCTTCGGCAGGTCTCTTATGAGGCTATTTATCTCGCCAAACAAAAGCTAAGGCGTGCAAACAGTGTAGTGTGAGTCATCCAGCGTGGATTAAGATCAGTTTCAGCACAGACAGAGACTCACCCGGAGGCCAGCAAATCGCTGACAGGGTTCCAGGCACAGATGAACACTTCAGACTCATGGCCTCGGAGCACTGTGGCTTTACTGGCAGGTATCTCAACGTCCCCATCCATTTCCATTGGCTCGCTGTGGTTATCTAAAAAGAGTGGGCACACACGGGGACACATTTATACCCTGAATGCATCGACACTCAAATCTTACCACCCATTTACAACACTAATCGGATGTGAGTTTCATTATCTAGTAAATATTTGAAACACAGTCACACTTATTGACTTGATAACAATCTCAGGATGAAAAAATCCAGTTACTGTAAGGTTTCCTATGAGTATGAGGTAATCATCAGATAGAACTGTCCTCATGCTTGACTCTACTTGTTGCAATCCACACCTTGGAATTAAATCCGTCTAGGATGTGCTGACACAAACACCCACTGCTCTGCCTCTTGTTTAGAGGCTGCACACCTCTCTGCTTTCACTCACAGAGGGAGTAACACACCTGCTAACAATACCACACTCTGAAATAAACACTGACACATGGCTTTGGTTGTTTTGTGCAAAATATTGCACCTCTGTCAAACCAAGGGAGAAAGCTGATGGTTCGGTGGGGTTCACACTGTCCCAGCAAGAGTGTCGTCTTATGATAGCAGAGAGTAAAACGCAATGAAAGAGAAGCAATCTCTGTCTTGTTTTAACATCCTTATCCACATTCAGATTCTATTTACAAAGGAAAACATTATCCAGCTAACTCAACTGAGAGTTTATGAGCTCTTTTTCAACCTTTTTACCAAGAAAATTGGCAAAAATTAAAAGTAACTTTGAGCAGCAAGTTTAAAAACCTACATAGAAGGCGGACTTGAATTGCAACACACTCCAAGCATCCCCTCTGATTTCCATTCAATTTCCTAGTTATTTTCTAAATACCATGTAAGTCCCTGCTGAATGACTAAGGCACAGATGTTGAGAAGACTCGACTCACTCATGTTGTGAGTGCCGTTCTCCTCCCCGTTGACAGTGGCTTCTCCGTTCTTTGGTGTGTTGTTCTGGTTCCCAGAGGTCGAGGCTGAAATGGTGCAGGACGCCTGCTGCTGGGCTAGTTTATCACGGAAGGCCTGCTGCCGCGTCTGCACCACGTCCGGCATCACCGCGTCGATGAGCGACAGCGACTCGATCGGCCGGCCGTCAAAGACTGTACCATCCTGCAGAGACAGCAGCAATTACACCTCTGTGGAGCTTCTTCTTCAGTGACTCACAAAGGTGGCAAAAATGTTTTTTTTTTTAAATTGCAGTCAGTCTAAAAGTCTGTTTTTAAAGCGATAACAAACAATAGTGGGAGTTCTTATCAGCTGGTCTCTGCCCTCACCTCATTAATGCTGATTTCTGCCTCCACATACTGAAGGCCCTTCTGCAGGATGGAGATGAGGGCTGCAGGGGGCACTAGTGTTCCATTGATGTTACTCTGGCTGATGTGGCTCTCAATGCCAAAGGTGAACGCTGAGTGAGAGAAACCTGAAAACAAAAACAACATCCACATTTACAACAGGGAAGGTACCGAAATGTACACAAACACAACACAAATATGTAAAGGTGAGTCTTCTCTGATCTAAACATAGCTTGTAGTCATCAAATCAGGAAGTGTATGGCATAACAAGTGTGACATTTGAGGTTTTAATTAAGCACGCAAGTGACAATCTTGGCAACATGTTACTTGGACTCAGCCAAATAGCTTTAGGAGCCGTCTCAGGAGTAAAAAACCACAAGCTTGGGTTTTATTCACTGATCCTAATCTTATCAAATAATTAATAACATGCTGACACACCCTGTTCCTTTTTATACAACCGCACAATAACCTGGGAACCATATGTCTTTATGTTAGTGTGGGCGAGATGTTTGACTTGGCAGAACCAAAATAAAAGAGCTGAGCTTGTCGTAAAAGATTGTTTATGCATAACACTAAACTTTTCTACAAATTGATAGATAATGTGTGTATCACTTGGCATAACCCTGCTACTGGGATCGGATAAACATAACATAATGAGCAGCAATTCTCGTAGGAATAACCCGGTAATTCAACAGGGAAAATTAGAGCTGGGACTGACACTGATGTTGATGTTGAGAATAAAAATTCAGCCGATAGCCAATTTGAATACCAATGTTTTTCTACTTCTTTGTATTTGTGTGTGTTTTCAAATGATCTGTGAGATTTGATACCCTTGAAATTTATTCCAGCCGTCCCTCCTCTTGGAATTTCACAGGAACACATCTTAAAAACTGCTGATCTTTCTCAGAAACAATGAAACACCCCCATGCCGTCAATATTTTTTTCACATTTAACCACAAAAACAAACTGTTAGTCCAGCAGGAGACTTCTTCAACCCCATACAGCCCTCCTCTCTGAACTAGCAGTTCAGTTTACCCGCTTGCTAGTGTTAAATTGAATTTGCACAACACATAAAAAAACAGCTTTAGGCATCAGATCATGGTGCACTGTTTGCTTATTTCCAGTGAGCAACACTAGGGACAGTATCTGCTCATACCATTGTTCGATCACTACAGTGGTGCATCCCTGAGTTTGTGGATCATTTTTAAGTAATCTGTATAAAACCATCTCATGGTGTTCACAGACCTGATTCTTGAAGGTATCTGTAGACCAAGAAGTTCACCTCGTCACTGGTTATACTCATTTTGATGAAAGGGAAGAGGTACGATGGAAGGCTGGGCCCACTCCTGAAAAACAGAAACAAGAAAATGTTACAGAAATATTGAGATCTGTTTCCCCATATGAGATTATTTTTCATACAAATGATGCTTGTATGTCATTTAATAGGAATAGCTTCAAATTCAGCAAACACAGACCCTTGTTTAGTGACGCATTCATATGTCTGAATAGACTCAGCCTGCTCTGGTTACTCACTGCCCACTTTCATCTTTCCTCATTGTATGATCTCCTCCTCTGACAATGTCAATGGCTGGGTCATTCGTGAATCCATGTCTTGTACTTACTGTAGCAATCTCCTGCCTCTCCTCCCTGGCTAAATGGGAGTGTCTATATCTATTTGGCTCTCCCTGAGATCCCAGTGGTGTTTCCCATTAGTGACCCAGCCAGCCATCTCGATGGAAAGAGCCCTGATAAAGCAGTAAGGATATTAAAAGCCTGTCCACTGCACATCTAGTGAATTAGAAGAGCGAGCAAGAAGCGAGTTATTCCCAGCCTGACCTCCCCTTTCGGAGTTATTTCCAACAAATAGAGGTGTTTAACAGAGCTTGCGTTAACAACTCAATTGAGACTTTCTCAAAAATAAACCGAGCCGAAGAAACAAAGAGGCAATTATGTTTTTGTTTAATTCCATCTTGGTTTGTCCTCAGGCTGATGCACACTACAGGAATACTGTGGAGATCATGATGTCCCAGTGGCTCACACATTTGCTTTGCAAGGCCAAGGTAAAAAGAGCCAGAGAGTGTGTACACCCACACACACAACGTAAACATAGAGAAATATACAGGATGTATCAAAAAAGGATGAAATGAGAAGGGGCTGTAAGCAGGTTTGTATTGGCAATAAAAGCTTAAAGACGCACACTGCAGCCAGAGAGTGAGTCATAGTAAACTATACATATCTCGATTATCCGCTTCTCCTCTGGGAGATGAAGGGACAGACATTTTGCTGAGAACACAAAGAGAAATGAAGTGGGGGTGGTGTCAGGTATGAAGACTACACAGCCGTCCAACTCATTCCAAACACTGTCCAGGCCCACTCAAGTTCCCCTTTGGTAACATAGCAACAAGAGAGATCCAGCAAAATAGACAGAGAATGGTGTTGTCCCAATTACCAATGGGCACGCAGCCAGAGGGCTTGAACATGTTACTCAACATGAATTATTCACTCTTTCACCTTGGTATATTCTTTCAGATGGAGTCGGCCTTTATTGTAGCACAGTAGACATGCTAAAGGCCTTGAATAATAACTAAATGACTGCAACTGGAGCAAGGATCAAGTACTTATTATCTATACCCAATGTTAGAGGTTAATCTTAACAGTGGAAAAACAGAGAGGATGCACAGAATTATCAATATAATACAAGTAGTAGCTGATAAAAGCATAAAAGTAAACGATTTGTATAAAGCATAAAATGGCGCATTAACTATGTGGCAACAATTTGCAACATCTCGCCTATATGGAAGAATTTCAAAGTGTTGCAGATGGCAAAAGAGCTGCTTGCAATGCTTTTGAGGCAAGAAGGAGCAAAACAAGACTCTTTCAATGCTACCATTTCAACTGTGCATCTACAGCAAAATCATTGTAAACAGAGCCAAGTACTTCTGAAAGGCAAGAGCTTCAAGTGTTTGCACCAGTGCAAACCTACCAGCAGCCTCAAATGGCATTTGCAAGAAAAAACCAAATAGGGGTGTATATATCTTGCCTTGAAATAACAGTATTTAAGCGCTGCTATTTGAGAGCTAGTAACAGGAAACAAATGGACAACTCGGTCCAAAATAATACAGTTTGAGAGAAGATCTTTGCAGGAAACGCTGGGAGTTAAAGAGCTGGGGTCTGATCAGCTAGAAGGAGTGTAATACTGTTTTTTTTCAATTAGCTTTTCTTTTTTAAAAACAGGATCAGACCCAGCAAGGATACAGACAAGTATGAATGGTTTTAACACTCCACTGGAAAAGCGTAACTATTGAAGTACACAGTGCTCTTCTTAAGAAGTTTTAGGTTTTGTTATAATTACATTTTTAATCACATTTTGGAAAATCCTGCCACAACTACAAAATGTCTAACAGTGTGCCTCTGAGACATGACAAAAAGAAATGATAGTTTCACCATCAGCCATATTAGTCTACTCCATACTCAAAGGGTAAAGCTTACCGCTGTGTTCTGCCAAAAAATCAACAACTCTGAGCTTGTCTAACTTGGCAACTATGCCCTGATTTGACCACTGCCGCTGTGATTTCTCTTAAACCTTTCATATTCGACTAGCAGGAAGGGGTAGCAACATCAAAGCGAGGCAGCCGCTGCTCCCCAGACAGCTGCAGCTACACACCAAACAACTAGAAAACGTAATTAACAGGCAGCCTGGAGGGGCTCAGGTCCCATCGGTGCAGGACAGCAGCAATAATCCCTCAATCAGATGAGCCCATAATGCCACCATCCATTACACAACTCCCTGGGCATCCGAACCCATTTTGACCGAACAATGTGCCTCCCAGAAAACCAGACAAAATACTAACCTCTGGGATGACTGGAGGGTTTATCCTCTTGAGTTATAAGTGGAGTCAGAGTCTGAGGACATGAGCCTTTACTAAAAGAAGACATCACTGAGGGCAAAAATACGTAGGAGGCTGTGACTGCTACTACAACTGAAGTCAATATTGCTTTATGTATCTCCAACCACAACATGTTAGATCTGTGCCATGTGAGCAATCCATTTCAAAGGCATGCATATTGTAATGATCAGATATTTCATTTAGATTTATGCTCCTCTGAGTCACACCTCTTATTTAACAGAAGATTTGCTGCATTCAATGCACAATGTTTCAGCTAGGCATCATCTTTTGTGTTATCTCTGTGTCGTTGTGTGTGTGTCAGCCGGTCCCTGACAAGCTCCAACATGCAGACAGCAGATGAGCTTGGAGAGAAAGTAGCTATCCCTAATAGGAGATAATAAATGTGATATTTTATAACAACTCTGGCAAACAAAATAATGTAGTCAATACTTCTCTTTATTTGCATGGATTTTTAGCTCTTTTAGTGTTGAGGAAGATGACAGTTTACACAAGATGATTAAAGCACTGAAGCTCTAATATACCACACCATCTTGTCCATACAAAGCCCTACAGCCAGGTGTACTTATGTACTGCTGTGTAATCATTCCTGCATGTGGTTTTCTGTATGGAGCATTTTATGTTTTGCACTAAAAAAAAAAAAAAAACTATCAATAAACACAAACATTTTCATCCGGTCCAGATGCTCAAATGGAACAGGAGGGCATTTCAGTAAAGTCAAATAAAGTCCATAAGCACCTGGGGAAAACTGCAAGCAACCCCACAGCCAGAAACAACAACTTTTCTACATGACTTAGGTTGCTATGGTAATATGAGTCATACCACACAGCTTAAAAGGTACCAGAGAAATCCCACAGCCATTTACTGTATGTCTGAGCCAGATGTGCAACAACCGAACCTGGAAGTACCACACAGCAGCAAGCAGCTACATCAGAGACTAGATGATAATTCACATGCAGGAAATTCATTCAGTCCCATTAGCAAACAAGGGGATAGTCTCATTCTGTGTGTGTGAGGCAAAGAGGGGCATCCTTATCCACCTTCATAGATAAAATATGGACAATTTCAAGAGGTCCAGGTACAGACTTATGACCAGGAAACTGAGTATGTCAGAAAAAGCTGTTGTTTAAGAAAGGGGGTTCCTGGGTAGTTGGGAGGCCATTTTTGGTTAGTATCACCTCTTTTTTTTTTCAAATAAACTTTCAATACATATATATACTTAAATATGTCCATTCACAATATCCACAGTGTAAACAGAAGGCAGCTAAAAAAGAAAGAAACTAGGAAAACAGACAATAAAGAAGCGCTCAAGTGTCAGTGATAAGAAGCCATGCCAAGGCCATAAACCTCCCGAGGGTTACCTTTAGGTTGTTCGCTGCACCTTTAACTGCACTTATTTGACATGTACAGCACGCTACAAGGTGGTGTTTATTCCCAAAGCTGCTGTTGTAAACAATCCTCAGACAGCTGCACCATGTCCACACTACACTTATTTTCAGATAGTTTCTGGTCTCTCACCTCTTAACACAAGTCCCACATCTCATTCATACAAGTGGATTTCAAGTCATGATTTCTACCGACCTGGCTTTAAGCACAGTCACGTCTGAGTGCACAACAGAACATAACAAGGGCTGAACACTTTCAGTTTAAAAAGACGACAGCAGCTTCTGTTCACGCTACACTTTCACTTCTCAACCAATGTAGGCGAGATGTGCCCTACAGAGAGATGAGTCTATTTCCTGCTGACGTGTACCATTATTATCAAGAAAAATATCCACTGTAAAGCTTTATTTCTGTTTCTATTCCTCAGTGTTACCACAGAAGTACAGAAACTAAAAAACTGAGCATTCAACTTGATGCCCAGGAATTAAATCTGTGTATGAAATGATAAGAACAGACAGGATTATTCATCTTAAAATGTTTGAACGGCATCCAAGACATACATCTGAGAGGAGTTTGCACATTCCCAGAGTATTGACAGCCTTCAGACTGTGTGTAAAAACAAAGAAAACAGGGTCTTTGTCATAAACTTTAGATATTATTTCTTAATTTTTTGATTGGCTGAAGATAATTGAGAAAGGAGAAGAAGCTGTCTTATCTGTGATTTAGAAAACACAGCAAGGACTCAAATGATCGAAAACAAGCCATCTTTTCACGCAGGCTGAATGCTAATTTAAACACCAATTCCAAGATGTTGGATATGATCATTAAACCTAACATTCCTCTGCATACAGCTCTTTTATCGGCTCTCTAAATACGTTGAAGCACCCATCACAGTCATCCATCACAACCAGAATAAAAAAAACATTTTGAACATAAACATTTAGGCTCAGAAATAATGGAGCAATGAGATATCCAACCAGCCGTCTCCAGCACATGCAGGTTTGGAGAAGAATGATGTTGAAAACCGGCACACCAGGGACCCCATTTTCTCCTGAACGGTCACCTCCTGACAGATGTGCAAACAAGACCTGGAAACAGCAGCCATTTTCTCTTGAACTGCTCTGCTGAGTAAAAACCCGCCTTTGAAGCTTCTGGTTGGGCTGCAGTCTTGAGGGGGGAGGGGAGGGAGTTAGAGGGAGGGAGAGTGGGGGAGGGGAATCTGTGAGAGAAGGGGGGGATGGGGGAGGGGGAGCAGGCGGAGTGATAAATAATGATTCCCACACAGGTAATCACAACAACCATTTGTGCATTATTCTTTGCCTCTCTCAATGAGTCACTTAGCGACAGTCAATGTAGGTCGGCGAGCGGTGGGGGATGGGAGGCTTCAGTCTCCAGGGGAAACACTTCTCCCACGCTTCCTTCGGGTGGCAACACTTCTTCTGTTTACCAGAGGTGGCAAAGCGCGTGTCAACAAAGACAACAGTCTGCAGGTTTTCATTAGAACCTGAGACTCTCCCAGCTCGTGGACACACCTTTAAGCAGAGGGGTGAGGAGACCACTTACTGAATTGATGTTAAAGCTCTCCGTGTACAAAGATGCTCAAGCGTGGCCCTCTGGAACCATGAAAGAGGAGGTCAAACCCTATGATAATGTCAGCCTAACATGATCACATGCAAATAAATCCACAAATACACCAATTCCAATAAAAACAGCAAATCAGCCTCATCATAAAGAAACACCTTCATATACAGGCGCGGAAATGAAGAGAATAAAGCGAGCTTCTTCTCTTTTAATGATGAACTACTTATGCACCGGCATCTAGCTGGCAATATTTCTTCACAGGGAAGTGAATGGGGGATGATGACAGACACTGAGCGTCAGCGAAAGGATTCATCACGATGGTGTCTAACCGAGAGTGTCAGGACCAAAGATCCACCCTCATACTGAACCCATTAGCTTCAAATAAAAATGACAACTCCCTCTTGTCTGCTGGTGTCATTATGCATTCTCTTTACACACCAAATAATATCATCAGCTCTGCATTTCTCTAACAGGAGCACCCCTATTGAATTCCTATTGATGTGGACAATGCATGAGGAACAAAAGAGGGATTAAACAATGCAGCCAGATATATCAAAGTGTCAGGGTGGAAAAGCAGGCCGAAGGGACCTGGAGTAGGATAGTAATTATCAAAAAGATATGTGTATATTTTATCAGAAGGGAGGGGGGATAAAGTCTCTTACCCTTCATTAAAACAGTCCAAATGAAGGGTCAATTATGAACCACAGTGTGATATAATGTCTTCTTGGGAGAACCAATTTAATGTACTTGTTGCTGCTTTTGTCTCCTTCAGCTGCTTAAGCCAATTATCAATAAATATTGATGCTAAATATTGGTATTGTCTGACATGTTTATGCACCTTATGTTGATTAGCATGGATGTATTGTTAGGCGGCAAGGTTGTGAACATCAAGGACGTAATAAAGACGACTTTCAAAACAAAAATGAAGAGAAAAGAAAAATGAGGCATGAACCCAAGTCTGCAGAGAGTTTCATTCACTACTGATAGGTAGACTTCTTATATAACGGCAGGTACTGCTCATTTGATCGTAGGGAAATAAATTCCTACGTGCTGCATGCTAGCAAAACTAAACCCAAACAAAAGCACAAGGAATGAATTCATGAATCCTGCTCTTTGTCTTTTCGGGGAGCATTTCATCTCAAGTTATCAGATACCGCGATGCATCATTATTTGACTGTCTTGCAATATACGCAGAGCAAGTGCTGATTTCCAAGGCATCACTTTACTGACAAACACAAAGCAGTTCACTCTTTAACCAGGAAAAAAGGAAGAGGAGGCTCTAGAAAGAACAAAGATGTCATCACTGACCATGTGCAAAGACAACTGAACAGTCACCGGGTTGTTGCAGGGTATGTCTGGACCTTGATTTTCTGCATTAATCTGCAATCACATGTAGGCACACAAGAAGCCGGTCGCTTTGGGGCATGCATGTGTATATTGCTGTGTGGGGGTGGGTAGCAAGTAAATAAATGTGTGGAGGAGAGGGACAGTGAGCTCTTTTGATGCTCAGTGCTGCACATATTCTAACAGAGTCAAATCTCTATTATTTAAAGCTTTCAGTACACAAAGCAAGAAGTCAAGATCGACAGATCTACAACATGTTTACTCTATTTTAAAGGCATACAAAAACTAATTTCCATTTCAGCATTTTGATTCATCTATCACTGCATGTATGGATGAAATAAATGTGCTTCATTGCTCCATTTTCTGTCATCAAGGACAGAGAAATAATAACTGAACAAATTCTCATTTATAGGTTCAAATGATCAAAAGCAACAAAAACACCAAATGTGTGCTTTGAGGTGGCTTTAAATCTTGGCTAATACACACGGTTTGCTCTCACGTTGCATGGCACGGCTAGGAGAGGGAAGTTGGAGTGTGTTGCATCTCAAATCTAGAATTACTGGTAAGTGCATTGCATTAAAGAAAAAGCCAATCAAGCGGACATTTGGCAGTCTTACCAGAGCCGTAACACATTGCAGATAAGCAGATATGACCGCAGTCTCCACCACTACGAGGAACAGAAACTGACACATTTACGGTATTTCCTAACAAGCTTGAGTTACGTAAGCAGCGTTTCACAAAGAGGAATAAACAAAAGAAAGAACTTTATTTTGACTATTTTTTAGCAACAACAAATATAGTTCAGTAGTGAGAAAGACCTCAGTGTCCTTGAGGTTGTACTAGTCGACACAGAGGCCACAGCCGGGTAATTCTTTTTACAGCAAGATGAGGATTGCACAAATAAGCTGTAAACACAGAGGCACACACCAGTGTGGATAATACAAGTGTTGCTATGGTGACCAGAAGATCCTGCTTCTCTGTCAACAGCTGCTCATGCCACCCTAAATACCCCCCACTCTCCTTGAGCTTCCCTCCATCTGACATCAGGGTCAAACAAACAAGGCAGACAAGTGAGCTAAAATACTGGTGTTCAGTCTAAGCTGTCCCTGGAACTGTTTGTTTACCCTGCATTAACACAGCACATAGACACCCACAAGATTTCCCTTTGTAATATGTGTGCGCATGTGTGTGTCCTACACTGCTTAACAAATTCACTCGTGGAATTAAGAGTTTGCAAATGTCTCCGATTTTTAACGTCAAAGGATGTAGTATATATACGTGTATGCGTTCTCTTATCATCACCGGCTAGGCTATGGTGTGGCGTGGTATGATGTAAGGAGCTTCAAAAACTTCAAAGAGTAGGAAATGACTACCTTCACTGCAGACAATGTGAAACTTTCACTTCTTTGGCCGTTTGGTTTCTGTAACAGTGTGGTCAAAAATGCTACAGTTCACCAGTTTCAGAAACAACAGACTCCAACTGTCTGGTCAAGGCCATGCACATAGATCACTATAAATTACAGAGAAGACACAACTCCTCTTTATCAGGACAAAATCTTTACGTCTGTAACTATCTTGTGAATCTATCAGGGTGATAGGTTCAGAGATGAATACTACATTTGACGTACATATCTGCCCTTTTATGAGGACTCTGACAGCCTGTAGTGTTACTAGCTCTTTATCAGCAGACGGTTTATTTAATCATATGACCCAACCTTATCAGAAACCACTCAAAAGAAATTGTGTAACAGTCGTTATCGTTGTTTGAACATGATTGGAATAATATCCACCAGTATTAAAATAGCACAGAGAGACATTAAAGAAAAATCTGTCCTACAGAGATCTGAATGTATACTGATGTCGGTGCTTATATCCTCCGTAACTCTACAGTATAAATGTGCGAGTACAACCTACAACCATGTGTTTCGTTGCTTCTACTCAAATATGTATGGAAATGATTTTTGGTTGTTGCACAAACTCATACTCCGTTTTCACAACTCTACACAGCTAGACAATAGACAAAGAAGCTGACAAGATCCTATCAAATGGCTGACTTAGAAGAGAGTGAGTGAATGAATGGGTGGACTGAGTGGAAAAAACAATATTCCTCTGAGTTCAATAGTTTGTCACTCTGGCATGCATGTGCTTGCACAACTTCCTCAACAGTCATCCACCAGCAGCGATAGTATTACAAGCAGCCTTGTGGATTTAAAACGGTTTTACTTTAGAGGCTGATCAGATTTATCTGTGACCTTACGTTTAGCATTGAAAGTTTAGACGGATACGTTTATTGACTGAATTTGACCTTACGGACAGAAGGTGAGCATGTGTCATTTCCCATAAACGAGGGAAAGTGAATCATTAGCTCTGATGGCAGGAGACACAATAGAAAAAGAAACTGATTAGCTGCTAGACAGTGAAATAGCTGAACATTCAACACACCCTTAAAGGCACGCAGCTTCCTCCTGCTTGTTTTAATTTAAATGTACGCACAGACAGGACGGACGAACGGCAGCACTAAGACAAATTTGCACAATGATAAACAGAGTCGCCTAAATTAACCCACAGAGTAACTTTGGCTTTGAACTAACCAGTACTTTTACAGGCGTTATAACAGAGGGACTGCAGGTCTGCATGTTGGATTGTAGCCGGTGCAGACTGTATGTTTCTTTTTTAGTAGAGGAGAATGGCTCACCTCCCCCCCTGGCCTATCATAAATAAATACTGCTACAGAAATATTTGGACAGCCTGATACAGAGCGATACTGCATCACAGGCCTGACATGGGCTTTCTCAGGGACTTCCTTGCCCTACTTATGAGCACAGGATACATTTCTGTCTTGAACACTCAGTCTAAACACAGTGTACCTCAGGTCTGCTGTTGTCTCCTGTGTGCTTCACTTCACCGAGTCCTTTGTTGTTACATTCGAAGGACTCAAATAAAATCTAAATGAATAATCATGAATCCGCTCACACTGAAGGCCATCCATTTGCTTTCCAACCTGAGACTGCACACAGTCCTGAAACCAAATACACCGCAGCTCATGTCAAATCCTGTCACTACACAAGGAGCAGACAGACAATTACCTCTAGGCCTGCAACATTATTCATTAATGCTCTCTGAGGACTTCGTACAAAGGTGACTGAGTCCACCCATGAAAACACCAAATGGACTAAATGATGCCGAGGAAAATCTACGAAACTTTTGGGAAATTAAAGCTTTTTACACGGTAAAGATTAGCCCACGCTCCAGAGCTATAAAGGAGAGGTTGTAATGAGGTACGAACACACTGACTTTAACACATTTAGGGATCATTTAATGGAAAACATAAAGAAGTCTGAAACCTGCAATTTAGACCATAAAACTTCTATTGTTCTTTAAATGGGTGGCACTAAACCTGTTTTTTTAACTACTGCTGTTAGAGGTTGGCTGACAGTCACTGACTCTTGTGACAAAACTGGGAAGGGAAAGGCAATATGTCTGAAAGTTACTCAATGCTAACATGAAACTGTTCCAACTGAAATGTGTAAAATAAAAACAGAAAAATTAAAGTTGAATTGAACAAAACCCTGATTTTAAGTCTATTGACTCCTCCTTTTAGGCATCAGAACTTTATGGGGTTTTTTATACTTGCAAAAAGTAACCTGTCCTATTCCCTCTCTGTAATCTACAGTATTCAAAGTGTGAGAGAAAACTATAATGACTCCATAATGTTAGGTTCAGTTCAGTTCAAAAATCTACTGTGACAAAGTAATCTTGACACAAAGAGCCCGATCCTCAAAGAATTTAACCAAAAGCTGAAAAGCTAAATATACAGGAGTAGAGTGCAAAAGGCAATTTCTCTGACTTGACAGGGACTCTGATCTACAACATGCCCTGTAGCTTCAGGTTACAACCGCACTAATACGCTTTCATTATTAAACCAAAAAAGGTCTCCATCAACGCAGGCACAAATTCAGAACAAATGTCAATGTTTACAACACGTCTGAACAGTCTGATCACATGACCATTTATGTACACTTCTCAGGCTCATGCTGAGGTAAACAGGCTGTGGTTCCCTCCACCCAAAGAGGAGTTACTCCATGCTGGCCTGAAAAAGCTGGTTGACATGGGTATTCGTTGGGTAACATTTCCCCTTCTTCGTATATAGACAGTATATAGACAGTATATAGACAGCAGTGACCATAGAAAAGAAAGACAGCAATGTCTAAAACTTAACACTGCTGGTGAAGCAGTGCGTGTTGTTTTAGATTTTATATCATTAAAAGGGTAAAGTGATACCGGCGTGACCAATCAGGTAAGAGCTACTTGTGACCAACATGAACCAGTTTTAGTTTGAATTTTGGGTCTCCAAAATTGTCAAAGTGGCATGGGTGCTAGGGAAGATTGTAGCACATGTATTAGGTATAGGTAGAAAATATTTGGAATATGATCAACACTGTGGGTACCACTCTTTTTGTGATTATTGCAATGGAAATAGTGGTGGGAACCAATGGGAATTCATGGAACAACACAGTGACCAATACATGACCCATGATTACAACCATATCCCAACATAGAGATTTTGCACTCATTTGGACGTGCAGGTTTAAGGATATATTACTTTGTTTCACTCCTTTTAAGAGTAAATTAGGTTGGAGCTGCGAGTGACTCCTCAGGGCTGACATTTGTTAATGTGAATAGTTTTCATCCAGTGTTTTGCCGCCAAAAAACAACCCAACAAACACACACACATATAAAGGAGGCAGCAAATGCCAAATAGGCTTTCTCAGATTAAGTGTGGCCATCACTTAATCTTCAATGAGGTTCTTTTTAAGGCCGCTCTTTAGTCAGGATGCCTCCATCATCGCTGAAGAGCTAAATATTGTGAACATAAATACAACAGCCACTAGGTCAACGAGAAAATAAGGGCACCACTTTGGCATTAATAATTGGGGCTACTGAAGTAGAGTCAGTCTAAAACAGTATTCAAACAGCAGTGTATTTTCATACTAATCCCTCACATGTCTTTCCTTAGAAGAGATAATGAACACTTTGATGCTCTGAAACAAGGCGAGACATTTTAACTATGTCTGAACATGCTGTATCTCATTATTCTAAGAAGTCAAGAGAGCTGCCAGGGCTACTAGCTGGAAAATCAGCAGAATATCATTGTTATACAATATTTTTCAATCTCTCTTTTAAAGTGTAAAATCTCATGTGCACATGTGGAATCACTGGGTGTTCAAGCTTCATAATAGGCAGAGTTTATTGTGTTATATTGGTGCTTTTGATATAGATTAAGACAGCTTAGATTGTGACTACCACAGAGCCAGGAAGCAGCTTGGAGTTGTACAGTAACATGAACTGTCCCCTGTCTACTACAGTTGAATGCATCCCCCATTCTCAAGCAAACCCCTTAGCCTGCACAGCATTATAAATATGTATAATCTGTGTGTTTGGCTTTGTTAAGATTAAACTGCACCACTGCAACTCATTTTGCTAGAGGATTTGTTATGAAAGACAAAGATGAGATCCTAAAAATGGACTAATTTGGGACAACCTTTAACCTCTAAACTTAAAGTTTTTTTTGTAAAGTGGTCCAAAGCTCAGACACACGCACAGTATAAAAAAGTAGACTGGTTGGAAAGCAAAAACACCGACAAAGACGGGAAATTGTAGCCACAAGTAAGAATTTCAACACACGTGTAGAGTCCAGGGGTGACTGAGCTCCGAGAGCCGGTAACCTCATAATCAACGCCATAATCACCCATTTCGGTAAGACATTTCCTCTATATCCACATACAAACACAAGGAGGTTAAACAACAGCGCAGTCTAACACCATGCTACTCGACTTTTACGGGCTTACCTTTTATTGTGAGAGTGAACTCGTGGTGTCCGCTGCCACCTCTTCCTCTTCCACAAGGAGAACCTCCAACTTCAGTAAGCCAGCAACGACTTTCCTCCCATTTTGCTTATCGTCATATTTCAAGTTCCGACCGCTGTGTGACTCACTGTCGGCTAATTTGGCGTGCTTACGAAGCGTATTCGCTCGGGCACACTCACAACTTGGCGCTTAAAAGTTGGAATAAAACCCCGAGTTTGAGTAAAGCCGGAGAGGCTGCAGGGCTACTCTGTGTGTGTGGAGTTTCAGCGTTCACTGAGAACAGGAACATAAAGAGTCAGCAGCAGTGGCAGCAGCAGCAGGCGTTGATCGGCAGCGGGAGAGAGACGTAGGCAGAGGGAAGGAGAGAGAGGGGTGGTGGGGGGTGAAAGCTGACTGACCTTAAACCTGAATATTTGTTCGGTAACAACATACAACAATAAACATAACTAACTTTTAGCTCCTTTAAGTAACTGAAACGTATTTTACATATCAGTGCCCTAGTTAGCTTGACACAATATCATAATATCAGTCGAAAAACATCCACCAGGCAGCTATCTATTCAGAAAGAGAGGCAGAGAGAAATAGACAACAAGCTTATGTGTTTTTAGTGGTTGTCTGCGTTTGAAACTTGTGCTTGTTGGCTGTAGTCTGAATGTAAACCCAAGAAGTGTGGCTAAAATTCGACTTTTAAGTGCCAGGTTGTTCAATGTATACTGAAAATAAAGCACATCCCCGCTAAAACATATTATTACGTGTATATTGTACCTAAGTATAGGCAGAGAGCTGAATTTCACAGGCTACACTACCGTCTCGCATGTTGCCTATCTGCCGGCCTGTGAGCTGCCTCCCCTCCCCCACGCTCCACTCTTTTTCGCCTGCCCGGTCACACAGCGGTTGATTAATTCTCCTTTCGCCTTGCTCAGTCATTCAGATTTGGAAAGTAAATAACAAGTTGACATCATTACGGCTCTACACTGGTGTGACACATTCCTTTGGTTACCGTACTCACGGTATGATTTGCGCAGGACATACCCCATGATAATACAGCTACTGTTCCAGTTTAAACTGGAGTGTCATGCCATTCATGCTGTAAGCCATACAGCTTTTAAAGTATGAGAATCAAATCTGCATATTGTTTAATAGAAAGCAGATCAGTCAAACACCAGACGTAGTACTTGTAAATAAGTCACAAACCCAAAATGACACAAAGTAGCTTTAATTTTGGAAGAAATTTCTTTTTTATTTATTTATCTCAAACTTTAAAAAGAAGAAGAAGACCAAGAACAACAAAAACACTGAACAAAAAAAATACATATGTACACCAAACAACTGTACATGTCACAGATACATTGCACAACATATGTATGTCAAAAATAAACAGTTTGAGAAGGAACGGAATAAAGCAAAGAGCTTAAGGTTAAAAGGGGTTATCATTCAAGGAGAAAGACACTATTCTTTAATTAATGAATATTCATTTGATGTTTAAGACAAATATCTATATATTATCTACATTATTCTGTACTGTCTGTTTAGACGACATGAAGGCTGACTAAAACTGTGAAATTTTTGGTTAATGGTCAGTTTTTCTGTTTACGGGGGCAGGTTTTAAGACAGTTTACACAGTGTTAAAAGGACTATTCTTTAATTGATGAATGTTCACTACATTATTCTGTACGGTCTGTTTAGACAACACAAAGGCTGACTTAAACTATGACATTTATGGTTTATTTTCAGTTTTTATGTTTATAGGAACAGGTTGTAAGACAATTTACACAGAGTTAAAAAGACTTTTTAACATCTCTTGTTTTAGATGGATTGTAGCCATTCTAAAACCTTAGCTCAAGCTAGGGCTGGGCGATATGGGAAAAAGTTTATCAGAATATATTTTTTTCATATCAGTCGATATACTGTATATAAAAAAATGAAATTTAACAGTGCTTATTCGTAGCATGTCTTTTGCAATATAATAAGCTGCTGCACCTGTGAGATCCTTGTGTCTCTTGGACGTTTTTTGTAAGGTGTTGAAAGCGGGCTGAATGGTTGGCTGTTTTAGCTGCACAGGCACCATGAGCTCCTCTCTCCGCTTAGGGTTTTTATGCCAGTGTTGTCGACGATGTCGTCATCTGTTGAGCCTTCATCTGCATTTCTGCCAGGGGTAGCACTCATTTTCTTCTTTTCTTACTGACAGTGCTGTCAGCTTCACATGTTAAAGTGCTATGGTTGCGTGTAGCTGCAGCCTGCTACTACACAGTAGCAGGCTGCAGTCTGGTCTTAATTTAGCACATGACTGGTTCGGCGTGGTGCAGACCCGAAGCAATCCTCCTTTTCATTGGCTATTCATATAGTCTACCTAAACACAGCAGAATGCTGGTTATTGAAAAGCATATTGAACATGTTTCATATTGATATTGAGGGAAATTCATTTTTGATATATATTGTTATCGTGTTATCGCCCAGACCTAGCTGAAGCTATTCCTATACACAGTCCATGTTTGATTTGAAGTCTAAAAACAGTAGCACAAGACTGAAAAACAAAACAGTATAACTTTTTTAATCCAACAGTTTGGAAAAATGAATATGTCTATTACTGGCACAGATGAGGATAAGACATCCTTTTAGCACAGCAGGGCAAGCCTCTGTTGGAATATAGTTATTGCAAATATTTATCTTCTGTGGAAGATGGAGTTAACATACAGTATTTTCTCACCAAGCAGAAAGGATCTTCCTTCACTTATGCCACTAACCACTGATGTCTCTGGCTGCTCTACTGCTGCAGGTCACAGCTACTTGACTAAGCTGTTAATGTGAATAAGAGGCCAGATGGCACTGGTGTCTTTAAAGCTCCTGTGAGTGGTTTTCATGTAGTTATGAATCAGACAAAAATTATAAATGATGCCTCTTTTTGACCTACAGGGACTAAAAAGAACATCAGCTGAAGATTGATTATTTTTACACAGTTGATTCTAATGTCTGAAAGTGCTGGAGGTCAGAGAAGAGAGGGGTCAGGAGAAGTGATTACCAGAGGGCTGTCTGAATAGCCTTTGTTTTATGTTTTCCATGGGAGTTACATCTCACTGTTGAAAGATAGCAGGATCAGATTTTAGTCAAACAATACTTTTACATGTACAGTACAGGACATTATCACTATAGATTGCTTTGTCCACGGGGTCACCAAAACCCACATAAATCAAAGTCCCTTATTGGACCTATAAACTGTGATAACAATCAACACCAACATAGAAATATACAATGAAAATATTAAAATAATTGTTTATTGATGGATTTATAAAATTTACATTGTATCTGCAGTCAATACTGTGTCTGTTGCAGCAGAGACAATGAAGCAAGGTTACAGGTTAAGGTGTTTTATTGTGTAGAGTAGCATTGCAGCAATTATGTTGAGCAAGATATGACAGTATGGCTCTTCAAGAATCCTGTGCTGTCAAATGTTTGAAATGGGGAACCTCTGCTCTTTGAAAATCCTACACCATCTCTTTTCTAGCATTTACATTGAGCTAGAGGTCATCCTCACACTCCTAACCCGTCAGACACTGTTTTTGTTAATAGAAATAGAATAGTTTCTGTTCCCCCACTTTTCTTCAAACACCCCCCCCCCCCCGGCCCTCAAACTAAATCAGTCAAACTCTAGATTTTTTTTTTCTTATGCAAAGATAGTTAAATAAAAGGGGTTTTAGGTGAAGATTGTCTTGGATCTGTATAAATAAGAGTATTTATGACCTTGTGATGTTGTGTTACAAGATGATTCAAGGAAAGACCCATTTTCTCCTAAGTGCTAGCGGCTGAAACACTCAACACAACCCATCCCCCACTAACCACGACGCCTGTGTACAGAGGTATGCAGTAAATGCAGAAATGAGCAATAATCCTGTTTGAAATTTTACTGGGATATTTTGTTGAATATATATATATAGTCATGTTGGGGTTTTTGTGTCTAAATGCATTACTTTTTGTGTCATGGTCTGTACCTAATGTTATGTGACAGCAGAGAGACTGGCGCACAAGAACTTATGTTTCTGGTTTGGTATTTTTTCCAATTCAAGAACTTGTGTTTCTAGTTTGGTATCTCTTTTCCAATTCAATCAACTTAATTGGATCTTAAGTGTCAGAGCTCATAGAGAAATGGCACCATGTGGCACAGTATGGCTCACTAATGTTATGGTCTGGTCTGTGGCTTGGACCAATGACTTAAATAGAGTGATTAATTTGATGATGATTTTGATCAGTCAGTGCCATTTCTGTGGTCTTGTTTGTCTTTTATTGAGGTCATAATAAGCTCAGAAAAGAGTTACAACTACAGAAAATAAATGAGACTCAACAAACTAACCAGACAGTTCAAAGAGGACATGCAAATGCGAGTCTGTCTCTAAAGTGCACAGGTATTATGGTCATATGCTTGAGAGAGAGTCCTGTCAGAGCTACTCCCCAGAGCAATCTATATTTGATGAAAGCAGATGAATGGATATATGAGTGCTGCTAAACAACAGTTTCTCAGCCTTTTGACCGTGACTTGTTGTATAGATTTCAAAAAGGACGGGAAGCATCTTAGTCATAGAGTGTGGCACATTGTAATTTTGCTTCTCTAAAACATACAGCCAGTCCATCAGCATTTGTAACCCTACATGCCGAGCTGTCTTTTGCTTCTGACAAAATGCAGGATTCTTTTTTCTTTAATAACAGAGCCTGAGTTTCTGGAATTTACCTTTTTTTCCATGCAATGTCTCAAATACACCTTTTAAGGTCGCATTTCTTTTCTGAAAATTTGGATCAATGGTCCTCAAGATCAGGTCATGATTGTGTTACAGTGTAGGAGTTGCAAATTAATGGAGGGTGAACTTAAAGATACTGATGCATGTAAGTCACATCCTCAGAGAGGTGTTAAATAATTTCAAGGTCGGAGATCAATAAAAAAGTCTGATCTATATCATCAGTATTTTTTTATTCATGTATTGCAACACATTTGGTCTAATGTTTATCTGATCACACAGGAAGGCAGCCTTGTTGAATATAATGAAATTAGAATAGTACATAAAAAAGGCCTTTTATTGAAATATATCTCAGCCTCTTAAAGTTTCAGTCAATAATCAGCCCAGTTGCATTAGATGATGGTAAACTATACCTCACTTTACAATCATTCAAAATAAGACACTACTAAATATCCAAATTTCTCCACTATATACAGCTGCCCCCTCACCCACTCATCCACACTGAGTATTCCTCTTTTTCCGCACAGCAACCATTCTTTAGGATTAATGAAGCGTTGATCCACATCTCAACCCTGTCACACTTTGGTACAGGCTGCCTGAAGTTGTGGCCTGCTGAAGCGAG